TGGATGTACTGGCTCTCCCCCTTCAAATACCTCCTAGAAGGCCTCCTCGCCCTCGTCACCCACAGCATCCCCATCCAGTGCGACTCCCAAGAACTCGCAAGCTTCCCAGCTCCACCCGGACAAACCTGCGACACCTACGCAGGACAATATGCTCAACAATCAGGCGGCTATGTCATCACCCAAGCCAATGGTCTCTGCGGTTTCTGCCAATACAGAGATGGCGATGCCTTTGCTGCTTCCTTTAATGTCTATTGGAAGAACATCTGGAGAGACTATGGTATCTTTTGGGCGTACATTCTCTTTAATTTTGGAGTTGTGTTTGTGTGTTCGTGGTTGTATCTGCANGGGGTGGGGAAGATTAAAAAGTTNTTTAGTCCGGCGGCGAGGAAGCAGAAGAAGGCTGCGAAGCAACAAGAGCAGGAGGATGGGGATGAGGAGAAGAATTGAGTTGATACATAACAGCTAGTATGGAAGGCATATATATGTACAAACCATCTTGATCTCATTCGCAGCATCCAGAGCTGAAGCTTACGGTACCAGCTACACCCTATAGACAGACCTCCAGTTTCAGAGCAACAGATAGACTTTTTGCACATGGACTGGAGTGTCTTTGTACTTCAGGGTCACAGGGGCCATGAGGCAAGTAAATTATGTTTGAACTTTGATTGATTTTGATATCGACAGGCTCCAAGTACAATTTATCTAGGAGTGATCCTTTGGAAAAGGAAAGCGCAAAAAGCGGACAGTCGTACGCGTACAGTTTTTCGCGCGGCGCTGGTATTATGAAGCAAAAGAAAAGAGAAGAAGAAAAAACACCCATCCCAAGAAAGAGCAAAATATGCACAAATTTCGTCAACTCATCGAAGAGGCGGTGCGATACCACCTAGAAAGCGGAGGGAGCATCTTACAGCTGAGGACCAGCCTTGATGACATCCTCGGTGGCCTCGGACGAGTACTTCTTGAAGTTGTCGTTGAAGAGCTGACCAAGCTTCTTGACCTCGCCCTGGAAGTCGGCGGTACCGGTCCAGCACTTGGCGGGGTTGAGGACCTCGTCGGGGACGTTGCTGCAGGTCTTGGGGACTTGCAGGTTGAAGGTCTGGTAGGTCTCGTACTCGTTGTTGGCGAGCTCGCCGCTGTGGATGGCGTCGAGGATGGCACGGGTGTACTTGAGAGGGCAACGCTTGCCGCCAGTGGTGGCACCGGCACCGACCCAACCGGTGTTGAGGAGCCAGGCGTTGGCCTTGTGCTCCTTGATCTTCTCGGCGAGCATGGTAGCGTAACGCATGGGGTGGAGAGCCAAGAAGGGCTGGGCGAAACAAGACGAGAAGGTGGCCTGGGGCTCGGTGACACCCTGCTCGGTACCGGCCATCTTGGAAGTGTAACCGGAGATGAAGTGGAACATGGTCTGCTCGGGGGTGAGCTTGGAGATGGGAGGAAGGACACCACGAGCGTCGCAGGTGAGAAGGATAATGTTGGTGGGGTGGCCTGATGAGATGCAAGGAATCTTGGTGTTCTCAATGTACTCGATGGGGTAGGCGCAGCGAGTGTTCTCGGTCAAGGTCGAGTCCTCGTAGTCGACAATTCTGGTGGTTGGGTCAAAGACGACGTTCTCGAGGATGGAACCGAACTTGATGGCGTTGAAAATGTCGGGCTCCTTCTCGGCAGAGAGACCAATGGTCTTAGCGTAGCAACCGCCCTCGATGTTGAAGACACCCTTGTCGGACCAGCAGTGCTCGTCGTCACCGATCAAGGCGCGCTTGGGGTCGGCAGACAAGGTGGTCTTACCAGTACCGGAGAGACCGAAGAAGACAGTCACATCGCCGCTCTTGCCCTCGTTGGCAGACGAGTGAAGAGTGAGAACGTTGTGCTTGACGGGCATTTCGTAGAAGAGGACGGTGAAGACACCCTTCTTCATCTCACCAGCGTATTCGGTACCGAGAATGACCATCTCCTTCTCCGCGAAGTTGATAGCAACCGAAGTGGCAGAGGTCATACCAGTGGTGAATCTGTTGGCAGGGAAAGCACCAGCGTTGTAAATGACATAGTCGGGGTGGAAGGTCTTGAGCTCCTCTCTCGAAGGACGGATAAGCATGTTGCGCATGAACAGAGCGTGGTATGCACGAGCACACACGACTCTGACTCTGATTCTGTAGCGCTCATCCCAGCCAGCGTAACCATCGATAACGTAGATGCGGTTTCTGGTGTTGAGGTAGTCGACGGCACGTTCTCTGTTGATCTTCCAGACCTGTATTCCCAAAAGTGGTCAGCAAAAGTTCGTTCCTTTGACATGTGATGATGGAGGGGGATCGGCAGAGCCGCGGACAAGCGTGAGAAGCCGATCGGGATGCCGAAGCGTCGCTGTGGACCCCCGAGCCGCTGCGCTTGCCCGATGCAAAGTGGGGTAGAGGGTTGACGTAGTGGCCCGCGCCCCGCAGTGGAGGCTCCGCTATGCGAAAACAATTCGGGCCACCACCCAACAACCGCATGTTTATCATCGACAAGATCGGGGAAGACATGAAAGGTACTGACATCAGGGCTCATTTCCTTGTTGACGGGACCCCACCAGATCTCTTTTTCTGAGCTGGGCTCGCGGACGATACGCTTGTCTGAGGGCGAACGGCCAGTCTTTGCTCCTGAGTAGGCTGAAAGAGCTCCAGATGATGTGATGGCGGAACCGGTCTCGTAGACGAGAGCATCTTCGTAGAGAGCTGCAACGGAGGGGTTGGCAACCTGGATGGGGATCAGCTGCTGTATGGGAATGGTCTTGTCCCTCAATGTAACTCACAATGGCGACACGGTCGTAGTCGATGTGTGCCTTCTCGTGGAGCTCCTCCTCAATCTCGGTGTGCTCACGAACGGGCCTGGATATGTTGTCAGTCTTGCTTCGTAAAAGAACAAGCCAATGGCTAGCTGGTGTAGACAGGAGACTTACTCGACACCGCCAGGGTGAAGGGCAGTCTTGTTGACGTTGTTGGTAACCATTTTGAGTGAGGTAGAATGGAAGTTTCCCTTTTGCTGTTTGGCAATCTGTTGCCTAATGTAGTCTTGCTGGAGGGGAGGAGCAGGAGAGTATGATCGGACAGGCTCAGGACCGGACGACGCAGACATATTTGTACTCGACCTGATCCTTTTTTCGGATCAGCTCCTGCGCTACTTCTTCGTCGAGCTCGAGCAGTTTCCCCACAGCCCTTGGTCCTCCGATAGGTCTGCCGAGGCCATTGCGCGCTAGATACTTCCTAGGGAGGGCATTGACTTACGGAATAGTATGGGTAGCGTCCAATGGACCGTTTGTAATTGGATGGTACCGTTTGGCGGAGAGGGAATGCGATAATGGGCCGGAAGGTCTTGGGCTGTGGCGGAGAAACACGGATGACGCGGACTTGTTTGATATCTTTGTTCGGAGCAATTCAGCACGAGTCCATCGATTGCGTTGTTTCTTGTTGCAAGTCAAGAGTCAGTGCTTGGAAGCTGCGTTTTAGTAGCCGTAATAAAGATGCTCCTCAGCGGTCCAAGGGAAGAAGCCGGGTGCCTTAAGTAATAGCTATGAATTGCTGCGTCATGAAACCGCCCAGACTCGCGATGCGATCCAATTGCAATTTGCGGGGTGCAAACCCAAGGGAGCAGGTGGATAGGTTTTTGGTCTGTGACTTGACGACAAAGAAAAAAAAGGAATGGTCAGGTTCCCCTCACCTTCATGGTGAACTCTTCGCGCTTGCAAGGTGGTGTTCTCATTGGATAGTGGCACCACACCACCAGTTCCTCTTCGCTTGAACCACGACGATCTGCTGTAGAGATGAAGACGACGAACGGGTGGTTTGCCGAGTTTCCCCAAATTTCCCCATGCTTGAGCCATCGTGGGGTTGGTCGCTGCCCCTTGCGCCTTCCGCGACTTGTGCTCAGCCCTCGTGATGCGCCTTCTTCTTCCATACTGTTAATCCCGCTTCTCTAGTCCCAACCGGTTGTGAAGCTTCTTGCAAATAGCCATCATGCGCATAGGCAGATTCGGCTCTTCTGTTGTTTCCATGGGACTCGGGCTTCCTGCCGTGGCCCGTGGGGCATGGCTCCGTGAACAACTACCAGGAATCTGTCGGGATATTGCGGAAGCTGGGGATCGATCTGAAGAATCTAGCCCCACGATATCTGATAACTTCCACACAGGTCATGTACGAGTAGGCCCCGGTCCATGTTTTGCTAGAATTCTGGATTGATTCTTCATCGCTGGTCATTGTCCCACTGCTAATTCAACCAACTGCGTATGATTCCCTTCTCGGTCTCGACTTCATCCCTGGACTTCTGAGATGCCTCCTCGCAAATATGAGAATGCTACTCCGCCATGAAAAAATCACTCCGTCTGTTCTCTATACTCTTCCAGCGAGTTTCAGGCCTACACTTAACAAGGAGGTCGATGTTTGCGAAACAGGGCCCGAGTCGACCACTTAGCATGGTGTGTTGGCATTCAGCAGTAAGTATGCTCACTTGTCACTCAAGTCAGTATCTACAGACAGATTGTTTGATTCTGGGAGTAAGCAACAGGCGGTCAGGCAAAGTACGTATCTCGACGACTGGAAGTATTCTATTGAAAGGTTCGGCCCTACCTTAATCCTTTCCGAAAGAAAGCTTCAAAATGGCTCTGCTCACTACCCAAACGAAAAGCTTTGTGCATTGTTATAGCTTATGTGTTGCTTCTACGGCTTTCGTGAGAGAACATGTCCTGATGTATATGTTGAACCCAGACCACGTATCTCTCCTCTCAGTCTTGTCCTACAAGTAGTTATTGAAATTCACAGTAGTGTCCAGATTCGATATCTGAGCAAGGAGAGTGCGATTGCGTTCATAATTTGACATGAGTTGCTCTGCTGCAGATTGCCATTTTCTTTTACTGGAAGCATCATTTGTGCGATATTAGTACTCACTCAACAGTGTCGTCGATAAAAGACGAACTCCTGGTCGGTTACTGGTAATCGTGATTCTGAACCACTGAAATGGTTGGGAGCGATCGTCTACCAAATCCTCTTCGCAGCCATCATATATCTATCCACGCCATCGAGTTTCAATTCTCCTTTGGCCTTTTCCTTGCCCTTGGCCTCACGCTCTCTCAAGTTCCTCAGACCTTCAGGGTCATCTTCGTAGATCCATCTACGCTTGTCTTCACCCACTTCCACGGCTCCCCAGCCACCGACCCTGCGACCTTGAGTATCGAAATTCTGCTTTTTGTGTTCTTGCATCTTCATCTTTCGATAGCGCGTGCGTGCAAAACTGAGTAGGAGCATACCGAGCAAGAGTTTTAGGGCGAGCAGAATGAGGTATATGATCAGGAAGAAGACGAGCATAGTGCCCAATGCGATTGCGTCGTCGATTGTCCAGAAGCGCCAGGAGTTGGCACCAGTGACAGCATCAGCACCTGCCCCGAAAGATGATCTGCCTAACGCCCTCCTGAATATCTGGTCAATGTGGGCAAGCGCAGCTGTGGTAGAGGGTGAGGTTTCTCCAGATGCTGATTCTAGTGCGATCGCTGTAGCGGTCGAAGGCATAGGCAGTGGCATATGCGTAGCAATAAGCATGTGGTAGGTCTGGACCGAGGCACGGATGAAGAGACAAGAAAGAGGAAGCACAGGGAGGCCTAGTCGCTTGGTCAAATTCTGGTCCGCGAAAGCATGTGAGTAATAGTCTTTAGTCAGCACATCCAAGAAACGACCATAGAGACTCGGCTTGATGTTGTTAAACTTTGAGATGTAGGCATGCTTGACCCAGTCAACGACCATCTCACTGCCAATCACAGTTACGAATGGACCGAATATCTGACCAAAGCCTGATGGGAACATGTTGAAGGCTTGCGGAAGAATGCTTGTGCTCTGAATAGGCGATGTCGTGGAGTTTGAGCTGAAACTTGTTGTCGAGCCACCGCTGGAGCTCATGTTCAGACCTCCAACCTCAACAATGTTACGCAGAGCAATGATGAGTAGCATGAGCCAGAGCTGGAATCTCTCAACCACGTCTGCACAAGTCAGCTGGAACAAATTCTCCTTCTCGAACTTCTTGAAGACAGTTCCCTTGATCTCAACAAACTGGTTGGACATCAGGAGCGTGAGTAAAGCATTTGAGTAAGAGTTGACAGCAACATTGAGGGCGATGACTTGGTAAAACAGCATTGCTGCATGAGCGACGTTGTAAGCCAAAGCAAGTATGAACATGCCTAGAGGAAGTAAAACCTTGCTACGACCATTGGGCTTGCGTTCGAGAGTCTCTTTTGAGAACAAGCATTCAATGATGTCCTGACCTATGGCTGACAAAAGGCGGTCGAATACCTCGAGAACATTGTAGATGACGTAGAGCTTGATAGCGGCCTGTCCACGAATCTTATGGTACATGCGGCTTGCATCAAACTGTAGAAGAATCGCACAGCTAATGATGATCAGCAGTCCATGTAGCAAGTCAGCCTTGTGATTCGGAAGCAGAGCGGAGGGTGTAGATTTGGAGCGTCTATGACGATACAGCGGGCTGGGGATCTTTAGTTTCGAGGGAAGCTGTTGGAAACGCGTCGAGTTTGTGTCGCTTTGGCCATCTGACAGGGTAGCAGGAGCTGTAGGGACAGAAGCGGAATCAATCAAAGGCGAACTGAAGGAACTTCTGCGAGAAGGGTTGGCAGACGGCGGTTGCTTTCTACGGTGCCAGACACGGCCCACTCCAGAGTATATGAATGAGCCGATATCTTTGAACTCTTTGACGATGCTTTGGACACACCACTTCAAGAAGATACCAACAGCCTTCAAGAACCTCAATGGCAAGATGGTAAAGGTATATAACCAGGCGTCCAAACAGGCCAAAGCACCAAATACCAGAGTCTGCTCGAGCTGAGGCGGTAAAGTCAAGAAGTTGTACAGGCGCTCAAACTTTACTTTCGAAGACTCGTACGGGAAGTCACTGCTGGCGGAGCGATGGATGTAAGGGCCGACGGANNCGCTCAGATGAGAGCTCGAGTTGGAGATATGTAGGCAAGGAGAGAGGCGGAACGGGAATAATGGCAGGCATTGGAGAAGGAANNGCGAGTCGGACATGGGCGAGGGCTTGAGGGCTTCAGCGCCATCTTGGTATTCGGAGCCCTTCAGATTTAGAGTAGGACGTCTAGGCCTTGAGGCATCTTTGTTCTCGTTCGGGTTCCGTGGTATCTGAGCCGACGAAGGCTTCCGTTTGATGACAGGGGTGGAGTTTGAGCGACCGCTCGCAGATGGTCTGACGACAGTTGGCGGAGGGCGGCCATTCGACACGGGTAGGATCGTGGGCTCTGGCACTGAGATCAGGTCGCGGGCAGAAATGCCTAGTGCGTTGGCTTTCGCATTACTTTCGTCGGACAGGGGCGGTATGTCGTCGGTAGATATAGACACGGCTCGTAGCGGCAGTGAGTCGGGCGACGAGATCAGGTCTTGCATTTGGGCTGAGGACAGCTTGAGGGTAGGAGATGGCGAGAGCAGCTTTCCATTGCTGGTCTTTGGGTTTAGCACTCGCGCAGCTACCGTGGTTGGAGTAATCGCGGGACTGGTCGTCTTCTCGGACAGGCTGTCAAGAGCAGGACTTGTCAGATTCGCATCGGGGGTGTAATCTGTTGTGCCATGCTCGGTGATGGGAGACAGGGCTGGCGTAGGCAGTTGGTCCTGGGTCGCAGTGGCCTCGCTGCCGTCTGGCGTGCTCACTTTCATCGTAGTTTAGGAAGGAGGTGCATCTTTTCCTTGCGCGCATCGGAATGGACCAGCCATCAATGTGTTTATGTCTCAAGAGGCAGGAGCGACAATAACGCGTGTCTGTGCTGCCTTCGGATTTAACCTCATTTAAACGCCGTATACACCTAAACCATTGCTGATTCCATCCAGACCTTCTCAATCACCAACCACATTTCTCAATCCTGCGCAACCATGTCGGGCTACGAGGGTATCTCTACACTTCTGTCCTCACTTCGCTGCACATCACTGACACTCTCCAGTCGAACACAACATCAAGGAGGAGAAAAAGAACGAAGCACCGCCCCGCCGCCCCGATCTGTCGACTTTCTTCACCACCCTCGATCTCGTTGATACCAGCGGAGACCGTCATCCTCAGAATGCACACTCTCTCCCTCTCCCCGGCGATGTTTCAGCAGCCTTCCGCAGTCTTGCAAATGCCTTCTCCATGATGCAGGGTGGTGGCCATGGTCAATCGCAAGAGAACACGGATTCATTGCTAGCTGGCATGGTTGAACAGTTGATGCAAGAGTCTGAGAATCCTCCGAGGGAAGTCAAGGGTGTCTCGGACGAGTTTCTCGCTCAGTTAGACAGAGTGCCCAAGTCGAGCTTGAAGGACAAGGACTGCCCTATTTGCGGCAACCCTTTCCTTGACGGTAAGTCCACACCAATCCAGGGCACTGTTGTCGCATCTTACTGATGTTCCGTACTAGACCCACATCCGCTCGTTGTTCAGCTCCCTTGCCACAAGGACCACCTCTTCGACCTCGAATGCATCACCCCCTGGCTCAAGTTGAACCCCACCTGCCCCCTCGACAGAAAAGAGCTGGTCAAGAAGAGAGCCCCTACACCACCTCCCGATCAGGAAGACGGAGAATACGATGACATGTATGCATGAACGCAGTGGGGACCAAATCTGGCATTTCGCGTCGCATCACTTGGAACATAACGATTAGCTCTGTTGAAAAAGAGCACTCATGATAATTGCAACATACCCAAAGAGTTCGTTCATATACTGAAACTACAAGTACTTGCTCCTCAGTGCCTGACTGATGGAGCTCATCCTGCTCGTCGTAGAGCCATGCTGCATGTGGCTCATGAATGCCTCCTCTATGGCCGATTGGGAGATACTGGCATNCTGAACTACATATTAGCATCGAGTGTCTTTCGTACTTCAAATCTGGATTCACATACCATCAAGATCGCTGAACGAGCTTCCCATGCTCGGTGTGCCCTCGCTGCCCTCCCTACGAACCCTCGGGCTGAGTTTGGAAAGTTCCTCGCGATGTCTAGGACTCAATGCACTTGCTGGAGAGGCATGTGTATAGTCTCCTCGATTGGCCTCTCTCTGTTTATTCGTACGTGTGGTGGCTTGAGTGGCTGCTGCAGGAGCTAGCTGNNAAGATGCCGAGGAGTCCGGAGCGATCGCCCTCTGCTCAGATGCGCGCTTGACCGGCGATTTGAGGGTCGCAGTTGGATCGGCACTTCCAGTGGCAGTAGTAGCGAATGGCAGGAAACCACCAGACGATTCGCCATCTTCGTCTTCGTCTTCGTCTTCATAGCCGTACTTGCCTTTGTTGTTGTAATGAGCTGGTCGTCTAAAGGCTTGACTACGTGCCATACTCTGACTTTCTCCATCAGAAGAATCCGAATCTGACTCCTGCAATGGATCAGAGTCGGGCTCTGATATCTCGCGCTGTGGTGATACGGGTTTTCTGTGGTTGCCAAACGCGGTGTTGAAAGCCCTGTTGCTTGATTGTGCTGGGCTGGCAGGTGGTCCAGTGCGACTTTGTGTCAGTGTCCTGGTAGAAGGCGTGCGAGAAAGACCTTCGGTTTTGGGTTGTTGATTGGTGGTAGACAATGTTGCCAGCATGCTAGGCTGGCGAAACACGCCTGAACCGCCTGATCCCATGGTTGGAGTGGGACTATCTCGTATCCGCGCCGATAGAGCGGAAGATGCCCTTTGACCNNTATGTTCCTGTCAGCTCAAAATCGTTGCCATTTCTGAACACATTTGAGTCTTACCTTGACTACCAACTGCGAACGCGGTCGCATTGCTGTTCACCGCAACATTGCCTATAGAATCAGGCGGCATGGGCGATGGACAAGCTGAAGGGCTGAGCTTCTTCATCTGCGCTTTCATCTGTGCAAAGTGGCGTTCGTAGAGCCATGCTGCCTGCTGAAGGAGGAAGGCTAGGGAAACCTCAAACTTTGCAGATCTGCTNNTTTGTTAACTGAAAGACATGTTGAAGGATACGAACGACTGACAAGTCTTCCCCTACTCAAATGTCAGCTCGATGCTTTCGTTGATGAAATCAAAGTATAACATACAATCGAGCTCTTTGCTGTTAGAAGCTTTGGAGATGATCTTCCACAGTGCACGATCTTTGGTAGAGTCCCAGTTGANCCTTTATGGTTAGATGCGTCCAAAATTATATCGTTATATGTCGAATACCTGTGGTGGGTCTACGAAGTCATTTCTGGGGAATGGCAGTCGGATGAAGCAAGTGTAGTGCACGGATGGGTTCGCCGGAGCCGACTTATTCGCAGGTGACGGCGGAGCGTTGATACCCAGAGCATTATTGGATGTTTGTACTGTCCTCAGGGATAGCTGCTTCGGATCTTCGATGCTGGACATCGTGTGAATGATGTGTTGATGAGGAAATGCTAGGTTGATTGAAAGGTGATGAATAACACACACTCGTGAGCACGTGATTCATGACACCCTGCGATAAGCTGGTAGTACTCGCAAAGCTCAGCAAACTCATCAATTAGCAGATTTGGTCTCAAAATCATTCGAGGACTTGTGTCCTACTTGTGTCCTACTTGTGTCCTACTTGTGTTATAATGTCTGGGAGCCGCCGTCACAAAACATCCGACATCGTAGTTAGGCTCACCCTCTGTACGGCAACTACTTGGTTAAGAGACAGAAAACACGCCTCGTCAAGTACTGAACTAGCGTTCGATTTGAGGTTTATCCGTGATCGTTTGCAAAAGTCTCATTGTCATGAGTGACCGCAGGGTCATCGCTGCTATCCATCATCTCCCCTTTGCCCACTCTCGTAGTACGTTGTCTCTTTCTTGAGGTTCCCGTTCTAGATATCGCGCAGCCAAATCTTGAGAGCAGAGTTTTGATGTTTGAGATGATTGAAGGAGATTGTCGGTGGTGGTTCAGACGGAACCAAAATGAAAGTGAAAGTTGCAGGCAGACAGTGTGTTCCAAGAGAAAGAAAGAAGAAGAAAAACACCAGACTGGCAATGGAAGTGACCGGTCTGATGGAAGGTATCTGGTCAGGGTACAATACCTTGTCGTCACGCGATCGCGGAGTGTAGAGTCTGAAAGCGGAGATGCGGTCTGAATTAGCTAAGATGGAGTCTGAATTAGCTGGGGTGGAGTCTGAATTGATTGAGACTTCAGCTCTTCCTCGTCTCAAGTGCAGACGCACTGTCTTTAGGCTACTGTAGAAATGCACAACACTGTTGAGAGAGAGACTGGCGCCCCCTAAGAGTCGCCAACTCCGTTTAAAACAAAAATTAAATACAAACTATGTGGTGTGTAAAGAAAAAAACGACGAAAGTTCCTAGGCTAGCCATGCTCTCCGTACGCATAGGTATATCGTTCGTATGCCTATAGAATTGCAGAGTGCTTTTCAGAAACAGACTAGCATCCACTGAAACCCACCCATCTGTCGACTTTGTTTCAAGGAAGAGTCTGTCCGGTCCAGCTGGCAACCCAAGCTTCGCGAAGCTCTTTGTCAACTGTCAAGAAAACCTCTGCTGTATTGTGACTCGCAAGTCTGTCAAGAACTTTCACCTTCGCGGTCATGCAAAGGTCTCCGAAATCGTGTAGAAAAAGCTTCGTAGCAGCAGCTGCTACTGATGAGCTAGCAATAGCAGGTACCGCCGGTCGCCGTGAGTCACATGAGACTGCAGATTGCTGGTCTCGACATTGCGTCGGAATCGTGTTGTTACTGACTGTTTGGTCGGCATTATGATTGTTTATTGTCACTGCTTTGGCAAGAACCTCCAAGAAAGCCTTGAGGGTAGTTCTCAGCTGTTCCCCAGTTCGTTGCAGCATGTCTTCAAAAGCTAGCAGATGTCCACTTGCCAGATCTTCCATCTGACTTTTGACGTCAGTGAGGGTGTCTCCTGCATGATCGCCAATCTCCTCGACACCCTTCTCTGTTTCAAGCTGTAGCTCAACTTTAAGATCGTCCGAGGTTTCATGCAGGCCAATCTCCGCGACTTTTTGACTGTATTCGAGCGAGTCTAGAAGGTCTTCCATAACACGTTGCAAAGCTTGCTCGGTAAGCAGGGGTACTTGAGCAGACACCAGCGTACGAAGTTCCTTGTTCAATGAACGTAGGACAGATGTTGGTGGAATCATGTCCAAAGATTCGTAAGCTGATGTAAAACTCCTGACAACTTTTATCGAGAGGTGCTCTTGGTCTGTTTGACACGCCACATCTTTTGCTTTAGGCGAGTATTTAGGAAGCACAGGTCTATTCTTGAAAATTGTAGGCTTGATACCAGGCGTTTCGGACCGGTCTGAAGTCGAAATAGCCGAGGGAGACGTGTCTCCTTGAATACTCAGCAGAGGGCCAGGAAAGGCGCCATTTCCTTTATCCTTGGCAGCGACGGTGGGTGTATGGGGCTCGTCATGAATCGTATGTAGGACTTCTATAGTGCTTGGGGTGTTGACCACTGTCGATGAGTATAATGCTTGCTCCAGCGACGGGAATGGTAGCGTGTCGTGTAGAATGTCATAATTATTGAAAAAGGTTGGCGAACAAGACTTTGAGGTGGAGTGCGACCTCGCTGTTTTCGTGGGTGGTGGGTCGGTTTCAAAAGTAGCTGATACTATGCTCAGGTCAGTCGAAGACACTTAGGGAATGGGTTATGCAGCCTCTCCGCGTACTATAGCCCTTCAGATGTATAGCTGTGAAAACACACGATAGTCTCAAAAACAGGACTATTTCCATTGAGAGCATCTAATTTAACCGACTCTCTATGGACGCGCGTCTGGTCTGAACACAATCGTGCATTTTCATGGCTCAAAACACTGTGCCACATCGTTGCGAGAGATCAAGCACTACGGGGAAGACTTACCGCGAGGTCGTTTCAGGGGCACGCGAGTGTTGTTTGGCGTCGCGGGTAGAGTAGTCTGCAATGGTGGAGAATAAGGAGGTGGTGAGCATGTTGGTTGCACATGCTCGAATTGATTTACAGGAACTTCGGGGGTTGTTGCGCGACCAATATTCCTGACGCCTTTATGACTATTCTCTGGACATTCTCGGCTTGAGGACAGAGCCTTCTGGGGATTCGAACAGTCATTCGGTTGTTCACCAATCCGACGCCAGTCGTCGAACACGCCCCCTTTCTCGCTGTAGGAGCGAAGTAGGTCAATATTCACTTCGCTCACAGAAACATCGCCTTGAAAACTCGTCAAGGCCTGTTGAGCATAACTGCTGTGGCCAACGAAAATGTCGAAAGTATGCGCGCAGGCAAGCGAACGAAGCAGAGTCAACAGATGTAGAGCAGTGCCCCCTAGGCATGGTGCATTCTCGGGCGCAATAGGCATCAATACACGACCCCGCTTGGGTTGACGAAACGGGACACGAAGACATTTTCTCGTGGACGATTTTCCATACGCTTCTTTCAGACACTGGCTAACGTCCTCCGAAGCATCGTCCAGGTTGACAACTGAAGAGCTCTCGGTCGCACAGGTACTTGGACAAGGGAGCAGAAAATGGTCGAGAGTCTTTCGACGTTTTGAGACTCGAATAGTGATACGAAGATGCAGCAAAATGTGAAGCCCTCTCGAGGAGTCCTTGCCGATCCAAAGAGTCAGCAGCGTAGGTGTTCCAGTAGGACATGGCAATCCAAGTGACGAGATCTGTGGACGCCCGGGGTCGGTCCAGACAACCAAGGCAGGCTCCTTGGAAATCCACTCGATCTCTTGTGCGAAAGCGATACCTGGTGGCGGCTCCATGAATAGCGACAAGTTAGGTTCGAGTTGTTGAGATTCCGGAGAGCTGTGTGTTAGCAGACGGTTAATAATATACTCACTCGAGTTGATACCCCAGCACTATAAGATCTGATGCTGGAACCCTCCCGCCCGGGCTTTGGCAAGATGGAGAACTCAGAGCAGCCCTGACTCTGCAAAGACAAACAGTCAGACTTTCGAATCTGACGATGGGGTTCCGCAAGAACTTCGCTACGGACTAACGAAGCCTGATCTGCAGTCGTGCTTGCGCAGAACGAAGACAGAACCTGGGCCGCTCACAGAAGTAAAGCGGAAACGCGCCCACCTCCAGCAAGAAGAAGTCGAGAATATTTCCTGACTTCTAAAGCGAGAGTCATGGGGTTCCGCGAGAACTCCTGCTACGGAAACGCGCAAGTGTCTGGTTCTTCGCTGTTGCGCGACTTGGGATCTAGCTCGGGCCGCTCACGGAAGTAAAGCGGAAACGCGCCCACGTCTGATCAGAAGGCGACTTGAAATAGCAGTTATAGTTTGGCGATCAAGCAGAGTGATGATGTGGTATGAAGGTGAAGATATGGGATGAAGATACAAACAACGTCGTGAACACTCGAGACAGAAACAAAGCTGGAGCGCCGACGACGCGTGATGCACGCAAGTCTTGGCGCGCGGGTGGGGACTTCGGATCGGCGCAAAGCACCCCGATAAGATCCCCACGAGCGATTCGTGCTTACATGCATAACCCAAGGCAGACCATATACCAAAGCAGGAAACGAAGACATATTTCACGAATATGCTATGCGTGAGATGTATGAGTAGTGCTGAGAGGCAAGGGAACTGAAATCTAGAAGCGCCGATTAGGTCGCGAAAGGGAAAAGAGGAGACATTCGGCTATCATGCAACAGCGTGTGACCGGCCATCAGGGTGTTGTTTTGGCGGGGTCGAGTACGTCTGAGATGAGCTGAGAAGCATATAAAGGATTCGCTCCGTTGTGAATTGCCCGAGAGACTCTTGCTTCATAGTCCCTTCTTGTTCCTGTTTGTAGTCTCTTGATTCGGCACTCGATTTCTGGCAACTTTACCACATCATTCATCATGAACAGTCCTCAGAAGGAGGCTGTAATTAAGTCTCAGACACACTCTCCTTTATTCAAACTACCGGGCGAGCTAAGAAACTGGGTCTATGACCTTGCTCTCACACCATCCACGTCCATTATTAATCCTAGTTGGGATACTACGATTGAGCCAGAACACCAGCAGATACCCAGCCTGGGTGTTGCTCTATTAAGAACCTGCCGTGCCATCTATCTCGAGGCGAACGACTCAATGGCGTTGAAGAAGGGGGACTTCGTATTCACAAGGGTCGCTTATATCCAAGCATTCTTTGCCAGGTTATCGCTAGCACAAGCCAGCCATATTCATCACATCACAATCGACTTCAGAGAAGCGGCATCGGGAGACACAGCATTGCAAAGCGAACAGAGCACAACCATTGCCAATGAATGGATACATTACTTCTGCTGTACACAAGGAGCACATATGCATATGATGGGCGCCTGGTGTGCAAATCTCAGCAGCCTCAAATCAGATATACCATATTTGCGCTCGTTATGCTTTGACCTGACTAACTGGCAACCCGACCACGCAGGTTCACGGCTGGGCGGTTGGAGATACTTGCAATCACTGCTTCGGAAGACACGAGACCTGGACTCCTTCACGCTCAGAGGCAAGTGTCTTGACAGTCGCTTCTGGAGCTCACAGCCAGTACCGTGGAGCCTGGGATTATGGATCTCTCCTGCTTTCGACAAAGACGAGTCGGTATTGGTCGATCTGATGGGGCAGACAGTTCGTATGGCGGGTGAAAAGGAAGTCAGGCTTATAGAATGGCACACTAAGGATGGTGTCACGCTGCTGGCGGTGCGTGTTGTTGAGGCGCGTAATGCTTGTCCACTGACGAGTGGTGAGCTCCACCTCTCGCGAGATGGGAGGACGTCGTGGGATTCCTTCCTTGAGTTCCAGGATGATCGAGTCGAGTCGACCAAAAGACGCAAGGCATCGCTGCCTGCTAGTGGCGCCATCTGGGATGGACTACCCACAATACAGGTTTAAGAGTGAGAGAAGCGGTAACATAACCAGAGACGGATTTTGTTCGTTTGAGATTTAATCCCAATGTCGTCTTATGATCGGACGTGCCGGATCCCAAGGCCCATGGATCTCGTTCTTGTATCTCTGCAATCCGATGAGCCACCAGCTAGTGATACCCATGGCGAGACACGTAAGAATACCACCAAGAATCGCACCGCCAACTCCAGCTTTCCAGCCTCCTCCTGTGATGGTGACGCAGAGTCCACCCCCTGCGCCGAGAACAATCAATGCAGTCAACAACAAGTGTCCTGTCCAGGATGCATGTCGAACATGCCGCCTAAAGACTGGGAACAGCCCGAATACCTCGATACTGAACAACGTCAGACTAAAGACTTCGTTTGTGTATTTAAGCCGCGAGGCTAGGACTGTAGAGGCCATAAGAGCAGCATTTGTGGAGAGAGAAGCAGGAAANNCCTAGTGGAGGTCGTAAGCGAAAGTCCATACGAAATGCACAGATACTTACTTCGCTTCTATACCAGCACCGTAGTCGAAGGTAAAGATGTTGATGATCAAGAGCCAGGTACTCATTGCCCAGATCGAGTCAGAAGATGTTGACAAGGTCAAAGACTTGAGGATGGGGCTTAAGCCTAGCAATGCACAATAGATCAAGATTGCGGACTTGGCGGTCGCCAGTCTTTCCTGGTTGCGAGGCGAGAGTGAAGAGGTCTGGCTCTGGAAAGGTGGGTAGTAGCTGTAGCTTGCGAATGTAGCAGCACCGTTAGGATGACCGGTGGTAGATGTGGTCGATGGTGAGCTCTCAGTCGCTGAGACTACAGACAGGGGGCGCGAGGTCGCGACACTAGAGATACCCAAACCAAGCTTAGCGTTGTCTGTCGCTATCGAAGTAAGATCTGTAGGACTCAAAGGTCCTTCCTGAATGCGCTGACTGTCTATGACAGCTTTGGACGAGGCAGTGGCCTCGGCGAGGGCAGCACGAGCAGCCTGAGCAGTCTCTTCTTGGCCTACCCAGTAGTCACGGGCGACCCAACCCAAGACGGTACCAAAGGTAGCCCAGCTTACGACAGATACAGGCGATACACGTTCTTGTTTAATGCCGACAAAGCAGCAGACGAAGATGATGACGGAGCCGATGTGTTGAACGATGACGGTAGAGTCTGCGACAAGCGGCCAGAAGTCATAAGGTCGAAGACGCGGGTTGCGCTGTAGGTGGTCTAAGAAGGTCTCTTCATCCGTGTAGTTGTCGGGATCTGAACGTCTCAGTGTCTGGACTATGGTATGTCGCTTCTCTTGCTGTCGCGCGCCNNTCATACATGCTTGTTTCACCCAGAGCAACTTTTTCCATGTGCGTGGTCTTCTCCGACTAGCATTCCGGCTTCCACGGTTCTCCCTCTTGCGCCTGTCTTCTGATGCACCATTCTTGCCCGTCGATCGATACGGTGGAGAGTATGTGAGGAAGGCGTCTTCCGGCCTCAGGTGAGACGAGGCAGATCTGGCGGTGCTTCTTCTCGATATGCTTGCGTCCGAAGCCGACGCGCTGACTGGAGCCTCAAATGGTGTCATGTCGGGAGACCATGTTGGATCTGACTTGATCTTCGAGAGCTCCGCGCCAGGAATGACCGCATCGTTGCCAACGTTGCTAACGATCATTGGCGCGGGTCCGTTTCGTGTTCGCTTCAGCGACCAAGAGCGAAAGAACGATCAACAATGTCTCGGTTTCAACATGAGACATCGTTTTCATCTTTTACGGCATCGTCGTAGCATGCCCATCTCTTTCGGTAATACAGGGAAGCCGAGCTTCGAAGACGCAAAACAATATTGGAGTTCATAGAGTCATTCAGGCACGTTGTCACCACCTCTCACTGGTCTCAACTCCAGTCTCAAGAGAATCTTGCATTTTCACGTCTGCATATGTAGCAGACCATGGCGCATCGCGAGAACCGCTTGACAGGCACGATCAACAGGCCCGGTTCGCTGACTAGTAATTGCCTCCTGAGCCAGTCGATCTCCTTCCTCGGTTTTGGGTTATTTTGAGCCTCTACACGAAACTTACTGCACTTTGATTCGCCAGAACAAGGTATGCGTCGCTATGAGTACGAGCAAAAAGACCTCTCAAGACGGGTCTTCCATGTCTCCGAATACTTGTCATGTCGACACACCTCTGTCTGTCGTTCTACAGTTCTTGTAATTGTCCCGACATTTCAGGACCAACGCTTCAGCCCTAGAAAGGACCGTGTGCTTTGCGAACCGATGTTCTCACCTCTTCCAGAATTCTTCAGCTCGCAAGCCTATCCACATCCACGTTGTCCGGTGTATATCATGTCTCGGAATACCTTCTCTCCAGGTGTCTTGCGACTCAATGACATGTGCAATATATACCATGACCCGAGCTTTCGGAGCTATCATATCAAATTCGATCATCATGTTGAGTTTGGTAAACGAACAACCACTTCTACAAGCTGCCCCTGGTTTCAATCAGTTGTATACAGGAACGGCATTCAATTGTCCCAGATGCCAACCGTTAACAAGCACAAAGCTCCTTGATGATCTGATCATTGGATGTGAGCCAGCATGACTCTTCTTAAGCAATCTCGTATGCCACGCCCAGTGGCTTGTGGCGTCAAGATTGGCTGGCCAAGGCACTACGGAGGAGGTGAGCGTTCACGTCAAGCTGTCAGCCCTGGNACGCTCGCTTGTGTCTCACCTACATTGCTATCGACACTGTTTTTTGCCAACGAGGCAAGGCATGTGGTGTAGAATGTCACCTGTCATTTAACCCTTTCCCGTCGAATACCCACACCCTGACCGCCAGTCCAGCAGCTTCTCAGAGTCTCACAGTGGCTGNNCAAGCTCAAAGTTTCGGTGAAGCCGGATGCATTGACAGGCCCCGCAATCGCATTGATGCCGATTCTGTGGTGCTAGTGTTTCGCGCTCCAAAACACTACTGACTCGAGCTCGAGGATAGAGTCACAAGATGAATAGGAGGGTATATCGGGAACCGGTATCAAGGGCACGAGCCCTTGGAGCAGTTTATTCTTGAGTTGAATTACCAAGCAGGAGCCAGATAGAGATCTCGGGCTTGTGGCGGCGTAGAAGACGGTTGTTTTAACCCTTGGGTAAGGGACGTCATGCAGCTCTTGCGCCGTGGTGGTTTTCGATGATTCAAGTTCGTCGCTGACGTTGACCTCTCTTTTTTCTTCTCTGTGTCTCTCTGTTGGCCGTTTTGTGGGAATTCACACCACTCTCATCTCACACGGTTCTGTCTGCTGCCAGTCCGCAACGAACAACCACTAACCAGTAGAGTCCGGTGTCAACAGCCGGGTTATTGCGGAGTTCAGCTTGATTTCCCGACACAGACCGCTACAACACACTGGTACCTAGACAACTAGCAGAAGCCCTCGGCAGTTGTTAATCGCACCGCATCTGCCTTTGTTCTTCTGTTGTATGTGGCAGTCGACCACTCCCATGCGTCTCGCGACATCAGAAGAAGCTGGACCCATTGGTGCAATATTTGATACTTGGTCAAGAACCTAGTATCAATGGACGACGAGTTCGCTCTTGAAGTCCTCCGACTTGCCGAAGGTCAAACGGTCGAAACCTTTGAGGAGGACTTGAAGAACCAAGCACAAACCCTCAACATCGACATTGCTCTGCTGGAAATCGCCCCCAGGACGAGGNNGAATTCGAAAGCGACATCGAGCTTAACAAGCTCGACACAGCCACGACGATCCATCTCTACCGGCTCGCAGGCTTCGCATTCTACAGACTTCACGGACGCGTCCCGCATCTCCAGAGACTGTCCCAATGCAAGGACTCGACAAGTCCGTGGGCGACGCAGTTCCGCCGCATCTACATCAATCAAAGACTACGACTCGATAGTCAACCACGCTAGGTTCGATTTCCGGCGCTCGTCATTCAACTTTGCGACGTCACCCATCATCTCGCCATCTCCTTCGACGTTCTCACTATCGTCCGTCTGGTCTCGATCAAGAGAGTCATCCCCCAAAAGACACATTATCACAAGAGGATTGAGCAGGTTGAGATTGAGAAGAACTGATTCAGGAGACTCGACCAGAGAGNNAAAAGAGTAAGCAAAGGCTCCTAAGCGAGAAGATTTGGAGTCTGATCAGATACACAGCGATTGCCCTCATTGCCCACAAGGCGGCTCCCGCCACCGCCGCACGCTGCACGCCCTGTCCTGTGGCCACCGCTATTGTATCCTCGCCCTGCGCAAGATAATCAAGGACTCGCTCAACGATGAGAACATACCGCCAACATGTTGCAAACGCCCAATACCGGGCAGCTTGGTCGCAAGCGTGATGAGTCATGAAGAGCAGGACGTTTTGATGAACATGCTGGTTGCTTGGGACGACGAGGCGACCACATCACCACAGACAATCCAAGAATCGGGAATCACATCACACCCGACGTCGTTCCCAAAGTCACGATCGCAGTCAAGATCACCAGTTTGTGGAGCCGAGGAGTTCCAAACTTCGGAGGAGAGGAGAAAGAATTTGGAAAAGGCAATAGAGATACCCGAATTCAAGCACCTAAGACAGGAGCAAGAACGACAACGAGATGGTCTGGTTGCTTGGGCTGGAAGAAAGAGACAAGGCGTCATCGATGGGTATGCAGTGCGCAAGCTACAACTGCTACCATACTTCGACCGCCAGAAGGATCAGCTTGTAGAGAAACAGGGCGCCGTAATCGCTCGCATAGAAGACAAGCATGTACTCGATGAACACGAGATGCGCGAAGGACATGAAGTGGAAACACGGAACAACGCGATTGCCCTCAAACACATGGAGGCATACTGTCGAGGAGAGACAACAAGCGGCGACCGCCACGACAGACTCATCACAGATCGCGACTTGGCCGAACTCACAAAGGCTAGACGAGCACGCGACCAGATGGAGGCGAAACACGACGGCGCTATCAGCGTGCTCAGAGGCGAGCAAAGCAGGCGCATCAGCCAACGATTGGTAAAGCAAGAGGAAGAGCTTGCAGAATTGGAAGCACGCCAACTCAAGGAGATTGAAAGTCTACAGCGTGAATGCGACGACATGGTACGCGACTGGGATGAGGAAATCCAAAAGAGACGCGCGAAGCTCGAGACATGGTGGAACATTGAAACGGAAATCTGGCGGAAGAAACACGAGCGAGATGCTGGCATTCTTTTCTCTGGAGAACTACCGTTGGTCCAGTGGCCACGTGCCGACACCACCGAGATCAACAAGAGAAGAGATCCGACTAAGAGGCATACTATCGCTGTGTCTCCAGCTCCTGGACTACAACCTGATGAGGGTCGATTTCGCAGTATAAGCCCTGCTCGCAAGCAACACCGCATCAGCACCGCATTCACCATTAGAAGTGGCATGATTGGTAAAGCCTGAAGTTTACGAGGAAGTTGTCTACATACCAACCACTTCTGCTCTACTTAATGTCTACAAGTCAATTTAACACCAACTCTACACATTGCTGAACAAAATATCGATCAGTGCTGGTGGCACAATCTGGGTACATTCATCATAATGGCAACATTCACTGTCTTGACAATTTTGATACGTGTGAGGGTAGTGCATTTCTTCTGTTTTCGTGCATAAGTCTGCACCTGCTCACCGACTCGGTAGATACACTGGTCCATCGAGGATAAATCTGCAAGCATCGTCGAGTGACATATTCCTGAGGATGTGCAAGATAGCATCACTCTCCTTGGGCGAACTTTTCCGTAGCAACGCCAGCACATCTTTATATGATCTGAGCTGCTCTTTTGTAGCTTGTTGTTGTGTCTTTCCTTCCTCGACAGAGTATTCGCACTCTGAGTTCTTCTCGACGCACATCTTACATGATGGCCGATCTCCATCGCANNCTGTTATAGAGATCAGAGTCAATAGGGTTGAGGACAAAGATGCTAGACTCGACAAGATACCCACCTTTGATTTTCGTTGTCGACATTTGAGACATGCGGCTTTGGTCTGTGTTCGCTTTGACTTCGGCGACTTTACTAATACACCGTATTCTGTGTGAGGTGAGAGTATCGGCGAGGTTGATATGCTTGTCTCGGAGGAGTGTCGAGATGGTGTTTGGGTATTCTCAATCGGATACTGAAGTATGCTTGCAAGATTCATTGTGAGAAGCAGACGACAAATCCCATCAAAGGAAGAGAAGGAAGAAGGAAGCAAAAGGTAGAAGCAACAGACAGGGAAAAGAACAAGAATGGGGTCGGTTCCACGGGTATGCACCCTCCTTATATTGAGTTGTTCTTCGGTCACCAAGTCCGTCGGCGGCGGACTTGAACTCCAGGAATCCCCACCTGCTTTTTCATTTCATCTCTGTACGAGGCTACAAGCAGGTGCCAATAGAGTTTGCAGCAAGGATCACAGATGGCGACCTTTTTGAGGAGGTACGGCTCGGTGCGAACAATTGACAGTTGCGGAAAAGCCTCCGTCTCAACAAGATGTCCATGGCTTCGAAAAAAGATCAAGTATAGACGGAGGTAGGTCCTGGGTTTCTGTAAGCATTTACCGCATTCAGATGTGGACTGACGCTTGCATGAGCTGTGTTGCATCCATGCAGAGCAACCAGAGCCTCAACCGTCAACATGACACAATCGTTTTCCTGATGTCCGAAGGGCAACGATCTTCTATATCAGCGACCACAACCCAGGATTGCTAATCAGATGTCCAAGGGGGGAGTACCAGATTGCTTTTGGATTGTGCTGCCTTGATATTGGTTGATTCTCTATGGGCCTTTTTGGCTGGCGTTCTGCCGAAATCCCCGATGATGCCAGGGCGAAGGCATACATGTACTGGGCAATCCCGAGCCCTTGCAATCACTTTCCTGCTGTGCCTCACACCTGTCGTCACATTTACAGATGCCAATGTGAAAAAGTCGCCCTTAAAGTGTTTGTCGGGCAACATTCATTCGGAAGGTGTAGAGTCCGAGGCAAATAGCCGTATAGACGAGCAGATACAGAATGCTCGGCGCATCTCGCCTGCAAGATCGCCGATTATAGAAAGCACAGGGAGGTTGGAAAGTATTCCCGCAAACATGACAACATGGTGGCATGTGCCTTGCTGCTCAGCTTCAGTTGTCTTAGCTGCACGTCGACCCTCTCCTCGTTCATGGAGCTGCACCGACGAATCTGCGATATTCGCGTAAATGCCAGTTCGCGAGATCTTGTGTTATAGGTGCCACTTTATAATACACCCTTCGACCGGACTACCTCCACGTAACAAGAGCAAGAACGACAGCGACTACTGGCTTGGCCTGGCTTGGCATGACCTCTGGCGCCATGTTCATTGTATATGCAATATGCTGTTATAGAGGAGGATGTTCGGTCGTCGATTCTACGGTGCGGACGCCCTCGTCTCGGACGTGAATCCGAGCTCTATGACAAATTCAGCATCACTGCATGTATACATGCATGCGCTTTTGTCCTCTGTTATGCAAACCAGGTATGCAAGTACCGGGGAAACTCGACTCAAGCAGTCTGAACACCTCAGGCCGAAGGTGGAAGTGCTATATATGGAGGAGGAAAGGTAGCGGAAACCTTCCGCATACGGTCTTCCCGCCGAACATCAATATCGCATGCGGTTTACGTGCTCCGGGCCTCGGGTAACGTGCTTCTGCCCAATCCTTCGGACCTGCTACACAAGAACTTGATAGAGCACTAAGAGATATTTCTACTACGTCTTCTACGAAAAACGATACTTATCTCCACCTGTGAGTGACTCTTTGGAAAGACTCAGCAATGGCGACAAGGATACGTTTGACTTCGTCCGTGGTGCGGGGACTCCGCCCTCGTCGTTCTCCAACGATAAGCCGTCCACAACAACGATTCAATTCTACGAATACTGGATCTATCGACCAGGCTCCTTTCTGGACTACCAACAAGGTGTTACTGCTGAGTGCATTCACCGGAGCATTGGCGTATACATACGGAATCTATGATGCTGGAGCAACTTACAAGAAAGATGGGGTAAACGCCTCTCAAGTACCGGTATATGCGAAGAAGACAGAGTGGGAGAAGGTAACCATCTTGGCTGTGGTATGTCTTATACGAATTGTGCTGATAAAGTATAGNGCAATTGAAGAGGTCCGGACGAAACTTGGTGAAGACTCGATTACTACCGATGATGATGAATTGCATCGACATGGATACTCGGAGTGGTCGACTATCAATGTTGATGTGCTTCCCATTGCTGTGGTGTATCCCAAGTCTACAGAAGAGGTGTCAGAGATTGCCAAAGTGTGCTATAAGCATAAGATCCCGATAGGTGAGGGATACTATGCTATGCTTATGATGTATCATACTGATCTTGTTCTTNNAGTCCCATATTCTGGAGGTTCAAGCTTGGAAGGTAACTTTTCAGCCCCGTACGGTGGCTTCTGCATCGACTTTGCCTTTATGGACAAAATCCTCGCCTTGCATGATGAGGACCTAGATGTAGTGGTCCAACCCTCAATAGGCTGGATGAAGCTAAACGAAGACATAAAGGACTCGGGATTGTTTTTTCCGGTCGATCCTGGTACATAAGAACCCAGACATTACCCCAGGGATGTGCTAACAGTATCTATGCANGGCCCCAGTGCTATGATTGGCGGAATGACAGGAACGAATTGTTCAGGTACAAACGCCGTACGCTACGGAACCATGAAGGATAATGTCCTCAACTTGACAGTCGTCCTCGCCGACGGCACAATCATCAAGACAAAACGAAGACCCAGAAAGTCTTCTGCTGGCTACAACCTCACAGGAATGTTCATTGGCTCTGAAGGCACCCTTGGTATCGTGACGGAAATCACACTCAAACTTCAAGTCATCCCTCAGGAAACAAGCGTGGCAGTGGTAACATTCCCTACCATCCGCGATGCAGCCAGCGCAGCCTCTCGAGTCATCAAAGCTGGCGTGCCAATCGGCGCAATGGAGATCATGGATGAAGTTCAGATGAGCGTGGTCAACAAATCAAAGTCAACAAAGAAGGTCTGGCGCGAAGTACCCACCATGTTCTTCAAGTTCTCTGGCACCAAATCAGGAGTAAGAGAGAACATTGATCTGGTCAAGAAACTATCCAAACAGTGCAAGTCCATCGATTTCGAGTTTACTGCCGACCCAGAGGAGCAGAAGAAGCTTTGGTCGGCGAGAAAGGAATCTTTGTGGTCGATGTTGTCGTTGAGGAAGGGCGACGAAGAAGTCTGGTCGACCGATGTTGCTGTCCCTGTGTCCAGGCTGGCTGATATCATCGAAGTCTCCAAGCGCGAGATGGACGAATTGGGTCTCTTTGCATCCGTTCTTGGTCACGTTGGTGACGGCAACTTCCACGAAGCAATCATGTATGACGGCAAGAACCCCGAAGAGAAGAAGNNAAAAGTCGAAGAGTGTGTCACCAGGATGGTAGACAGAGCATTGGAGATGGAAGGAACATGCACCGGTGAACACGGCATTGGATTGGGAAAGAAGAAATCGCTAGTCAAAGAGCTGGGCTTGGACACCATCGGTGTGATGCAGAAGGTCAAACTTGCATTGGATCCGAACTGGTTAATGAACCCAGGAAAGGTGTTTGATCATCCAGCCGAGACTAATCCTAAGGGAACCTAGATGAACACAAACATTGCACAAGCACGAGTTGTAAAATCACCAGACGAACAAAAGCAAAAAGAAAGTGATTTCAAAGATCTCGAGTGTTTTCAAGGGAGGAAGTGATAACTCACAGTGGGGGTCGCGAATATTGAACAACTAGACATGTTTCATTCAGCAGTGAAGGCCTTGTGTTTGCAAGTCATCTCTAGAAGAACGATCAGTCGTAGCCGCTCCCAGTGCGCGCAGAATCAACCATTCTTGTGTTTGCAAGATCAGGTGCAGAATCCGCTGCTCCGGGCTGGCGAGTGGGCTAGGTCCCTGGACCTCTGCTGGTTAGGCTAAACAAGGGGCGAGAAATCACCCACCCATGAAGTTACGAAGACACAGTTAGCCGACAGGAAGACGCCTCTATCTTAACCTCACCACAAGGAGATTGTGACTAGGGCCACGGACGTTCTGAGAAAGTAATGTTAGCAGATGCAGAGATTCGAACTCGAGATCTTTGAAGGGAATTAACGAATGGGCTAAAGGGGAGGGGATGGAATAAGGGGCAACAGGTAGGAACATATGGGCTAGAGGACTCAGAAGTGAGACCGAGGAGTGGAGTGAAAGTGAAAATGAAAGTGAATGTGAATGTGACTGCAACACGGCCAAGCTTTTTCGATGCGAGAGCCTTGAGTGCACTTTCTTTGGACAGGCACTCTCTTCTTTAGATTAAGCATTGTACAATCGATGGTCTGAAAGTAACTTAGGGAGCACAGAGTGGTACAGCTGCGGGAGGAGCTGCATCTGCTTCATCAAGCGATATCTATCACGAGAGAAGCACAGTGCAAAGAAGGATTGAATTGTTGATCAGAAAGAGTCATTTTCTCATATACTGTGGGCTGTGGCCGAAAGACATATCCAACTACCGTACTTTTTGGTTTCGCCGTTCAGATCGGCAGCCTTGACTTCTCTACTCTTCTGGATCTTCTGCTTCAAGTTCAAGACCAGAGCTTGCACCTTTGCTTTGATTGCAACAATACCTGCAGGCTCGACCTCATCTGCGGCGACAAAACGGCGCACGATCAAATTGAAGATACTACCAAATGCCATGGCCATGACGGTACTAGTCAAGATGATGACATTGTACGGCATACTGAAGTCTGGGGTCGGGAGTGGCAGGAGCATAGAAGTGGTGCGTAGATATACAGGAGTGCTGTGATCTCCGTTGGTCGAATTGGTAAGCAGTTTGACTATGGAGGGTGCAACATCAAAGCCGCGATTGGCGTCAGGGGGATATTCGGTGTATCGTAAAATGGCCTTTTCAAAGTCGTAAGTCAGAACCAAGGAGGCGCCGGCGGGAACATGGAGGCGTAGCTCGAGATGAGTACCTCTGGCACGGTCAATGGCAGGCCTGTAGAAGATCTGCTGGATTGATGATGGTGATGGCGCAGAGTTGATGGAAGCGTGCAGAGTGTGTAGATATGGTTTCATGAACCACGGCAAAGACTCGAGATAGACAAGATCGACAGAATCGGTAGTAGATGGATTGGTAAGGATGACACGCATACCACCTCGCTCCTGACCGTAGCCGACCATGGTTCGTTCTGCACGAAGGCGGGGTTGTTCAAGAGTAGAAGGCGAGATCAAGGGTTGCTCGCCCAGTGCGATATCGAAATCACCGGATGATGGAAGAACATAGCGTACAAGACCATCCTCGGATTTGTGCTCACTGTAAGCCTCCTCGGCGATGATCTGAATATCTTGACTGGGAGCGGCGTGCAGTGTGACTGACTCGGGAGAGGCACCTTCGTTGACATGACAAGAGCCACGAATAGGACGACCGAAGACCTTGCTCAGAGTCCAATCACGCTCGGTGGAACGTTCGCGTGGGTAACAGGTATCGTGACTGTTGTACCATTTGTCGGAGTCACAGGCAATTTCCTCAACTGGTGGAGGCCTGGGAATGGGATCATGCTGAGATCGCATAGATCGGTCAAGATCCAGAACCATGTCCACTGTTTGTTCAATCTCCAGCAAGCACTCGCTTCCATCGGCAGGGCATATAGGGCGCACATCGATGGCCATTGTCTGCCAGGAGGCGTCAAACAGCTTGTGTCCGTCTAGCAGAGTCGCAATGCCAGCCTTTCCCTTGCACGGGAGAAGCTTCAAGAAGGGCGTCAGGTTCTCGGTGCAGACGACTTCATGAGGCAGGGCGCCATGCAGCAGGTGCAAGCCAGATGTGTTTTTGTGAGAACCCTCCAGATCAAAAGTCATTGCTGGGCGGATGGTCTTGGTCGAGTCGATGAAGTTGATCGAGGCACAGAAGAGACCAGACAGAGCATTGCTCAGAGTCAACCAGCGAGCATTGGCTTGTTCGTGAGAGTCTGCCTCGACCCAGGCCCACAGCTCGACACCAGTGCCTCCTTCACGGCGGCCATGTCGCGGTCGTTGTCCCCAGTTTTCCGAGTCCCAGCGACCAAGACTAAAGCGGAGATGGAGTTCCCTCGCATGCGTGTGTTGCAGGATCTGACCCAACGAACGTGGGAACAGGCGGTAGTTCTGGGCATCGAAGTCGGACTTGGACGTGTTGGCCTTGAAGTTGAAGGCGGCCAGAAGTTGAGATTGAGGAAGCGGATGCAGCTCCAGCTGCTCGGTATATTGCCCTTCAGCCCATGGTGCAAACAGGCACAGCAGCGACAGAGCAAATACTATCACGAGCATGGCGGCCTCATGGCGTAAGTTGAAGATGTAAAGGGGGATACCAAGTCAAGCATACATGTGCCAAGACGTCGTTCAGCGCGGAGCGGCCGCTCTCTCTCTTCCGCTTTTGCTGGCTCTCTCAGAAAGCTTTCCATCTGTATACCACCACGAATACGACATCGACCATCTTGCAATACCCTTCATTTACTCTTACGACTGCTTTGTCGCCTGAACCTCCACATCTTCGTCTACAAATCACGCTTGCGACATAGCGCATACTCAACATGGCAGCCGAGCAGAGAAAGCTGCTGGGTACGCTCTCACATGATACATCTCTACTTCGGAAACATTGCTGACACGTCTGTACAGAGCAGCTCATGGGCGAGCAGTTGCTGGCTGGCCCTGGCGCATCGCGCGCTCCTCAGTTGTCCATCACTGATCCAAAGGTGTGCCGCTCCTACCTTGTCGGCACCTGTCCTCACGACCTGTTTACCAACACCAAACAAGATCTCGGTCTGTGCCCAAAGACCCACAGCGAAGCCCTGAAGTCCGAGTACGAAAACGCAGACGACCAACAAAAGCGCAAATGGGGCTTCGAGTTCGACTACATGCGAGACATGCAGAAATACATCGACGACTGCAACCGACGCATCGACAGCGCCCAGCGCCGCCTGGAAAAGACTCCTGATGAGATCCGCCAAACAAACGCTCTCTTGAAACAGATTGGCGAACTCTCGCGCAACATCGAGGATGGTCTGGTCGAAGTCCAGATTTTGGGCGAGTTGGGCAGTGTCAACACGGCCGTCACAGAGTACTTCCGTATCAGACAGCAAAAACAATTGAAGGAGGATCGCGAACGTGAGCTCAAGGCTCTATCCGACACTTCGGGCCCCTCCGGTCACCAGAAGCTTCAAGTTTGCGACGTGTGCGGCGCATACCTGAGCAGGCTGGACAACGATCGTAGACTGGCGGATCACTTCTTCGGAAAGATGCATCTGGGTTATGCCCAAATGCGCAAGACGTACCAACAGCTACAAAAGGACCTTCAAGGCCGACAACCGCCGATCCGTGACGAGCCTTCTGGTCCCAGGGGTGGTTACGATGACAGGGAGTACGGCGGTCGCAGCGGTGGCTATGGCGGCAGACGAGGCGGAGGCGGTGGTGGCTTTGGGAGAAGGGGAGGCGGTAGATGGTGATGATTCTATTGGGGTACAAAAGAAGACGACAAAGACGAGGATGCATTACAGCTTGGTCGGTGTTTTTGGCGCAATACCCAACATGAGGCATGGCAGCGAGGCGCTGGGATGGTCAATTGTCTTTTTACATATACTCCCTCTGCTTCCAAGGGAGCAGAATTACTGAAACCGATGCAAGTCATGAAACAAGACAACACACTGCTTGTTGTTCAATTGAGTCAATAATGCCAAGGAATAAAGGGTGGACAGCGTCATTCGGAATTGGGCTTCTGGGCTCACGGCCGAGGGGCAGCTTTGATTAATCGTTCATCCTTGTCCCAGATTAAATACACAACACTTTGATTTCACAGCAGTATCCCTCAGTGGTATCGCAGACGCAGTAACATCTACTTTGCTGGATCAAACCATCGTCACCACACTGCACACGACACTCCCCTAAACTCCTCACAACCACCGCCATGTCGCGGAGACCCGCCGGACCCGATAGGACGATGCAGAACCAACAGACGTTGAAGAGCTTGGTCAAGTTGGAAGGAAACAAGAGCTGCGCAGACTGCAAGAGGAACAAGCGTACGATGTTTGAACACTGTAACGATGTGTGGAAGCTGACAGCTGTCGACAGANNTCCGAGATGGGCCAGCTGGAACTTGGGCATCTTCATCTGCATTCGGTATGCAGTCACCACTACCATACGTTCAGACGCTTGCTGACAACCCCCGNNTAGATGTTCTGGCATCCACCGTGGTATGGGCACACATATCAGCAGAGTCAAATCTGTCGACCTGGATTCTTGGACCGACGAGCAGCTTCAGAGCATGCTGAAATGGGGCAACACCAGAGCCAACAAGTACGAATTCCGCATGTTGTATCGCGGAAAGTTTCTGATCGCCAATTCATAGNNGTACTGGGAAGCAAAGCTCGCGCCTGGTCACGTTCCAGCCGAAGCGTACGTACCTTACAGGACGTCCTATTCCGACTCTAATGACTAACATGCATGCAGTAAGATTGAGAACTTCATCCGCACCAAGTATGACTCGAAGAGATGGACTATGGACGGCCCCATCCCGGACCCCTCGACTCTGGGAAGCGAGGGTGGGGATGAAGACGTGGTAAATTCAGACTGACCCTCTACCGGTTCAAAGCCACTAATTTGAAGGCAGCCTCTCAGCGTAGTTCAAGAAAAGGCGAAGCTCGATCGATCTGCTTCAATCAGAAACGCTTCCATGAGTAGCGGACCTATTGCTCCACCTGCAGCTCCCAGACCTGTCGCTCCAGTTATCGATCTGTTTGGCGACGACCCGACACCCGCCCGCGCCAGCACTGCCGAACCTTCGATCTCTTCAAGACCTCCTCCACAACAAAAGGCCCCTGCCGCACCTCCTAAGCAAAATCGTCCTGGCGACTCTCTACTTGGTCTCGACTTTTTCGGAACCAGCCAGTCTGCACCTCCAGCACGCCCAGCTAGCGCTGCTTCAGGAGCTGCTACTCCTGGGAGCAACCCACGATCAGACTTAAAGCAGTCCATTCTGTCCTTGTACGCATCTGCACCCAAGCCTGCCCCAGTGCAGCAACCTCAGTCTTCCTCGAATGCTTTTGGTGGCTTTGCCTCCCCGCCGATGCAGTCTCCCGCTGCTTCGACATCCTCGTTTGGTGGTATGGCTGATGCCTTTGGCGGTTTGAACTTTGGTGGCTCGCCCGCTCCCCAACAGCAACAACAGCAACCCAAACCCTCTGCCTTCTCGAACCTGACCTCCCCAGCATCACGTCAAAGCTCTCTCAGTGGTGGCAGCTTCTTCGATGCTAAGCCCGCACCGCCACCGAAGCAATCCGCTGCACCTGCCCCCAAGCCGCAGCCAGCTCACATGTCAAGTGGTTTTGGTGACTTTGGTGATTTCACATCCGCGCCATCGCCTGTACCAGCACCCATGTCCACAAGGTCGCCGGTTCCTGCCAGCTCCGGTATGGGAGACTTGTTCGATATGGGTGCTCCTGCACCTTCGAAGCCGGCAACTTCAACCTCTGCTTCTGCCTTCAACTTGTCGACTCCTGCCCCGTCGGCCAAGCCTGCACCCGTACCCGCTATGGGCGGTCTTGATAACATGGACGCTTGGGGCTCGAATAACGCTTGGAGTACCCCTGAATCAGCAGCACCTGCACCACCCACGACTTCCTACAAGGCTCCTGCTCCAACCACTACCTCGTACAAGGCACCTGCCATGACCAGCGTGTCGAACGACGATGACTTTGGTGGTTGGGGAAGCAACGAGGGCACTTCTTCTAGCAAGCCTACCGTCAGCCAGGATGATGACTTTGGTGGCTGGAGCAGTGCACCTGCGCCTGCTGCCTCTACATCTAACAACAAGGGTCCAACCACAGATGATCTTTTTGGTAATGTCTGGGGTTAAAGAAAGCAGCATTAGTAGTACTGGCAGAAAGCAAAAACAGCATTGAAGACCTTGATGGTCAGGATTGAATACAGATGTTCCTCTGCCTAATATACAAAATGAAGAAGATATCTCAGAACTTTTGACCTGAATTAGTGATACATGCCCAGCAGATATTGCTGTTGTGGTGACTTCGTGAAGTATGATGAGGATGTGGTAAAAGTGACATGCCCATGATTCCTCTGCATGTTTTCAAACATTGTCGACTCGTCTCGGCGCCAGTACTCTGCGGATGGACCGACCTGTCGCTGCGATGTAATGCAGCCAGCCATATATGTAGCCACGATAGGTAATCCGGCTGCTTTAATCAAGCCCCCTTCCATATGAATCTGGGCGAGTATATGCTCCCAGTCCAGTGGGCGCGTGACGCTACTCTTCTTGCATCCAAGAGTACTTGGCCATTACAGTTGCGTTGTGAGAATCGTATCAACGAGGTGATGTAAGGCTCAAGCAGCCTTGGGGCCTCCGAACACCCAGCCGCCGACCCAGTAAAGGACAAGGACAATGGCGATGAGAATTCCGGCGAGCTTGAGGATGGCGACTTTGTTTCCTTGTTGTGCCATACGTGTCAATCTTCCAGCACTACCCTGCAAGCTGTTTGAGAAGGTAGAGAAAGCATTTGNTCTGTAGCCAGGTATCAGTCGGGTTGTAGACTCGGGCAATCAGGGGTGAGAGCGGCGTACGGAGGAATCGATGACGCCCTGGTCGCGGGCATTGTCGTAGATGTCGATGGTGACGCCGCGCAGAGCGGACACCTTTCCGGCGAGGTCGTCCAGTCGCGAGTTATTTTGGCTTTCTCGATGTCAGTAGGTGTGCATGGGGAGCAGCAGGGAAGGGAGGTGTGTCTACCGTTCACGCTCGTAGGCTTCGGACATTGTGGCGATATCTCAGAAGGACCTTGTGGGTATTGATGGTTGGATTGCGACGACTGAGGCGTAGCAGGGTAGGCAGATGCGATGGATCCCAGGAACAAAGAATGGATGGTTAGACGAAAGTCGCGGCCTTCGGGAAGTTGTTGCCGGTCTGGGGTCGGCGAGCACGGACAATGACGACGATTCGTTCTTGGTGGGGCTTCCGCCGAGCTATGCCATGACTTGCCCGAGTCCGACTGACTTGAATGCCTAACACTCTTTCTCGTCTCGTTGCGTCCGTCGTCGATTCTTCCTTGTGCAAAAACCTGGGTTCTGTCCTCGTCGCCTAGTCCTCTCCCATCTCTCGACCTTCAATCTCTCACACGATTGCCATCCCGACTGCCCAACATGCCGCTCATCAACAACCCGCTGCCCTCTTCTATGAAGAGTAAGTCGCGCTCGCGTACTGCTTTCCTATGTTCAGCTGCTGATCTCCTGTAGGCNGAGTGCAAGAAGACTGGAAAGATCCTCGCGTCCTTCATCGACCCAAAACAATCATTCGGCCCCGACAAGATCATCCCACCCCAAATCCTCGCAAATGCCAAAGGTCTCGCCATCATGACCGTCTTCAAGGCAGGCTTCCTTGGTAGCGCTCGTTTCGGCTCCGGTGTCCTAGTAGCCCGCCTGTCAGACGGCACCTGGTAATTCACCTCCTCCTCGCTTTGTCATCGACTCTCGCTGACATCAGCTTCAGGNTCCGCTCCTTCCGCCATCGGTACTGTTGGTGGTGGCTTTGGTGGTCAGATTGGATTCGAACTCACCGACTTCGTCTTTATCCTCAACGATGCTGCTGCTGTCCGTACCTTTGCTCAAGCCGGCAGTATCACCCTGGGAGGCAACGTCTCGATCGCCGCCGGTCCCGTCGGTCGCAATGCCGAGGCCGCTGGCGCTGCGTCGCTCAAGGGTGTCGCTGGTATCTTTGCCTACAGCAAAACCAAGGGCTTGTTCGCCGGTGTCTCTCTGGAAGGCAGTGCCATGATTGAGAGAAGAGATGCAAACGAGAAGATGTACAACCGTCGCGTCACTGCCAGAGCCCTGCTCGAGGGTGCCGTTCCCGTTCCGCCTCAGGCCGAGCCTCTGATGCGCGTCCTCAACAGCAGAGTCTTTGCCGGAGTCGCTGCCCAGCAAGGCGACGCCATGTACAACGACATCCCAGTCTACGATGAGTCTCACGACGATGTCATCTGGCAGGGCAAGAGAGGTTCCGCTCACGGTGAGGGTGTCCGTTCCGACCGTACAGGCGCTGCCGGCGGCTTTGGAGCTCCTTCACGTGCCAGTACATGGCAGGACGATGTCTATGACAGACAACCCAGCTTCGGATCGCGCGCCAACCCTAGCGAAACATTCGATCGCCTGGAAGCCTCTCGCCAACGCAGTAACAGCGCATATGCCGATCAGGCAGAATACTCGTACTCTGACCGCAAACCTTCCAGACCTAGTGCTCCTAAGCCAACTTTTAGCAGCGCTAACACCTCAACCCCCAAGCCTGGTCAGGCCATCGCAAAGTTCACCTTCGATCCTGATCAGCCTGGAGACTTGGGTTTCAAGAAGGGCGATATCATTACCATTGTCAAGAAGACTGATAACAGCAATGATTGGTGGACAGGCAGAATTGGCACAAGGGAAGGCATTTTCCCCAGGTAAGTTGTCGTCGTTCCGCAAGCTGTTGGACGAAACTAACAATGATGTGCAGCAACTACGTTGAACTTACCTAAACACCGCCTCTACGTCCGACACACGCTTCTGTGCAAACCCGCCCTTCCCTTCTAGTTATGGATATGGTGCCTTCTCTTTCTTTCTTGTTTCTTGATTTGCATAGCGCCGCGTGCACGGCGTTCGAAGGTGGTTTCTCTGGGTCCTGTTTCTTCTGTTATATACCTTGATGTACAGACCGCTTCTTTCTACATACATAGTGAAGAGTTGGTCATTTTCTTCTTCGCACCATGTCGGCTCAATTTCCCGACTAATCTCCACTTCATCCCCAAGGTCAAACAGATTAACCGCTTTTCCAAGCTGCATGAAAGCCTGGTTCGAGACCGACTGACTTCCAAACCCACAACTCGATGTTTCAATTTGGGTTCTGACATGTGTGAAGCGTTCGCACCAACCCCACGCCAGTACCCGGGGCGCCTACGGGCCGATCGTGTCACTCCTTGCGGACCGTTGTCCATCAATCTCTCGTGAGTAAAAGCCATGCTCTGTTTCACGGTGTGCAATTTCAGGCATCTGTCTCTACAAGCTAACAGTAGGGTCGCAAAGAGAAGACACTAGGTCGCCCCTCGATCACAACATGGCTCACTCGTTGCCTTGACGGCTGTGGTCTCAATCTCCTCAATATCCGATCTGTTGAGGTAGTGACTTTCCTAGGCATTTCACAAAGATGATACGTGTGGACAGGCATGGCTTTGACATTGAGAAGGAAGGTCAGGATATCGGACCGCGAACAGAGACGGTGTATGGATTCCTCGTCGTCCAGCTCGCAAATCAACAGATCGGAGANTGCGACATGTCGAACCCGGACATGAGNATTTTTCTGCTCCTGCATGCAGATATCGAGTTGGTCGCTGCAGGTTGCGCCACGAACCCCTTCACCAAGCCTGTTAAATGTCGAAGAGGTGGAAATGTGNNGGTCGCACGTCAATCGTTTCTGGGCATGTGGGGTCCCGAGAAACTGGGGGANGCTCATCTTTTGTGACGGCGTTTCGCGGCTNNGCACCGTCCTTCATCGATCCATGACCTCCCAAAGGCACGCAATCCATAGGGAGACAGGGGATATCGGGTCCTTGCTTCTCTGCAGCCCTCACCGCTCCCGGTGCCAACGGTGAGAAGCCACATGACTGTGTTACGANNCACATGGAAGGCCTAGGTAGCAACAATTTTTTTCTTTTACCCTGCCATGCATGAACGAGAAGGGATGATGATAAAGGGAGTAAACCCTACCTGGAGCTCAGAGATCCCTCTGCTTTCTTCTGGTCTCAAGCCTCCTTGATCAATCACATTCACTGCACATACCCGTCCTGCTCCCGTCTGTTCTGATAAGCTGACCTGAGCCACTACTTCTATTCTTGACACATCCCTAATCTTTCATCTTGTTGATATCTTCAGGCAACTTGTCACAAACTGCGTCATCTCGTTCGACTGAATCTCTTGAAAGAAGCACATAGAAGTGATAACCAGTGCCCTAGCGCTCGTGTTTGATCGGCTCAATACCAAGCTGTTGCAGCACAGCTCTGAATAGGTATATCTTCTCTTACCCATGGGTATTTCCTCATAAGCCCGTCATTGACCGTCAATTGAAGTTCCAAGCTCTTCCGCTTCCTGCCGTTGATTGTCCGGCACTCACTTGCACCTTCCACTCGGGTTGAAAAAAGAAGACAGCAAACCGCCAAAGTTTACTTTAAGCGTCACTCGTTCCTGCCTCAACTTCCTCACTCATCACTTCCTGCCCTTCAACTTGAACGCGACGGCACCCTCCGCCCTCCTAACTCCCGCGTGTATATAACGTGGTCGCCGAGCCAATTCCTCCCTCGCTTCGACCATCCACTCCCTACTTTGACGATCTCACACAAGTTCATCAAAGTCTTTCTACCTTTGATAATCTACTTGATCCTTTCTACTTATACCTCTTCCTTCGTCACAACTTCCAACACTCGATAATATGGCATACTTGTCGACGATGCGCACTTCTGTTCTGCGCGCCGCTCGCCGTAAATCGGTTCAAGTCCCCATGACGCCTCTCTCGAATCGCACGTTCGCCTCGAATCGTGCTCTTGGCGATGAGAAGTCCATCAACGTCGTTTCCTACTCGAGGTCTGGTCAGCGCGAGCAGGAGACTCTTTCGGTCCCCACTGCCAGCGAGCCTGTCAATCCTCCTGGCCAGGACATCGAAGTCGCTGCTCAACCTCTCAAGCCTGAGCTCATCCAGGCCCTCCCTCCCACGATGCAGAAGTTTACCCTCCTCGGCAAGGTCGCTGTTATTACCGGGTACGATCGCTTCACTTCACTTTTCACTACGCACGTTACTGACTATTACTCACAGCGGCGGCCGCGGCTTGGGATACAATATGGCTCAGGCCCTCTCCGAAGTTGGTGTCAAGGGCATTGCCATCTTCGACGTCCAGCAGGAGCTCGGCGAAAAGTCTGCCCAGCAGCTCTCTGCTCAGACTGGTGTCGATGTTCGCTTCTACAAGGTCGACGTTCGTGCCGAGCCCGCTATTCAGCAGGCTGTTCAGGATGTCGCTGCCCACTACGGCCAGATTGATATTCTCATCAACGCCGCTGGCATTGCCGAGTAAGAATACATCCTTCATACCCTTCCTCACTCATACTGATACTTCCCAGCNTCCAATATCAAGGCCGAGACCTATCCTTCCGACAAGTTCCGCCGCCTCCTCGACATTAATATCACCGGCACTTTCCTCGTCGCCCAGGCTGTCAGTCAGCAGATGATCAAACTCAACACTGGCGGCTCCATGATCAACATCGCTTCGATGTCCGGTACCATCGTCAACTACCCTCAGGAGCAGTCCGGCTACAACTGCTCTAAAGCTGCTGTCATCCAGCTCACCAAGTCGCTCGCCGCCGAGTGGGCTCGCTACAACATTCGCGTCAACTCCATCTCGCCCGGCTACATGGACACCGCTCTCAACCGTGTCCCTGCCCTTGACGCCCAGAAGCGCATCTGGATGGACAACACTCCTCAGAAGCGTCTTGGTGCTGTTGACGACCTTAACAACCTCGCCGTCTACCTCGCTTCTCCCGGTTCCAGCTACATGACCGGCAACAACTGTCTCATTGACGGTGGCTACACTCTCTGGTAAACACTCACGCCTAATGTTTCTGATTTCTCAGCGCGGCATTTGTCATTCTCACCGGCGAGCTCACGCATCTTCACGGCGTTACAAGGCGCGTATATAGGAGGCATTGATATTCCTTTCGGCGGCATCTGATGGTTGCTTTTATACCCATGCATGGCGGTATACTATGGGTTAGATCGGAGAATGATATTACACAAGGGACTGGTAGAAGGACGTCCTGTTAGCTGTTACAGTGCTCTACAACAGGCGCACGTTCGCCTTGCTCAAGAATGATACCATCTTGCTGAGTCTTCTTCTCCTCGTTCGTGTCCGACAGTGATTATGCACATCTTCTCGTGTCCTCGTTCCATTTGTCATCCATACATCGTGCCGAAAGCATGATATCTACAGTACGGGAGTCTCTTTCTACCTTTCTACTGGGTTATGAACCACTTGTTGATCTCTTCGCAGCAGATTACATGAATGTAGAAACATCGAATCAACGTTGAGAACATGCTCACCGTGCCAGGGTGAGACTCTTAACAACCATTCCCAGCCAACTTTTCTGCATCACAGGTTCTTCACAGATAGTTTGCAGCATACAAGCCTATGATTGAATAGCTTGTGCCCTTTCGTGCTCGACTGGTTAGTTATTAATTGTTTACCTGTGTGGTTGGGTGGCAATGCTGAATTCTTCAATTCGCTCCTAATTGTTCTAGTGTTTCAATACTAATACTGTAGTTTAATGCTTATATTCCCTAATGAGTTCGTTGTATAGTCAAGTGATAGGCGCATAGGCTCGTGCACACTCTCCTCTCTTGTAGAGCCATCCTTTGTCATTTGTAGACACCTCTAACTACTACCGCGGTCTACCATACTTTGATGGATCACGCTTTGCCCACTGCAACATGTTAGATTATGAAAGATCAAGACGTAGTGCCAATCCATCCTAAGGCGAGATGGCCGAGCGGTCTAAGGCGCCAGCTTAAGGTTTCAATCCAATACGCTGGTCCGAAAGGGCGTGGGTTCAAATCCCACTCTCGTCAACATATACTTTTTGTTTTTTGTTGGCCTCATCTTTTCATCACACAGGTCAAAGGTGATGAGGTAGTGGAGGAAGAAAGGAAGAGAATGATCGTTCAGCCGTCTCACCCTTTTTTTTCCGTTCGTCCTCCACACATGATGTCTTGGATGATGGTGAGGTTTGGAATTCGCCGAGTACGTCGACCGAGAGGACAAGGCAGATCTCGAATTGTTTTTCACAATCAAGGGTGCCAGGAAAGGGTGACTTGAGGTATACATACACGACCAATGAATCGAATCGAGAAAAAAGAAACACACACATGCTCTATTCCAGCCATGCTCCAATTGTGATTGTTTTAAAAGAAAAAGTTCTCTTTCGGTCTATTCAATTGCTTTTTTGTATGGGAAAAATCAACTCCAGAGATATGAACCCCTTCTTGGGGACACAAAACAAAAGAACCAAGAGACACACCGTTTCATTTCATCTATGCAAAACAGAACCGTTCGAAAAAAAGTCATGGGGGGCGGGTTGTGGAGAGGCGGGTACACTGATTGAGACAGTGGGCGAAGTATGTAGAGCGTCTGTGGGAGTGGCCGGACGGCTCATTGGAGGCGTGAGAGAGGAGGCGTGTTCGGAGGGGTATTAACTCTTCATGCGCTGGCCTCAATGGTGCCGCGGACACCGGTCTTGGAACCGACCTCGCGGGCAATGACCTGGACTGAAAGGTCGGCGTTGACGTTGATTTGGACCTCGACCTTGCTGCCCTTCTTGACGTCCTTGACGGCGGCCTCGGCGATAACGTCACCGGCCTTCCAGACCTTCTCGCGGGTCTCCTCGGGCTCGTCATCGCTGTCGTCGTCAGAGTCCTCATCATCACCGTTGGCCTCCTTGGGGGCGACCTCCTCCTTGGTAACCTTGATCTCGCTGACACCCTCGCAGAGCTTGACAAGAACGTCACCCTCGGCAGCGTTGAATTGGGCAGTGCGGCGGGCGGGGACGGCGGTGTTGGCGTCGATCAGAGTAACGAACTCGTCACCAACAAGGACACCGATAGCCTTGGCGAGGTGAGGGGCGACGGTGACGGCGGGGTGAGTGCTCTGCTCAACATCCTCCTTCTCGAACTCGCTGATCAAGCTGGCCTGGATGGCGGCACCACGGACAGTGAGTTCGCTGGGGTTGACGGCGTTGGGGTTGGTCGAGGGAGCGGTGACGGTAGACTCGGCGAAGATGGACTGGAGGTTGCTGGCGATCTTGGGAGTGTGCGAGGTACCACCGGAAAGGAGGATCTCGTTGATGTCGAGGTTGTCGAGACCGGCCTTCTGGACGGCAGACTCGATCAGGCGGCCGAAAGAGCCAAAGACCTTGCTGGCGAGAAGCTCGTATCTAGTGCGGTTGACGGTCAAGCTGAAGTCAATACCGTCGGAGAGCGACTCAATGCTGAAGGCAGCGGAGGCACCGAGAGACAAGGACTTCTTGACGGCCTCAGCCTCGAGCTTCAGCTTGGCGAGCGAACGCTCGTTGGTACGGGGGTCGGTCTTGTTCTTCTTCTGGAACTCCTTTGCGGCGTAGTCGATCAGGGCCTGGTCGAGCTGAGCACCACCAAGCTCGTAGTCGTGGGCAGTGGCCAGAACGGTGTACATGCCACCGCGCGAGGCGACAACGGCAATGTCGGTACGGGTGCCACCAATGTCGGCAACAACGACGTTCTTGTCCTCGGTCGAGTTCTCGTTGTTCTTGGCATCGTGGGCGAGGAGAGCAGCGACGGGCTCGGTGATGTACTGGAGAAGCTCGAGACCGGCGTCGGTGGCGGCCTTGTTCAGGGCGTCCTTCTGGGCGTCGGTGAAGTCTGAGGGGATGGTGATGATGGCAGCGTTGACCTTCTTGCCAAGGTAGTCGGTAGCGGAGGACGCGAGACGGCGGAGGTGACGGGTGGTGATGTCGTGGATTGTGCGGGTGTTTTGCTGGTCGGCCTCGGTGTCCTTGATCTGGAAGGCAATGGTGTTCTCGGCGTCGACGGGGTGGGCAGAGGCGTGGCAGTTGGTGGGGTCTATCGACTTGAAGTCCTTGCCGAGGAAGTCTCTGAAGTATGCGACGGTGTTGTTGGGGTTGCGGACGAGTTGCGACTTGGCCTCGGTGCCCTGGAACTCCTCGCCGTCGACGTACGAGAGGACGGTGGGGATCTGGCGGTCACCGAGCTCGTTGGCGATAACCTCAGCCTTGGCCTCGCCCGAGGTGTAGGCGATGGAGCTGTACGAGTTACCAAAGGAGATACCAATGGCAACCTTGGGGGCAGTCTCGCCGTCGGAGCTCATTTTGAATTGTGATGTGTGGTTGAAGCGGCTGAAAGGACTGGTGTCGAGATTGTCGCAAACAGGGATAGAAAGGCGACAGGGACAAGGGTGGATTGATTGCTTTCGACTCTGCTGGGACTTTCGCTCCAGACTTTCTTGACCTCGAACAAATTTCCAGCCGAGGATGAGCCGTCACTGCATCCGCAAAGCTGCCCTTCGTCATCGCCGCAGATTTCGGAAAACTAAGCAATTGATTCAATCATGTCGTCGTCAGTGATCGTGCTGCCTGGCCAGGAGCTGTCGCCAGATCAGCTGCCTTCTCAAAACACAACTCGCACATTGACTCTGGGTCCTGGTCTACGACACGTCCCGCCTGTGACGATTGTCGCAACTCAAGCCGGAGAGCTATGCACCGACTCCAAGAAGAATGCCATCTGGATTGAGAATCTCGGAGGTCGCTACCTTCCTCATGTCGGCGATCTCGTTGTCGCCACTATCCAACGCTCCGCTACCGACATATATCACTGCACCCTGACACCCAATACTCCCACCGTCCTGCTCGCCCAACTTGCTTTCGAAGGCGCTACCAAAAAGACAAGACCTCAACTCAATCCCGGAGCTCTCGTGTACGCTCGCGTCTCCAAGGCCGACAAGTGGAGCGATGTCGAGATTGAGTGTGTCAACCCTGCTACCGGAAAGTCCGACGGTCTCGGTCCGCTCAAGGCTGGCATGCTCTTTGACGTCTCGCCTGCATTCGCTCGCCGCTTGATGATGGGTGCTGGAAAGGGTGGCGTAGTGCTGCTGGAAGAGATTGGCGAGAAGGTCAGATTCGAGGTGGCTGTTGGAAGAAACGGCAAGGTCTGGGTCGACAGCTCAACCATCGCAGAGACTGTCGCCATCGGAAGATGCTTGACCGAGACGGACGAGAAGGATTTGGACCTCCAGGCACAGAAGAAGCTTGTCAACAAGCTGGTGAAGACCGTCTGAGCTTTGAGTCTAAAGAGCGAAAAAGACACAACAACCCGCCTAATGCTTTGCCAGCACAGCTTCGCATACAGCTCTCTTGTCCTGCTATAGAGACAGATTCTCGAGCAAGCATGACAGAAGTGCAGCATCGCAAGCCGCTCAGAAGGAAGAGGCCAATCCTTACATTGAAAGGACTTGGGCCCTAGAAGGAGAAGGACCTAGGCTACAACACGTCACATGCCTCCGAAGAATAGGTGTCAGATGTCATTTGTGCAAGTGGTACAAACGTGCTTGGGGTCAAGCTGGTCAAGCGAAGGACCGAAGACATATGAGACTCAGATATGGCATGCGGCGGACCGTCCAGCCAGTAGCCAGTCAATGAAGAAATTCATATATCTATACAAATCCCCGCCCAATTGCCATATCCAACTTGATTTGAACATTTTTGCCAAGAATCACAAGCCAAACTCGAAGCCAGCCTCAGGCACGTCCAGAAAAAAGTCCCACGACCAACGTCACCGCCGAACCCCACCATACCGCGCGAAAAGTCAAGTCCAACATACCACATACTCACCAACCTCACCAGTAGTTTGCTGGAATAATCTCGGCAACAATGAGTACCCGCAACCGAACACCGCCGCTCCTCGAACCCTACCTCCGCCTCCCCTCGGAAGGATCCCAGCTCCTCCTAACAGGTGTACTCGACTCGTCTCCCCAATGGCTCGTCACCCGTCTTCTGCGTAGTGCATTTACTGCCTCGGAAGAAGCAGAACCGCCAGAAGAGCAGGATGTAACTGTGGTACTGGTGTCCTGGTTACGCGACTATGAGTTTTGGAAGAGCGAGGCCAGAAGAGGCGCTGTAAGATGCCCCAAATTCCAGACAAAGAAGGAGGAGATGCTGATGCGACGAAATTCAACANNGGGTATCGATCTCGCACGCTTAGCACAACAAGATAAATTCGTCTTTGTGGATGGATTGACGCATTTATTCCCTGTCGCAACCTCGAATACTGCTACTGCAACTGCTCCTTCACCGATATCTGCCCAGACACCACAGAGAAGCCTACCCGTCAGAAATACTCCTGCTTCGCCGTTACCGAGTCGGGCCGGACCACTACCAGCTCGAGGCCCGATACCCTCCCGCGGTCCACCAGCACCTACTCCTTCGCAACCACAACAAGTCCAGCAACAACAACCACAGCAGCAACCACAACAAGTCCAGCAACCACAACAAGTCCAGCAACAACCACCACAACAACAACAACAACCCACCCAACCCTCGAAACCAACCACCCTCACCTCCACCTCAATCCCCTCAACCCACAAGACCCTCAGCGAAAACCTCTTCTCCATCTCCACAGCGCACCCAACCCGTAAAATCCACCTGATACTCGACGCACCAACAATCCTCCTCTCCACTGCTGCCAATCCATCAGCATCGGCATTGTCTTCTCTGCTGCTCTCCTTGCGCAGTCTAGTGTCTACAACGACATTGGTGCTGGAAGCCGATTCNCCCTTTTTGTCTGCTGCTCTCGCCGATGCGAATTATAATCCTACGCCTTTGGAGGCTGCGCATGCGGCTTTTGTGGTTCAGCAGGCGCATGTCAGTAAGTGGGTATTGAGTCTGCGGCCGCTCGATACTGGAAAAGCTAGAGATGTCAGTGGTGTGATAAGAGTTAGTAGGGGTGGTGCTTGGGATGACGATCTCGAAACAGATGATGAGAAGGATGAGAGAAAAGAGTTGGAAGCTCTCTACTTCGTGCAGAATGATGGCGGAGTCAGGGTGTTTGAGAGAGGCGAGGCTAGTGTTGGTTGAAGAAGTTATAAAGACAAAAGATTGTTGTTTCTACTAATCTACAGTTGCCTCAATCTCTAGGTTGTCATGGCCATCAGGCGGTCCAATGCACTCTCGGTCTCCTCTGCTTCTTCCTCGTCCACTTCTTCCTCCTTTGCTCCTTCCTCCACTGCTCTCTCTTCTTCCTCTGCTCCTTCCTCTTCAGATTCTTGAACAGCCTCCTCAGCAGCCTCATCAGCAGCCTCCTCAACAACTTCTTCGGTGGTTCTTTCCTCTTCAGGCTCCTCTCCAGGTTCCTCGTCAGTCTCCTGAGCAATTCCTTCCACGAAACCTTCCTCTTCGCTTTCCTCGACTTCTCCTTTCAGCAGCCCATCTTCGACTTCTTGGACTGTGGTAACATCGAAAGCCGTCTTTTCCACGTGGTCACCCACAGCATGCTCGGGCTTCCACTCGGCGAGAGGCTCAAGCTTAATACTATGCAGCTCTGCCTTGTAAGTAGACTTGACAACCGGTGCACGGCGCCTGATGTCACCATTGATAGCAAGTGCTGCTCGCAATGCTGAAGGACCGGACTGCCTAGTCGCAATCTTGCCAAGCTCTCTGCTGAATAGCCAGGGATACGTGATGAGAGGAGCATTGTCTGTGTCTTCGTTAAATGACACCAACTTGCTCTCCTTCCACTGCGTCACCTCTCGTTCAGTGACGGTGTACATGGCAGCCACGAAAGGTCCAAGGACGTCAAACGCCTTTTCAGAGATCATGTAACCAGAATCGGCGAGTCCCAAATACTCTCGGACTTGAGCCTGGTAGTCGGTCTTGATGCTGCTCATCACGTTTCCAAGATCCTCTGCCAATGAGTACCAGTACTGCTCTCTGTTGTGGTACATGACGAAGGCTGTCCAGACCTCAAATTCCGTCTTGATGTTGTGTTGGACCATGACACGATGCATCTGCTGGTCGTATCCGACCTTGAACTCTCTAGCCTTCTCCAGATGCGAATCGGTCAAGACATATGCATCGAGAATACGCCTATCGAAAGGCTTCTCGAGCCGAGGCACGAACGGTTGGGGCTGCACCATATCGAAAAGTACCCCGAGCACCTCTCTGGAGACATACTGTCTTGACTTGACCTTTCCTGGCATCCAATGAGGCCACTTCCTCGGCCAGAGATCTCCATCCACCTTGGCGGGAACACCTGTCTTGTTAAAGTCGACAGCTTCTGAGTGAAGCTGAGCTAGTCTCTTGCATTTTTCGTGTGCAACTCCTTTGTTTGAGCCTTCAAAGTCAGCTATAGCACGGTGACTATTGGCAATTGCACCAAGTTTGTCGTTCTTGATATAGTCGACAAAGAACTTGACGAAATGCTCGTCCTGTACAGGGCCAACACACATGACTGGCGTGGGTGGATCGTAGTTCATGGGCTTGCAGTCCCACTGTTTCATCGGTGGCAGTAAGTCATCGTCCCACATGACGAGATAATCGTCACCGTCCAAATCTCCACCGGCGCACATATTAGCAAGCGGTCGTTCTCCTTGTTGCGGCAGGATTACGATGTTCTTGAGATGTTTCAGAGCTTCGCACTGCACAGCTCTGACGACACGAATATCGCCAGGATGTAGCGATGGATTACGTGCAAGAAGGCACACGCCTTGGGCAGTCTTCCACTCACCCTCCTTTTCTCCGGGCACTTGAATGAATATCTCAGGGAGCTCGCCTGGATCCATCCTAAGAGTGTTCGTCTCGTCGACGCCTCCAAGAACGAAGGCACCCTTTTCGATAAACAGCTTGGCCTTTTCTTTGAGGTGTTTCAGATTCCAGGTACGCCAAAGCTGCAGAAGGATCTGGCACATCGGCTCTTCGGAATGCATGAAACCATCAAGTATCATGCCTGACATCGTCAAAGTTATCTGATTGAAATCGACGTTCTTTTGCAACATGTTCAAAGCCATAGCCTCATCACTCATTGCGAGATCGATGTCATGGAGTTCCTTCGTCATCTTGTGAATGAAAACTTGCTTTGGAACTCCGAGGGCAGTGAGAACGAGGATGATCTGCTGATTGAGGGTCGAGGAAGAGAACTTCGAAGGTTTGATGATCTCTAGTTTGTCGACACCTGCTGCATCAAATTTGCGCTGGCTAGGTCTGACATGGACCGTCTTACCCTTCAGAGCAGGATCCACCACAAGAATGCCTTTGTAACCACGCATGCGGAATTGGAAGGCAGACGGGTAGTCATGGGGATCAGAATTGGCGTACAACTCGTTGGCAACCATTCGAGCAACGAAAGGAGATACTTTGCCGACACCGTCCGTGAAACAGTAGCCGTTCCTCTCAACATCTTTGATCAACGTAGTGCCGATCTCGCCGATACTGGACGAGGCTCTGGTCGTAGAGAAACATTGACCAATGCGTGCCATGCACTTCGCGACGACATTGATACTAGAGAAGTCTCCTAGAGCCATGCGAATTTTGCGGGCAGTCTTCTCTTCACTGTAGGGTGCAAAGAAGTAGGCACCTCTCTCGCGGAACTGAGAATTTCCACATGCAAGCCAGTCGTAGTGACGGCCAGCGATGTCGATGCCATGACGAAGGCAGCGCTCAATACGAGCCCATACCTCGTGCTGGTTCTCGTATTGTGCCATAGGCATAATGCGTCCGAATGGGTCTTCGTCTTCGAATTTGACGCGCAAGAAGTTCCCAGCAGCATAGAAGTTCTCCCGGATGACACGGTTTGACACTTCTACTGATGGCGTCTTGACGTAGAATGTGGTAGGAGTGATGACGGCACTTCTCATCAATACACAACCTTTGGGGATACGACGCTTTCGCGGATGGCGAAGTTGATAAGTATCGAAGATCTCCATAGGGTCGAAGAAGGTTTGCTTTGAGTCTGCAACATTCTCGAGAAGGACAAGAGCTGGGGATATGATTGAGGGATTGTTGGGATCGCGAACAAAATCTCTGTCCAAAGCACTAAGCTCGAAGAGAAACTCTCGGCTCAAGGTGTGTTCATTGATGTTGTTATTGGAGATGCAGACCTCGAGCTGATAGCGAATGTCTTGACCAAGGTGCATCATATCGTCTTGCATCTCATGAAGATCTGATTCAAAAGAAGCTTGATGTGGATCGAGTAAGTCCCAAACGACTGGGTCTTCTCGTGAGATAGTGTCGAAATCAGCAGAGCTGCAATTCTGCACAGTCGCGTTGTGGGCCTCCAAAACCTCAACGATTGTGTTGTAAGCATGATCGTCCACATCAGCCGGAAACTTTAGCTTCCATGTCAGCCAGCGACCTGTGTCAACTACCGGGCTGGNGGGTAAGAATGCCACGGGACTGAAATCTCGCTCTTCCGGATTCAGATCGATGTCGGTGACACGACGCCAACCTCTCGGCCAGTCTTGGTAGTTCTGAGGTTCCTGGTTGCCTTCGTGAATCTCATCAACAAGGCCCTTTCCCACATTCTGCCACCACTTTGGAGGAAACTGAGAAGTGATGACAATCTCCTTGTGGCCGTCATCGTAGCAGATCTGCTTGATCTCAAAGGGTGTACTGAGGCGAAGTTCAGCGCGGTACCAGGGTGCATCGGCCTCGGTTGTGAGGAAGAAGCGGAAATCCAGCGAGTGCCTTGCATCGGAAGAAAGATCAAGCATGAGCACGGCCGGATGATTAAAGCTGCTAGAGACTGTATGCATGACCATCATACGGCGCTCGTCAATCATCACACCAAACTCGATCTGGCTGACTGGAAGTGTGATCTTCTGAGCAATAGACTTTGCTGCGTTTGCTGGAGACTTGATCATTCTTGGCTTGAATTCACGGCACTTGACGTAAAGCTTTCGGCCTTTGAGCAGTAGAGGAGTGCTGAAGACGGTAGTGCGGACGAAGGCCATAAGAGCCGAGGCTTTGGCGGTTCCATCATTGTTGATGCAAGAAACATGACCGTGCTTGACAAGGATGCGATGCAACTCGATAGCCTTGTCGCTACCAGATGGAATGTTCTCAATATCGATCCAGGCCGGTTCACCAATCTTGGGGACGTATGCCTCCTTCTTCTGGTCTTTTTTGGACAAGACTGCCTGTTGTGAGAACCGCTGACTATGGCTGTACGGCATGTTTCTCTGTGGCATTGACTGCTGACGATTGGCGCTTGGCTTGAAATTCTGCTGCGGCGAACGCTGCTGACGATTGGTCACAGGAGAAAGAGGCTGTTGACGAGCAGACTGTACAGACGCAGGCGGACGATGAGGCGTAGGAGGAGGAATACCAGCAGGGAGAGAGCGATGAGGGCCTTGTCTGCGCAGACGTTCCTTGTCAGAGTGATGATTCTCCATGGCTGTGAGGATGAATAGTAGAGGATGAGAGTCTGAGTGATAGGTGGTTCCGGAGCAAAAGTTGTGTGCTGAGACGGAGGAGCGAGGAATGGAGGCCAACACCAACCAACTCTGACGCGTGCTCACCAGTGAGGGAAAGCGCAATGAAGCTCAACACATCCACCTAAGGAAGGAAGCCGGCGAAGCGCAAACAGCACAAACGGAGAAGACGCAGAAGTAGACAACTACAAGTAAGTGAAAACATATCTGCCTAGCCGCATGGTCCACGGCTTAGCATTGCTGCATGCCCAATGTGCCAGAAAAAGCGGTAGTTTGAGTGGTGTTTGTCACATCCAGATTGCATCCTGACTTCTGGATGTCTGTTTGCGTTTTCCGCCAGCGAATATCAACCTGCATGCCAACTGCTATGCAATCGTCGTTCTTACCATCATCACTCGAATTGTCATCGGCATTGGCCACTCAAGAGTTCGATGGGAAACTTGTGTTTTGAAGCGTCTGTCTGGTCATGTTTGCCGGTATTGGAGCTGCTGTGTTTTGGTCAACAGAGCGAGGAAGAAAACAAATGCCCCACCATCTGATCTTCTCCCTGCATAGAATCATGCATCGCGCCATGCACGCATCCTCGCTTGGCGGCACTCATATCGGAAAAGCACATGTCACTTTTCGAAAGTCTCGTACGATTGAGAAATTGAAGAACAGAGGAACAAGATCTCGCAGGATTGTCCAGAACTCGTGAGCAGTGACTATGCCCAAACTAAACATCTGTGGTACTTGCATCCAGACCACCCTCTCCCTTATCACCCAAACCAACACCTGGCGTGCCTGTCATGATATGGTCTGCAGAAAATGACCAATCTTCTAGTTCCCGTCTCTCGGCCGTGTTGATTCTGGATCCATGGTTCTGGAGATCGTGAAATGCAACTTTGCTCGGCGATCTAGCCCGTACAGGCGAGCGATTGGTCGGCATATCCTGCAGAGGCTGTCTCTTAATAGCACTCTTTGTTCGCATCATAGCTCTTGCAGACCTCGGCGCCATGCTCGTTCTCTTCTCTTGTGTACTCGCAGGCCTCAATGAAGGGCGGGGTCTTGCACGCTTTGGAGTAGGTCCATTATCTGCCGAGGCATCAGACATGAACGTACTATTTGGTTCTTCGTCTTCATGCTCATCGTCAGAGTGCTGTGCACCAGCTGCAGGTGTTAACGGAACTTGTGATGGCAATGCGGTCCGTGGTGTGGACGAGTTGGTAGAGGCAGACCGCACTGGCAGTACTGACGACTTTATCACGGGCTCTTGGGGCGGAGCCATCATGCCAGTAAGTCCCATGGCGTTCATCAGACGGTTCCTCATCTCCTGCGCCTCAAGAACCTGAGCGTCCTTCTTCGAACAGTCCTTTATCAAGCGCTCGATGCGCTTACGAAGATCGACAGCTTTTTGCTTGTTTGCTTCATGTTGTTGCTGGAAGCCATCTTCTGCTTCGGCAAGATCTTGTCGAGCTTCCTCCAATTGCTCCTCAAGATGACTCTTGATGCCCATCCATTCTTGCTTTGCTCTTGACATAGAATCTTCAAACATAGTGGCGGTCTCTCTGGCTTCATCCTCCGAGTTTTGTTTGGTGGCTCGGATCTCGGTGAGAAGGTTCTCATGCTGCACCTGACGTCCATTGATATCTTGTTGAAGCTTGAGAATATCTTGCTCAAGCAGACTGTGACCTTCAAGCAAGGTTGCCCGTTCTTCCTCGATCTGCGAGATGCGCTCTTGGCTCTCCAGAAGCTGTTGCTCAACATGCTCTTTCTCCAGTTGCAACTTCTCATATTCAGTGTTGTCGTGCCTTCTCGAGTCCATCGTGTTGCTCAATTCGGAGCGTAGCTGCTCGGCGTCTAGCCTGACCTGGTGAAGTTCTTCACGTACTTGCTCGAAAGCCTCCTGCTTGCAGGCAATATTGGTAGCATGCTGTACTTCCAAGTCTTGCCTCTCCTGCTTGAGCTGATCAATGTCTCGCTGAGCATTGTGGTTGGCTTCTTGAAGCTCCCGAGTAATTGTGTCAATTCGCTGCATCAGATCTCGTGTTTCCTGAGAAGAAGCTGCAAGATCGTTCTCGTGACGGTCGTTTTCCGCTTCGAGGGCGTTGATGCGTAGGTCTCTATCCATGACTTGACCCTCAAGCTCTCCGTAAGCTTTGTTCAAGTCTGCATATCGTTTCTCGAGGCCAGTAAACTTTTGACGCTCCGACCTCAGCGGCTCTTCGACACTCTCGCATCGCGCTTCCAGATCGTGACAGATATTGATGAAAGATGCTACCAGAGAAGTTTCTTGATACTTTGCGTGTGTCTGCATCACTGCACCCAAACGCTCCTTCCAATGCAGACTTGCATCCTGGGATTCTGGAGTTGCTTCAATTTCCACAAATGGTGTTGGACGTTGTGGAGCTTTCAGTCTTGTTTGAACACAAATTGGGCAGATTGACTTGCTCGACTCAACAACTGCATGGTGTCTAAGGATCTCAGGCAACACTCGACGTATCGAAGAAGTCTNCTCTTGTGGAGCAGCAAGAGCTGCACGAAGTAACAGAGAGCAAAGTGAAGATTTCAGCTTGTTCCTCAAGGACGTGTAAGAAGCAACGCAGAACCTGCTTGTGCGGTGTCCTGCGTCAACCTCAGGTAAGGTCTCCAAGTCGGCGAAGAAGTACTCTAGTTTCTGGCGATTGTGACCAGAATGCAGAGTTGCAAGTATACCACGGCGACAGGACTCGTTGTCTTCGACCATATCAGCGATATGACCAAGGAACAATATATAGCTACCGGCCGAGTTGAATAACACAGTTGGTGGCGAGTCTGTTAACAAACTCATGACTTTGTCTAGAAGTTCTCCCCACCACTCAGGCTTAAACTTTGAGGACAAGCGATAAAGTGATAGGCGGAGCGACGAGTCTAGACACTCGTGTTTGAGGAAGGCAGCGTTCAACTCCAGCAACGATCTCTCATAGAAAAGCGTTGCTTGGGACGGCAGCATGATCTTGTCAGACAGAGAGGTTAGGAAAGTGAGAACCTGGAAACGAAGAGCAGGAAGCATATCAGGCACAAGGCACTTTTCTTGCAACTTGCGCACAATGACAGCGTTCTTGTGAGACCATTCGATGACTGCGGATTGAGACACTCCAGTTAGGATCTGGTTGACAAGAGTAACACTAGTAAGGCCTTGTCCAGTAGGATCCGCTGATTCTGGTCTGCAGGCCCAGATTACTCGCAATACCAGCAGTTGCATGGTTTTATGAGTCTTGTTGCCGTGAAAGAATTGCTTGATGGCGTCAGGTGTCCACTGCGAGTTGGAAGAATCGACAGAGTGTTCAAAGGTAGGCCACATAGCATCGTTTCCAACCTCGGTCTGGAACTTCTCAAGAATCATTCTCATGATGGCAAGACAGTACATGCCCAGAGACTGATCTTCGACACCAGAAGAGCTTTTCAGGATCGAGAAGATGTACTCCTCCAGGTGAGCCAGAACACCAGGGGAGAGGATTCCGAGGATGGGTCTGCAAGCTCCATAGACCATTCGATGTATTTGCTGGACGGTCACGGCGTTGGGTTGTGTGGCAGCACGGTCGAACAACTGAAGCAGGAAGTTCTGAGCAGTCGCTGGAAGAGCCACATCGGAAGGTAGAGGGTGGGACAAAAGGGCTACAGCAGCATCCACATACTGTCTTTGGATTAGCTGAGACAGTAAAAATCGTATTTTNNTATATCATGTCCTCACCTTTCTGCTTTCAACTCTAGACTCCAAGGCATGGGTTAAAAGACGAGGTAGTAGTGACGGCTCTCTTTTCACAAGCGAGTTTCTGACATCGACAGCACAGGACAGGCGAGTGATGATTTCTAAGACATATGGCCATTGTAGTAGAGCATCTATAAGAGCCTGACTCAAGGGAGAGATTCGACAGTGATAACAAGAGGCCCAGAGGCATATGTCTGCCTCGGATGTCTGAGAAACGATATCATGTAGAGANNCTAGAACAAGGGACCGTCATCAGCATTATGTCGAGGCAAAGATGCTAGCGGCAGTATGGCCAACCTTTAGTTGGGTAGGATATGGAGTGAAGACGACTCGATCGACCTCTACAGCGAGGATGTCCATATTCTATGGCGTTCGGTGGAGTCGCATGCTCGACTAGATGATGCATGCACTTTATTCGAAGAAGTAAAAACAAACACGGCCGTGGTTGACGCGCATCCGACGAGCTTCGATATTCCACGCTATCACATGACCAATTTCGGGACTGTGGGAGCCTGCCCCGAGTGGACTCGGTTCTTTTCCAAGACTAACACTTCCTTCGATAACCTATTCGAAGGCACAACCAACATACGACAGTTGATAGTCTCAACTCGAGATCATCGTATTTGTACTGCAAGAATGGCGTGTCCAGCACAGCAAAGTATCATGCGGACGTGTCCGTCAGGTAGGACAACCCGCATGAGATGGCCAGAGTGGGGATGATGTGGTGGAGAAGCGGGGCAAGTGATCGATTCAGGGTCGACGAAAGTGCCATTGACAAGAGCCGGGCCATTGACGACCTGGACAATACAAGACGCTGTCGTCTTCTCTTCTGGAGTCTGGTTTTCTTGCCGTTCTTTCTTGTCCAAATCAATATACAACAATGGCACAGCAAAATGGCCTGTCGGGCGAATACCGCAAGCACCTCCCGGATCTCAATGTGCCGCGCTTCCAGATGATGAAGCAGCAAGATGCACACGAATATGCTCATGAATTCAAGACCAAGCACAACCCGCCATGGCTTCATGCATTGTACATGTACTGGCGTTCATTGCTTGCCGAACCGTTCAAGGGTGTCACTAGCGATGGTGAGTTGGTCCAAATCTTGAACAATGGCTTGACTGACACATGCTCGCANGGCATTGTTCGCGAAGGCCTCTTCAACCACGAAGACGAAGGCGTCGACATTGACAGCATCGTCAAGGCCGCCCAATCCCTCCTCTATCAAGTGACCGACGAGCAAAAGCAAGTCCTCAGCTACCACATCGACAGCCCCGAATGGCGAACATGGTCCAACCCCGAATTCCTCCTCGCGCACAAAGGCCTCCGCCTCGACGAACAAACAGATCAAGTCCGAAACTCCATCCTCGCAGTCCTCAAAGCCACCCTGTCACCCGAAGGCTACGAAAAAGCAGTCTCAGCCATGCGCATCAATGGCTTCCTCGGCGAACTCGTACAAGGCACAAAAGTCATGAATGAGTTCAGTTACAACTTCGTCCTCTTCGGCGAGCCCTCCTCTACAGAACCCTGGGGCTGGTCCTTCTACGGCCACCACCTCTGTCTAAACATCTTCCTTTTCAAGCGCCAAATCGTCATTTCCCCCTGGTTCACAGGCGCCGAGCCCAACGAGATCGACTCCGGCCCCTATAAAGGCACTCGTATCCTCACCCGCGAAGAAGAACTCGGTCTCCAACTCATGCAATCACTATCACCATCCCTCCAGCAAAAGACTCAAATTTACAAGTTGATGAAAGATCCCGCAATGCCAGAAGGCCGTTGGAACAGAGACGACCAACGCCATCTCTGCGGCGCATACCGCGACAACCGCATCGTACCCTACGAAGGCATCACCCTCAAAGACATGACCTCTGACCAAAAATCCCTCGTCTCAAACATCATCGAAGAATACTTCCTCTACCTCCCGGCCTCCTCTCGCGCAAAGAAACTCGCACACGCAATGTCCTTTGCGGACGAAACTCACTTCAGCTGGATCGGTGGCTTTGGCGCTCAAGACCCATTCTACTATCGCATTCAATCTCCAGTGGTGATTATAGAGTTTGATCATCATTCAGGAGTCTTCTTGAACAACGAACAACCGGCCAAATTCCACATCCATACGCTGTTGAGGACACCCAATGCTGGCGATTATGGTGTCGCGTTGAGAAAGTGTATTCCGGCCAAAGAGCAGTTCTTTACTTGGGAGCCCGAGGATGCGACAAAGGGGCCTGGTAACCATGCCAGTCGTTTGGATTAGGTGTGCAGATGTGTGTTAGATATCGAATAGAGTAAACATGTTGGACAATTCATAAATGCACCAAGACATCTATTGAGCCCTTGATAGCACATATCACGCTCTTCCTTCAGTATAGATCACAGAGTCAAACATTTCTTCTCCAGTGCCCAGCCACCATCAGCCAGCAACACCAACGAAGAAAAAAAGAGGATTCGAGAGAGAATTAGGTAAAGGTAGGGCGGGAAGAGAAAAGAGATAGGTAGGTGAAGAAGAGAAGAAGAAGAAGAAGCCAGAGGGCGAAGGGGTTCTTATAGGGAGACTCGAGGGTATTGCTGCCTACAGGCTTAGTAAGGAATACTTGCTCAACTGGGAATACTTGCTCAAATTGTTGTTCCGAACGAAAAACTTCCAGGCATGACACGTGGGCAAGGGACAGATGATTGGCAAAGCGCTGTCATGAAGCAGACATTCGGAATGGAATATCATAGGTGAATAACGATGCATACTGGCTAAGAAGATATAAAGTGACGTTGGGGTATCAAAGGTGAAAAGAAAACGCAAAACCCCAGAGCAAAGAAAGTAAAAACGGCAAACCAAAAGCGAAAGAAAACAAATCGAGAAAAATCGTCGTGGAAACACTCCTTCCGAAACTCTTCCTTCCCATGTGCTAAAGGTTTATAAAACTTCACCCTTTCCCCACGAAAGCGTAGAGCAAGGTATGCAACTATAAATAGGCACAAATGTCTTCTAGAGCAGAGGAGCGGCCAGAGTGAGCCACTGAAATGTTGGCTCTCATTGGACATCGCCCTGTTTCCTAATACAGTCGTGCATTTCCATAGTAATGCGTAATAAATTCTTAGCACACAGGGAGGTTGTATCACGTCGCCCAAGGATAGTCTTCTTCCATTACCTTCGTGCAAGTCAGATAACCCAACCCAGCCGACGGCGCTGTAGTACCGGTTCTCCCTGATGTGGACGGTACAGCGCTCAAGTCAAGCTCGAGAAAGTTGCGGGTCAAAGGCTTGACAGCATCTCTAGCAAGGTTTTTGAGTTCGTCGATTCTTCTCTCGAAGCGCTTGAGGTTGTCGCGAGAGTACATTTCTGGTGTAAGCTTTAAGAAGCGTTTGCATTCATCGTGATTCAAATAGGCGTCCTTATTTGTGCTGCCCATGAGTCGATATATGCGACCGAAGCTTTGGGCTGGTAAGGGCGATTGTTGAGATGCTGGAGGTTTTGTTGGCACCAGAGCGCGTGAACTGCTTTGACAGCCTGACCGCCCAGATGCAGACGCAGAGGCAGAAGCGGTATCTGAAGACGAAGGTCGCGAGGAGTTCTTAAGTATTGACACTGGAGCTGGTGTGGTGTTTTCGGCCAGCCACTGGCGGAAGAGACTCATGGCCATCCAGTCGAGGTAGCCGTTCGATGGGTTGACGCGCTCGCCTCTACTGGTGGTCAAAGTCAGTCTGAAGAGACGAACCTCAATGCGCAATTTCATGTCTTCCAGCTCCTGGACCTTGTCTTCGATAATATCGAGGACGATAGGATCAACATGGTTGACAAGTTGAGGTTGTGCCTGTGGCCACTGGCCTACCACATGAATCAAAGCTTCCGTGTAGATGACTCTAGATCGTGCCAGGCAGGCTAGCTTGAGATATGATGGCGGATAGCGGGCGATCTGCTTGAATAGGCGTCCTTGAAAGCCTAACAGATGGTGATCTATGCGGGAGCCTACGATATCGAGGGCATCGTACATCTGGGCCAGCTGCAACAAGGTCTTGGACTCGGTATATGCATCAGCGATATTGACGTTACTGAGAGATGGAGGATAGTTGTAGAAGATGCGGAACAGATTATCATAATCTCGCATGATTTCATCATCTGGGCCTAGAGGTGCGGCAGGTTGAGGATTCAAGGACAAGGCAGATAGATTTGACATGGAACGGAAGAAGGCAGAGGACGAAGCAGGCGGCTTGTTACGCGAGACGGGCGGCGGACTCTGACTTGTAGGGCGTTGTACTAGTCGTGGTATATCATTGTCTCTTGTGTGATGCCAATCGAGGACATAATTCCAGCGGCGGGCGTCGAATGAGTCCAGACTGCTTCTGCTGGAGTTTGTTTCACCGATACGTGAGAGTGAAGCTGGGTTGGGAGCAGGTAGAGCATTGTGTATGGGTGGACGCTTGGTATCGATGGCGAAGAAGGATGAGCATTGGCCGAGGATGATGCTGTGCAAGAAGTAGCGTTGCTCTTTGCGACCACTGGCCGAGCAAATAACGATGTCGACATCTCCAGTCTGCGCAAAGACAGGGAACTCGTTTAGTGGAGAAGCTGGCGAGGTTGTGTGCTGGGAGCGCGACGAACGGTGGCGCCTTGTTGTCGAGGCTCTGCTTATGGCCGAGGGAGGGCGTCGCGGAGTGTGTAGCACCTGCTGAGGTGGCTCAATGTGCGACACCATGGTGGGAGAGTGTTTGTTTGTGAAGCGTCATGGATAGCCGATATATAGCAGATTTTACTTATTCATGCTGTCTCTGACTACTGCGACGAGATGTCGTCGAGTGTTCACAGCCGGGGCGCAGTCCAGCCATTCGACTAATCACATGCCCCAGCCATGTCTGTGTAGCACCAAAGACTGAACCAACCTTGCATTGTCTCAAGGGTACCTACCTGACTTGAATTAAGAGACACGTCTTTTGCAGGATTCCATGTCAGGAGAGGAAGGAGCAGAGACAGAGGGAAGGTGGCATGACGCGTTGGTCTCTCTTTTTGACGTGAAACGGGCGCGGCGTCTGTTTTGTCAGAGCTGCCATTCGCAAAGCTTCAATCAATGAATCTTCCACGATTGTCAACACTAAGTCGCAGCAGTGCTGTCGGCAGACTCGCACATGTCTCGAATCGCACCTATACTCGCCCCTCAATAGCCCCTAAACCGACTGTCGATATTAGACACATCCGCAACGCGCCTGGCCTGTACGAGCAGAACTGCATAGCCCGCAACTACAAGCAGCAGTCNAAAAACGGATGGCGCATCCTTGAGCTGCACGACAAGCTGCAACTGCAGCAGCGACACTCGAGAAGTTTGCGCGAACGCAACAATGCCTTGAAACGTCAATTGGCAAACCCGGCCACAAGGCAGGACCCCGATCTGCTGGAACAAGCAAAGCAGCTGAAGACTGAGCTCGCTGAGATCGATGCTCAAGACAAAGCCATGAATGATGAGATGGAAGAGCTGGCACTTGCACTACCCAACCTGAGCAGTCTAGACACTCCTGAAGGCGACGTGCCAGCCGTCAAGGAATACATCAATGAGCACCCCGATCGCAACCCTTCACCTTCGGATCGCGTCTGGCGCAACCACGTCCACGTTGGCTCAGAGCTCGACATGCTGGACTTTACTGCTTCGGCCACCACTTCAGGCTGGGGCTGGTACTTTCTCAAGAACGAAGCCGCTCTTCTCGAACAAGCCCTCATTCAGTACGCTCTCACCATCGCCATGAAGCGCGGTTGGAAAGTCGTCTCCCCTCCTTCGATCGTCTACTCGCACATCGCCCATGCCTGTGGTTTCCAGCCTCGCGACCAGAATGACGAACAGCAAATTTACGCCATCACTCAGCCAGAAAAAGACAAGAACAAGCCTACACTATGCCTGGCAGGGACTGCCGAGATCCCCTTCGCGGGCATGAAAGCGAACACTGTCATGGAAGAGGCAGACCTCCCGCTGAAGATCATCGGCGCTTCTCGTTGCTACAGAGCTGAAGCTGGTGCTAGAGGTATCGATACCAAAGGTCTATACCGCGTTCACGAATTCACAAAGGTTGAAATGTTCGCCTGGACGATGCCTGACAACGTAGGCGATGACCACTTTTCCGAGCCCACTCCTTCGCCCTCGGCCGCTTTGTTCAACGAGATGGTCGCCATCCAAAAGGAAATCCTCCAGAATCTAGGCCTACATTGTCGTGTACTGGAAATGCCCACGACAGAACTAGGCGCCTCAGCGACCCGCAAAATCGACATTGAAGCCTTCTTCCCGTCGCGCAGAGAAAAGGATGAAGGTTGGGGCGAAGTCACATCCGCATCCATCTGCACAGACTACCAGACCAGACGTCTAGCCACTCGCGTCAAGACTGAAAAGTTCGGACGTAAGCATGAGTGGCCGCACACTGTCAACGGTACTGCCCTTGCGGTCCCCAGAGTTTTGGCCGCTATCATGGAAGCTGGATGGGAGGAGAGCAGCAAGAGTATGCTCATCCCCGAGGTGTTGAGACCTTTCATGGGTGGATTGGAGAGAATTGAAAGGAGTAGTCGTATCAGCATTCAGTAAACGGGGTTGTTTCATGTTCGATCCGCCTTTCCACTATACCATATTTTTCAGCACTCCACACTTATGTTCGAATCTATTGTGAAGCAGAGATGCTGAAGCATCGATATCGTCACCCTCACCACTGAACTGTACTTCGCATCCTAGCTTCAACCAGTCAAGATACCTTCGAGGACTTGGCCATCGCACGAGAAATCGCTCTCAACTTATCGTCAGTCGAAACAGTATGACAAAGACGAAGCGTGGACCGAGTGGTGCGTATGATTCAAAAGCATAAATCCACATGCAGTGAATCTCGACGGCATCGACGGCCCGAACCCCGCCACATAAAAGTATACAACAACTTCACTGATCTACGCACGAGATAAGAGACAAAGAACGTGGAGCAAATCCCCCAAAACACGACATTGAGCTTGCAAGGATCGGAAACATTGACTGACTTGATAGCAGCACAAAAAGGTTCATCGGAAGGATATATGCCGTTGGAAAAGGGTTTGTGTTACCAACAGTGTGGTTCGTTGCACATCCACATCGGAAAAAGAAAATCGGTCGGGCAAGATGGGTGCGATCCCGAATATCTGGCAACAAGGTTTGAGCTGCTGCACAAAGGTGGCACGGAAAGAGGAAAGAGTTCGAGTATCCGATACCGCACATGATCAATCAGATAATCACAGCGCCAAGTTGTAGGCGCTGAAAAGCAAACGCATAGGTAAAAAAAAAAAGCAAGGCGAAGGCATAAAAGAGGGTACCTGAGGATGAATGCATCCAACTACGGCTATACGCATCCGCATCTGAGCGGTTAAGCACCACGGCATGTCTAAAAACCATGCGATCCAGCTGATCGCTACTCTAAAGCAAACAAAACGTAGGGTAGAGGGAATAACAATGAGCAATCTCTTTCCAGAAGGCCGGGTCGCGGACTCATGCATACTCCTCCTCGTTGCAGTAAGCCAACATGCGCTGGGTCGGCGGCCCGGTGGTAGACATTGCCAATATCAGCGACACCGGCGATCCGGGTGGACACGCGGACAACTGCCCAATGTCCTGGACTGGTAGGGAACTTTCGGAAACAATATCGAGTAAGACAAAGTCATACTTTGTTGTTCAAGGTCCCGTAACGTTGCCTTGTCGTGCGTCCGGGTGTCTGTCTTGGGTGACTTCTTGATCTGCTGATGATGTTGTAGTTTATACATGTCCTCAAAACGCATCATCCAACAATGCCTTGCTCTCTTAATCAATAGCTCGATCCTTGCAAGGCGACATGATCCTGACTGACCGGTATCTCTGACCGCTCCTTCCACACCGACTACAGCCAAGGCATACAAGCCTCGTATTGCAACTCATCCAGTCCTCCATCGTCACGCTGCTGCATCATGCTGAAGTCTCGCAACGTCTCAGCACCGACGCTGCGCTTGTTCTGAATCGCTTTGAGGCGAATTTCATGGACGCGAGCGTCCGCCGCAGCCATCCGGTCCACGATGCTCTCCTGTGATCCGCGCTGCTGAAGGTTTTGCTCTTGCTGTAATGCACCTGGTTCGGCACGGCTACTTGCACCGGATGCGCTTGCGACCCCTGAAGTGGTCCGGCTGTTGCGTCGCATGTGCCGCCAGATCCGCCGAGCTTCATCTTGTATCACGAGACTGTCCGGCCTCTGTCCGTGTTCAGCATGGTGTTCATCGGCAGGCATGCCCGTGTTCGTATTGCCTTCATCGGGTGTTGGCGTAGAGGGGGCGGTATTGTAAACCTGCAGAGCTTCGGCATCGACAAGATGCAACGTGGTCCGGCGTGTGCTTTTCGGACCTCGATGCTGTGTGGCTGTTGCGGACGACTGTACTACACTCTTAGATGTTTCGGTCAACACTCCTTGTTGGAACTCGAGTTCTTCGCGCAAGCGACGCAAAACTGGTGGCCCGTCGTTGCCGGACCAGAATTTGCCAAACTTCCTTTGCAAGATCCTGATCGCGACGTCCGGAGGATAGTTCCTTGCAGCAAACTTGGCCTTCTCGATCTCAATCTCCACGCTACCCTTGTCTTCCTCTTGATGGTCCATGCCCCATTGGCTGTTCCTGTTCGTGCGGATCAACTCAAACGCCTGTTCAGTCCGCAATTCTGTATCCCGAGGAAGGAGAGAATGTCTGTAACGCACATCCGCCTTGAACAACTCACTCCCAACTATTCCGAGTGTCTCGTGAAGCTCGCTCAAGAGGCCTTCAAGCGAGGCTGGATCTGCACTTCGCTGAGCCTCGAGCGAAGGTACGTGCACCTTCGCAAACAGAGTGGTACATTGACCCGGATGTAGTGTTGTCTTCCGGGGAGGTGTGAGGAGTTTTTCCACGCGACATGGCTCGGTTGAGTTGATAGACACTCTGACGTGTGAAAGTTCTTGGGCGTGAGACTCTTCACGCGCCGACTGGACAAGAGCTTCTAGGACAGTCTGTTGAGCCTCTCCCCACTCAAAACGCCATCCGCCTGTCCGAACTTGGTCGCGAGGAGATGGTGGTTCGTAGGCATAGCCGACTTGAACTTGGTGAACTGGCCACGACACCAACTCTCGAAGGAGCGATGCACATCTGTGCGGAAGTGGAGACAGTACAAGCGCATGTGTGACTGTAACGATTGAATCTTCTACCGTCTCGACCACTGACGCTACAGCGTCCTGCATCATTTCAGACAACATTGCAACCGGGGGCCGTGACGTTGCCTTGCCAGAGTCTAGCTTTGCCACTTCGATCGATAGGGATGATGCATCCGGTCTCTGCAGACGATGAAGCTGACAGCCTGACCTGATATCCGAGCATTGCGATTCGTGGGAGCAGGACGTGCAGAACACTGCCAGACGATCTCGCTGGTCTCGTAGCAACCTGCAAATGTGCCGGGTAAACTCGGATATGCTTTGTAGAGCCAATGGGGAAGCAAATGGTCTACCCCGCGTTAGTGCCTGACATTTGAGTGAAGATGTGGAAAGCACAAACGAGTTGTCAATGATAACAACAACATTCAGAGGCTTTTGAGTTCTGCCGGCATAATCAGGAGATGCCGAGGATCTCATATCGTTTGTACCACTGGTAGATGGTGGATCGCTCGAAACGCTTGCTTCAGCCTTGATCATCGCCCAGACCGTCGCCTCGTCGGCTAGGTCTAGGGTCGCCCATGCAGGCGTGACACGAAGATTGATGTGGAGCATTGATAGTATTTTGTGATTGCTGTCGAAGTGAAGTGCAGATAACTGTGTGGCTCTTCCTGGGCGTGGAGTCTTTTCTGGAGATGGCGAAAGACTTGGGTCTGCCTCTTGTGATGGACTTGAATAACTGCCGTCACTTCCAAGGAGAATGCTCTTAGTTTTGAGATCAGGCGGAGGGAAGGTAACGAGTGTCGGGCCAAAGTCTCCTACAGGTGAGTCCACTGAGACAAGACTCTGGACTGAGTCAAAAGCGACAATGTGTGATGCAACTGTATGATCATCTTTCATATCTTGAGAATTCTCGTCGGTCGTAGTCTGTGCAGATCTCTCATGCTCTGAAGCAGTCCGACTGACGGCAACGTCGTTGTCATTCCTCAGTGGCACTTTGGAAGAACTGCTGGATCGACTGAGAAGACCCTCCTTGACTTTTGAGACTACCCTTTTACGCACAGATAATTTACGAGACAGTGAGGGGGCAGATTTTGGCTCATTCTTGTCGGACTGAGATGATGTCCGCTTGATCGGAGATCGTTCGATGACTGTTGTAAGATGGGCGCTGTTAGGCTCCCAACTGAAGCGGTTGCTTCTCGATGATGGTCTGATATCCTCATCGTGTACAGTGTTCTGAATCTCTCGGAGTGGCAGGGCACTAGAATGCTTGGTATAGCCAAACTCAGGCACAGCGTACCCGCTCGTAGAGGCGGCATCGTTGATGAATCCAGTTCGGAGATTTTCACGTGTCTTGCGAACCTTCAGAGGCGAGCTTGACGCTTTGTTTGACAAACATGCTTCAGGAGGGCCGACGGTATACCTGGTATGACCAGAACTGCTCGTAGGCGATGTGTTGGCTCGTGACGGTCGAGTAATGGTTGGAGAAAAGCTGCTCACAGAAGCTGGAGCCGAGATGAACAGGTGGGCCTGGGGTGGTTGCCATCCGTGCAGGCCCAAAGAGCCTGGTGTGTGACCATATGATGTGGTTGATGAGGATTTACTTTTGCTGTTTTGTGCTGCTCGCAAAGTCTTCGGGTTGGTGTTCTGCGAGCATCGTCAGAATGATTTGGTGACACGATCTTTGAAGGATATGGACCTGCCTCCTTGTTGGGCATGGCTCATGACTAGAGGGATGCACTCGGACTTCCAATTGGAGCGATGAGAATATAACAAAGGCTGACAAGTCAATGGTAGTCCAGGATCGGGATGGTTAAGGGAATACAAGATCGTTGCAGAACTCCTGACGTGTCATGTGGAAGTCCAGTCAAAGGCAAGTGCGACTGCCATGTAGAACCCGCATTCTGTTCCTCACACAACAAAGCAGCCCACGTGTTGTCGCTTATTCCCCAAACGAGAACTGATCAATTACGGCCGACAATCTGAGAAGCACAATATCGCAGCGGACAGGAGTGTTGGGAACCAAACATTTTCTGAGGTTACCACTTCTACAAGGCTGATCAAGCAGCCAGACGGTCACCAGCTTCATTGTCTTTGTTCCAAGGGACATCTGTCGCATCTATATCGATATTCAGGAAGTTTATNNCTGCGACACAGAGATTAGCCAGCTGTACTTTAGATCATTCAACAAGGATGTAGCCTACTAGATCGTCATTGGAGCCCATTCCACCGAACAGGGTGTGCTGTGATACACTCGCTTGAACACCTTNTTTGACTCTCTCTTCCCAGACGCCCTCCCAGTTCCATTGGCCAGGTCTTCGAGCACCACCTGGCTGTTGACGTAGGGTGGGGGACGCGGGGCTCTTTCCATCCTCTGGTGTCGCAGAGGNGGGTGTAGCGCCAATGACTCGCGCTCTGTGAGTCTGCCATGCGTGCCATGCACCTGGGTTGCCTGCCGCTTCGAGCGGCACTTTGTCGAGCACCTCGGCTGTGTCGAAGGTACTGCGCATGTAGAACAAGATCTGCACAATGGCGAGAGGACCGTACGACGACTGCGATCGCTCTGACGTCGATGCTATCTCTTCGCTTGAGCCAACCTGCGACGTAGGCTTCGGCTTGTTGCGTCCAAACCACTGAGGAAAGCCGTGTCGCAAGCTGAAGCCGCCGGGAGGCAGACGCTCGTCATCGGTGGCATGAACGGTATCAGCGCCTGTGTCGCTCGTGGTGTAGGTGTATGTCGTCAGAGGAGTAACCAAGGGGTGGAAGATGTCGGTCGAGAAGGTGATGGTGGGAGGCTTGTCGGCGGCAAGGAGCAGGGAGAACTTGAGGATTGCGGGTGTATAGGGGCNCTAGAGCGTTTGAGAAGTCATCCAAGCATTCGTCACGGCGACCCTACCTTTGCGGATGAACAGCACACCCTGCCAGACGTGTGGATCGCGCGGTGTGGGTGTGAGGTAGATGCCTTTGGGACAGGCCTGTTTCACGCTCGCGCTACACAGAGACTTATGAGCTTCTCGCTGTACAGGCGTGTAGAAATAAACAGGCAAGCATACAANGTCCAGACGCCGTTGTTGTGCCTCGAAGGCCTGTGGCCCTGCGCGAGTGTTGGACTGCGCCAGAGACATTGAACAATAGGTGGTTGTGAGGTTGAGAATAAGGGTTGCTGTCTCCACGTCGCCCTTTGCATTGGAGACGGCGCTTGTTTCCTGCTGGTGACAGGCGCTAACGCAAAACACCCACTTACACACGACAAGCTCACAGGACAGTGCATCTTGATAGATCTGTTTCTGCGTGCTCTGCCTCTTCCACATTTACGCACGTAGAACGACACACGTCTCTTAGATCTTACCGTCCCAGTCCGAGCACAAACGATGTTGCAGTGATGGATCTCTGACCTGTCAATTGGGTTCAAGCCGGCGTCTATCGCGCGCGTCTCACAACGCTCCTGCTTTTGCTCGTGAAGCAACGACTTCGACTTTGTTTCTTCGCTCCATGCATGAGCAAGAGCACGGTAGTGACCCCTGTTGACCGCAGGCTGATAGGTCACGAGGTCTGCTTTGAACACGCGAGTATCTTTAAGCTTGCGGTCCAGCTTCTGGCAGCATCTGGATCTTCACTCTGGCCTGTGATTGCATGGTGTTGCGGCCCGTTCGCCCGTCGAGACATCTCTTGTACAGTACAGGCGTGGGCGTCGAGACAGCAATGGCCACGATAACTCCTCGTATGCACAATGCCATCTTATTGGCAGTATGTAGGCTGGCAAGCGACTGTTCTTCAACCAGTAGTCGACAGTCGCACGATTGCTCTGTTCTGTTTGGGGCTATGTCGAGAACAGCGACTCGTCCACAAACACGACATGCTGCAAAAACCCGCTCGCATGCCGCCGCGCCGGCTTGCTGCAGCCCACCCGACCTCCAGGAAGATTGATGCGACAGGGGATCTCGATGTCTCTTCACCGAGCAATCTGTACCATGACGTGGTGTCTCCATTTCCCAAGATTCCCCCAAAAGTCAAAATGCCAAAGTCGAAGACGGCGCATCGTAGAGGCGGAAACTAGAGAGCGTCTGGGATCGTGTCGGCGGGCCAAACCTTGCTGGGAGCCTACCGCAGCGTGTCCCTGAACTAGCGTGGGACCTGTCTGGAGTTGATCGAAGAAGGCCCTTGGAAGCTTCTGTCTCTCTACGGCTAGCGTCGCCGCCGAGCCATCCCGGAACCCGCTCGCCTGGTTTGCTCCCCTGCCATCGATAGATGAACCAGCTCTAGCAAATCTCCCAGATTCACAAAATCTCCCGGCATCTGATGCGTTACATGGACCCTTCTTCTTGCCATCTACAAGATACCATTCCGATACACCACCAATAACGACCCTCTGCTGCAGCCGGCAGGAGATCTCACCTTTCGGCTACTGACTGCCGCCAGTCGGGCGATAAGTTGACAGCTCTCGGCAGTGGTTGGTCGTGCAAACAGGGCGAGTGACCTCTCGAATGCTGTTACACACTGCCTGAGGTGTGTGGGAGTGTGTTGTCCTCCTCACCGCCAGTCAAATGGGTCGCTGACTCTGTAGTCAGGTTACGTGCAGAGCACATCATCTCTCGATACGCAAATCAATATACTAAAGATATCGGCGGCAGTGTCAATATATCGCCCAGTTTCCAGCAAAATAGGTCAAAATCTGGGAGATCATTGAGATATAGGGCTGTAGATTAGGCTCAATAAACCATCGTCGCTAAGCTCTGGGGCCGAGTTCCCCGAACCAATGGCGTCCCGCTAACCACGGCCTCGGGCGTGGAGTACAGGTTGGTTTCTGCTCCGCGCTGGTTCCACACAAGGTTTCATGACCAACAGGGGAAGCATGGAGCCTTTCGTGCTTCCGCGATCCGCGAGATATTCGCCCTCCTGCCCACGCACACAGGCCAATTCCTTAGGAATGCACTTCACCGACTGTAACGGCGACCCGCTCTTGCTAGATCTGCCTGTCAGCGGCAAGGTGACGATGGGTAATGTTAATAATCTTTTCGCCCTGTCTTCTTCCTCTTGTTCCATCAAACGCGCCACCTGACTTGTCCCTCTTCACCGTCTCTTGAGTGGTACCACCATTCGTGCTGCACGCATCCGCCGGTCATTGCTTCTGAGTCCCATTACGTTCGCAGCATCTACCCGGATCCGCGGTTCTTGCGTTCCACCACCTGGACAAGACGTTTTCATCATTGCATTGTCAGCCGCTCCAAGACAGTTTACCGGGATTCGATTTGTTCATAAAGGGCTTGCCCTTGCCAGGACTTGAAACAGTTGTGCTCTCTTATTCCCCCTCAGCTCGTACAAAGGAATTGGAATCCCTCACCGTCTGTCCTGTCCCACTCTTGTCCGCATCATGTCGCCCTCACATGCACAACATCGTCGAGTGCAACAGCAATCGAGTGCCTTTCCTACTCGACAATTGTTTGTGCTAGGTATGTCTCGACGTCTAATCTGTCTATGTATCCAGGTGGCTGACAAAAATTGANNAGCATTATGCCGTATATGCGAGCCAATTGCCTTCATGTCAATTTTTCCCTATGTCTATTACATGATCTCTTCTTTCCACATCACCAATGACGAGAAGCAAATTGCTCTCTACGCTGGCATGGTCACATCTGCGTTTGCCTTTGCCGAGTTCTCGACAGGAGTCATGTGGGGTAGATTGAGCGACAAGGTCGGACGCAAACCAATCCTCCTTATGGGATTGGCAGGAACCGGCATCAGTATGATTGTCTTTGGATTCTCTCCCAACCTAACCACGGCTCTTATTGCTCGTGCTTTGGGAGGTCTCCTCAACGGGTAAGTCGAGCAACGATCGATCTTACTCTAATTCTGACGAGTATCAGANAACATTGGTGTCTTGCAGACAACCGTCGCAGAAGTAGTCACTGTCGAAGCACACCAAGGTCAGCAAAGCTCCTCGTGTCTCTCTGCAGTCAATCACTGACAAGATATAGCACGTGCATATTCAATCATGCCCTTCGTTTGGTGCCTTGGGTAGGCCTGCCACTTATGCCATTAGCGCCATTTTACTTACAGTCTCAGATCAATCGTCGGCTCTGGTCTAGGAGGAACTCTCGCGGACCCTGTGCGCAATTACCCTGGTTACTTCGAGCAAGGTTCGCTGTTCGACAAGTTCCCGTACCTGCTTCCAAACTTGGTCTGCTCAGGAGTTGTCATCTTCGGCATGGTGGTCGGCATTCTGTTCCTTGAAGAGACGCACGAGGATCTCAAAGATAGAAGGGATTATGGCCTCGACGTTGGTGACTGGATTCTAGACTTTTTCCGGCCGAATCAGCTCGACGAAAAGGCTGGTGAGACATTGGCTCTGTTCGAAGACGCTGCTGCTGGCTATTCCTCCAGCCAGTCATCTCCAGCCGTAAATCCAATCCTCGTTGGAGAGCTGCCGAATGAAGCCCAGCCCGTATCTTCGCAGATTCCGGGATCCCGTCGCCACGATGCAGCTGTCTCAAGAGCCTTCACATGGCAGGTCTGTCTCAACATTATTGGATATGGTATCCTTGCNCTAGTAAGTTTTACTTGAGGGAACCTCGAGAAGCATTCATATTGACGAACTGCCAGTCACACAATCTCGGCCGAACAGCTTCTTCCCGTACTTTTCAGCTTGCCCGAATCTCACCAGGCTCCTCACTTACCATTTCAATTCTCTGGAGGCTTTGCCTTGCCAACAAAAGTCATCGGTTTCATTCTGTCCGCTCAAGGCTTCATCCAGATGTTCGCTACCCTGTTCGTTTTTCCATTCGTCAACCGTAAGATTGGGAGTTTAGCTACGTTTCGGCTCGTCATTCTCTCATATCCGGTTCTTTACCTGATGGTTCCTTACCTCACGCTTGTCCCGACGGCTCTTCGTATGCCCTGTATCTATTTCGTACTCGTCTGGAAGGTCACAGCACAAGCTCTGTCGTATCCATCTCTTGCCATTATGCTGGCCAACGCAGCTCCATCGAAGAAGGTTCTCGGTACCCTGAACGGTGTAGCAGCCTCTTCAGCAAGCTTGTGCAGAGCGTTTGGCCCCACACTATCAGGCTTGGTCCAATCGTTGGGCCTTTCCATTGGCGTGCTCGGTCTCCCCTGGTGGGCAAACAGCTTCGTTGCAGTCATTGGCGCCGTTCTCAGCTTACGCATGGTCGAAGAGAAACGCCGACACTCGAAAGCCGAGGAGGCAAGTCTGGACTCGGAAGACCTCCCATTCCTGGACGCAGACGTGCTAGAGAGCTCTGACGAGGAATTCTGCCATTGATCTTCTGGAGCAGCGTCGTGTCGGTCGAAACACCAAAATACCTTTTGTACGACTCATACAATTTTCTCATTTCGAGTGTCACTCGGATTCCCTCGCTTACGGAGTTGCCATTCTTTTTATAATCGTTCCGATTCGTTTCAAAAGTTCACCTAGATGAAAGCAGTTTTACGGCAGGCTCCGTATTTATTCAAGCGATCCGAGATCAGCTTTAGACCAGTTTTCATTGCTATTTAGGGAAGGTCTTTTGGGCGTTTTTCAGTGCTTGCTATGGTCAGCATTAGGTGTCTGGTTCAAGATGAGGGAGTTAGGCAGTCGGTTTTATATACCCGTTTTCACTCGGGAAGGTCTTGCTATGGAAGGGAATGGCGTTGTTGCTCTGTATGAGATGCGATCTTGCTTATCAAGACATTACGTTCGCTGTAACAAGGATACGACTGGTAGTTTAGCTGCGTTGATGCTTTCTGATAGATATGGCTGGATATGTCAATTGCTGTCTTTGCCAGATGATCTTTCTGTCCGTGCTCCTATTTTCACTTGATTGGACTACAATATCGAAACTTTGCAACGGAGTATGTTAACTGATTGAGGTTCGAAGACAAGCGTGGTGCTCATCCGATACCATCAGGTTACCATCGAAATGGTTTAAGATAGGCCAACCCCGCAGCACCTCGGGCAATGATGATCAGTCTTCCAAGTTCCAACACTCAACACACCTTGTGACTTCGATTGCTTCAACTTGAACACTCATCAAACTCATACTCGAGAATGTCCAGCAAAACAGCAATCTTGACCAACAAGGCACCAAAGCCTCTGCCGGGCATCTACAGTCAAGCTATCGTCGCCAATGGTTTTGTCTACTGCTCAGGAGCTATTGCTGGAGACACAACAGGCAAGATAATCGACGGAGACATCCAAGCCCACACTGTAAACCACTGGTTTATCCCCTCCAGAATCATGAACAGAATCATTGACACCTTGCACAGNCATCAATGCATCAAAAACCTTACCGCCGTACTCGAGGAAGCGGGAACGACCATTGACAAAGTCATCAAGGTGAATGTGTTCTTGGCCAGTATGGACGACTTTGCAAAGATGAATGAGGTGTACAAGACTTATTGGGGCGATGTGAAACCTAGCAGGACGTGAGTTGCCATGGTGGTCATGTTCTCTGGCTTCGATATGCTGACTATTGTGTACAGATGTGTTGCTGTCAAGACCTTGCCATTGGGTACGGATGTCGAGATCGAGTGTGTTGCAGTGTTGTAGACCGACACCGAAGGGTCTCAGATAGACATCTTGTATACACGATTTGGCTGACTCTGTCTACATCTGGTCAGGGTGGCACTTTCGGCAAGTTCTCGAAGAATAATTTATCTCATGTTTGGTCTTCAAACATACTTGAGTGTCACTGCAATATCTTACTACCATTCAGTGACCTCCTTCGAGATGAGAGAGCAGTTTGGTGGTCATGTTTGAAATATTGCGCTTTCCAATGTCACACCGAGCGTACTGACCCAGTTTGCTCGCAAAATCACTCTAATTCAGCGTCCAATATTGCCAGAGCCTACGAGACATTGAAATAGCATGAAACTGTTGGACCACCAATCTAGCTGCCACGGAGTCAAATTACTATATCTTGCACATTGAATCCCGGTCACTTTTATGTCAACAGAAGCTGGCGGTAGGTGGTGTGGATATTTGTCCTTATTTTCTTTGGAGGAAAAACATATCCGAATCTAGCCGCTAGCACACTAATATGGTTAGCGGCCCAACCGTGTTCCGACATCCTTTCTCCACGCATGCAAAAAACCCAATGACCCGGGGCTTATCAGTGCATATGATCAGATATCGGGCATAAGAGAAACAGGTCAAAACACGCGACGAGTCATTATCACCGAAACGACTCGAGACCACTGCATCACGAAACCTGGGAAAAAGAGGTGCTACTAAACGCGGAACTTCTCACCCGTGTATGCGCCCCTCTGTGCAACAAGACAAGTCAGAGACAGACCCCGGTGGCCTCCGCGTAGCCGCTTCGCGCTTGCTTTCGTGAGCGATGCCGACCGCGAAATGAACAATCCTACCGAGTCATCCAACAAGAAGAAGCGTGCCAATCCGCAGGCCTCTGACGCTGCTGATGAGGCCGTCGAAGGTGGTTCTGGCGACGGTACTGCCGCCGGTGCTGCTTCCAATGGCGCGTCTTCGGCTTCGTCATCAAACTTTCGCAATGTCAGCGCGTGCAATCGATGCCGTCTGAGAAAGAACCGCTGTGACCAGAAGTTGCCAGCGTGCACGAGTTGCGAAAAGGCCAATGTCAAGTATGTATGCTGTTCGATTTCGAAGTGAATGTCTCGACTTACCCATGTCAGATGCGTCGGCTTCGATCCCGTCAGCAAACGGGAAATACCAAGGAGGTAAGAAGCCACAGTCTAGATGTCCTTGGCTACCACTGACATAACANNCAGCTATGTGTACTATCTGGAGAGTCGAGTGCAGCATCTGGAGTCGCTGCTTCAAAGCAACAATATTCCTTACGCACCCACAGATGACTTTAGCATGAGCGTGGTGACACCTACCTCGCCCGCCATACCATCCACAGGCGAGGTGACGATTGCAGGGGCGCAGAAGTTTGCTGACAACAGCTCTGGTCCTGCTTCTGTTGTATCGAATGAGCAGACTGAGCAAAAGCAACTCTCCAATCTCGTCCACAACATTGGAAACGTTTCAGTATTAGGAGCTTCAGATTCTAGGTATCTTGGCTCCACTTCCGGCATTTCCTTTGCCAGAGTCGTCTTTGCCGCAGTCAAGAGCTCAGTATCAGGATCGACATCTGAACGTGGCGGGGTTCGTCCTTCAAAGCCACTTACGAGTGCAGCTACAGGAGGAACTACCATGAGAGACTCGTTCTTTGGACTTCAGACGAAACCCGCCATCAAACCGGCAACTTTCCCTGACAAGGATATCGGACGGCGATTGATGGAGCTATATTTCGAACACTCCAACCCTCAGATACCAATTCTTCATCGTGGAGAGTTTATGGCATTATTTGACAAAGTTTACGCCACCGAGGAGAAGAAGAGAACACCACGAGAGCTATATATGCTCAACATCGTCTTTGCCACAGGTGCCGGAGTCATCCTAGAAGCCTCTGTTAAGAACAATGATGGAGAAAATGCAGCCGATGGCAAGGCTGGACAGAGTCGTAAGAGGCAAAAGCTCTCTCATGAGCAATCGCGGCCAGAAGAGTACCACGCTTCGGCTATAGTGCACCTGGAGTCATTCCTCGGATCTTCTTCCGCAACAGAGGGAATTGGCGGCGGTCTTGAAGAACTCCAGGCTGTCCTTCTTCTGGCAGGATTTGCGCTACTCCGTCCGGTTGCACCAGGTCTTTGGTACATCGTCGGTGTAGCTGTTCGTCTTGCTGTGGATCTAGGCCTTCACAATGAGGACCCAGAAGCTTCGACAGAAGTTAGTACGGCGCAGGGGCAGCCCGAGATGACCAGTGCTGCGAGAGAAGAGTACGGACGCCGTCAGTACATCCGAGACTTCCGAAGAAGACTGTGGTGGTGCGTCTACTCTTTCGACCGCTTGGTTTCAACTTGCGTTGGCAGACCGTTTGGCATCACAGACCAGGTGATCACGACCGAGTTCCCGACGTTGCTCGATGACAAGTACATCACACCAACCGGTTTCCTTAGCCCACCACAAAATGAGTATGGAAGCATTCCGAGCTACAAGCATGTCTCATATCACTATTTCCGGCTTCGCTTGCTGCAGTCAGAGGTATTGCAAGTCTTGCAGCATCGCCAAACTCAGCAGTTCAGAGAACGGGGTACGGTGAACGGAGCCAATCGATGGATGCACACAGACCTTCCTTCACCGTTCTTGTCGAGGTACTCAAGCTTCAGAGAGTGGCGAGGTGACATCGATCGACGATTGTACGAATGGATCGAGTCTTCGCCCACACAGACAATGACTGGAGTTGCTTTCTCGCCACTGTTCTTGGAGCTCAACTACTGGCTTACAGTGACCATGCTATACCGCCAGTCTCTGTCCGTGCCTCCATCACTTGCTGGTGAGCTCGATGCTTCTACAGGCGATGACGTTACCAGTCCAGGCCACGTTGACTACGAAGAAGAAGACGAGGAGACGGTGTTCTTGAAAGTGGCCGAAGCCGGTCAAAAGACACTAAAGATCTACCGTCAACTACATCGCGTGAGATTGGTCAATCATACTTTCCTGGCTACACACCACCTGTTCATGTCTGGTATCTCTTTCTTGTATGCCATCTGGCACTCGACAGTGGTGAGATCTAAGCTCACACTAGACGACGTCGATTTTACCATTCTGGCAGCTACATCTGTGCTCGGGGACATGATCGAAAAGTGTCCTCCTGCTGAAGCGTGTCGGGATGCATTTGACCGCATGAGCAAAGCAACCATCGCGATGGTGGAGCAGACGACAGGATTCGGATCCCAAGCGCTACGATATATCGCACAAGCGCAAAAAGTACAGCAGCATGCAGACGTGTCCGCTGTAGGGGAGCACAACGTTAGGAAGACCAATAACAACTCAGTCATGGCGGCTCCCAACCAAGGCAGGCCCCACCAGCAACAGCAACAAGAGCAGCTACAACAAGCCAGACGACCTATGCCGCGATTTGACATGAATCTACGAGATCTGTTCACGGATGACGAGTCGACCAATCGGCCGTCAGCACAAAGAAGAGGGCCATTCCCAATGGCCAGGCCACCAAATTCTGGAGTCAAGCGTGAAGGAGGACCAGGACCAGCTTTCCCTGGTACACCTACTGGAGCCGCTTACCCGCAGAACCAAATATCTCCGCGCCTATATGCGCCCAGCCCGCCGATAGATCCATCACTACAGTCGACGCCGCCACCGATAGCGAGACAATCACCCAGCCAGCATCATTACTACCCTCGAGGAGGACAAGGCTATATGGCACCCGGACCTCAGGGAGTGCCAGGTCATCTCGAAGGGTTTGAGTTCTTGCAGGACTTCCAACTGCCAGACCAAGGTGGACCTCTTGGTCAAGCAGGACAAGCGCCTGGTAATTATGGAGAGTTCGATATGGGTTTCGGTGCAGGAGGACTTGCTTTCGATGGCGGCGGTCAACCGTGGGATGAACATGGAGGCTTCGACTTGTTTGATGGATTCTTCTTTGGAGGAACGAATGGAGGGGGTCAGAGATAGTAAAAGTAATGGACATGGTGGGACGTATACTCCGAACATGTCATGGTCGCAATCTATTGTTCTGCATTGCATCAATCTTCTTTCCATTCGGGTGAATTGTGAGAGCGGAAAGGGCAATCGCAAGCGCGAAAATGGTCCGTGCGAGATGCGGGAGCTTCGATTTCTCTTATGTGACGTTGGAGTGAAATATTATTTCAGATTCACTATACCAATCATGCCGATGAAAAAGGGTAGAGGCGTACGTCTTCCGAAGGACAGTGGCACGTACGGCGACTGACAAGATAACAGAACTTCCGCAACAAGGGCAAGGGCCGTGGAGGCGGCGGCAACAACTGGTCGACGGAGCGCAAGTCGTACGCCGAAGTGCCCAAGGTCAACGAGCAGTTCGAGAGACTGTACAATGACATGAACATTGTGCCCGAGGGCGAGGAGCGCGAACAGTTCTGGGCTGCCCTCCGTCGCGAGCTGCCCAACTCGTTCCGCTTCTGCGGCAGCAAAGGGTATCCACGACATGCACCAAAAGTGCTGCCAAACAGCAGCTGACTCTTCGCAGANCATGCGCTCGCCGTGCAAAAGAACCTGGACGAACACTTTATCCCTCAGATCAAGTCGATGAAGTTCGACGACCAGAATGTCGAGCCTCCGATGCCCATCAAGTGGTACCCCAACCAGCTGGCCTACTACATGACCACCCCCAAGAACGTCATTCGCAAGTTCCCTCCCTTCGCCGCTTTCCAGAAGTTCCTCGTCTCCGAGACAGCCGTCGGCAACATCAGTCGTCAGGAAGCTGTGTCTATGATTCCCCCGCTTCTCCTCGATGTCCAGTCGCACCACACCGTTCTCGATCTGTGCGCCGCCCCCGGAAGTAAGAGTGCTCAGTTGGTTGAGATGCTGCACGCTGGAGAAGAGTCGCGTATTCGCAAGGCTACAAAGCAATACCAGGACGAGAAGGCCGATCCCACAGCAGCTGCCGACGAGACTGTTGAGGGTAACGACTGGAGCGACGACGGTAGAGCCACTGGACTCTTGGTCGCAAACGATGTCAACTACCAGCGCGCCCAGATGTTGGTCCACCAGGTCAAGCGCCTGAACAGCCCCAACTTGATTGTCACCAACCACGACGCTACCATGTTCCCATCGATCGAGCTCCCCTCGGATCCCGTCCCTGAGGGCCAAAAGAAGCAGGGCAAGTGGCTCAAGTTTGACAGAATTCTTGCCGATGTCCCTTGCTCTGGTGACGGTACCTGCAGAAAGAACCCCAACATCTGGAAGGACTGGATTCCTGGTAACGGTCTTGGTCTCTACATCACTCAGGTTCGCATCCTTGTTCGTGCCATCCAAATGCTCAAGGTCGGTGGTCGCGTTGTCTACTCGACCTGCTCTATGAACCCTGTTGAAAACGAGGCTGTCATTTCCAGCGCCATTGAGCGCTGCGGCGGTATCGAGAAGATCAACATTGTCGATGTCAGCGACCAGCTTCCTGAGCTGAAGCGCTACCCTGGACTCAAGCAGTGGAAGATCATGGACAAGGAGGGTCGTCTCTGGAACTCTTGGGAGGACGTCGAGGACGCAAAGTCAAAGAAGTTTGAGGCTTCGCTCGAGCGTGTCGTTCCTGGCATGTTCGCCACCGCTGGCCACAACCTTCCTCTTGACCGCTGCGTCCGCGTCTACCCTCACCAGCAGGACACTGGTGGTTTCTTCATCACCGTTCTCGAGAAGAAGTCGGAGATCAGAGCCAAGCCCGAGGCCGAGACCAAGTCTGCCAACACCGCTCCCTCGGTCGTCTCTATCGCCAAGGAGATCGCGTCCAAGCCCGAGTCAGAGGGTATTATCCCTAAGCTCGAGACCGTGGAGGAATACGCCCCGCATGACCCTAACCGCATCGTTGAGACTGGTACTGCTTCTGCTGCTCAGCGCCAGAACAAGGAGGCCATTACTGACCTCGATACTGCATCTAACAAGCGCGGCCTTGATGATGTCGGTGACTCTGCCGCTCAGGACATCAAGAGAGTAAAGACCGAGAAGGACGAGGGTGTCGGTGCTGGTGCCGTCGGCGAGGTTGGTCAGATGGAACACTGGCCCGTGCCTCCATCCGCTCCTCTCAGACAGGACGAAGTCACCCCTGACGAGCCCGCCGCTATTGCCGCAGCCTCCGCACCCCGTGGCCGTCGCAACAACCAGCCCCACGAAGAAGCCTTCAAGTATCTCTCACCATCGCACGAAGAACTCGACGGCATCTTCGACTTCTACCAGCTCTCGTCCCGCTTCCCCCGCGACCGCTTCATGGTGCGCAACGCCCTCGGCAACCCCGTCAAGGCAATCTACTACACCACCGCTCTGGCCAAGGACATCCTGACCAAGAACGAAGGCCGCGGTATGAAATTCGTACACTCCGGCGTCAAAATGTTCGTCAAGCAAGACGCCCAAGGCCAAGACATTTGCCGCTGGCGCCTCCAAAGCGAAGGCCTCCCCATCGTCGAAGGCTGGGCCGGCGAAAACAGAATCATCCACTGCCACAAGCAACAAACCCTGCGCAAACTCCTGATCGAGATGTTCCCTCGCGTCAACCACGAGCACTGGAAGGAGTTGGGTGAGATTGGCGAAAAGGCAAGAGATATCGGTATGGGATGTTGTATTCTGCGCGTCGAGCCTTCGGAGCATGAAGATGGGTTCAAAGAGAGATTGACGCTACCGCTGTGGCGCAGTATCTCGAGCTTGAATTTGATGTTGCCCAAGGAGGAGCGTCGCGCTATGTTGCTGAGGCTCTTCAAGGACGAGTCGCCGCTCATTGATCACAGTCAACAGCCTAACCGCAAGAACGCTGAGGCTACAGCTGCTGCAACAGCGGCACCAGAAACTGTTGTTGACAGTGAAGGTGGTGTGGCACTCAACGACACCGATGCTGATATGGAGGATGCAGATGCCACTGCTCCTGTCGGCGAGTCCGGAGTCGCCACGGAGGAATCAGGTATGGCTACTGAAGATGCACTTAGAGCACAACAACAGACCATCGCCGATGAAGATCAAGCCGTAGCCGCAGCGCCAGAACGCGAAGGCGAGACTGACGAAGCCAACACTACCGTCTAAAGAGATGTCATCTATATTCATAGGACAAAGACCTCTGGCTCTGGATAAACAGAGACTAGAAGGCAGGGGAGAAATGAAAAAAAAAACACTGCTTTTGTGTTCTTGAAAAATTCCACTTCCCCCAAAAACATGTTTTGATGCATGATCCGATCTTGCCATTTACCGTGTTGAAACAAAGAAGAATATCGTGCAATTGCTTCTTCTTTCATACAAACTGTCGTGACCAAAAGGAAGACAGCAAGAGATTCTAGGAAGTCACGGACGTGATTGCTTTACTTGCTCTCACGTGTGTAATAAACACAAATACCATCAGACGGAAGCTGGAAGGTCGATATCGATATGGAAGCCATTCCGGTCGCAGTCGCCAATCGTTGCAGAAACAAAAAGGTATTCCGATGAAAACCTCTGTTCAAACACCAGAGCAGGTTTGCACTGTCTTGTCACTGGAGGGGGTTTGAGAAAAGGGAACAAGATGAAACAAACATTTGTAAAAAGGCAACTAAGCTAGGTACAGAAAACCAAAACAGGGGGTATAGAGTTCCAAGATATCCAAACACAACCAGTATATAAAGAAAACAAAAAACGAATATACATCCAAGATGACGGAGATTAAGAAAAGTATATGTGAAATCCTCCAAATGAACGCCCGGTATATCGTGGTTCTATCGTGATAGATCATTCTATTGAGATGACGAGTTTACTTCAACAACCCGCCTACATCTTGTAGATCTAGATCGTCGCTTGCAGGTAACTGCCGAGAAATTGTAGGCACCGCTATTCGAGGCGCTTGAGCGTCTGGCGGTATACTTGATGGAGGTGCTCGCGTGGTAGGTGATATTGGTTCCTGCTGCATGGGCCTGCTTTGGGTGGGCAGACTACCTCCAAGCAGACCGCCGATGTCTTGCAGACTCAGTGTATTACTGTCCTCGCGCTGTCTCTGCGACCGCGAACCTGGTCTTGATGTCGTGGTGCCATCTCTGCTTTGTGCCGGACGCGATCGTGATCGCTCTCGGTTTCCAGAAGTTCGTTGTGATCGGCTCCTTGTCAAGGATAGCCTTCCACCAAGATCTGAAAGTATGTCGTGAGTTGGTCTAGAAGCTCCTGGTGTACGAGGGCCCTGGATTGCAAAGTCCTGAGTTGTAGTGCCGGAGGAACCGTTTCGGGGTTCGTTACCACCGAGCAGGCCACCCACATCGAAGAACGAAACGCTTTGGCCTGTGGCTGTCGAGGGTGCGGTGTCCGAGGGTTTACGGAGAGCATCGGCACTGTCGTGTGGGCTGGGCGGACCATCACTGATATTGGCAGGCGACATGAGCAGATCGTGGTGATGAGGTGCTTTTCGGTTTGACGAGATGCGGGCAACTGGCGCGGGTCTGGGCAGAGGAGACTTGGGCTCACAGAGCTCTTCGGGCATGCGAACACCCATCTGTCTGAACAGAGCTTCCTCGCTGTCGCGATGGATAGACTCGATGGTGGCACGACGAGTGTCGGCGCGAGATATCGTATCCAGAGTAGCGTCGGGCCTGTACTTGTTCCTCTTGACTCCCCGGTCTTTGACAAAAGTGCCCAGAATGATGGCGTTGGAGACGGCGGCAGAAGCGAGAATCTCGATGGATGCCCAGACAGTGCGGTATTGTTGACGTCCATGGTGTTTGATGACGTTAGGCATGCGCAAGCCTGTGATGACTATAAGGGCGACAGAGAAGCTGAAGAGGCAGACGAGCGAGAGCTTGCGCTTGAGGGGGATCTGGGAGCGTAGGACGATAGGGATGGGGAAGCCAACCAGAAGAATGTCGGTAATGATGTCGGCAGTACCCATGGTAATGAGCTGTGCATAGCCCCGTCTGCATTGAGGGCCGGGGTCTGGCACGACTTGCCAGTAATGATTGAAGGGTTGGCATTCGGAAAGAGTGGCTATTACTACAGCGATAAAAGTCGCGACCAGAAAGACGCGTATACAGTGCAGAACAATCTCGTAGCTGCGTCTCCAGATGGCACTTGTGATGCGCTTCAGGAACTCAGAAACAGTGAATTTGCTAATCCAGATGAAAAGAGCGTAGTTGATGCGGGACGCGAGGACCAGTTTGGAGCCTATTTGGCGGAGGTATATTTCGTAAGGGGTAAGATGTGCAGACTGGACATTGTTGGTGCCATACATGAGGATGACATGGACCAGACCCATGCGCGCGAGCAGCGGGATCAGACTCAGAGCCATGACCTTGTCCTCTTGGAACAGGCGTCCACTTCGAATCTTCCTCCCAGCCAGGCGTGTGAGGATGATGACAGCAGCAAAGGCGGTACACCACCAGCTGAAGAGGAGGGTCGGCCAATTTCCACGTCGCGTGCGAGGCTCAGGAGGAGCATTGTTCCATAACCCCATGCTCCTTTCTGACAGAGCCCACCGCCTCCGCAGAGGGGTGAGCGTTCAACGTCGTCCTGTGATAGATGGAGAGAAAGACGGGCCAGTCGCAACTGCACGAATGAAGCCTCGTCGTCGTACGTGAATTCCTAGTCGTGACGCTTGGGCCGTCGCTTCCTTGTTGCCGGGTTTGTACAGAGAAAGCCCTTGCACACACTGAATTGTCGATACAATAATGCGCCCGTCGCGTGTCGTCGGGTAGTATGTGTAGCAATGGAAGAAAACCGGTCCTTCTGCTTCTCGAGAGTCAGAGACGGCGCAAAGGATACTGCCGGGCGATAGCAACACATTCGGTCAGTGTCCCTTGTCCACAACGCCACTGATCCAGACTCCAAGATAAGCACCCAAGAACGTTGCGACCTCCCTGCCAAATTCTACCTCATGTCATCAATATATCGACTCGACCCAACGATATCTTAACGGCTTCTCTCATCTCCGTATGAACTATCTGTCGCACCGCCAGTAACTTGAATCGATTCTAAAGGCTTGTCTGCTTCCATCACAATTCTCCGACGAGGGACGACATCCGAGCGACAGCCGCCATGGTGGGGTACTGCAGATCTTGTGCATCCGAATCACATACAGACACAGTTGACCCTAAGCCGTTCTTACGCCAATCGCAAGTTGAGACCGTGGATTACTGAAGACCATCTCCGAGCGTCCCGGTCATTAGATTGTCCTGAAGAGAATATCCAGACAGAACACTTGCCTTCTAGGTACAGTATAATTACTCCTCGGCCCTTCATATGGGTCCTGAGTCGCGGCTCTCAAGATGCCACGTTCGGCATCATCCGTAAACCCTCATCAGCCTGAACGTCTCTCCATCTTGTCCATTTGCACCTTCTCTGATGCACCAACGCACTTCATCATCTTCTTCTGGCTCTGCTTGTCACTCTGGTCTATCTTCATGAAGCTAGACGATACAATATGTAGGTTGATAGTCGTCTGTATTCGCATGAGATATTTCCGTCCTCATGACCACAAAACAAAGATCAAGCGACCAATGACCCCGCTTCGCATGCTGAAACGATGTTCGCTACTAGATCTGCCACCCTATATATGAGGGCCCTTCGGTTCTATACATAGTCGAAGCTGAACATGCCCTACTCTGTAAGCGATGTACTTAGTGCTGTGAAGCAACGCAGGGCTCGCTCTGGTCGGCATGCCAGATATTTGGTCAAGGTTGGTCAGAAGCTATATTAGTCTGACCAGCAGTGAGCCGACTTCTTTTGCGTATTCTCTCGTTTCCCCTCTTCTTTGTCGGCTTCTATTCTACATGTGCTAATCTACAATGCAATCGTTCATATTGGCCCTCACTCTTTTGGGGCTTGTCCCAGGTCTTCTTGCTCTTCCCACAAACAGCGGTTCTCACGTCAAACAGCCTCTCGAGAAACGTGATACTCGCACTACTGCACCAACAGGATGTCTCTCGGTTGGGTCTGGAGCCACGTACTCGACCATCGCTTCTGCCATCAAGGCTCTAGGCAGCTCAAAGAATGATGCATGTATCTATATCAAGAGTGGGACTTACAAAGAGCAACTGACTATCGACTACGCTGGCTCTCTGACTCTGTATGGCGAAACCGCCGACACTTCAAACTACAAGTCCAACAGGGTTCTGATCACTCATGGACTCAGCTCTCCAGCTGCTGGTAGTCTCGATGCAAGCTCGACGATCAACATCAGAGTAGCAAATTTCAAGATGTACAACATCAATGTCGAGAACAGCTTTGGGACAGATGCTCAGGCTGTTGCGGTAACTGCCAACGCTGACAAGCTTGGCTTTTATGGCTGCTCTTTCCTCGGTTATCAGGATACTCTTTACGTCAAGGCTGGCACTCAGTACTATTCCAATTGCTTGATCAAGGGTGCTGTTGACTACATTTTCGGTGACGCTTCTGCCTGGTTCGACTCCTGCACCATCATGAGCAATGGTCCTGGTGCCATCACTGCGTCATCTCGCACAACTAGCGACGAGTCTACCTGGTATGTCTTCAACAACGTCAACGTCGTGTCCGACGGCACAAACCTTGTCGGGAAAGTATTCCTTGGACGTCCTTGGAGAGTCAACGCTAGGGTCATGTTTCAGAAATCACAGTTATCAAACGTCGTTAATGCAGCTGGATGGACCGACATGGCCGACGGCGCTACACCCAAATACTACGAATACAGAAATATGGGTGACGGTTCCAACACTTCTAAGCGTAAGTGGACGATCAATGCCACTGGTGCAATCAGCATCAACACTGTTTTGGGGGGTAGCTATGCTTCTTGGGTCGATCAGACAGGCACTGGTTTGACCTCAGCGGTTTCGTCTGTTGCCGACTCCAAGGCAAAGAGTGTCACTACCACAAATCCAGCCTCAGCCAAAGGCCCTGTCTGCACGCCGATTGCAGGAGGCTCTCCAAGCAAAGACGACACTCCTGCCATCCACACTGCTATCCAAAAGTGCGGGAATGGTGGCACCATTGTCATACCTGCTGGCAAGACATACTATCTGAACACTGTCCTCGAATTTGATGGCTGCAAGTCTTGTGTGTTCCAACTTGATGGTACCCTGAAGGCTTCGGACGATCTCAATTACTGGGAAGGCAAAACTGCCATCCTGAATCTCAAGAATGTGCCGGGCCTTACATTCACCGGCGCTGGTGTTATCGATGGCAATGGCCAAAAAGCTTGGGATCGCTTTGCAACCGACAGCTCATACAAACGTCCTACTCTCTTCTACATCGATGGAGGGCACGATATCAACATGCATGGCTGGAAGATGATTAATCCACCCAATGTCTTCCACTCTGTCAAGGGCAATGCTCTCAATGTTGCTTACTCCAACCTCAACATGTCTGCCGTCTCGATTTCCAAGAACCTTCCTAAGAACACTGATGGTAAATGATCAGGATCTGCCAGTCATTTTTAGGCTCGACTAACAAAATCTTANGGCTTTGACATTGGTGACTCGACATTCGTCACTCTCAACAATATCACTGTCCTCAACAACGACGATTGTGTCGCTTTCAAGCCGGGCGCCAACCACACCACTGTGACCGGCATCACTTGCACTGGCTCTCATGGTCTTTCCATCGGCTCGCTCGGCAAATCGAGCGCTGACACAGTCGCAAACATCTATGTCTCAGACGCCACCATGATAGATTCGACCAAGGCTGTCGGTATCAAAACATACCCCATGGGCAATGGTCATGGTGTCTCGACCGTCACCAATGTCACTTACAGCAACATCAAGGTCCAGAACTCTGACTATGCTATCCAGATCCAGAGCTGCTATGGTGAAGATGAGAGCTACTGCACGACCAATGGTAACAATGCTATCTTGAAGGGGATCGTGTTTGAGAATTTCTCGGGAACTACTAGCAAGAAGTACTCACCTGTGACCAGTAACCTGAACTGTGGAGCCCACGGGGCTTGCGATGTGAAGATCAAAGGCTATACTCTCAATGGTGGTTTAGGGGTTGATGAAGTACTTTGTGCCAACACGCCGGGATCTTTGGGTGTTGCTTGCACGAAGGGAGCATCTGGCTGAACGAAAACGTATCTTCTCATCGGCGTCTCCGTGTGCTGAGCTTCGTAATGAACATCGGTAGAAATGCATGATACCACTGAAAGTTTGCCAATCTTCAGTGACGCTCGTGGGCTCTCGTCGGGCGCATCTCTACTTTGAACTTAGATTATGCATTTTGAAGGCTGACAATATTGATTGACCTTGTCGTCTGCTTCTCCTTTCTCTCCACCATCTCGATCAATCTTATTTTTCTGCGGGTCGCGCTTGTCACCTCAATTTTCATTCACTTTCACTCCGAGTATCTCCTCGCTTCTACCGCATGCATCCTACTTGATTGAACACCTCTACATGCAACACTCTCATCATTGTGTTCAACCCCAACAGGACGAATGATGTCGAGCCCTCCACCATCGCCAGCCCCATCTAAGAGTCCAAGGGGGAGAACCCAGCGGTATGTTTCTTATATTCTGACATCCACGAACTGTCGCTGATCTGTACAGTCAAAACAGAGCGCCCGGCACGTTCTTCAACGACGAGACATTCTCAGACATCCGCGTCAAGTTCGGTGACCAGGAGATCTTCGCCCACAGACTCATCCTCGTGAAGAGCTCCATCTGGTTTGAGACAGCACTTCTTGGCGAGTTCAAGGCAAGTCAATCTGTCAGACTCACTAGGTATAGTTCTGGATTTTATTGCGAGGATTCACAGCAATAGAAGTGAAAGGTGAGAGTGATCTCTCCACGTGCAGAGATATGTTGACTCATATTAGATAGCACTTCTTGTCACTTTAGTCCGAGCAGTACACTGTCACTCCGCGAGGCGCTGCCGTTTCTGCCATTCAACCTCTGTCGCCAACTCCCCTTCTCCTACATCAACTGCCGACAATATCACAATACTCTAAGCAGTTATGGCCCACGACACAGCTACTAAGCCCCGCGGTGTGAAAAGGTTCGCCATAGATCGTCTATTCCAGAAGATCTTATTTCTGACGTGTATAGAAAGCGCAACTTCCTCGACGATCAGGAACTATCAGATGTCGTGATCAAGTTTGGAGATAAGCAAGTTTTTGCTCACAAGATCATGCTTGCCAACGGTTCAGCCTGGTTTGAAAAAGCCTTGCTGGGTAGTTTCAGTGTATTGTGGTCCTGATCGAGTGATGAATCTAGACTTTGTTAGCTAATCTGAATACAGGAAGCAAACAAGAAGATCATCGAGCTGCACGACGATATCAATCCGGAGGTCATCATGGCTATGCTCAAACATCTCTATGGTTCCAACTACTACCAGCAAAAGATACTGATCGGAATCAATGGATCTGCTGCATTCCATCTTGAGGTTTTCATGCTAGGCGACAAGTACGACATCAGCTCCTTACGCGAAGAGGCCTCGGAACGGTTCACGGATGTTTTGGAACATGAAACTGACCTTGTCAACTTTCACGATGCAACCATTCATGCCATCCAAAGATTGCTTGGTCCTGATGCTTCGCAGCTTGCCGACCAGTCTTTGGTAAAAACCACCAAAGCTCTCGTTCTCGGTAATTACGATTGTCTGTTCTGGAACAAAACTTTCCGCAGATTGTTGGCCAGAGGAACAATGCTTGAGGAAGATCTTGCGTATGACTTTCTGGACAAGGTGTTGAGAAGAGATTGTGCGCGTCCTGAACGGTCATGAGGAAAGAAGAGGAAGCCACAAAAAGACCGGCTTACATATCAAGTTGTTGTTAATAGGAAAGTGTGCCGAGATCCTCCGGATCGCGGAAATGGTACAAATATCGTCTCCAATACATACCCATATCTGTACGCTATGTATCTTTTTGTGAATCCACATGAAAGGGCAGAAAACAAAAGAAATGTAGCATACAGCAGCAGAGTTGTCTTGATCGCATTTCGTCTCATAACTTGCTATACCACAGGTAATTATATTCGCAGGCAGTGCCCGACGTGGGAACCAGTATCCTCTCCCTTCAAAAAGTCCAGTAGCAGGCATCTGAATAACCTTGTGCAGACCTTTCGACATTAACCAGAGAGTTCCACGCAGCCATCGCGTCATTGAAAACGTCCTCCTTCTCGCCAGCTGTAAAGTCGCGCTTGGGATCTGTCTCGGAGAGTGCGCGATCGCATTCAATGCGCGAAACCTGGCGTAGCACTTCCAGTAACACTTTGCGCCAGGGAGGATCGTGACCGCCGCTGAGACGTGCCAAAGCATACTCAAAGTAGGCAGGAGCAACGTTGGCCAATTCCCAGTCGAGAAGGCCTGTTACCTGGAGTGTAGATGGGTCGATCAGAATGTTTCGATCTGACAAGTCCCCGTGCGTTAGGACGGGCAACTCCGAAAGACTCGTCTTCCCTGCAGATGTCTCTTGCTGGACCTGCTCCAGCTCTTGTATACGACCTTCGTCTATGCCACTTTCCCCTGCAAAATTGCGGAGCGCATGCGCACGAGATGCATTCCATTCTTGGTATGTATAACAGAAAGAGTGAGCATTATGTGGGCCAAATTCGGATGGGGTAACGTAAAGCTGGCCAGTTGGGCGGCCGTAATAGTTGAGCTCTTCACGTGATTCACGCATTCGAACAAGCAAGTCAACAAGGCTTTTCATGACTTTAGCCTGGTCTGTGAGGTCGAGTGTTGACCAGAGCTCGACAAGAGGAGTACCTGGTTGACGCTTTAGGAGCACGCCTTGCTCATGAGGTGGATTGGCAATGCGAACCAGCCCGGACACATTGGGCACGACTTTGGCAAGAATTTTGTTAGCAAGAGCAGTCATCACTGCCTCGCCATCGTCCGTGCCAAGCTTGAGGATAGTCGAGGGTCCATAGATGTAGAAGCGACGGCCAAAACAGGGTATGGTGGTGCCTGTAAGGCGAGGTAGTTCTGGTAGGGTCGGCCATGTGATCATTTGATACGATTCAGCATTGCTCGTCATATCTGCATTGTCTTGAGAGCGCGGCGAGAGCGACATGAGTCCGGTTGTGTCTTTTTCCTCGGACGGGCTGATCGAGTGATTTGGTGGCTTCAGTTTGTAGGACTTACTTGGGGAAGCTCGTAAGGTCGTCGTGTGTCAAAACCTTGCCTGGCTTCGAGCGATCAATCTGCACTAGAAACAGTGGGAAAGGCTGCGATCCGATCTTTGCAGGAGCACTTGATCGGCTCTCCAGGCTCGCGAATACTGCAGACCGCAAAGCCTGTTCGATGGATAACACACTGTAACCTTCGGGGCCAGGAGTTCCGTGCCCATTCAAAATCTTGGTCGCCCGATCACTGACTTCCACCAAATATTCGTTGATGTCGTGGCCCGCAGAGTATATCGAGACCGTAGCAATCTGTTCACGAGACCGTTCTGTAGTTCCACGGTAGATGAACGCCGGTGGTGTAAGTTCAATTTGCTCCACGTCGCCAGTTTCGGGCACGATGTGCAGCAAGCTGGTCGAATTCGGGCGCTTTGGAACGAGGACTACTGATGGACTGGTTCTGCGGCGGGCGCCTGCTAGTATTTCTTTCACACGGGCAAGCATCTCATGAAATCGTGGTGGGATGTCAAGGAGTGAAGACACAGAGCTCGAGTAGATGGAGATAAGCAAGGGAATGCTAGGCATCGGGCTCGGATTCGCTCATTTGCTGCCTGCGGAAGGTGAGTTTTGAGCGCGAGATCCGCGCCGATCGCGTGTCTGGTCTCTTTGGCTCAGTGTTAGCTTTCGTCCCTCGGTGCTACAACACCACCGTTCTCGTCGTCAAAACTCGAGCGACTTGAGCTACAAGATCGGTCTTGACACAGTGTCTCTACAGCAGATCGAGTTGTATGTAGGTGAAAACGTCGCTGTAAATGCATGAATTTACGCGCCGCAAATCCCCACTGCTCAGCTGAGACCCTTGCACCACACATTTTGCCATCACACCGAGTCGCCCTGCCTCTTCTGTCTCACTTATCTCGATCACAATACTTAGTTCTCGCTCAATCATCAAGAATGGCCTCTCCAAGTACCTGCCGCCCCTTTCCGTGCTTTGCAAGAAACGCCATTCGGTCGCAATATTCTCGTAGACCACATACATCAAGCCTATTCGTTCACACCGGCTTTGACGTTTCTGGTTCATGCCGCAGTATCTTCGAAAAGCTGGGTGCAAAAGTCAACGAGATGGATGCTAGAATCCACAAGGTTAAGCAGAGAGTTGATTCCGCTAGTTTTCCCTCCTAATTCAACAAGTTGGAGAACAAACGCACGCGGCTGTTAGAGGAATTAGATGAAATGGAAAGGCTACGCAAAGGCATACGACCAACATTGCAAGACAAACGCAGAGCCGAGATGAAGATGGTGCAAAAGAAGTACCCGGAGTGCAGCAATCGAGAAACCGCTGGCTGGATCTGGAAAGAGGCTAAAAGAGAGGTGGACGAAGCACAGTCGAATATGGACCAGTGGTCAAAAGAGAGGCTCATAGAGTACTACAGATCGCAACTGCAGTCGCCGGAGATCACGGCTCTGTGGAGTTCTCCTAGCAGAAATACGGAAGAGCAGTTTACAGCTCGGGACAGGGTACGTCAGGAGTATAAGAAGATACTTTGGCGACTCGAGAATGGTGATGGATGGTCGGCAAGAGCGAGGCACGAGCACGAGGAGGAAATGGCGAAGATGCCTGAGTCCACAACACCAGTGTTAGACGTTGTCATTCCAGCTTTCGTGCTACTTGGACTGTACTGGTGCCTTGATAAGGCCTGGAAGAAATGTTTTAGCGAAGAGGTTGTGGTCCAAGATGATGCATTGGAAACTGCTACTCAACAAGAGGGTGGGACTTATCAGAAAATTCTTGAGTTGGGTGGTATGAGGCTCTTCCAGAGAGGACATGCTAGATTATCAAGAACACCAGTCAACATTGACTGATCGTCTCTTTGCCTGATCGTCTCTTTGCCTGATCGGCAGCTGATGCTATTATGTGTTATAGAGATGCACAGTGTCTGTGAAGTTGAACGTGTGGCCATAGAAGCAGCCTTGGAATAATCTCTCTTTCCAGACAACGCTTTGTTGTGACACATTGTACACTATTCCAATTAGAGTACAACATTCTTTAGCACATAGGGACGAAAAGGCAGGGGTACAGCAGGGAATTAGAATCGATCACATGCTTTCTATTACTCACCATATATTCTCTAAAGGGCCCAGTGATTTGTGTTGTTCATGTTGCGAAGAGATGACCTCGTCGCATCAATGCTGGCTTCAACCTCTTGCGTCATCAGGTTTAGTGGCAATCGTTTGGGGTTTGGCCTGGTATGCAGAGATGGTTACACAAAGGCAAGCCAGGCGGCGCAGACGGGGTTATCTGCAGATTTGTCGCGCCGCAATATGATACCCAGCCGAGCTGCATGAACACGAGAATCCCAGTCACTTTCAACAGGAGTGACCTCTTCTCCCATCTACTTACGAGAGAAGCTCTATCTGGTTCAGTCACCAGAAACCATTGCTTCAAAGATGTCGTTCATCAGACAAAATCACTCTGGCTCGATTCGACCACTACTCTACTTTCGACCAACAAGTTTGTACCACTCGGCCAAAAGTATTCACGATTATTCAAGAGCGGCTCTTTTGTCCAATCATCCTGAGCTCGTCGACGACGCGACCAGAAAACGTATCTTGGAGCAATACACCAATCAATGTGCGAGCCTGGGCGTGAAGCAGGTTACCGAGCTCCGAAAGATTCGCCTCCCACGAATCCATCTCGAGCAATTCGTCCGTCTAAGATACGATACTATAGCGGTTAGCTTCTTGGAGAACGGACATTCGGGAAAGCTGGCCAGACAGTACAAAGAATGCGAGCAATGGTTGGAGAACAACGAGGCCAAGGTCGAGGAACTATACGAAGTCGCGAGGAATGCTATGCTGAGCCAGTTTCCCAAGCTTGCAATAGCAGCTATGAGAGAAAATATTCTGAAGCAGTACAACATGGAGTATGAGAGGGTCCTCGTTCCAAAAAACCAACAAGATACAGCCGAGCAACCAAGAGAATTCGTAGCAGGCACTACGCACGAAGAGAAGCATCGCTTTTGTGAATTAGCGTTGCAGTATGTCGTAATACATCTGATCGACACTCCCATCACTTCAAAAGACGCGCTCGAAAACTGGAAGGCAGACTTCCGACGCTGTCAAGATAGCCTCGCTCAGGCTACAGATTTCACGATTGAAGAGGAAAGAGCAGAAGCCTTGGCAACTTACCCCGATATCAAGGATCCCGATGTCTGTCGTAGAGTCATAGATGAATGTAATGTCCGTGCCATGGAGTTGAGAGAAGCGGAGGAGCAGGGAGTTAGAATACCCTCGGATCAGATCCCACCAAAAGAGGTCGAGAGATTCTTACTCCTGAGACTCGAATCACTCGCTATAGAAGCTCTGTCACCTGGTAGTGAATCGGTGGAGCGCAGGAAGAAGCGATATCAAGTGCGCAAGGAATGCCTGGCCAATCTAGATATCGTCCGGGCCCAGAAGAAACGCGGCAGCAGATGGATAATCATTCCGAATCCACTAACGGTCCTGGAGTGGATTGGAATCGGATTATGATTACGGGTTCGATCATCAGATCAATTCTATAGATGATTGATGATTTACCAGATGGAGGCAATAGCGCTGACTGATGGTGGTTGACTGGATTAAGGTTCAACTGCGGTCTCCTGAGTCCCGCCTGATCGGTCACCATGTTCTTTAGGTACTTGTCCATCATTCAGATTGTCACCATTTGGTACCGGTTTCAGAACGCAGAAAAAACACTATTGGCTTGTATAACAATAGTGCAAAAGAAGCTAAGCTGCGATCGATCGATCTAGGGGAGTGTTCTAGCTACCATCACATCTGCAACCACATGACTCCGAATCTGATAAGACAGTAATGAAGACCGTCTATTACTCGTCGTAGCCAACGGCTTGGTAGCTCAGCTTCCACAGTTTTTCCTCTGCTTCCTCATCATATGCATGAGTAGCGTAACCAGGGCCAACCAATATCTCGTCTTCGGCGACAGGGCCTGATACGCCGACATCTGCAATGTACACACCGCCATGATCGTTGAAGTGAGGAGACAAGGCTGCCCAAACAGTCGTCGCTGCACCCTGCTCAGCAGATCTCGCGACGTGCGCAATTGAGGCGAACATCTGTTTGTCTTCATCAGAAAGGTCTCGGGCAAGCTCGGTAGTGATGATCAGTCCAGGGTGAACCGACAGTCCACGTAAGTTCTGGGCACCATAGTGGCGATCGATCGAGTTTGCCATGTACATGTTGGCCGTCTTGCTCTGGGCGTATGCCAACATAGGGTTGTAGCCATGCTTGGTCAAGTCGAGGTCATCAAAGAAGATACCGCTAGCCTTATGAGCAGCGCTGGAAAGAGTGATCACACGACTAGGGGATCCGGCGGTACCACTAGCGAGCAACACAGGCTTAAGAAGCTGGAAAAGCAGGAAATGGCCGAAGTGGTTGGTGCCCAGTTGCTTTTCAAACCCATCGACAGTGCGACCTTCGGGAACCCCCATGATGCCAGCGTTGTTGACAAGGATATCAAGGCGCTTTTGTTGATCAAGGAACTGCTTAGCAGCTTGTCTGACGCTATCGAGACTTGAAAGTTCCATTTCAATCAGGGTTGGGAGCTGTCCCTGAGGGTTGCTGGCCATGAGTTCCTTGACGATTGCCTCGACCTTGGCTTTGTTGCGGAAGGTAAGGTAGAGGTTTGCTCCTGTTGCGTGCAGAGCTCGAGCTGTCTCGAGTCCCAGTCCGGCCGAAGTGCCTGTAATGAGAATGACTTTCTCCTGTAGTTTGTCCACAAGTTCGAGGTCTCGGACGATCTGGAGCGCAGTGGGTTTGACATCGCCAGCAGATGCGTGATCAAGGTACCTATCTGCATAGGGCTGGAATGGGTGGGAAGGAGCAGGCATGATGATGGTGGTTGAAGATGTAGTGTGTATTCAGTAGATCCAAGATAGAACTGTTTGTTGCTGTCTTTGTGTGCGGGTGTTCTGTTATTTATTGACCGGCGTAGCTGGACCTTCCTCCATCTAAACGACGGTATGGGTCTGGTCTCTATCTCCGGTTGGTGATTAGGCACGTCTGTCTTCGCGGATGAGTCAACATGGCCGCCTGAGTATCATCATGATGAGTGATGAAAGTTTGCGCTTCATGAGGCAGCGGATATGAAAACTTATAACTTAGAGTACGAGCCGGTGACTGCGATCCGAGTCGGTCATGAGTTTGTCCGCATCTCCACACAAGAATGCCCGTTGCTGCTCCCGACTGCGGCCGTGGAGAAGAGAAGGGGAAGCTGACAGCAGGGTTGCCCTCCACCGGAGCGATCTGCCGGGCGCGCCAAGAGTGGAGTACTTTGCGTGATTAAGCCAATTTCTTTGCCATTGGCCCATTAGGAAGGTCGCTGCTGCGTCCTCACTTCTTTGCACTGTCTTTTTCTTTGTATCATTACTTTTCCATTCTTCTTGTATATACGTTGTTTGTCAGGAGTCACCGCGACGACGACCGAAGACTTGGCACATTTTCGCCTCTGGAGATTTGCTCGATTTCGGACCAGGGGTTCCCGCGATAGCGAGTATATGAAATGGTGGCCGAAAAGATCAGAAGGGTGGCTGTGATTGGCGCTGGTCCGTCGGGGGCAATCACAATAGATGCACTGGCTCGGGAAGAGGCATTTGATCAAATCCGTGTTTTCGATAGGCAGGAAGGTCCAGGAGGGTGTTGGTGAGTGCTATCTTCTTCTAATCATCACTCGAAATATGTATCAAGGCGAAGACGAAGAGTCAAGCGAACGTGTTTCAACCAATCGAGTATATCTGACGAGATGGACAGGTACGGAGACAAGCTAACACCAGTCCCTTTGACCAATTTCGCAGCATTGGCTTCAAGGACGGCAGATCAGCCTGTAGATTTGCCAGCACAGGTTCCAGGTCATACCCAGAAGAACGATCAGCCACGATGGACAGATTCATCGATATACCCCTATCTCGAGACAAACGTAGATGTGGTAACCATGGAGTACACCCAGGAGCCTATTGTTGGAGAGCTGTCTGCACGCACGATCGAGCTGCACGGTGCGACATCACCTTTCCGGCATTGGACTGTCATGAGAGATTATGTGACAAGTCTGTTTGAACGCAATGGCTATGAAGATCTAGTATGCTACAACACTCATGTCGAGAGAGTGGAGAAAATCGGAGACGAGTGGAAAATCTCACTGAGAAAAGAGGAAGACGAAAAGGATTACTGGTGGATCGAGTGGTTTGACGCTGTCATTGTCGCAAGCGGACATTTCAACGTGCCTTATGTCCCAACTGTACAGGGCCTAGAGGAGCTCGAGAAACAATACCCTGGCAGTGTTTTGCACAGCAAGATGTATCGCGGCCGAGATGCATACAGAGGTAAACGCGTTGTCGTGGTTGGTGGCTCAGTGTCTGCAGCCGACATCTCTACGGACCTCGTCGGTGTGGTGGACTCCAAAGTTTATGCAGTCGTCAACGGTCATACCATCAACGTGTACTTTGGAGATGGAGCGTTCAACAATCCAGGAGTTACCCGGAAACCAACGATCTCTCACATCGATACCTCAGCAGGTCAACGCACAGTACACTTCATTGACGGTACCTCGATACAGAATGTTGATCACATTATCTTCGGCACTGGATACTCTTGGAGTCTCCCTTTTCTGCCGGACGTAAAGATCAGAAACAATAGGGTACCGGGACTGTATCAAAACGTCGTCTACCAGCAGGATCCGACGCTGCTATTCGTTGGAGCAGTAAGTACTCACCTGAACGGAACGTCTTGACCAACACTAACACGAGGTTTANNGGTTGGAGCTGGATTAACGTTCAAAATCTTTGAGTGGCAGGCTGTTCTCGCTGCGAGATTGCTAGCTGGACGCGCTGAATTGCCGCCTCTTGAGGAACAACAGCGATGGGAAGCAGAACGAGTCAGGAAGAAGGGCGATGGTCCTGCGTTCAACGTCATCCATCCTGACTTCGAGGAATATTTCGAAACAGTCAGAACTCTCGCCGGTCCAGGCATAGATGGAAAAGGACGACCTCTACCACCCTATAAGCCTGAATGGTTTGATGCCTTCATGAACGGCCATGAACTGCGAAAGCAGATGTGGGCCAGAAAGAATGCTGCCGCTGCTTTGGAGGACACCAAAGCAAGAATTTAATCACGTCTTTATGACGGTCTTCCCTTCCTTCAATAGTTCCACTGTGCAGTCAAGCTGTCGTCATGGACTCGCTGTAGACGTGGAAGATCTAATGTAATATTCTTGTCGTCTGACAGAACACAATGAAGGAACGTTCATGATAATCTAATGCATTTCAGTGTGGCTGAGTCACACGTTATGTATAATTGAGTCATTGGTATGCAACCTGCAATAAGGTAGGTTTAGTATGAACGGTGTGCATCATCTAGAACAGGGTAGCCTGATTTAACGTTCTTGCCCTAAAGCAACCCTCGGCGCAACAAGAGACCGACGCACCACACCTTCTTTTGCTGAAGAAGCAGGCACGACCTCATTAATACTCTTGCAATCTCAGACTTGAAGTACAGCGACATAACCCAATTATCCCGACCAGTGTCGACAAAATGGATGGACCGGACACTGCGACCAACGGCCAGAGATCACGCGAGCTCAAACGCAAACAACAACTCCGAGAAGCTCAGCGGCGCTTAAGACAGCGCAAAGTTGAAGCGCTTCAAGATGCGACCAGCGAGGTCGAAGCCCTTCGTAAACAGCTTGCAGAGGCAACAGAAACCATCGCACGCTTGAGCGCTCAGAGTAGCACTCCAACAATCAATGAGATAGCCACACTCAACACGATAAGATCTCACCAGCCCGGAAGAGGCCATCGAGGCGGGATCGAAAATGGACACAGCATGAATTCCCAAGCGGACTTCGAAGAACCCACGATCGCACAAAACGTGCTTGGAGAATCATGGTCTCCGGTGTCTCCTTCGACGCTAGAGAGTTTCTTCCCTGGATCATCGAACGATCTGTTAGCCCTAGACATACCTGATGTCTTCCATTTCCCGCAATCCAGCAGCACATCGGAACGCTCTCCCCCCCTGAATCTCACACACAAGTCTTCTGGACATGACTCGAGACCAATCTGGCCGCTTGGTTATACTGCTGTCCTTGACGACTATGTCCCATACATGCCATTAGCAGCTCACTCAGACTCACCATCAAGCCCTTCTGTCCAGACAGTTGGACAATCAAGTCCACCACCATACTCTCCTTTCCGCGAATCGACCTTTGCGAAGAGATTGTGGCGACGATGCGCTGAGATGGCGCTGCGCATGCTGACTGACACCAGAAAGAACCAACCTTCTATAGAACGGGCCTTTGGTGCTTACTTTGACCGTTTCTCTCCCGAGGTTGTTCGCAGATCGTTGAGCACAGCTTTGGGAAGGGATGATTTCGGTGAATTGGAATATCACGCCTACCCTGATTTCCAGTTTAGCTCACATAACCGAGTGATTCAAAACGCATCAACCGACAAGCTCATGGGTCCTGAACACATCGATCTTGCAGAGGATCCGTACATGACGCCTCGTGACATTGAGAAGTATTTTGTCTGGAACGGTCAGCTGAGGCAGTCATTGGACCCGAAGGGTAATATTGTGACTTCACCTTGTCACTTTGACTTTCAAGGCAAGCGCTGGATCCTGGAAGAAAACAGACTTATCCACAGTAAGCTTGTTGAACATGAATCAAAGCATAAGGTCACTGACGACTAGCCAGCACTGATGCACTTCTCCGTCTGTCTCGGTCAAGGTCCTGCACTCTTAGCCTCGCACGTCATTGCTGCTACCTTCCAGAGCATGCAAAGAGTTACGATCTGAGCTTAGTCCTCTTACACGAGCTACTGATTATCAATCATTCCTCCATCAGCGATGTGCTAAGATCTTGATTCCAAATCGCTTCACGGCATTGTTCTTGAGAGATGCAAAAACAGTTATCGTTGGTACGGACTCAATCGACCTACGTATCTGGAACGACCCAAAGAAGCGATACCGCCTCAGCCTTATTTCGAACTCTTCTCCTGGAAGCTTAGCTGCTGCTCCACCATTTCTCGGATTGTCTGCTGCCACGGACGCCACTTCATACCAAGGTATTTTTCTGGATTGACAGTTTCCACTCGCGTCTTTGGCCCTTCATAATTCGGCTCGAGTTTGCTCAACTCAGGATACTCTTGCTTCATGAACTCTGCAATCTCATTCCACGACACTTCGGGGCCAGAAGTAATGAATTCTGTGCCCGAAGGAGCAGAACAGTCAATTGCTCTCACATGAGCAGCAGCGACGTCCTTGATGTCGACCCAGAGCGAAGGGAAAGCCGGATTTCCGTATTGGACTGTCAGCCACAGCATGTTGTTGACCAGATCGACCTGCTCAGCTGAGCTCTGGATTCTGCTCTCACCTATCACAAGTGTTGGGTGGGTTGTGAACAGCTTGTAAGAAGGCTTTTCCTTCTCACGGAAGTCGCGAGTAGCTTGGTGGGCCAGAACTTTGGAGATGCGGTACATCAGAGTCTGGCTTTCTTGACTATCTGGCTCTGACACTTGCATGTCGACGTCGACTGAGAACACTTCTCCAGTATCCTCTGGTATCTGTTAGTAACATACCAGTGGCAGTACTGGGTTGATCTTACCTCTGATACTTCCATCGAACGCCATTGGAGTTTCTATTGGCATCAGAGCGATACCGGATGAGGTGACAACGACAGTCTTGATCTTTGTATACTTGAGTGCTGCATATAAGATTGCTTGGGTGCCATTCAATGCAGGCTTGACGTAATCCTCTTTCAGGTCTGGGAGTGCTATTCTTCCGGGAACAGGAGATGCTATATGGATCACATAATCGACATCTCTCAAAGCGTTTTCGAATGGTTCGCGCTCGGTGACATCCGGGATGACCACAGTCTCAATCTCGGATGCAAAATTGGGGTAGCGCTCCTTTAACGTGGTTGCCTGTTCGGCCTTTCTGATGCTGAGACGAACACGGTAGCCTGCTTCGAGGGCTTGTGAAATGACTTCAGCACCGATAAAGCCGGTGCCACCGGTGATGAAAATAAGGGGTTTGGACATGGTGTATCTTTTGGAACTATCCATTCAAAACTTAGAGATGCAATGTTGATAGTTCAGACTGGAGAGTGCAAGTGGACGGTTTTATCTCACCTTGAGCACTTTCAGGCGTCCAATCTGTCAGACAGAAGTCCGGAATGTGCTTTGTAAGGCAGGATTCTCGTTGCGTTGGCCACATTGGATCCTCCTGTGGTCACGGAGCATTAGGCTGATGTTTGTCAGCAACATGACAGTCGACCTCACCTGAGGAGGTCGGGACGCGGAGGAGGAGGGGGAAGAGATACCCCGCCTCCGAAGCACGAGTAATGCAGACCGGCACGGAACGAGCTCCGTCCAAACCTTGGCGCCACTGTATGTTGACTCAACGTGCTTAAAACCCTCCGTGATCTGCCAACATTGCCCTGCGTCGAACACAAGATGCCTTGAGCAACACAAGTGCGATTGGCAGTCTGCGAAACCATCGCGGCATCTGTATTACCCCTTTCGAACGATAGACGATGCGTTGATGGTGGAACATCTAAGCGATGGCACACTATGAACAGCACTAATCGCTATAGCGGTATCCACCTTGGAACAGACTATCAGTAATCGCCAGAGCTGGAACACGATTTGAGTTCACTAATCATTTCAATTCGCGATGATGGTTCAGTAATCGTGTAAAACGACGTGTTCTATAAGAACAACATGGCCAGCCACCCCCAGCTATATCTAAATCCAGTCAATCTACTCTACATCTTGTCTATATACTGTCGACAAGGGATTTCTACACCATACAACACTCCAAACACATAAACCCATCCGATCAGATCTTCTAATCAATCATGCCTCTCTGGCAAATTTACCACCCACCCGGCGTCTTCGAAGACGCAGACAGCAAAGCCGCCCTCGCCGCCGACATCACAAAAATCTACACCTCGGTCGGCCTACCCGCCTTTTACGTAGTCGTCCACTTCAACACCATGCAACCCACCAACGTCTACGTAGGCGGCGAATCCAAAGCCAGCGCCTCCAAACCCTTCATCCGCATCGTGATCAAGCACATTGCCATCCGTCTCGACAACGACACCGAGACGTACAGAAAAACTGCGGGAATGATTGATGCAGCGCTGAAACCTCATGTGTACGACAAAGACATGATGTGTGAGTATCATGTCGAAGAGACGGAGAGGAGGCTGTGGAAGTTTGATGGCATGATTCCGCCGGAGCATATGAGTGAGGCGCATATGGTGTGGGTCAAGGAGAACAAGCCTGTCGAGTATGAGGGTGCTTATTGGTCGCCTGAGAAGGGGCATTATTGAGTCGCTTCTTTTACTGTGGAGCGGTTCCTTCGGAGTTGTAAATGCTTGCACATGTATCATGGTTTTGACGTATGGATAGCGAATGTGTCAATACCTAAAATGGAAGAAAAGCAACCGACTTGTTGTAGGACATGACACTTGATCATATCCTGTGTTTACATAGAAGAGTGTCTATTTCTTCTCTATTAGAAATCTCTCGCGCATTCAAGCATTCGTTGATGGATACAAGAAGAAGACACCAGAAGCTGCATGTATGTGGCCGACTTGGTCTTTGACCCGCAAGTCCAGCACGCAGCTCGATGGGTGCACTGCGTGGTGACCAGACCCCGTCCAGTGCATGACCTTGTAAGATTGAATCGTCTCGATCATAGCGGGTATTTACTCGAGGCAATAGATATCTAGGAATCGTGAGGATGGCATGAATAGCGAAAGCTTGTCCTCTTAGGGCCGCCCCTCCTGCATAGTCGTGCTCAATCACTGATCTTGTATTGAATTGGTTTGAAGGAACCGCCATTCGACTGCAGCGCTGAACATGCGGTCAAAGCAACAATCAAATCCATCTCTGCAATAAACTCGATACTGTCTCCGGCTTTGGTGATGGGAGGCAGCACTTTGAGCTCTCCCGAGTCTGAATCAACAGTGACATTCATAAAACAATTGAAAGCGCAAGGGATGCGGTCGGATGAGATGCCATATGGCTCAATGGCGCCAGCAATATTGCCGAAACATCCTTGGTGTGGATCCTTGTCGCCATAGATGATGCGGAAAGTATCCTTTGAGCAGGGCGTTAATAAAAAATCGTGTTTGCCGGGAGTGTTGTCTGCGACAATTTTGAGCATGACATTGCTGCGGTTTGAGTATAGAGGGTCGCCGGTGGTAAGGTAGATGCGACTTGCGTAGTCGAGGGTCCTGCCGTTGCTGATGACTTCGTCGGGGTCGTGGCGGTTGAAGGCTACCAGATCGGAGACTTGTACACCTTTGGGATCAATTACTGTCAAGCGCTGTCCTTTGTTCAAGGTAAAGGCGGTGCCGGTACGGACGGGGATTTCAATCGTGTCGGCCATATTGATGTCTTGTTGATTATGTGCTGTGAAAGTGAGGGTGATGATGTGCAAACAGTGATCTATACTTGTTAAATAGCACTCAGAATAGAAATACAGCTTTGTCTATGTTATTTCGTCTTGATGAGGTCATGAAGTCATTGGTATGTCTCTGATGGAGAGGCAGCGGATGCGGGCCGATGTGGAGAGGTCGAGGGCGGCATGCGCCGATGTCGCAGAAGCTGTGGGCGCCCCACCGTCGTGTGGGAAAGTGTTACAGAGGAAAGTTGGACTGGACATTTAGACTCATACAACAACACACACATCACACAAAATGCCTTCGTATAACATTGTCGTCTTCGCCGGTGAGTGACACACGCTTGGAAGAGAGGGATTGGACAAGGCTGACTCGTGACAGGTGACCACTGCGGTCTGAGGTACGACGACGCTTATGACATAACCGTCGTCGACAGTCTACTTACGCAGTTGCACACAGGTTACAGCTGAGGCCATCAAGATCCTCAAGGTCATCGAGAAGGAGTCCAAGGATATCACCTTCAACTTCAACGAGCAACCGCTAGGTGGTGTACGTCTCCGCTGCCGCTCGAACGACGACGACATCAGCTAATCCTCTGCANNGGCCTCAATTGACGCACACGGTGTCCCCCTTACCGACGAGGCTCTCAGCGCCGCAAAGTCTGCCGACGCCGTCCTTCTCGGTGCCATCGGTGGTCCCGTACGTCCAAGACCAAACCTTCCTCGCCAGCTATACCGTCTGACAAGAAAACATAGNAAATGGGGAACTGGAGCAGTCCGTCCCGAGCAGGGTCTTCTCAAGCTGCGCAAGGAGATGGGCACATTCGGCAACCTCAGACCCTGCTTCTTCGCCTCGGACTCGCTCATCGAGGGCTCACCGCTCAAGGCTGAGGTCTGCCGTGGTGTCAACTTCAACATTGTTCGCGAATTGACCGGTGGTATCTACTTTGGCGACCGCACCGAGGACGATGGTTCAGGTTACGCCATGGACACTGAGCCCTACTCGCGCCCCGAGATTGAGCGCATCACCCGCCTCGCCGCCAACCTCGCCCTCGCCGAGAANCCCCCAGCTCCCGTCTGGAGTCTGGACAAGGCCAACGTGCTCGCCACCAGCAGACTGTGGAGAAAGGTCGTCACCGAGGTCATGGAGAAGGAGTTCCCGCAATTGCAGATTGGTCACCAGCTCATCGACAGCGCTGCCATGATCATGGTCAAGAACCCTCGTGCTCTCAACGGTGTCATTGTCACCAGCAACTTGTTCGGCGACATCATCTCCGACGAGGCTTCCGTCATTCCCGGCAGCTTGGGTTTATTGCCCAGCGCTTCGCTCAGCGGTGTCCCCGACGGCAAGAGCAAGTGCAATGGTATCTACGAGCCCATCCACGGTATGTTTTCTCGAAGCTCCCTTCTCGCACACTCCCACTCATTCTATTTACANGGTTCCGCACCCGACATCTCCGGCCAGGGCATCGTCAACCCCGTCGCCATGCTCCTCTCCGTCGGCATGATGCTCAAGTACTCTCTCCAAGAGCCCGAACTCGCCAAGTCTGTCGACGAGGCCGTCAAGATTGTCATCGAGCAAGGCATCAAGACCGGCGACATTGGCGGCAAGGCAAAGACTGCAGAAGTCGGTGACGCCGTTGCCAGCGAATTGGCCAAGATTCTCAAGAAGTAAAAGATTTTGGAAATACACACTCAGAAAATATACGCCCCAGGACATGAAATGTACAAAAGCAAGGAATTAGATACGACACACACACAGCGAACGACATCTTATCATCATCTTTCATACTACTTTTCGGCTGGATACACTATAATTTTGTCCAAGTCTGCGCCTTTGACATCGATCCCGTTGTCCAATCCTCCCACCGTGATATTGTTGCTCCCCTCGCTCAACCACACTTTCAACGGTGTAGACAGAACAATTCCCTTGTGTGTATCCCTCTGATATAGCGTTTGCATACCAGTAACGTTTCCATTCACCACTACAGACGAAATGCGACGCAAAGCCCAAGGTGTCTTTATTCGGTCGGGCGATCCACCGGGTTGATCGCCATAGCCCATGTCATCGGTGTTTTGATAGTAGAAGGAGATCCAGTGGTACTTGTTGTCGCCTTTGATACTGGGGAAGGTGAGGGTGGAAGTGTTGCCGGATATACCGGTTACGATGGTGTTGTCGCTTGCGAAGTTNNCTGTGATGCAAGAAGGATTAGTGGGAGGAAGGGAGGAAGAAGGGTTAGTGGGGGAAAGGGGTGAACGTACGGCTTCTTGTTTGAAAGCATTGCCTGAGGTTATACCGTCTTTGGCGTAGTAAGTCTTTCCCTTGATGGCTTGGTAGTTACCCGTCTTGCTATTCCATCGTCAGCATCATTTCTCCTCCGGAGCAAAACATGAAACAACTCACACATCCAAATCATAAACATCATACCACTCCACCTCCAACCTCTTCTTGTCATCATCAATTCCCACCGGCAACCAAATATACCTACTCTCCCACAGACTGTTCGAATCCCATTGATCACCCATATACAACCAAGTCGTTTTTTCAGTCCCGTTAATCCTCAATGCAAATCCAGATTGAGAGTTATAGGTTCTGGTGTAAGCGGGAGCAATAAAGAATGGCTGGCTCCAAGGTCCTTCTAGCTTGTCGGCTCGAAAAGCGACCACATTGTTGGGTCTGTAGCCAGTTTTGTGGCTCATCAGTGCGTAGTAGGAGGATTCTGTTTGGATGATTGATGGGGCTTCTAAATCGTACTTGTCGAAGCGGTGGATAATGCTCTCGAGTTTAGTGTTGGAAGTATCGTAGGAGGCAAGATAGATGTCGCGGGCTTCTTTTCTGTCGCCGTTGCTGTACATGGCGTAGGATTTTTGGGTCTTGTAGTCGGTAAAGGTGCCGAAATCTTGGGACCAGTTTCCAAAGGGGGCGGTTGCGTTGAGGAAGGTGTAGGGGCCGCTTATATTGGGNNGGGAGGTTGCTAGGCCTTGGAGGAGCCAGCCGTAAGTGCTGTTGTCGGCGTGCCAGTGCATNNCTGGAAATTCGGTTAGAGGTGTTTGTGCAAAGCTATAGGAGGAACGGAGTTGGTATACGTGGTATCGATCGTCGACGGCATTGTACAACACTTTTGGCCGCTGGATGATTTTAACAGGGGCAATGTAAGGATGACCCTCGATCGGCTCTGTTTGCTATTAGTATCCCACTCTTTCATCAACAGACTCTCATAATGGGAACTTACTCAGAGCCAGACCATGAGAAGTCCAAGTAGCCAGATCATCGCTACTGTAGACACTAACACCCCCACCCTCTGTTTGTCCCTCGATCTTGTACTCGCCAAACAGATAAAACTTGCCGTCTTTACCCACAGTAACACCGCCAGCATGTGCGTTGACGAGATTGCCATCGGTATCTGTCCATCTGCCGCCAGGAACGATATACTTTGCATGAGCTGCTGCCGCAAGCAACAAGTACGAAAGTGACTTTTGGCCAAACATGGTATAGATCTCGCTAGCGGGAGAGAAGGTGATTGACAACCATCTTACATACAGGTCATTTTATACAAGCGGCCAAGAAAGAGCCCGGTGTTGATTGTCCCGAGTGCAATACGAAGACAGTGCATGAAGGCCATGAGGCTATACCAAGGTTTGCGGGGTATCTGCTCCGGTGGTTGTTCCTTCTCATGATAATTTATCCGTTGGTGATGGTGCCAAGGGAGATATGCATGGATCCAAGACATGGGGAAGACTGGAGATCATTTTCTCATCGAGAGAAGGAAAGTGCTACACAAAGTCATTTGCTTTGACCCGAGCACCGAGCACTGGGCACCTGGATCGGATCGAGCGGTATAGATGAGAACTGCCCATGTCTTATAAGTATTGAATGCTAGAAGAAGCGATATCGTTCCAATCATGACTGCAAAATCCAAAAACATCAACAACTATACGAGAGATGACACATGTTGCCTCGAGATAACTTAATAGACGTAGTAAGTCTGAGTAAGAGGCAGCTCACTTGCCGGTTCAGCCTCACAAATCATACCATCTGCCTCGACNNAGTCTGTTTTACATCACACAGTCAGTACAATATCCTTGCAAAATTTGTATCAGTAGGGAAAAGAGAACAAACTCACATAACTCTCGGCATCAACTTTCATCTTGGGCTTGACGTCGTTGAACTTCATATCAGACTTGCCAATATTTCTGCAGTTCTTGACAGCTTCAACACGCTTTCTCAAGCCACACTTGTTGCGTACACCCTTGGCTTGGGCTGCTTTGCTCACAAAGGCGATGCTGTTGTGAGGTACCGAGGCGCCAAACATTGGTCTCATCATCATGGGCTCTACTGTGGGGATACTAGCATTGGCATCGCCCATCAGACTGTACGCCACCATACCACCCTTGATGACCTGAGTGGGCTTGGTGCCAAACTTGGACGGGTCCCAGAGCACGAGATCAGCCAGCTTGCCGACCTCGATGGAGCCAATGATGTGGGACATTCCTTGTGCGATGGCAGGGTTGATGGTGTATTTGGATATGTAGCGCTTGACGCGGAAGTTGTCTGCGCCGGTACCTTCATCCTCGGTCAGGGAGCCTCTTTGCTGCTTGTTCTTGTGGGCAGTGTTCCAGGTACGAAGAATGACCTCTCCGCAGCGTCCCATGGCTTGTGAGTCTGAACTCATCATGCTGATGGCGCCGAGATCGTGCAATACATCTTCCGCCGCAATTGTTTCTGCTCGGATGCGACTCTCGGCGAAGGCCACATCTTCGGGAATGTTGCGTGATAGATGGTGACACACCATGAGCATGTCGAGGTGCTCATCGAGTGTGTTGTTGGTGTAAGGCCTGGTGGGGTTGGTGCTGGACGGGAGAACATTCTCGTGCTCGACGACCGAGATGATATCTGGTGCGTGACCACCACCCGCTCCCTCGGTGTGGTAACTGTGAATAGTGCGGCCCTTGAACGCTGCAACGGTGGTCTCAACAAAGCCAGACTCGTTCAGAGTATCGGTGTGGATAAGAGTCTGAATGTCATGCTCATCGCATACACTGAGACAGGTGTCGATGGCCTTGGGCGTAGTACCCCAATCCTCATGCAGTTTGAGACCGCACACACCAGCTTCGGCTTGTTCACGCAAAGGACCAGGCTCACTATCATTGCCCTTACCAGTGATACCAACATTGAGCGGTATGACATCAGTAGCTTGGAGCATACTTTCAATCAACCACGCGCTTGGTGTACAGGTTGTGGCATTGGTGCCAGTGCTNNGATAGTGTGTTAGCAGTTTGCAGCGATATCGTAATGCCAAAAGCTCTTACCTCGGCCCAGTACCACCACCTAAAACGGTAGTGATTCCTGCGGCAAGCGATTCAGGGGCTTGCTGAGGACAGATGAAATGAATGTGGCTATCAAAGCCACCATAAGTGACAATGTCCTTCTCAGCAGCAATGACATCGGTGTTGGAACCAATGACCATGTTTGGATCGACACCATCCATGATGTCCGGATTACCGGCTTTGCCAATTCCTACAATGATGCCGTTCTTGACACCAATATCAGCCTTGTAGATACCAGTGTAGTCAACAATTAGAGCATTAGTCAGGACCAAGTCCAAACAGTCGATATCTGAACGTCCAGAAGCCTGACCCATGCCATCACGTATGCTCTTGCCACCGCCGAAGGTGCACTCGTCACCGTACTGAGTGTAGTCTTTTTCGACCTTAATCCAGAGATCAGTAGCACCCAGGCGTACAATATCACCAGTGGTCGGACCAAACATGGAAATGTAAGCTTCACGCTCCAGAGTAAACATGTCAAGGTGAGCAGAATCGCCGGCAGGCTCGGGAGTGTGGTGGAAGCCGCCCTNTTGCAGTTTCTCAACCAGAGATTCGGCAATCCTGGCATCATGGAGAGAACCAGTAGCAAGACCATTACCACCTTTGATAACCTGGTTACCGCCAATCTGAACGAGGTTCACAGTCTTGGTGTCACCGGGCTCAAAACGGACGGAGGTTCCAGCAGCAATATCCAATCTGTAGCCAAGGGCTCTGACACGATCGAAATCGAGGAGAGGATTGGTTTCGACAAAATGGTAGTGTGACCCGACNNCTAAGCACGTCAGGTTCGGCATTTCTTCTCCCTTACAGTCACAACAGCCTACCTGGATCGGACGGTCTCCCTTGCTGACAACCTTCAATTGTATCCTCTTTCTGTCCTTGTTCAGGACAATCTTGCCGTTCTTCAGGGGTATGACTGCGCCAGGCTGTTTCTCAGGGGCGTACTCTGATGGGTCGGCATGAGGGAAGGTGTCTTTCTCTGGTACAGGCAAGAAGCTACCATACAGGGCCTTCTCAAGGTCGCCATCGTCCGAGCTGATAGGGTGGTGGACCGTGACCAGGTAGGTGCCAGAGGGAAAGGTTCCCTCGACTTGAAGCTCGACCAGAGAGTTGACCACGGGCGGAAGGACATGACGGCGACCGAGGATGGTCTTGCCCAAGGACATGAGATCTGCCACTGAGTGGTTGCCATCGCGGATAANGCTATCGGAACGCGTTACTTGGGCTGAAGCCTGATGGGAGGGAGAGACGATTAAACCAACTTCTTGGAGGACACTTGCAATCAGAGCCTGATCACCTTGTCAGCGACTGTAGGTCATCCAGACTCGGTAGCAGCGTACCGTCGCCTCGGTCTGGTTCAGCTTGACACCGCGTGCCAATCTACGCTGTGCAAGCTGGCCAACTTGCGAAATGACCAGCTTGTCGAGCTACAAGCACTCATCATGTCAGTTTGAGAAAGGACAATACATGCATATGAGTCCATAGAGCTGCGTACCTCTTTCGGAGTCAAATGCATTTCGTATGACTACCGGAATGCCTCACGAGTCGAAGCATCCGCATGTCTTGACACATCGAAACCCCCACCTTGGCCTTGGCAGATCCGTCTACCATCCACCCCCACGTTCTCCTCCGACTCTTGCTATTCGTTATCAACTTATCGATATAGCCAGTGGGCTATGTTCTTCACGGCCTAGTCAAGAGACTATACAGATTGCGCAATGTCTTAGATATCGTTTAGATGGACGCATTGAGCACTCTCATTTACCTGTAATCGATATGCTTGATGTCTTGTGGGGGAAACGATGGAGAGACCAGCCAAGGTGGAGTAACCTTTCCTGCCTGTCCATACCGTTCTTGAAGGCTAGACTTGACCACGTGTCCTACGTTATGAGCAGAAACTCCAGATGATCCATCTTACCGTGGCGTTCGAATCCGGGATGGCCCAGGGCTACTTGCAATGGATACGATTATATGTTGAGCCAGGGTCATCCATGCCACCAGCATTTTTTTGGTCAAATACCATGACCTACTATAGCAACCAGTCGAGAGGCGCAGGTGCTGTCTTTGTTTGCAGGGAGATCCATTTCACAAGTCAACGCTAGCTGCTGACGTCTTCACATACCTCCTTATGAAAGGTCGAGCACTCCACGATCGATGCCTCGAACATTAAAACTTCCCCTGTCCTCCAACGGTCCAGCGTCAAAGACACCTTCTAGAAAGGCGGGTCGTCATTCCATCGCCGCCTGAACCACGAAGACAAGAAGTCCACAAAACGCAGGACGCCTTGTCAAAAGTCAGCCCTCATCTGCCGCGTCGGTCATGGTTCTGCCATGTGCTTTGACAACATTCAAGGCGTCTCTTCGAGAAAGTCACAATTTCCGATCGAAAGCGCGTTTGCCGGGGGGAGACATCAATGCGCCCTCGCTTGATCAACTTGCTACCCTGCTGTTAGAACATTCGATGTTCAAACCACCCACCGTCACCAAGTCTCCGTTGATCGACTCTGCAGTCAAGCATTGCGAATCTGCCTTGGCAATGGACCATCTTCCCGAGACAGGTTGATCTCAATCTTGTTACCCGGAATAGCCTGGTTCTTGACGGAGCGGCTCCCTGCAGGCTTCTTTTCAATATTGTGCTTGGCCGACTGCCTCGTTTAGGAGTGCCTTCCCGCGTGCAACCAGAGACTCCTCTGCCCATGGAACGTTGTATAGAAGGACTTTGCGAATAACGGCACACGTTCAGATGTTCAGGTACATGAAACAATTGTGTCAGGGCGCTTTGCCACACAACGCTCGACAGACCTGTAAACAGATTCTAGCGAGGTTAGTGGTCGATGACCATGGATGGCTGTGAGCCAGGCAGAGACATGATCCCGAAGCACGAGCCCTAGCGATAAAGTATGTTTCTCAGCTGAGTCCGAAGGGCGCTTCGGGGAACTCGGATTGCAAAAGCTCCTTGATTGAACGCTGCAACAAAGTCGCCAGCTGACTTGTCGAGTGACTGCATGGTATCGGGACCTCTGGAAGCAGTGCTGTTTGGCATGTACTTTGTGTGTGTACAAATCTCAGGAGCAACAAACGGTCTCGCATGTGATTTTGGCACATGTTCGTTTCAGGGCCTCGACGCCGAGAATAGAGTTCGACCGACCAGCCGCCCTCGCATGCCGCTTCCGCCGCCATGCAGGTGATGGTTAAAGCCCATGTGAATCTTGTCAAAATCCCGTTTGTTGCCATCATGGTTTGGGTTGCTCATCGCCGCTGCAAAACACACAGTCCGCCACCAGTACCTGTCAGTTCGTCATTTTAACATGCTTTCGTCAAAGTTGACGAGTGCGAATATTGGCAAACACGACGAAGGACCCGAAAGCTGGCGACGACTTTCATTCAATCTGAAGGGATCAAGGCAACGAAGTGACGTCGATCGTCAGCACGATCTTAAAGCGATGGCAGCGAAGTGGGGGCCTGACGGGCGGCAGTCCCAGCCACTTGGGCGAGCTTGCGATAGACCATGCAAGCACCGTCGGAGTAAGAGAAAGCAATCGGGTAGGTTGGCAAAGGAAACAAGGGCAGAGTGAGAAAGAAAGGCGAGCGAGATTGGTAGGACTACTTCTGAAACGATGCAGAAAGCTGTCGTTGGACGCCTGGTAACGGCGGGAGCGAGGGGTATGACAGCCAAACAGATGGGTACCGAGACAGAAACAGAGAAAGCGAAACGGGCTGGATAGAAGGCATGGAATTTGAGCGTAGAGCAAAAGGGTGGATAGTTGTTAGATGTTATGGATGGGTGTTTAGGTAGCGGTTAAAGACAATGTCTCGGAAACTCAGAGGAAGGTGTCTATTGGTATTTGGATTGGACGATCTCTGTAGAGGCGCGCTATGGGTTGTTAAATTTGGGACTTGGCTGACTAGAGCCGAGATGCAGGCGAGTTAGGGGAGTTGCTAACAAACACATGGTCGATGTTGTTTAGCGCAAGTCAGGCATCGGCTCTCATGTGCAGAGGGTAGAATGTAGACTGTATAAGGATATTCACAATGTTGTTGTAACATGGTGGACTTACCCAAGAAGCACCAGCAGGACGTGGCTCCGGCTATGAGCTGGATGACAAGCTATACAATTGCAGCCCGATGTTTGGCGACGTCGATGTTGCAGACATGGTGTTGGATAGCATTCTTTGTGCGATGGATAGACACACACGATGTTAAAGGGGCTTGCGGGAAGAAGGACAAACAAAGAACGGCTCAGGATTTTGAGTTTACATTATCAGAACATCACAACGGCTTTTGGTCGAGAAGTGAGACGTCCTCTGTGCTCGCCTGTCGCTACTCGTGGTGGTGCTGCTGCTGCTGCTTCACTGTTCGTCTCGTCGTCGTGCTGGATCTTTTTGGCCGCATCCAAGACTCGGTAGGATCGAATCATCGCGCTGGGAGCCCGAGGCTTTGTATTAACGCTCAGACCTTTGTTCGCGCTTTCCGCTTTCTCTTGGTGAAATTAGCTGCTAGCGGATCGAAGCTGCGTTTCATCACAGTCAGTTCGGGGCCTCTGAGAGCGATTCTTGTGCCTGGTTTTGAGAGTCGTGTTAGCTCACCGCCCACGCGCTTTTCCTATCATCACACGCATCCATCCTTGATCTTGCCCGTCCAGGTCGCAACACCAGTCCTCGGTCGACCGCGCCGACTCCTGTCAAGAGCCCTTCGACAGCGCTCCACCCTGACTTCTGTGCGCCCAAGAGTCGTCGCCGCCTATCCTCAACCATAGAATGTCGTCGGCCGCCATTCATGCCGTCGCGCCACAGCATTTCCAGTCCTCGCCGAGTGCCTCACCTGCGTCTNNGCGCGCAGACCGCAGAGCCAAAGGCCGTCCACAGCCAGCGGTCCCTCACACTTCGACAGCCCCTCTGCCTTAGCCGCCCGTCAGGTGTCTTCGTCTTCGAACAACGCATCGCCAACCACCGCCAACCACCGCAAGNATCTCTACCGCCTATGACTCGATGGAACCGGCCATGCCTCAACAAGAATATACATCGACTCACCCGCACCTCAACGCAGACAGCCCATCGCAAGCCCGCCGGAAAGAGATGGACCAGCCCTCGTCGCCGAGACACATGATCCCCGACACTCTGCCTCGTGAAGACAGTGCCATCCTGAGCAGGCTGGTAATCGACGATCCGCAAGCCGACGCTGCCCGCGAGAGAGCCCGCGTCGCCGAAGCACAGCCCATCTCCGCCAACCACCATGACCCCTCTACGTCAGCTATGGAGGCCCCCGAAGATGCTGCTGCACCCCGCCGTCGCCAGGAACACCTCAAGTCAAGTCACCCTAGAAAGGAGACCAAGTTCGGAGAGTACATCCTGGGACAGACACTGGGCGAGGGAGAGTTCGGAAAGGTCAAGATGGGATGGAAGAAAGANGGGGGTGTGCAGGTTGCCATCAAGCTGATTCGCCGTGAGACCCTGGGCAACAACCCCAACCGCCTACCCAAGATCTACCGCGAGATTTCAATCCTGCGCGGACTGCAGCATCCCAACATTGTGCGGCTGCACGAGATGGTTGAGACTGAAAGACACATTGGTATCATCCTCGAGTACGCATCGGGCGGAGAACTGTTCGACTACATCCTCAACCACCGCTATCTTAAGGACAATGCGGCTCGTCGGTTGTTTGCACAGCTCGTGTCTGGTGTTGGCTACTTGCACAAGAAGGGTATTGTCCATCGTGACTTGAAGCTTGAGAACCTGCTGCTGGACCGCAACCGCAACATCATCATCACCGATTTTGGATTCGCCAACACGTTCAGTCCGGACGACGAACTCGGCGAGGAGGTTGAAAATCACCTGAACAACAAGGATTTTGTCTCCAAGATGGGTTTGGAACACGTGCAATCGACCGGTCACCGTCGTGGTGATCTTATGCAAACGAGCTGTGGTAGCCCGTGCTATGCTGCGCCAGAACTGGTTGTTAGTGACTCACTCTACACTGGCCGCAAGGTCGACGTGTGGAGTTGTGGTGTCATCTTAGTACGTCAAGGTCAATGTACGCCAATCAAACAGCGGTCAGCTAACTTTTGCTAGTATGCCATGCTTGCAGGATACCTGCCATTCGACGATGACCCGGCCAACCCCGAAGGTGATAACATTAACCTGTTGTACAAGTACATTGTGTCGACGCCCTTGACATTCCCCGAGTATGTCACGCCTCACGCCCGGGATCTCCTGCGTCGTATTCTGGTTCCCGACCCGAGGAAGCGTGCCGATCTGTTCGAGGTTGCTCGTCACAGCTGGCTGAGCGAGTATGCTCATGTTGTCGGTTTCATAACGAGCACCACGACCACTTCTGCTGACATTGTTGATTCTGCCATTCCCATCGGTCAGTCGACTTTGTGCGAGAGCCATGCACGCCACACAGTGACTGACTCAAGAACAGAAGATCAATATGATGTTCCACAACTGGCCCGCAGTGCATCAGTCAGAGAGCCATCCAAACCCAGTCAGATTCCTGTTGTCGGTGGTCTTAGCAACAAGAACGCTCCTATCACCGAGACCGAGTCTAAGACACCTCGCGATGCTAAGCGTAGAACCGTTCAGGTCGAATACGTTGCTCCGCAGTCTCAGACTGCCAGACAGCCACCCATCTCGACCTCGCTGCCCACCAGTGCTGTCCTGGCCCAGCCTTCTCCATCTTCCCAAGGCAGATCGCGCGCAAGAGGAGACAGCGCCTCTGGTCCTGTGGCCACTAACCCTGCATCTTACGACCCCTCGCCTAGCTCTCAACGCTCTCAGCAACGCCCAGCCACTCAATCTGCCATGTCGCCTCCTGTCCGTCCCAACCGCGAGCCTCCACGAGCAGTCACTGACTCGACCCCTTTCAATGTCGGATCTCCTACTTCGAGCGCTCGTCCCACCACCAGCGGCTCAAGATTGCCATCTCGTGGCAACTCGTATGGCCAACCGGCTCTGGCTACTGTTGCTGCCACCAACGCCGAGGGTCGCTTCTCGCAACCCAAGCCGTCTGGATCTGGCTACATCATGTCCGGTTCCAACTCACAAGATGGTTCGAAGAGAAATTCGTACACTGGGAGACCAGTCAGCCAACATCTGCCTGCTGGCGCCNNCCAGATTGTACCTCAGCAGCCCGCAGAAAGACCTGTTCGTGGACACAAACGTTCTAACACAATGGAAAGTTTTACTACAAAGTTGTTTGGTCGCACAAACTCTCGTCGCCAGTCAGCAACTGCACAAGAGATTGCCAATGCTCGCCAAGAAAGGGAGAAGTCTTCGCGCATGTATCCTCCTGTCAGCATGAAGAACGCAATGCCTCATTCTGGCGAGGATCTTGCTCGTCCTTCTACCGAGTCATCCCGTCGCTCCTTCGGCTATAATCGTAAGAACAGCGAGACTGCTGGACCTCGATCATCAAGAAGATTCTCCTTCTTGCCCATGTCCTTCTCGAGAATGAGCTTCTCCGGTGCATCCGGCCCTGAAGCTGCCGAAGGTGGTAGACGTGCTTCCATCCAAGCCAATGCTGCTCGCAGTCGTCCTGCATCTAAGCAATCGCCTGTCATGGCATTCGGTCAAGGCAGAAGTCGCTCTCCTAGTCAAAGTACAACTGGCAGCAGCATACCTGTTGTTCCAGACAACAACGTTGATGGCCGCCGTAAAATGCCTCATCAGCCTGTACGCGGCGCAACTGCTCCCGATCTTACTAAGATGCAAGATTCTGGCTTCTCTCAGCAGCAGCAATTCTCTAGACAACAACAACAACAGGAGCAGCAGTACGACAACTACACCCCTCCTCAAAGCAGCGCTGGCCGACCGAGACATGAGAACTTTTATACACCATCGCAATCTGCAGAGTCGCAGGCAACCGATTCGATTGCCCAAACACCACGACAGAAATATCCCGCTGGGTTCAATGAGACTGAGCCTGTTGTGGCTAAACCCCAACATCGCCAACAAGCAGTCTTGCAGAAGAACCGCAAGTTTGGCGACGCGTACGAAGGTCATGGAAATGCTGGCAGCAGTGGTGGTGCCCGACGAGTGATGGACTGGTTCCGCAAGCGAGGCAAGGACAGAAGCAACTAGGAAAGTTTCTGTGCAGCTTGTTGATATACTTGCGCCCTCTCCCCGACTTTGAGCAATGATGTTGGCTCTTCTTTCTGGAGTATTGCTTTATTTGCATCTTCTTCGCCTGTTTTTCTTATACCCTTTTTCTTCTTCCTTGTTCACCCTTTCTTATCTGACCGCCCTTTCCAACAACTCCTTTCTTCTTCTCTTTGCAACTTCGAACTCAATGTTAATTGCTTCCATTGATTCACGTTCATCTTTCTTCTTGGTCAGCGCGGCGTCCTCTTTCATATCAATTTTAAAGCGGCTCTTATTCCTGTTCATTAGCAAACGTACACTTCTTACTTTGGGCATGGCATCAAACTCTCGAGGACCGCGAGAGCATAAGGGAGCTTTTCTTGAATGTATTAGTCGGACTCTTATGACAAATTTCTCTTCTTTCGATCACATCAAGAATTTACCCGATTCGCTTCTCTGTATCCATTTTCAAGGTACTCGCCAAGCTTTGTCCTACAGGCATCAAGCTGCACGCTCCCTGTTTGAAGAGCTGTCAAAAATGCTACATTGATACTTCGATCAGCCGTGGGCGGCACATCGAGGCTCAAAGGCTTCAGTCGTGGGACGGGACGCATCCTGCAAGCTGTACGGCCGTTAGTTATCTGGTTCCAGTCTTTTGTCTTTCTTAGTTGTGAGACCGTGACTAAAGCGACGCGTGCATGAGTCGAGTCTCGCTTCACATCGAGTCAAGAGGAGCAATTCCACCTTTCCTTATCCCCTGAGGATGTGTCTTAACGTTCGGTTTGTATCCAACCACATTACGTGAAGCGACTCAAATGTGTCTACGTTCTCCGCTATATCCCGCCTGTCTCTGCGCGATAGCGCGGTGTCTTTTGCTACGGTGAATCAGTCTCTTGCCAAAGTGTGATATAGCCGTTTCGGAAAGTGGTGATGTGGCGTTTCTTCCCTCTGGTGGGATTGCGCTATGCTTCAAGTTGCCGGAGTCTTGTGTTCCAGGCAGGAACTATGGGAAATTGAATCTTTCTTCGTTTGGCATTCGACTGGATTTTTACTTATCATTGGGGTTCTGAGTGAGCTTTCGATTCTTCTACTTTAATCGTTCGGCGCAGAGTAATATTTGTCAAGTACGACGCAACAACATTTTACATCCATACCATTTCCTGTCCCCTCTCTGATTACTCGTTGATTACATCTTTCCGATAGGAGAATGCGTTCGATCCACTACATCTCTCCTGCTATCTTTGCAGCTTTGGCTTACGCCAGAACCGATCTTGTTGGCTGCACATCGACGGACGTATCCTCACCTGCCGGCGCATCTGTTGCCTGGTACGTCCCTGGCACAGGAGAACTGTGCGAGTTCTTGGACTGTGGAGGTGGAAGGGCGCCTCCCAAGACTACTGTACCGGGATGTGCTCTGTATGTGGGTACGGAGACATACAAGCCTAGTTTCCTTGCTGGATTCGGTGCGGCTATGACGGTTGGCATAGTGGGTGCGGCAGGTGTTGAGGCGAGCGCTACGTATGTTGCTGCTTCTACGTCCTCTGTTGCTGCTGCTGTTCCTACTACTGCCACTGCTGGAGATGCTGACGATGACGAAACCGAGACGTGGGCATCTGAAGCTGCTTCGACCACTACATCTGCAATGAGCGCTGCCATCACTGGACTTAGCAGTTCTGACCAAGGATCCACCACCACCTGGAGTTCGGTTGAGACCGATAGCACGACTTCTGTCGACCAAGACCTCACCGCCCCTAGCACTTACTCAACCGCGACTTCTGCTGCCACGAAGTCTACTGCCTCCTTTACGACAAGCACAAAGGATATTCCTACCTTGTTCTCGGCATCCAATACCTCGTCAGTGGCGACTGGTAGTTTAAGCATGAGCAGATCGTGGGTCAAGTCCATTCCGACTTTCGCAAGAGGCGCTGCTGATGATGTTGACAGGGCAAAGCTGTCTGCTTCAAGCTCGAAAACCAAGTCAGCTTCTGCATCTCTTGCGACCTCTACTGGCAGGGCAGGCAAGATTGTTGCTGTTGGTGGTTCGGGTATTTTTGCTGCTGTGGTTGGAGTTTTGGCTGCCATATAAGGAACATAGTATCGAGATGTGAGCGGGCAGGATTAGAGAAGCGGTCAGATAACGTCCTTGTGTGCTGAATACTGTTGAGCGCGTAGCCATAACAATATGCAATGCTTTCTGGGAAACCACGCATAGTTCATCGAACAATGTGATGTTAGCGCTCTCTGTGAACGGATCTTGAGTGTCGAAATCATTGTGTAATCTGACAGGTTACAACAATGTTTTGTGTTACTGCTGTTACTGCGAGAGAGGTCGGAATGGGAAAAGGGGAGGAGTCTGGAGTATGCAGCCATCGAGATTTATCCTTGAGTGCACAACTTTGAGATGTACACGCACAATCTGCACAAATCCGAGCATCTTTTTCTTGAAGAACCACATTCTTGTATTCTTCATCCCTCCACAATTGACATGTCACGACTCCAAACCCGGACAGCGAACTCGGAACACTCTATATGGCGCCACCTTCCTGAAAACACGTTTCGACAACACTTGGTCGACCTCGAAAAATGCACAAATGCCGTGCCAGTGGCACCGCAGACATTTCCTTTAGAACCACATGAACATGAGTCGCCAGACAAATATAGTCTACCATTGAGTGCGGAACAGCAACTGGCAGATGACTTTGCATTCTTGGCTGCGATTGAAGAAGGAGCTCAGAGCGTCGCAGCCGTGTGTTTGGAAGAGCATCTCCAACCACCTCAACTCACAGTTCGATTTGCAGCGCTGGATCTCTCACTAAACGACGAAGTGAAGGATGCTCTGAGATCCATAATCAGTATTCTCAACACTGTAACAGAGATTGATAGCCCAGCCCGGACGCAAGAATTGTTTTCACACATCGTAAACTTGCACTTTCGACGACTACTTGCGCGGCTTAGATCCAACAAGTGGGAAAAGCCGAAATATCTTGCCAAACAGCATAAAAAGCCTTTGTGGCAGGACTTTGCAAATCTCTTGCATCGGGTTCAATTCATCTATACCAAGAAAGAAGCGGCTTTGAGACGCTTGGTCGAGACCCAAGTGCAAAATCTTGCTGCAGCCTATGAAGGCCTCGAAGTAGTCGAGGCAGCATCACAAGATGAGCTTATATGTCTGCAGGATTTGATCAAAGCAAGTCATCGCTTTTGCAAAACGGCAGATATTGTGGATTTTGCACAACGGCTGGAAAATAGTGTTACTGCGGCACCGACACCAAAAGTTGCGTCTGCCATCAAGTGCCTGCGTCAACTAGAGAAGATTGGCGCGTACTGGCGAGTCACGACATCTATGATCGATACAAGCCTGAGATACCCGACTCTATTCCAAGCAAATCCTCAGTTGGCATTCTTGACACCATACGAGCCCGTTCCCACCACAATTGGCCATGAGTCTTGGGCAACGAGTTGTCATGTACACGCAGAAGTCCAACTTGCCGTGTACTACGATTTGCTACCTCAGACTCCATCGAACTCAACAGCGACTNNTTTTCTTNNCCTCCCTCGCGTCATAGGGACTTCGAAATGGCTTTGTTACCTCTGCTATCAGTTTCTACGAGCTCATGGTTCTTTTGTTCCCGTCAACACTCATGGAAGACTGTATGATCAATGGACGATACCGGATTTGGCTGAATATGGAGAAGAGCTACGCACTCGATATCGCAGGATTGTTCGCGGTATAGATGCAGAGGTGATCAGGGAAACGGGGGCTGGCGATCTTGATGAGGAAGGATCACTACTGCGATGGCGTGCTGAGCCAATGACGAGTCGACAGAATCTGTTGGGTGTAGATGGCACATTTTGATCCTTTAGTTTCTTCGCAGCAGCGACGCAGAGAATTGTCGTCCTTGCAAGTGTTATTAGTGATTAGACATTCCAGCCAGGCTGCGTAGAGGTCAAAATGTGTTATCGGAAGCTGGCACAATGACTACTGTCGAGATATGAAGTTGTGCCCCCTTTGGAAGTAGGTAGACCTGAATGTGAGGTTTGGGCAGCTCGTACATGTTGGTTTGGCGCAAGTCGTATGAACATTCGTTTCCAAATACCCTCTCTTCTAGTGTCACATAGCCAAGAGAACACACAGCGTTCTTCAGGTCGACTTCGTGCCATGGAGAAGCATTGGCTATGGAGAGTGAAGACGTACCGAAGGCGGTGAGAGCGGCAGTCGGAGGTCGGAGTTTGGGCGCAACGACAATGACGATGACCAAACAGAGCACCTTCCGATCTTGCACTTGTAGACCAAGAATCCGACCTCAGACTTTCACTCAGACGATCGCGCTCTACTCACTTGTCTCCTGCCCCGCGCCAAAATCAGGATCTCGACTCACGACTTTGTCCATTCCACTCCACCAACCCACCACATCATCACCATGGAACAAACCCGAGCAATCAACGCGCTGGCACCTTTCCTGGCCCTGTCAAAGTCGGCCACTTCAGCTCGCGCAGCTGCTGATCTCGTCACTCAAGCCACCTCGGCCGCCCACACATATGTCTTTGGCGAGCTCCTCCAGACGCCAAACATTCAGAGTCTACGCGACGATGCCCAATACCGCAACTACTACACACTGCTCGAGCTGTTCGCCTGGGGCACATGGGCCGAGTATCAAGGTACGTTACCACATCCGCTCCAATCTCTACCATGCTTTAGACTGACGTGTTCTGCACAAACAGCTCTCGCATCAACACTCCCTTCGCTATCACAATCCCAAGAACACAAATTGCGCCAACTCACCCTCCTCACCCTCGCCGCAACTACAACAAACAACAACCCCCTCACATACACAAACCTCCAATCCGCACTCTCGCTCGACTCGCCACTGGCCCTCGAACGCCTCGTCACCGACGCCATCTACGCCGACCTGCTCACCGCCACCCTAAACCCCGCACAAGGCATCGTCGCTATCAGCAGTGTAGCCGCCCTCCGCGATCTCAATCCCGGCAGCGTGACACGCATGATGGCTTCCCTGGACGCTTGGAGCGGCAGATGCGACGATGTACTCAAGGACCTCGAAGCCCAGATGAAGAGTGTAATGGAAGCCGCAGAGAGAAGGACAAACGAGGAAGCCATGCGTGCAGAACAGGTCCACAGAGCTGAAGCCAACGGCAAGAAGAGCGATGACACTGCAGACGATGCCATGGAAGTCGATGACGGCGGCCAGAAAATGGGAGGCAAGAAGAGAGGTCTGGGCCTGAGAAAGAGATAGGACTCGTTCAGTGAGAGCTTCAGAACCAAACTGAGGCTGCGCAAAACGGAATCTTTTGCTTTTGTGGATGAATAGAGGGATGGCTAGAAGAGGCTGAGATGTTGCAACTACTGCACCTCAACACAAGAGCATTACGAGTAGCTTTGCTCGACAAATTACGAAGAATACGAAACACTTTTACTCAAGTCAATCAGAAGAAACGCTCATAGATTTGTATTCTTTTCCTTGTAACAGGAACCTGTATGCGATGGGGTATAAAAGAGATGAAAAAAGGGGGAAAAAAGGGAGGTGATAACAATGCGGCCCCGGGCAAAGACGAAAAAACACAATATGCAAAAATCTCCCGTGTACACCACCACACAACTCTCTCTCTTTCTCTCGAAACCAAGGGAAACGTTTCTTTTCCTCCTTCGAAAGAAAACGCCCACTTGAAAAAACCAGAAAGACAGATCTAACGCCGCGCCATATGCAAAAAGGGTGTGAGATATGGAATGGGAATTTCACAACTTCATGTCGAGGTGATCAAGAGCTGTTGGATCGCATAAGCATTTCCTACAAAAGGACACTGTTAGCGCAACAATCACATCAAAGTGCATCGAGAATAGCTTACCCGCTCAATGGGATCTCCAAGGTCTGCCGTCACAATTGAGGGACTCTTAGTCGGATTGGTCGGCGAGTCGGTGTATCCACGAATATCCAAGATGGGCCTCCTGGGTGTGCTGACTTTGCTACTGCCTGTGCTATCTGCTTGCTTGCCGTCGTCACCTTGGGTGAGTGCCAGTCTCTGGTCCTTGTTGCGTTCGAGTAATGCTCCTCCCATGGTTGCACACTTGAGTATGGTTTGAATGAGCTGATTTGGCTTGAGCGGCTTCGAAAGATACTCGTCCATTTGAGCTTGGATGCACTTCTCGCGGTCACCCAACATGGCGTGGGCTGTAAGGGCAATAATGGGCGAGCGGGTGAGCTCGTGCTCACGCTCATATTGACGGATGTTGGCAGTGGCTTCGAAGCCTCCCATGATGGGCATTTGCACGTCCATGAGTACAACATCATAACGCTTCTTCTTGATGGCCTCGAATGCTTCCAGACCGTTGTTGGCCACGGTGACTGTGTGATGGTGCTTCTGCAAAATCTTGACCGCCAGCCTTTGGTTGACCGCGTTGTCTTCAGCGAGCAAGATGTCAAATTTCATTGAAGGGTCCGCAGATGTAGGTGCTGCACGTCCTTCCAATGCTGGAATCAGCGCGTTGCCCAGATCGATGGACAGACAAGGCGTCGTCATATAGCTTGCAATGCCGTCTTCGAGTGCCGACTTGAAACTCATGCTGATGATAGGTGCAAGCATGACGATGGGGATGTACTTAAAGTCCTCAACGTTGCGAAGCTTGCGAGCTGTCTCTCTGCAATCGACCAGAACACAGTCGTAAGCCTTTCCAGCAGCTATAGCAGCCTGAGGTGAAGGTACTTCATGCTCGTTGTGGACGACCATGGGTACCAGCTGAAGGTTGACAAGATGCTGAGCAATCTCTTTGGAGCAACCGGTCTTACCAGTGTCAATGAAGAGCACGTTGTGCTTGCGGTAAGCTCTGAGCTGCTTGTCGATGGCCTTAACATCGGGGTTGCCAACTTTGAACTTCACAGTGAAGTAGAAGCAACTGCCTTGACCGAAGTCAGACTCCACCCACATTCTTCCGTGCATAAGAGAAACGAGTCGTCTTGAGATGGACAGGCCAAGACCAGTACCACCGAAGCGGCGGGTGGTTGAGCCATCTGCTTGCTGGAAAGTGTCGAAGATAAGATCAAGCTTGTTGCTCGGTATTCCGATACCAGTATCACGAACAGCAAACTGGACTGCGTACTCGCCATCCTTGCATCCGACTTGGTCCGCCGCGGAGATGGAGATTCTGACCTCGCCCTTGTCAGTGAATTTGATGGCGTTGCCAACGAGGTTTAGAATGATTTGACGAAGTCTGAAGGAGTCTCCGACAACGTAGTCCGGTACTGAGCTGTCGACATAGTAGGCAAGGTCGAGACGCTTCTCGTTGGCCTTGACTGCCAGACCCTTGAGACCATTGAAAACCTGACCACGGAGAGAGAATGGAATCTCCTCGACAACCATACGGTTGGCCTCAATCTTGGAAATATCGAGGATGTCGTCAATGATGGTCAACAAACTGTTAGCCAAGTTGAATACCAGGTTGAGCATCTCTCGCTGGTTTTGATTCAGGTCAGTGTCGAGAGTGAGTTGGGTCATTCCGATGATTCCGTTCATGGGAGTTCTGATCTCGTGAGACATGTTGGCAAGGAACTCCGACTTGGTCTTGTTGGCCAATTCAGCAGCTTCTCTCGCAGCAGTGTTCTTCTGGATGCTTTCACGCAGACCAGTAACCATCTTGTTGATCTTTTGCTTCAGCTCGTTCATTTCGCCAGATGCTTCGACAGTGATCATCTTGGTAAAGTCGCCGTCCATAGCGGCGTTGGTGATGTCACCAAATGCTCGGACTTGTGAAGTCAGGTTTTGGGCCATGGTGTTAACGTCGGAAGTGATTTCCTTCCAGCGACCAGAAATTCCATCGACTTCTGCTTGACCACCCATCTTGCCATCAACACCGACATCGCGAGCGACACGCTTGACAGCAAGAGACCAGTTATCAAGTCGACCAACCATGTCGTTGATGGTGTTCTTCAAGAGCAAGATTTCTCCCTGAGCATGAACCTTGATGACTTGAGTCATGTCACCGCGGGCGATAGCTTGGGTAACGTCTGAGATGTTGCGGACCTGGTTGGTCAGGTTGTTGGCCATGGTGTTGACGTTGTCAGTCAGGTCCTTCCATTTGCCTTCAACGTTCTCAACTTGGGCTTGTCCACCAAGCACACCCTCAGTACCGACTTCTCTTGCCACCTTGCTGACCTCGAAGGCGAAAGTACTCAGACGGTCAACCATGGTGTTGATGGTGACCTTCAACTCGAGAATCTCGCCCTTAACCTCGGCCCCAACCTTCTTGCTGAGATCGCCTCTGGCAACAGCCTTGGTGACGTGAGCGATCTCACGCACTTGAGTGGTGAGGTTGTTGGCCATGCCGTTGACGTTCTCGGTGAGATCTTTCCATGTGCCTTCGACTCCATGCACGGTAGCCTGTCCACCAAGTCTTCCTTCTGTTCCGACTTCTCTGGCAATCTTTGTAACTTCGTGAGCAAATTGTCTGAGTTGATCAACCATAGAATTGATAGTCGATTTGAGCTCAAGAATTTCACCCTTGCACTCAGCCTTGACCTTTTGCGTAAGATCACCCCGTGCGACGGCAGTGGTGACCTCGGCGATGTCTCGTACTTGAGTCGTGAGGTTGTTGGCCATGGCATTGACGTTGACTGTCAGGTCGTTCCACATGCCCTGCACGCCTTCGATCTGAGCTTGACCTCCGAGCACACCTTCAGTGCCGACGTCACGAGAGACGCGAGTGACTTCTGTTGCAAAGGTACGCAATTGGTCGACCATGCCATTGATAGTCTGCTGCAGTTGCAATATTTCGCCACGAGCAGGGCGTTGGATCTTGCGGCTGAGATCGCCCTGGGCGACTGCGGTAGTTACGACGGCGATTTCTCGTACTTGGTTGGTAAGATTGTCGGCCATGATGTTGACNNTGTAGGTGATTAGTGCATGGACGTGCAAACAACGAAGGATACTCTGCATACCATTCTGTGTCAATTCAGCCCAGATACCACTGACACCAGGCAAGACGGCCTGGCCGCCGAGTCTTCCTTCGGTGCCGACTTCACGGGCGAGATGTGTGACTTGACTGGCGAAATCTTGTAATTGGTCGACCATCTTGTTGATTGTACGTTTGAAGGTAGCGATTTCGGGATCACGCTCTTTGGCGCTGATGAGCACCTTTTTGCTGAGATCACCATTGGCGACAGCAGTAACGATGCTGCCAATTTCGCGGAGGACTTTTTGGTAGGTGGCATTGATTTGTTGGTTCTTGGACAATTCGCGCTTCAGGGTTTCAACGTCGTCCATAGAGCTCTCGATGCCACCGAGGGCTTGCTCGGTAGCCTGGCGCTGCTGTTGCAGAGTCTCATTAATGCTGTCGATGTATTCTTTCTGAGCCTTGATCTGTTCGCTCTGACGATCGACATGGTCGCGAAGAACTCCAAGCTCTTCTTCTGTCAGCTGACGTGGTACGGCAGTGCCTTTAGGACTCTCCGACTTGGCCAGTAGACTGTTTACCAGTGATGCAGAGCGAGGCCGTGAAGCCAAGACACGAGCAGCGGTGGGCGAGCTCTCTGGCGAGAAGGCAGACTGTAGCGGCTCGTTGGGGGTGATGGGAAAGACGGTCGAGGCCGAGGAAGCGACTCTGTTTTCGAGATATTGCACACGGCTGGCCAGGGCAGCGACTTCTCGCTCGAGTTGACGTTTGGAGGCAGAGTCGGCGCCAGGTAAGGGGCTGCGGTTTGCTTCGATGCTGTTGGCAGCGACACGGCTGTTGAAATCATCGTCGGTAGGGGTGTATTGTTTGGCAAGGTTGGAGATGATGCCGGCGAGGGCTGCGTACGAGTCCTCTTCAGCCATCGTGGGCGGTTGTTGGTGCAGGTGTGGATGGTCGACGCGCATGAACGGTATGGGGTGCGGCCGCTGTGTCCGGTGTCCAGGGATGCGTGGAGACGCGCAGGACTCGGACGAGTGACGGGAGCCTTGGTGACGACTCCGGAGGGCCCGAGACGGAGGTCGAAACTAGATTGGCATCAAACACTGAAGCCTGTGTCGTCGTCGAAGTGCCTCTCTGTAGTGGTGGTCAGGCCGATGTTGTGGATAGTGACAGGTTGCGAGAGGAGTCGAGGGCTGGGAGATGCTTCAACAGCAGGAGGCCCAAGGGTCGGCAACAGGCGCGCTAATTTAGTGATCGCCGAGAAAGCCTCGCCGTCCAATCGTATTCGACTGTGACACGAAAAACCAAAGGTAGGCTGCGCAAGCTTTGGTCGTCTCGAATCCCTCTACCAAGACAATGGAGTCTTGAATGATAGCAATCTGACGAGCAAAGGTAGAGGATGGGAAAGTGCGTTGCTGCCTCTCTAAACAAAGAAGTGCCAAACAAACTCTGAAGCTCTGAGCCCATGCTCAAGGGAGCCGCTATCCACCACGCGAGCCAAAAGACCCCATAACCAGCCAGCTAAATTTATCACCATTCGACCGCCTCTTTGCACTCTTATTCCCTCTCGTCGTCCCACGCCATTTGCTTCCTTTGCACTTTCCGATAACAACTCCTCGTATCCCCTTCGCTAGCTAACACGCAGTAACTGCTGCTGCCAAGACCTTGTCTACATGCTCCTTGATGCTGCTGCTGGACAACCTTTTTGCTTTCAGAGACCGATCTCAATCTCCAAGTGGTCCACAAAAACTTCAAGGTTCTAGAAGAGAACTTGTCGTTTGCTTTTCGATTCGTCCTGTGCGCCACGAGCACAATCGACATCGAGATGCCGCTGATGTAGACTCGGGGCTTGGTCCACTGTTTTTTCCGTTTATGCACGGAATTTCAGGGTCTTCATGTGGAGACTCAATTCTTGCACGTTGTCAAGACCATCTCCTCACTCTCTTCTGTTGGAAATCTCGTTCTTTCTCTTAGAAGACCACTTTGTTAGTCAGGTCGACTCGCGAGGACTGTAAGTCGTGAGAAGCGAGACCACAATATTTACCGCCCAGTCTCAGGCCCCAGCAATCGCTTCCTGCTCGTACCCGTACTCTTTCGGAGAATTCGCGCAACGATAATGCCGCACTTCCACCGCCGCGACTGTCGATCCATTTGTCCATTGAGAATCCGCCTCCGAGACGGACAAAGTCTGTTCAATCTCGACCACTCTTCGGACACTACACTCTCAAAGGAGTCAGTCAACCTGACCATCGTGTTCTCGGGATCACAACGTGCAACAAGAGACCAAGAGCTGGCGTCGATCGTGTGTTTCATCTTGCCTGCATACCACTTTTGCCTCGAGTGACAGGAACTCTGCAGATCACAGATCCCACCCGCACCGTTTGAATACGTACACGTGATATGCAGTTGTCAACGAGTTCGACTGTTTAGCAACTCTCCGAATCAACCGCACACCCTCGGTCGACTCCTCTACCCCTGGATTCCTGGCCTCAATCGACTTTAGCATCTCTCTCATACGAAGTTTGCACGTGCGGCATATCATAAAGCATGTTGCTAGCTGAGTTCAGCCACTGACTCAACTTACCAGCCTTATCCTATCTTCACTACTCGCTGGGGGGAACCGTTACAGGGTCCATCCGACATAAACCTTGCCTGACTCGAGCATGCCACGAGCAAGGTGATGTTGTACAAGTTCTTGCCATGCTTCGGGTATCGAGCTCTGGCGTTCAGAAGTATAGAAAAGGGAATGCGTTGTCAACTCTCGCGCGAGGGAAAAACTCATGTCCGCTCGAGTCAGGTATTTGTACAGAGGCCTAACCTTCAAAATTGCCAAGAATCTCGGCAGTCGACAAGGGGCAAACATCCTATTCAACACCGCTTAGGCCGGCACAACAACATTTTCCCATACAGGAATCGCCTCGTCTTTGGTTGCAGAGACTCTCCTGAAACACTTGAATGCTGGACAGAGTTTTAGACTGCCGGCCTGTTGAAATCGCGAGTCGTGCTTGCTTGAAGATCATGACTTCGCCTCCAGAGTCAGCTCCCCTGAATGTTCTGGCAACTACCGAAGGAGAGACGACAACACATCGTGTGTGCTGCTTAAGACTGCATGGCGGGGTGACATTGCTTGTGGACGGTCTGCTACTTGGAGCATGACGAGATGATCTTGGAGTCACATTCCCATTAAGGTAGCCATCTGGTTGCGGTAGATCATGACTACTCGCGAAACGATGGTGTTAAGACGGCAGAAATCAGGCATGAGGATGAGCTCCAAATCATATGATGTCGACTAACAAAGAGAAGTTGAGCAAGTATATTCCTGTCTTGAGCTTCGCCAAAGATATCATCACGCGTTGTGACACATCTACACTGAATGAGCGACCGCCACAAAGATCTTTCAATCTCCAAAGTCATGTTTGGAAGGCACAAACATTCTCTGCAATTCTGTAGTTGACAAGTCATCGGATGCGAGCCTATCGCAGTTCTGGTGCTGGCAACCTGGTCTGGTAGCTGAAGAAAGAGAACGTGCAGACTGGGGGTGAAAACGCACCAAAGGGTCAGAAATCCTGTCGTCACGAACAGAATCCAATCCTTGATATCAGACGCACCCTACAAGCTGTCTCACAAATCACTCACGTGGCTTTGTTGTGTGAAAGCAAACAAACTCGATGTTGCCACGAACCAGCGACGAGCTTCGACTATCAAAGCCTTGGAGTGGATACAGTCTTTGATCTTGCGTTTGCTGACTTCTACCACTTTCCATGCGGTGAGTCAGCGACCGTCCCTGGATAGTTCCACGGCCGCGAGCTGAACTCCCCATCTACTCTTGAGTCTGCTCGTTGTTGTCAAAAGTGCTGGAAAACATAGCTCAAGACACCGTTTTGTGAAGATGATGGCGATTAAGCAAATACCAGTGCAGGGGGCTGCCGGAGTGAGCAAAAGCGGGCGAGAAGAGTGCTATACAGTCGCCACAAAGAAGTGCAATCGATCAGGTTCCGTTCAGAGCTGACTATTAAAGAACAAACGACTCGGATGGAAGGAGGCGTGAAGAAAGGAAAAAATGACACTGCAAAAAGAGTTTGCTGGAATGTACACAGACGACACGGAATTGGGACAGGGCAACGCGAGAGTTGAAGTGAACGATTCGCTCTTGGACTTCTAGAAAGACCAGCAATTCGCTAAGTGAAAGTCTCGACGCAGCTACCAAGAGTGAAAGTCGACTTCACAACAAACAGGGAAGTTGACAACTCGTCTGAGCTTTCCCTTCGTGTTCGTTCCTTCGCACACTTCTCTTTCAGCCATCGCACCACAGAAGCGCAGCCATGGAAGACGAGGATTTCATCAACGGCGAGGTCACGTAAGACTGAGTGGTTTCTCTGTTCATACTCGGAGCTAACGAGTAATAGAGATCCTACTGTGTTCGACAACCCCAAAGACTCTGATATCATCCTCACCTTCAGCGGCCATCAAATCTATGCTCATAGAGTCATCTTGCGCATGTGGTCTCCTTTCTTCAAGCGCGTCCTCGACTCGCAATTCTGTGTCGCCAACAACGCTACATTCAACATCGACGACGAGTGCGATGATGAACATGATCCCGAGCCTGTGTACGCTATGCTGAAGCATATCTACGGCATTCCCTTCGTGCCCCGTTCGAGTACCGACCCGCGCGGAGTTTCTGGACTGAAGTTCTGTATCAAGCTATACATGATGACGGACAAGTACGACATCCCATCTGTCCGTCGCATCGCAGTGAGCGTCATTCAGGATCACTTGTTCACCTCTCAAAACGAGCTGTTTGGCTTGACAACGCTTGAGCCTATTCCAAGATACATTGCGCTCATCTGCGGTCCACGCGCACCTCAGCTAGCCGATCCAGAGTTACGCGATGTCCTGTTTTCCTGGCTTACCGAGAACTTCTGCGTTCTTACCGAACACCAGGAGTACAGGGACAAAATCGAAGACGGGTCACTGCTTGACTCCGAATTGACTGCAAAGCTGCTGTTCTCGTTTAGTGCACAGATCTCAGCCAACAAGAAGACCAAGACGACGCGTACAACCTATCTCCCACCCTCAAGCCCTACATCTAACTCTTAAACAAACAGTCAGAAGATATGGTAACTACTTGGCACGGGTTCGTGGAGGCAAGTGGGAGATAGTCGAAGACGAGTGGCTCCCTCCTCGTCACTACCCACCGAAGGCTACTTCCATCACCGGAGTTGAGAGCAGAGGGACTAGTCATGGCTGGAAGGAGGATGAGAGTCTCACTTACCCATTGATTTCTCTTGCTGTCGCTATCCAAACAATTTCTTTACTCTTACTTGCCATCGACTTGTGTGATATTGCAATATCGTCTCGTGTGTCGAAGGAGTTCACCACTCTTCCTTGGCAAACAGGCCGAAAAATGAATATTACATGCTACAGTGTCTTCATGCTTAATTCTGTCTGCTTTATCTTTTTGAATGCCCAGCCGGCTTTTACTTTCAAGTTTACACCTCTGCAAGATATATCTACGATCAATCTCCACTTATACGTAGCTTTTGATTCAATGCAATCGTGTAGTAACCACACATAGGCAGTATCCCAGCAGGAGGTGGTCGCAAGCATACTCCGTGTTATTGACATTATACATGGTCTACTTCCTCAGTCTCTAGTGTACAACAGTCTGGATCACCAGTAAAGTACTATGTAGGGCTCTCGTGTATCATCTCTGAAACACAAGGGGGTGCAGAGAATGTGCATCTTCATGAGAAAGCGAAAGGTCATCCTCATTGTACCACGATGGTATACTTCATCATACACGAAAAGAAGACGCGAGACGTAAACAAAAAAAAAACAGAAAAAGATGAATTTCATGTGCCAAAAGAAAAGAAAAAAGAAAGAAAAAAGGAAAAAAGGGGTATCGTGCTATATGGTTTTTTCATCAAGTCATACCAACATCCTTCTCAACTCAAGCCCTTCCTCCCTTCTTACCCTCGTGCTGCAGACTAGCCTCCAAAGCTCTCTTGTAATCCTCGTCATCTTCGTCGTCGTCATCGTGTTCGGCAACTTTGCCTTTGCCCTTGCTCGCAGCATTGCGTCGATGTTCTTCTTCCAGCAAACTCTGCTTCTTGACGTATTCCATGACCATTCTTTCCTCTTCTTCAGCACTGGTAGAGGCTTTGTGGACTTCTTGGCTTTGGCTGATTGCTCGCTGCAGCTCTGCATCGTCGTCGAGATGTTTTTGTGCAGATTGCTGGTCTTGAGATGCTTTGACAGCGAGACGATATTCGTCGTCACCTGAGCTGGAGTTTGTATCCCATTCGCTATCCGTAGACTGTCCTTGACGTTTGATGCGCTTGTCTTGATGACCAGAGGGGTTTGCTAGACTAGCCTTGAGCGCGGCTGCTAGCTCTTCGTCGTGTTCAGACGAAGATGTATCTTGATATGCTGGTGGATCTTGACCTTGATGGTCTACCATACTGGCTGCAATTGCTTTACGCAGGATCTCGTCTTCATTTTCGACATCGTTGTTGTTGCTGGAAGACTGCTGACCAGAGGCGAGCTCGGCAATGCTGGCGCGAATCGCACGCTCAATCATGGCATCTTGCTCTGGGTCGCCACGGCTAGTATCAGCGACCGATGCGTGGATAGCTCTCTCAAGTTCGTTGCCACTGGTACCGCGTGTGAACTGCAGGTCCTCATACTTAGGAGGTTCGCTAGGGTGCTGCGTAACCTCGACCGTCGGTGTTGCGACTTCGCTATGTGTACCGACTCTCGCTGCACGCGAATTAGCACGTGATCGAGGAAGAAGGCCCAGCAGAGAACGCGAACCTCTGGCTTGACCATCATGAACGTTGCCGCCCTCTCGATCGTCGCCATCCCATTGCTTTCTAAGCATATCCTGGAACTGCTCGTGAATAAATCTCTTCTTCTTGACCTCCGACTCAACCACTTTCCAGCGTCTAATGATCTCCTGTCGCTCCTGGGCACTCGACCTGTGCCATTCATCATAGCCTTGGGCTGTGCGAGCTGCAATGATGTAGTTCTGAACAGAGGATCCCGACAGTTGTTGGAGCTCTTTGTAGACACCCTTCATGGTGTAGGCCGGGATACCGAAGATGGCTGCACCAGGCTTGAGTACTATACCGCCAATGCCCTTACCAAAGCCCTTGATGAAGCCGGCAGCACCTTCCTTCTTTGCGCCCTCCATGGGCTGGGTAACGAGTCCAGTGATGCCATCGAACATACCAAAGCCGAATTCCTTGGTGGCTGCACGAAGGCCAGATCTAAAGTCGGTGATCTTGTCAGGCTTCCTGACAGACTCATCGCCATAGAGCTTTGGTGCATTGTGGAAGCCTTTTGCAAGAGCATGCGTAAAGTCCATCGGCGACTTGAAACCAGCTCCGACAATTCTAGAAACGCCCTTACTGGTGCCGAAGGCGGCATCGATGACTTCTCTTAGGTTTGTCTCGCCTCCCTGTGACTGAGATTGTGCCGATGCCTGGGACTGCGTGGTGTTTGTCCTGTGGGGACTCGATGACCTAGAAGTAGAACCGCTGCGAGAGCCAGAGCGATTGCGCAACTGGTTACCCAGGCGACCTTGCAGTGCTGCGGCTAGCGAAGAAGAACGACTACGCTTTCCTCTGTCGGTCTTGTCTTCGGCTGTGAGATGAGGAGAACCCATCTTCGCAAACGACTCATCGAGATTGAAACTTCCTCCCGTGCTAGCACCTCTTGTGGGTGAAGCAGGTCTGTTTGGACTAGTGACAGCAAGCTCTCTATTGGAGGTCCCAGGTTGGTTTGGCGGGCTCTCGGTAGACAATTGCTGGGAAGTAGCCTGAGGTTCTGTTGTTGTTTTGTTGGGAACAGCGTCAGGGTGGATTCTCAACGCCTTCAATGCAGCGACAGGGAAGTCGGCGACACCCATCATCATGGTACTGATTGTACCGGTGAGAGCGCCAGCGCCACCAGATATGGGCTCGGGAGGACCCTCATCGGCCTCATACTCTCTCGGGCGGTACAGTTTCAGATCTTTGAAGTCCAGTAATCCTTCGGTCGCCAAAGTGGTCGCCGCAAGAGCACTCAGACGAACCTCGGTCCTTTTCAGACGCCAGACAGCTGCTTTACTGGGTGCTATGCTGCATCTCATCTTATCGACTTCAAGGAATTGGTGGAAGCTCTGAGCGCCAGATTCGGTGCCGTTCTCATGACCAATACTGTTGGCCAGATCTTGAGCCCTTTCTCTAGTGGCCGGCTCAAGGGCTTTGTTGATTGCACCAGCCAAGTTATCAGCAGTCAAATCCTTGTGATTGATCGGATCTGGACCAGCTCCAGCTTTGGCTACCATGGCTCCCCAGAAAGGCTGGTCTCCGAAGAACGGAACAATGACAGTAGGAACACCACACGCAATTCCAGCAGCAGTGGTTCCTGCGCCTCCGTGGTGGACAACACAAGACACGTGCTTGAATAACCAGTCGTGAGGCACATTACCCAGCATGAAGACACCTTCTGGTATGCCAAGTTCATCGGCGCCGAAACCACCCCAACCCTTGGAGACCAGAGCACGTTGTCCAGTCTGGCGGATAGCATCGAAAATGAGCTTGGTCATGCCGTTGGGATCGTCAAGAACAATGGATCCGAAACCAATGTACACGGGTGGAGGCCCGGCATCCAAAAAGGCCTTGAGATCGGGGGGTGGTGTAAAGTTGGAAGCCAGAGAGAGGAAGTAAAAGCCAGCGATAGATATCTGGTTGCCCCAATCTCTCGGCTTGGGGATCAAAGCAGGAGACCAGCAGTAGGTATGTGGGACACGTAGCCTTGTCAGCATGCCAGGAGCCCATATCAAGCTGATGGGATCGAGAGAAAGATCCTTGACTCTGAATCTGTTGATGACGTCGCCCAGACCCTGCCAGGTCAACATCTCGACGAGAGTATAACTAATGAAATTTGTAAGATGGGGATCAGCATTTGTCGACTGGATGTTAGCCAGAGGATGAGGGAAGGCTTGTGTGGGAGAGTAAGGCATAGTGAACATTATGTGTAAAGGACATCCTAGCTTCTCGGCGCAGTGGATGTGAGCGAACGAAGGTGGGTTTGCAATGATGGCGTCGGCAATGAAGGGCTTGATCGAGGCATCAGTGTTGCGCATCCATTCTTCGGTTGTGTTGTCGTCTACAGCGACGCCCGTACCATCACCAGACTCGATACAACTCCTCCAACATCCTTTGATCATTGTTCCGATCTCTTTGCGTCTTTTACCGATGTCACCTCTCCTCATGACGTCAAATCCGGGCATCAACCCGGGGTTCTTGACCATGAAGGCCATGAGCTCAGAAGGGTCCCCTCCAATGTTGAAGAATTCGAGACCATTTTCTGTGACAAAGTCTCTGAAGACAGGATGTGTTGCCAGTCGGACACGATGGCCATACTGATCCTTGAGTACCTTTCCAAGAGCCACAAAGGGTTGCACGTCTCCTCTTGAACCGACCACATGTATGACTACGTTGAGAGGTGGGGGCGGCGGTTGGCCAGGGGCTCCGCCGAGTGAGGTAGGAATATAGGGCGGGGGGACTTGGGTAGTGTCGGCAAGATCGAGTTGACTTCTAAGAGCGGGCACAAGCAAGCTCGAGAGGTGGCGGGAGGTCTGGTTGATATTGATGTTGACTCGTCCGTCAGAGCGTAGGGTGGCCTTGGTGCCCAACCCGGCGTCCTGGCTGCTGACATCGCCGTATGTGTCGCCGTATGCTGGCGGTGGGAGGTTCTCGTCTGTGCTATTCGGATTGAGGTATTCGGCCGTCCTTGAAGGGTGCAGGCGGTTCTCGTCGTCGGCGTTCGCACTCGCAGCGGCTGCGGCCTGGGCGACCATGGTCGATGGTATCTCGGCCATGGTAGCACTCGGCGTCTTTTGTTCCGCCATGTTGTTTGATATTCAGAAGTGCCAGACACTTCGTGGGTAGGTAGTGTTTCGATGCGGATGCCTTGCTGTGCTGTTGGACATGGCGCATCCTCAACCCCGCGCGCGTCATTGTGGCTGGGGCACGGCACGAGCAAAGCCTTGCTTTACAGAGCATTATCATCTTCTGCCTGTCACAAAGCGTGTATATGTGGAGGGCAGATATTCGTTGGAAGAGAAACAGAAACTGCCGTAACTAGACATTTACACACGACAGAGTCATCATTGAGACGTTGGTGCTTTCCTATCCAAATCGTGCCGCAGAAAAGCAATCAACTAGAAGAAAAGGAAAATTAAACAAAACGCCGTGATGAAAGGCGAGGTACTCGTTGGACCCTCGGCCTGACACCCGTGGGATATCGAAAAAGGTCGTCTATGCGATAGGCAATTCGTTCCGGCCCAGCCGAAACGTCGTTGGTCTTGTCTCTACTCTTGCCAGAAGGGTCGATAAAATCAGTCAATCGTCATCCTCGATGGGACTGCTCCCATGGCATGCGCTCCTCCCAACGAGTTGTGTCGTCTTTCGTACGGATAACTCTTGTCCTCGACTCCAATCACTCTTCGTCGTTGGATGTGAGGTTTCAAGCCCTTGTTGAAGTTCGCCGTGCACCATGCGCAATTGATGATTGTCAAAATCAACAGCAGAAGCGTGATGACAGCAAACGTCGTCAAACTTTTCCGCGCAGGCTCGTAGTCTTCCACCCTTTCCGGGTTGTTCGAGTCATACATGCGCACGAGCTTGAAAAGAAAGTAGGCCATGGCAGCGAAGTAGAGTACGATCGTGCTGCACATTCCCAACGTAGACTCGCGTCTTGTGAACCATGCCGCCGCAAGCAAGATTGCAATGGTAACAGGAATGGCGGCAATTGTGAGAGCGAATTCGATATTGGAGGTGTGCTCGCGAACCACAACGACGAATTGTACTGTGAATCCGAGGANAAAGAAAAAGTCAAACTTGAGGAGGGCGATGTAAATCTGNNCTCATCATCAGTCCGTGTTCAGTGTGTGCACCTGCAGTCTTGACAAAGATACCTGGTAAACAAGATAACGGCGCTTCAAGCGCAAGTCTGCTGAGATGTGCTTGTAAATAGTCCAGGCGAACTCGTCATACAACTTCCATGTCACGATGCTGAAAGCTATTGTGCCCAGCGCAAGAACGCAGGGTACTGCAACGAGGAAAGGCTTCACATCGTGACCAAAGCCGTGTTCGATCTCATTGGCCTGATTCAGAACTTGGACAGCGCGATCAATTTGGTCGTACTGTACGGTAGCGTATATGAGTAACCCGAGATTGTAAAGACAGAGGCCGATGACTTGAATCGTGTTCTTCAGGCGTAAGGCATCCCAGACGAGCGCGAGTTGGTAGATGAATCCGAAAATGAACAAGGCGAGGTATGTAGGGATGGTTCGTGATTGTGTTGTCCTTCGCGCTTCGGGATTGAGCGAGATCTGAAACTTGGCGAAAACATAGCTATTGCGCGTGTCAGCAGTGGAAAGTCATGAGCACAAAGACGGCGATGACGCACCNNCTTCAAGTCCTAGACCGATGCCGGCTTGACAGACGGCAATCATTAGGAATGACCACGTCCATCTCGAGCTGGGCATGTACATGATGCGGCTAGAGGCTGTTTGTCTAGAGGTAGAAGGGCCAGTAAGACCCTCGCGATCATGATAACCTCCGGCAGGGAATGGACTGCTGCTGCGGTCGCGGTCGAGTGGTATGTAAGAGCTATTCGGGAAACCCTGACCTCCCAGGATGGAGGTCTTTTTCTTGTGGTTGGTAATGGTGACGGTCGGAAGCCGCTCAACAGCGGCCTAAGGATGTTTTGATGCGGTCTGGTCTGTGTCGGGCTGATGCGTTGGACAGGAGTCGCTTGGAGCAGGGAGTAAGGGTGAGCGTGACAAACACGGACCGGTGGGCCGAGACTCGATCGGGAGCGGTGTGTCGCGTGCGGTGAGGTTGGCCACACGACCAAGACCAACAAACGGAAGCGCGAGAGCGAGAGGAGCTGAGAGGACGGGGAAAACGAGCGAGAGGAGTCGTGTTTGTGCAAAGACGCGGGTTTGCTGCTGAGTCGATTGATTGCTACAGACAGTGCTTCAGGCCTGCTGGGGCAAGAAAAGCCAAGGATGGGAGGTGCGACCGGCGTGTGGTGGCTCTTGTTTCAGCTCCGGCTTGAGGGAAACAGCCTTTCGAGATGTTGGGCTGACTGTGGCAACTGCGACCAACACTTTGCGACAACAACGACTGTATATATTCAAGACGATAGTGATATAGAGAGCAAGAGTCCGTGAGGCTGTGACTGTGCGAAATACCGGCCAGGCACAAAGGCTACAATCGAGGCGGAGCACTTCTTGGACGTCTTGTTCCCAAACGTTCTCCAGCCTCAAAAGGGGTCTTTGGCCGGGGGAAGGTTCGAGCTTATGCCGATTCCCAGGGATCTCCTTCTCCATCCGGTCTCGCTTGATGCGAACCCTCTTGTCGCTGTACATAGCCGCGTGGCTCGGCATCACCTTTCGTCTAAATTGTACAGACTATCCATCATCACTGTCATATTCTAAAAGAAGAATTGAATATCTAATTTCCCTTCTTGGTCCCATCAGCTGCTTGCGACATCGATCATGGTCTTTGTTTAGCAATTAACCAGGGGACCGCAAACCTTGACCCCTGGGTATTATTCTGTATTCGTCAATGAGCTGACCAGTACAACGGGACCAAGGCGTTGGCACTCGGCGCAAGCTTGGTGGAGGGATCTCGCTCGTTGCGAAGCTCCTGCACCGTCAAATCTGGCAAGCCCTGTCCGCGGCCAGTGGAGATGACTCCATGCTAAGACACGACATACTTGGATCATGAAGTGCTAGAGACGGTGTTTGGATCGTTTCACACGACAGCATCTCGAGACCTTGACGGGAGGCCAAGCGCAAGCTGACGTGAGCGTGTGGTAATGCTCCTCAAATCTTCGACCAGACTTCCCAGACAACACCGGTTGTTGTATGTCAGCCTACAAGCAAGAGACCATTCCGACAACACTCAACATATGCCAGGTTAAGTGTCAGAATGCTTTACGCAGACAACTGACTGATTCAATAACTTTGACAGTGGTTGATAGAGTTTTTGATTGATTGAGCAGGGTCAGCCCCACACCCAGAAAACATGTTCAGGGGAAAGAGCCGACTGTGCTGCTCCGGCCTTAAGCTAACTACTTGGATCGGACAGCAAGATCACGTAGCTAACATGGAGGGCGAAATGTAGTAGTAGTACTACTACTACTACGGATTGCGTATCCATCAAACCACGAAAACCTGGCTTGTGGAACCTTCAGAAGAGACCCTGAATTCTGAAACAGGTTTGACAGTGCAATGACGCTTCTACCCGAAGCACCTCAGAATGTCTTCCTACGAGCCTTCCTACGAGCCTCAGTTCGCTGCAGATTGTCTTATCATCTCGACTTGCTCATACAACATCTTTCGACGAGCATAAGGACCAATCCCAAATCAACTCAATATGGTGTTCGGTGTAATCATGGGCTTGGGGATCTCCCTGCCAGTTGCTGCCGCAACAGGCGTTGGCGTTGTGACTGGTGTAGCCCAAGGCGTGTCACATCAACAAAAGGAGAACGAAAAGGCTGCCAATGCAAATCCGGAATCGCGGACCACAAAGTTCTACATCGACGTGATTATAGAGGACGAAGGGTCACGGTCGCGAGGGCGAGGAGAGGTACTACACGACAGCATAGTTGTCGTCCGCGACAACAAACTCTGGATCGAGGCCAAAAACCGAGCTACAGGATTACCTAGGCGTGAAGATTCGCATCCGTTCACCGGCTTCTATCTCATGTATCCGGACGAGGATCGCTCACCTGCTGAGAGAGGCCTCGTGACAACCATCCAGAAAGATCCACCTATGCTGAATTGGATCTATGTAGACAACAACACTTTCGAGCTCAAATACGCCAATCGCACAGGCAGTATAACACACAAGGTCGGACCTTGGGACTGGACAGACGAGTTTGAGAATTCGAGCATGACTCTTGATGAGTTTGAGGGTTTCTTGGCTGTGGAGGAGGACATGTACAGGAACGAGCAAGGCCACCCCAGGTGGGCATTGTATTATGACTGGAACGACGACGGTCTGAAAGGACGCAAGAAGGGCAGGAGAACCATGGAGGTCAGCCTCAAGAGAAGGTTGGTGGAAAACCAGGAGAAGAACCAATGGGGCGTAGGCAGAGAAGGCAATATCGGAGTGACCGGGTTCAAGGCCACAAGGGAGGTGTAAGCAGCGCTATTATGTGGAGCTGAATGCCAAGGCGGTGAGCACCACAACTTCGCGTCCACCTCAAGCTCTCGAAGCTCACACTCGCATGATGCATGCATCCTTCGACTGCGCTACAACATAACTATACGACTCATGTCGACAGCTACTGCAGCCGAACAAATTGCCGATTTAATTGCAATATCCACTTCTTAAGCTCGAGACTCGAGTCTTCTGCATCTCGTATTCTCGATTGATGATCGCGTCGACGCGAAACGCCTTAGGACGCGTTCACCGGTTACCAAGAAGTCATGAAGCGCGATGTGGACCACGTCTAGCGCACGCCGCATACACTATCCATCTTATCATTTGTTGCAGTCCTTCGCCTGAGCAAACGTTGACTGGCTCGCTATGACTCCCGGTCTCCTGCACTTGTTCGAGACCCGACACATTCACAACTTACCTCCAGTCATGACAAGTCCCGAAGCTTGTGGAGTCAGATGGCCTCAGAAAAGTCTATCGCAAACTCAACCATGCGCCCGAGCGGAATCTTCTAGAGTCGCTTGTCACGCCGTAGCGGATACAAGGTCAAGAGTATAAGAAGTATGCCGTAGCTACCTGGTTGAGTCTCATTCATCCTCGCAGTGAGTGATTTCTTCCAGCTCGACTGTTCCTATCAACACAATGCGTTGCTCTTCATCTTCTGCTCTATGGCTGGCCGGCATTGCTGGCCTCGCTGTCCTGGGCGATGCCACTCCGCTCGAGAAGCGCTACACTTCTCCTACAGCACCATTTGATGGATGTCTCTACCAAGTTCCCAAAGTTGGAGGCTTCAGCTCTCACATTTCCGTCACCAACTGGAAGACACTCCCTTCGACCCTCAAGGCAACAGACCGCAACGGTGGCCCATATGGTGTATACTGGAAGCCCTCCCTTGTCGGCGTAGATGCCAACGACGGTAGTCTCACTCTGACCGTACCTGGAGCCCAGCCATACTGCACCGAGGCCAATCCCTGTGGAGGTGCTCAAATCACCACCGCCGCCAACGACGTCATGTACGGAAGCGTGCGCACTGTAGCAAAGACCCCCAATGTTTGGGGCACAATCAGCGGCTTCTTCTTCTACAGCGACGACAACAACGAGTCGGATATCGAGTTCCAAACCGGAGACCCCACACACGTCCACTTCACCAACCAAGATTGGTATGGCTCGAATGCGCTGTCCAACGCTAGCACTGTGGCCAACGCGTCTGCTGCTTACCACGAGTATCGCGTCGACTGGGTGCCCGGAAGAACTGACTACTATGTCGATGGAAAGCTTTTGCAAACCTTCACCAAGTTTGTGCCTAGGACAGCTGGAGCATGGATGTGGAATTCGTGGACGTAAGTGCTGACAGATGTGACAACGTAGACTTGAGAATTGAAACTAATTTTCAATATAGTNAACAACGGAACTTGGACGCTTGGTCCCCCTACCAAGGACGCTGTGCTGCATATCAAGTCAATTGATGTGTACTACAACCGCACAAGTATCACTGGCTGTGGTAGTGCCTAGTTCTTCAAGATGATATGATGTTATGTTTTGCGTGTCGCGAGCAACCAGATGTCGATATAACGATGTGACCAGAAGAGATGATAGAATTTGCACAGTGTTTCTGAGTATGAGGCCAGGGTCGCCACATATATATTGAATTTTATGAGCACACCGCCTTGGCAGACCCCGACATTCGTAAACAACGCTTCTACAAGCCTTACTTGTCTTCTTCCCTACATACTTCAGTGCCGTAAATGTACAACTCTTCCACAGCACATACGCAACTATGCTTTCCAGTCTTTTGAAGCCTTTCCGCTTGTTCGATTTGCTCGGATGCCACGTGACCAACGCACGTTTGTTCTTAATGCAACGACTGCTTTGACGACTGCGATGGAAAGATACCACTCGGATCCAGAGTATCGCCAGAAACATTTGGGTCAAAGTTCGAAATACCACAAGGAGCGTAGTGCTAGAGATCTGGAGTGGCACAAAAAGAAACTGGACCAAAGTTCGAAATACCACAAAGCGCGCAGTGCCAGAGATCTGGAGTGGTACAGAAAAAATTGGACCAGAGTTCGAAATACTCCAAAGAGCGTATGGCTAGTGACCCGGAGTGGCACAGAGCGCATCTGGATCATTCCTTGAATACCATCCGTGATCGCAGGGCTAAAGATGTTGAATTCAGGGAAAGGACGAAAGTGCAATCGGCGAAATGGGCCAGGCAACAAAGATTCAGTAAGCACTATTGCAGGCGTGAGTGGAATGATGGATCAGGAGATCAAGATGGACTCAGAGCGAATTGCCATGGAGAAAACACCAACCAGAACTGTTTCTCGAGCGTGTGACGAGGCATTGCACGAACTGCAATCTAGCAGATAGGAAGACCAAGTTGTGGTGGTTCAGCACCTCTCAGCCAGAAAACTACCTATGCAACTCTTGTTGGAGGAGGCTGGACTGAAACGAAATGTGCCCCAAAGGTTTCGAGAACGCTACAAGCACGGCAGACTTCACGTCGTTTGCAAAAGCATTGGGTATCTCCAGAACATAAAGACCTGAAGCACATGGATCAACGACAACCAACAAAGCACCAAATCTGGCAGAATCTCACCGCCTAGTCACGGAAACTTGTCTCGCACCTCCGAGTTTTTCTTGTTCTCCACCCTCACGTTCAACCCTAGGCCAACTTCTGCATCACCCATCCGCAACAATGTTTTTAAAACCGCAGGTAGTGACTGGATCTCTTGTACTGGCAAGATTTCCAAGTACCAACACCCGTCTCTTCTCAACGTTTAGCACATCTCAGCAATGGCAGCGCGCGGATTTGCAAACGAGATATGAGACAGATCTAGAATGGCGTAGGCAAAGGATAGAGCTCTCGAGTGCCTGGAAAGCTCAGAGATGTCAGGACGACCCAGAGTATCGGCAGAAGATAAAAGCACAAGACAAAGCCTGGCAACAGCAGCAATACCAGAAGGAACCTTACAGGAGTTGGCGAAGATTCCTTGTAGGGTGTCGCACCCGCGATTGGGTCCGTGACCAGCTGCCTTGGAAGACTTATAGGCCTATACTCTATTCTGAGAAAGTTGTACACCGCTGTAGGGGCTGTCAATTCAGATCCAAGAATGGATTTAAATTATGGTGGTGCCATATCAACAGCGCATCCAATCACACAGAGTCTGGTATAGATTTGGAAAGCTCGAGTGCCTCTGAACAATATTTGTGCAGTCGTTGCTACCGAAAAACGGAAGACACAATGCCTCGAGGGTTCGAAGACGTCACAAGCCTAAAGGAAATGAGAGCGCGAGCTAAAGAGCTCGGAATCAATACCGTTAACAAACCAGAATAAGAACGGATGGTGTCTGATTAAAGATCTCGGCAGCAAGGCTTCGCACCAGGGTCCACCGAAATATATGTATCGGCGACAAGTTGACTGGAGGGAGTCCGCAAACCATTGCAGGTCCAATATGACTCACTATCGCCACCCCCTGTAGACCTGTATGAGACAAGAAACATCGTTCCAAGCTTGAAAGATCAAGGTTTATACTGCCAATGTCTCTCGAAGAGCGCCCATACTCTGGAAGCATAGAGGATTGTTCAGGATCTCGTCAGCCACTTTTTATCCAGTTCTCCAAGATACTACCTAAGTCGACTGGTTGTCAATCGGACACAACAACAACAAGTAGACGTCTCTGTCTCTTGTAGCGACAAGAAGCCGCTGATGATTATTGTCTGAGAAGAACACAGTGATTGAGCCAAGGATTGGAGTTCAGATCGCCTCACTGAGCTAGTATGTGTAACCACGTGCTGATTCGGGGGCTCAAACTACTCAATGCTTATCTTGCAAGCACCAAGATAATAGCATTGCAAGTAATAGACATAGGTTCTGAGAGCCTTGGTTAATCTTGCTGCTCCGACCATATCTACAAAAAGTCAATGACGGTGCCAAGGCGCGCTAAGCTGGAGTAAGATGGACATGAACTTGAACTCGTCCTACATGCAACGAACCTGTACCTGGCATCTAGACACTTGTGAAAAGACGACTAATCAGTCGAATTGAGCATATCACGACGTACTGTAATCGAACTCTCTTTTGGAAGTCCACCGGACATCTGAACCTCAACAAGACCAGGGACGGTACTTCCAAGCGGTCCAAGCTATTACAGATATCAATATGAACCTAAGCTACCTCTTCTTCTGGACGTCCAAGACACCGGAAGACAATTCCTGGCACCCTGTACCTGGCCAGAATCCAACCAAATACGTCGGAAACCTTCCAACATTAATCAAACGTCAAGATCTCGAGGCAGCATGCGTTGATATAGCGCCCTTCATCGCCTCAATGGGGGCTTTGGCTTATGTACGGCAATTGAACGACTTTGGCTTCACTGCCTCTGCCAATGTGTTCAAGAACCCCAAGACTTTGATGGCTATGCATCGCACTACTTTGGTAGTCACACCGATCGTGCTGCTCTGTCAAGCAATTGGCATCGAGTACAGGAGCTTCATCCCACGCTGGAGTCAAGAACGCGAGCGTGGGCGAGATGAGGAGGTGGTGCGGCAGCAAGTGGGCTTTGGTATGCTTGCTGGCGTTGCGAGCTGGACGCTACGCATATATGCCTTGCGGAAGGGGCGAGCCTACTGGGCTCCTATTGATGTTGTCATGGGCGGCGCATTGGCGGATGTCTTGCACAGAGAATATGTGAGGGCTCACGGATTCTGAGTGATCATATAATCGCTGTATTGACCATGAGACTCGTTGCCATCTCGTTAATCAGCAGGAGACCTACTGTCACTACCAACAATTGACTGCGAGAGCATGAATGTCTGTCTCTTCTTCATGACGCTCCTCGAACCATCGAGAGATTCAAAACCCTTGCAAAAGTGTTAGAATGTGAACAGCAATGTCCACATGAGGTTGGTGATGGGGGATGAACGCCTGGTCTGTGCTTCGGGTTGTCCTGATGTGGAGCAGTGGAGGGGTCAATGAATCATCAACATGACATACACCTCTGACAAGCCCTGGCTGTTCCATTGAACACATTGAGATACAGTGGCAGAACATCACATATAATGGCGACATCCACCGAACGTGTGTTTGCACTACCTGAACTACTCGAACCGATACTCCTCTGCCTCTTGGAAGAACTATCCCCACTTAGCTATCAAGAAGACCCTCGCTGCACACGCGTATACAACAACGCAGAAGTCTTGCAACACTTATTCAGCTGTTCTCAAGTTTGCAAACACTGGCAATACTGCATTCAACAATCTGCACAAATCCAACGCTCGCTCTTCCTGCTTCCAGATCTCAATTGCAGTCGATCGTGGACTCCTGAAGCTAAGCCGCCTTTACTGAATCCAATCGTTCAGACCCTGTTCAAGAACTACCATTTCCGCTTTTGGCATCTTGTTAGTGATGGACAGCGTTGTGCGTACATGATTGTGGAGAGAAGGGATCTTCCTGACCTGAAAGCTCGTGCAAGCACTGGACAAGGAAGGACTATTTCAAACATGCTGCTTTCGCAACCGCCATGTCTGGCTGTGGAGGCTACGGTGTGGGATGAAAGGGACGAGACGAAAGAATATGTTGGAAGGACTACTGAGCTCAGAGATCCAATGATCGGCAATGCACAAGGTCTGACATTAGGCATGGTGCACGCAAAGGTCGCAGAAATGTTTACAGCGCACTCGGATGTTTCAGCTATCAAGTTGACGACGACATAAGTAGGAGCTGTCAACTACAGTATCATCTGTATCACCACTTTGTTGGCCCAAACGTCTCACCATCAGCAACAGTCTTCCGAATCGCAGTACCCAAAGCATCCATCGTCTCAAACACACCCACATTGCCCCACCAGTTCGGTACCTCAACTTCAGGCAAAGTGATCGCGAAGAAGATAACCAGCGTAGCAATGATGAGGCCAGAGTCCAGCGCAGCAGCAGTGATATAGTTGTAATGACTCCACCAACCATTCCATCGTCGACGGATCCACCAATTGAAGATCAAGCCCACAAACGCCCAGGAAGTGAAGGACAGAGGTGTAGCGGGCGGCAACCAGGACATCGCTCCAAGCATGACTGGAGCATGTAAGAAACGCAGTCGCTTATGTGGGAACACTCTAGTCAAGACATAGAATGCGATGGGCAGTAATGCGCCGACCAGCCAGAACCAGTTAAACGCGGCGTAGATGGAGCCAGGTCCAAACATACGTCGAGGACCAATGACTCCCCACGTAATGCTCGATGAGAAGAAAGTGCGACCATTAGGACAGGTAAAATGGGAAGCTTGATTCGCAGCACATGCGTTGTCGATGTTGCCCAGAGTCCAGTTCATGACTGCCACTTGGACGATGGAAGCCCAGAAAGTCATGACGACCTGCGACCAGAAGGTAATCCGGGGCGGAATCTTCATGTAATGTGCCAATTTGAGGTCCTGGCTATAAGTCTGCGCTTGGCCCAGCACAATGGTGCTGTAAACTTTGAAAATCATGACTCCGATCGGGCGTCCCGGAATCATGAAGCCAGCCAGGTAGGGTGAAATGACATTCAGCGACAATTGAATGTTGGTGATGCCGAGGATCATGCAACATGGAATGATAAAGACGAGTGCGATGATCAAGGATACAAAGTACGCCCACCAAGGACACTGAGAAGAAAAGCCTAGAACGGTGGCAAGCCCGAAGGCTGTAGCTACTAGGAACAAAACGCCATACCACCAATCCGGCGCCGCACGATATCTGGCCATATGTCGCATATGGACGTCCTGAGGCTCCTGTTGCCTGGCAAGACGTAGTCTGGTCCAAAGCTCACCGCGGTGATAGACAATAGTGTGTACAATTGCAGCTATCAGTGCGGCGAAACTCAAACCATAGTTTAGAGCAAACGTGGGTGCAAGGAACATTGGCGAATATTTCTGGTATTTCTCAAGGTCGAATGTATAGCCAGGTCCTAAAATCTTGGTGACGTTGTACTTTGCCTGGGAATTATCGAAAGTTGTAGAAGTATTGATGGGTAAATAGTCTGAGTAGAGAGCTCCAGTATACGAGATACCTAANNAACTTGTTAGACATCGCTTTACGGCAATACGTCCAAGAAGAGTTCTTGGGTTGGCTGCCATCGACTCACCTAGAGTTGTAATGATCATGAATACTCCGAGTCCAATTATGGTGTTGAGGTGCGAAAATGTCGGGCTAAGGAGTGGGTCACTGAGATATGCCGTGACATATGTCCAGTCAAATGTCAGCGGTATCAGCGAAAGTCCAGTGAAGCCTCCAAACAATTGATTGATGGTAGCATTATTTGGTCTGATCCAGGTAACGAACGAAAAAACCGATAGGCCTTGCCAGATCACACCAGGTAGCCAGTAGTATGCAAAAGAGCCTAGAGCAACATACACAAAGAAGCGATACTGAGAGACCTGCCAGCCGTTTGTTTTGGAAGGATCGGGTCTGCTCTTGTCGTGCAGAGCATACAACAGAGTTGTCATGGAGAAGTTGGCAGGCCAAATGAGAGCTGCAGGCCACACAAGAAAACGTCTGAATATCCCAGCGAAAGCGATACCAATGACTTGGGAGCTTAGTGTGAACAGTATCTGGAAACCCCATCCCATGTCAAGGTTGTATAGCGACTTGGCTTTCAAAGCAAGAAGGGCGTCCGTGCTATAAGCATAGCCATAGGTGACGTTGGCCATTAGAACCACAACCGTATGCTCCTTGATCGAGAATGGGCCTGTGTTGAGTGTCCACTCTAGACCGAATGTCTTGAACTTCCTGGTGGGAAGAACCTTTGCAAGAAATTGACCGCAGGGATACACGACCAGCAGGATTACCACGGTCGGGATGGTGATTGCCGGGCTGCGCATGCTCAAGAACATGTTGATTCCGCTCGAAAGTGTGACGAAAACGAAGCCAAGTAGCCATGCTCGTACTGTATTCGCGGTCTCTTCGCCGTCTGTCTCGCGAACGGCGGCACGCACGGTCTCATATGGTGATTCTTTGGTGAAGGAGTCGTCGATCTCGAGTGCTTGTTCGACATTGCCGGTCTTTATGGCCTCGTCTAGTTTTTGTATCTCCTCATCCGGAAGGTTGGGATCATATTGGTGAGCTTGATGTAACCTGCCGATATCGTCGACTACTTGAGTTTCTGGTAAGACGTCGTTCTGGAGTTCGATGACTTGTTCGGCGACACCGTGAGTCTCCTTAGACCCAGAGAACTTCATCTTTCGTTTGCTGTTATCAGTAGAAAGGTCAAGAAACAAGGCATGCTTGTAGTGACACCAATCGATTCTGCTCGAAGGGCATTCGGAGACTTAATACGGTGGACAGTCGCCTGTAATCAAAGGACCATGAAGAAGATTGACACCAGCGACCATGCGATGTTACATCGTGTCTCCCTTGAAATCACTAGTGATATCTTTCGTATCATCTGTGCAATGGAAGGATATCACTGGTCCGGCCAACTGACTATCCCACAGATAGGGCGACTCCACATGCGGGGAAAGTAGCGTGTCAACGATATAGTGATCAAAGAGGCACAGTTTGCCAGATTCGTATTAAGCACACATAAGCCATGCCTCTCTTGGCAGGTGTTGAGATGGTCTTTTTCGAAGTTGAGATAAGACCCGGATGGAGAAGTATAGCTTGACTTCACCGTTTGTGTATGAATGAATGAGGCAAGAATGAAGATGTCAGAGACAGTTTAGATCGTGCCTACACATATGGCCTGCTCGTCCACAATTTAGAGGTCATAGAACCTCCAAGCTGCTTTGTGACCAGGTCGTAGTTTCCTGTCTTGCACCAAGCCTCTGAGGATCTCAATAGGCATCTCTCCTTCCTTGAGTATGCGATCGTGAAACTCCTTCTCCGTCATACCGCCATTATCTACCATTTCCTTTCGCATGGCATATATTTGCAGTGCTCCGAGCATATACCCGGCTTGATACAAAGCATTGTAGTCACCATTGAAGCTTCTTCTAACCTCGCCTTCGGCGGTGGCTCNTTCATGCCCGACTTTGTCAACCAAGTAGTCGATACATTCTTGGGGCGTCATTTGATTCATATGAAACTTGAGACTGAAGACGATGCGAGCACAGCGGTGCATGCGCCAGAAGAGCATACCAATCTTTTCCTCTAGAGTGCTGGCAAAGCCGCGATCCCACAGAACAAACTCCCAGTAGAAAGCCCAACCCTCGATCCAAAAAGGCGTGGTGAAGAGGCTCCTGTAGGATCTGTATCGGGCGATCATATGCATTTGAAGATGGTGACCAGGTATCAGCTCGTGGAAGACGGTGCTCCGCGACATAGGTCTGTTGTTTCCACGCATGGACATCAGTTTGTCCGAATGCGACATTGTGTCAGTTGGGTATGACACGATGAGGCTTTCACCACCCAAGAAGAACGGGTTGACTTTCTGTCGCTCTGGTGTCATCATGAAAGTCCTCCAGCACTCCTCGGCAATAGTTGGGACTGTGACCATATCGTGACGTTTGACATAAGCTACTGCTTCTGCAGACAGCTCGTGGACAAGACGTGTCTGCTGACCAGGTTCGACGTAGAGGTTTTTGACGTGCTCAAGAGCAGCTTTCCAATCTTGACCGTATCCTAGTGCCTTGGACGCCTTGATCATCTCTGTTTCGCACCAAGTATACTCCTTGTCGGCAATGTTAATCAACTCTTCAGGACTGTATGCGATGAATTGAGCATCGAGGTCCGCCAGGAGACCCTGCCGTCCGATTGGCTGCCCAACGATATCGTCGGTAGTATTCCCATCAGAATTTCCAGCGAGCTTATCTTTTACGGCCGCTTGGAAAGAGTGCAGTTGCCGGGTCACCTCTTGGAAGGGGGAGGAGGTCCACCATGTGAAGTCTGGATCATATCCCTTGTAGAAAGTCATACATTCCTCCAGCGCTTCTGTCAACTCCTCTACATATCTGATCGCACGATAGGCCGCAAATCGATCTGCTGGGGTTTTGAACTGAAGGTCGTTGCTTGTGACTGCATGAAGCTTCTTCTTTATATTTTCAGACACAGACGAAAGATTATCTGCCGCATATCTGCCTGTAGTTGGCACTACCTTTTGTCTTGTTTCGACAAGCTCAACCAGTTTGGATGCGAACGGCTCAATGATAGGCTTGACTTCTTCCAGAGAAGTTCCAAAAGATGCGAGACCTCCAAGTTGTTGGTGCAAGTATTTCTCCAGTAGTATATAGTCGGTTCGATCTTCAGAGTCTAAGAAGAGGAATGGGACAGCCTTTAGCTCAACCAGCTTCTCGCGAAGGTAGTTCTTCAAACGAAGGATACGCGTCTCAGAGAAGGTAATGTTGTAGAACTTCTCAATGTCTTCAATGTCTGCAGTGACGTATTCAATGATCGCTCTCACAACTCCGGGCTTGGGAAATCCATGGCCCGCGACTGACAATTTGACCCTCATGATGTTTATAGGAGGTAAGAATGTTAGAAACTCGAGTATGGATGTGTGTTGACTGAAGTGTAGAAAGCTCCATCGTATTAGACCTGCGACGTTACATTGCAGGGAAGCTCGATGGCTCCTCAGGTCAACCTCGGCTAATGACAGCATCGCCTTATCGCGGCGGCCGTATCATTGCCATTCTGGTCGTTTGCGATGATCAGACGTCCTCGACACGAAATGGGAGACGACGACGGGTTTTCGGACGTTGCTTGGCCAGATGATAATACTCGAAACCTGCCCGGCTGGCTTGAGTGGAATGCATGTTAGGCACCCGTTAAGATACACAGTTCCCAACATGTGCTGGCTGTTAGAGACAAACAGCATGCACTGTTCAGAAGTCATACTGCCAGTCAAATAAGACAATGTAATGCGTTTCAAAATTAAATGTATAGTCTGCCTAATATTCATGCCTCATAACAACCAGTAACCTGTGGGTATCTTTTGAACCAGAAAAACAACAATGCGTAAAGGTAATTGCCAGCGCCCAAAACCAACTCGAACATTCCTTCATCGTCCTTCCTTTCATCAATTTGTAGCCACCTTATCCAGCAACGGTAACGATAGGTCTGCGAAATGCTTCATACTCTGGCGGCAAGTCTGTGGAGTCTGGGGTTTCCAGATCGTTGTATGACCAACTGCCTCTGTGTTCCGCTGCGAAAAGCTCGTCTTCGAATCCGAGCCCTGCCAATTGCTCATCGATAGTTGACGAGTTTCGCAATGTAATATCAACTTCGCCCTTGCCTTCAGCCGAGATCTGGAGTGGAAGCTTCAACTCAATAGATGGGAAGCCGACACCAGCAGAGTGGATTCCGAGTGAGAGGTTGAGCGAATATGTGCGCGAAGTAAGACAGCTGTGGAATGTGGGCACAAAATGCTTGTCCTTGGGTAATGTGACTGGTACCACGATTTCTGCGGTCCAGAAGTTCTGGCCCTTGTAGTTCGTGCTTGGGCTGGGGTACTTGGGGACGTCTTGATGCGATAGACCAGAGTCGCGACGAGCAAGGTGTTCGTCATCCAGTGCTGACTCCATTCGCGAAGTCCATTCTACAGAACCCATGCAGCGTGAAGAAAGTCCAAGGCTTACTGAGTGCAAACCTTGTCTGTGGTCGTAAAGGCAGTTCTTCCTCTTGGGGAGTTCCATGCGTGCGCCAGTAGCATACCAGGTTGTTGTCTTGAGTTTGCTGCTCAAGCTTCCTAGGCGTGGTGGTTGCGACTTCGCCTCGGCTGGATCGAATCGTAATTTGACGGTCGCAACTGTGCTGATGGTTGATTCTTCCGGGCTGTATGATTTGGGAAGGCGAAGTGACTTTGGCTGTTCGGCTTCAATGACCAAGGTACCGAGTTTTCCTTTGAACACGCCTTTCCTGACAGACTTTTCGGATCTCAAAATGTAGTCACTGTCGCCGAGGACATTGACTGGTGGCTGCTCATCAACTGTAGGGACAATGCGGATTGCCTTCATCTTTGTTGCCAGATTCTTTGGTGTACCGTTAATGTCGTTGGTTGCGGTGATGCGAGCGGCAATCTGGTACTGGATCTTGGCCATATCAGGACCCATATCATCGTGGGCTGTCACGGTTCCCAAGCTCGGTGGCAGCTGTAAATGGCAGTCCCGGACGGATTCATGCTGCACTTCATGTTTGCAAACACGGGGGAGCAACTGTTGGGGAACAACAAAAACAAAGGGGAACTCGTAGATTCGTCCTGGCTCGAGGAGTCTTGGTTGAGGGTAGCTTGACTCTGAGATAGGTTGGCGGAGTTTCAGGAACTGGTGGAAAGCGCTCATGCCGCCAGCAAGCCCAGGTGCAGAGGGCATCTTCTCTAGAAATGTCTTTGTAGTGCNCTGATGGAGGAGTTAGTCGCCATGTGGAAGTGGAGCAACGTCGCAAAGCATACCGATAAATTGAATGTCAATTTCATCGAATCTCGTGCTGTGAGAAACGGCAATCTCGATCTTGCCAGAAAGCTTATCTAGGGTCGAGTATGATGAACGTTCATTGTTCAGAACAATGTTGATGTGAGGCTTCGATCCCAATGCTAGCGTGCGCAACCTGGAAGCCATTGCACCAGTAGACGATGCATAAGATGAAGCGGAGGACATGATGTTGGAGTCGAGATACGACGAGCACTTAACCGGAGGAAGGGCAACCAATGGGAGAGTCGAGGTGCGGGGATAGTTTCTGAATGTACATGCGGTACAAATATATAGGTACCAGATTTTGACTGCTCGACCTGGCAGGTAAAGAGCGATGGAAAGTGAAAAGCGAGTATGTGGACCTACCTTGACGTGCCAGCGTCTTTTACTTATGTGATGTTTCCTCATCGATGAAAATTTTGACTCACCTTTTCCGATTGCATGCCACGCCCTGCTCGATCACTCACGCCCTGCCTTTGACACGAAAGGCGCAAGAAGGTGCCTTCGGTGTAAGATGCTTTAGCCGCATGTGGAACGCGGGATGCCGCGCCCTTCTTGATGACAAAAGTCTATGGGGAACCCCCGGTCGGCAAGCCGTTTTCCGCATTGTTTCCCGTCCTCTGCACTGCTTTGCAGCTCCTTCTCTGTCAATGAACAGCATACCAGTTTACCGCGTGCTCTTTCTGCTTTTCTGGATGCAACAAGGATCTTCGTGAATTAATTCAATCCTCTGGATTGCAAACTGATGCAAAGTCTCATTCTCACCGTTGTTTTGGCTCACGAACGTGTTCTTGTCCACTAGGCATCCAAAGGAAAGCACTTCTCAACAAGACCTCTAACAGTAGGTATAGCCCGAGGATTAGTCAGTGATGACCGCCAACAGGAGGTGTTGCCGGTGGTATGTACTAGGTTTGTTGCATGGCTCTTGCATCAGCAAACTGTCCATGACCTATCGTATGACAACGCCTACTGATCGCGAGATCATCAGCCCGCAGGGTCGATTTCAGTACTCTGTACATACCTGACCTTGTGCGGAATTGCAACGACTACTTACAAATGCGCTACTTTTCCGGTATGATTCTCGGTCGAAACAACTTTCCCCACGAGTTCTTTGTTTCTCCCGCCGTTCACGGAGACGGATGTGGCTTGCCCTGCTGGGATTGAAACCTTGCTGTCATGACTTTTCCGACGGAAAACTTGAAGCTCTCTTCCACCTCCACATTTTTACCCACCCTGTCCGTCCTCGGGGCTCGTTATCATCTGCTTTTACTCGATGGGCTTACCCCATGCCGTGTTTCCCGTTCTTCTTTCATGTGCTTTCAAACGAAGCAACGGCTCGCTCGACATCATTCGAAAAGCTTCTTGTATGGACGTACCGTACAAGGACGATGACTCAGAAGCCCCAAGCCTCGTCTAGGCTGCCAATATCACTGCTGAAGAAGAGCGTTGCTTTGTCATGCCTGAAGATGATCAGCAGGAGTCATCTCAAGCCCCGAGCACCCCGCATGTCCAGTGTAGGAAGTGATATGAGAGGGGAGATCTGGGGATCGCCTCAAAGCACACGGTCCGGACGCCCGACTCAGAGCAGACTGATAGCCGAAATGGCGCTAGTGATCGGTCCGTACGTTGACGACGTCTCACACGTTGTCCCTCTTCTGCCTACACTGACCTGCGTATACCAACTTCTGACACCAAGCACGAGACCAATTTGTTGGTCACAACTCGAGCCAGCCATAACTCCAAGGAAACCCAATCTTTGCACACGATCAAACTTACGACCATGTCTGCCTGGGCACGGATAAGAGGTCTCTAACGCTTGTTGAGATGTACCCCTCGATCGCTGGCTAACATTGCTTTGCACAGATGCTGTTTTGACGTCCAAGTGGAACAAGCCTTTCCCCGTGACACTGCTTCCCTCGGCCATTGGAGTATACTTTGCAGTCTACTTTGCCGAGAAGCAGAGTGAGCGCCAGAGACAGATTCTGGACGAAATCAGAGCGCTCGGCGAGAACGATATCAGTGCGGTCAAGGCAATCGCAAGCAAGCCCCGGTGATGCTATGCAATCAGAGTTTGGAGGGCAGGCTGCTTGAGGCTCCGGCAACCTTGATGGGTATGTGGGTATGATGCGTGACGTTTGACTTGTTGATGCCTGAAGCTGATCATGAGATCAGGTCACCCAGGCGTTATTGCAATCGTCTTCTCAGCTCTGAGCATTCTCGAGGCCGATGTTGTACATATGCTACATCCGCGTTTACGATCTTTGTATATATCAAAGCCACCTATTTCATTATCGTTGCACTATCGAACTTAGGCCAGGGTTTGATCTGGGACGTGTGTGGGCTATGTTATGCCAAGAGACGACTGGTCAATATGTCAACATCGACGAGAGGCTCTTGTACCTTACTAGGTTGACTCCAAGCGAAACAGCAAAATCGACATCAAGAGGCACGCGCAAAGACGGGAGGTATATCAATGTCATTGTATGTCGTTCTCATGGTACCCAAACTCCGAGAAGGCTACGACGATCTCATGCCTTCAATCCGTATAATGCAGTGAACCCTTCAAGTGCCAAAGACCTAGAGCTTGGCCTTGTTCTGCATCTTCTTAAAGATGGGCTCCATCTTTGTAGCCTTCATAACATCCCCCTTGACCTTGAGCTTCCCACTCATAAACAGCTTTTGCGCATTCGCCTCCCCCTTGACCAGTTTGCCAAAATCGGCATCGCTCAGCGACATTGTGACTGCAGATTTCTTGCCATCGGGAGCGGTGCCTTTGCCAGCTTTCCCACTGTCTTTGAGATCAATGTGCCAGGATTCTTGGGCGCCGGAGGTGTTTTTGAGGGTGAAGGCGAAGATGGCGCCGCCTTTTTNGATTGCGTCTTTGCGTTCTGCGTCGCTGGAGAGGGCGGAGTTGATGGCGTCGAAGGCGGCCGAGGAGGGGAAGTTTGCTGTGTTTTGTGGCATCANGTATGGAACCTTTGGAGGACGAGAGTGATGCAGCGTACAGTCTGCGATGGACATTGTGCCGTTGTGTGATGTGTCTGAGAGCGTGTATAGATGTCAAGCTGTTCTTGTAGATGTTGTAGAATTGGATATTGCGTAAAGACGAAAGTGGTCCGGGATAGGTACGTTGGTGAAAGAGGAAGAGCATCCCAAGGGCTCATCAACACGCGCATACCGAATCCGGGGAGCCGAGGCACCGGACATGCATGTGAATTTCTTGGCAATGACGGCACTATTTTGCTGTGCCGCTCGCTCCCTGCTCCCAGTCTCGGACAAACATCTTCATGTGACTGACACTTTGTCCGAGACAAAGGTCCAATACTGAGGATCACGAGTATAACAAGACATAAAGTCGTGAGTTTCTAACAAGGTTTTAGCATGCCCGACCGACCTCGACCATCTCAGTCGCGCCCACTGCTTCATCTCGTCGAGTCCGAGTAGGTCTCAGTGGTGAAGCGTACATCGGCGGCGCCGTGTCCACGCTACTTCGCTGCTCACCCTCCTCCGCATCGCCAACACGTCTCCAATGCAAGAGCTCGGGATCCATACGATAGCTACCCCTCCATCTGCCATACGCCGGCGGTGGATGCCGAATGTTGACCGGAGACTCATGTGAAGCTCTCTCTACATCATCGTCGGCTTCATACTGCACCGCAATCGGGCTATTTGGTATCAGGCTCTCTTCCGTCTCCGTAGGGCGAACGGTCCGCGAGTGCCCGTGTCGAGCGCCGGCACTCTGCGACTTGTCCATCTTGTGTCGACCGATGGCTTTGTGCAAACGAACAGAGAAGAGGAGGATAAAGCCCGCGACTACAACGAATGTTCCGATGATAAAAACATGAACGCTGGTCGGAATATCGTTGACCCTAGGTATCGCCATTGCCACGTCTGCAGCATGTCAGCGAAGACGTTCGATATTATGGAAGGGCTACACTCACACAGGCTTAATGCCACAACAAGCAGCACACAGAGTACACCCGTCATGATGGACGAATTACGTATCTCTCGATCTCGACGACACTTCCTCGTTCGACGAAAGGTTGGTCTGGGTTCTGCTTGTCTCTGCGGTGTATGGTCCTCCGACATCTCGGCGCACTCTGCATTTGTCTGCGTACACAGCGGTGATCTGTTTGCTACAGCGTCTGGCACCAGAATGAGAGTGTCCGTGTCTGCAAGTGGTAGTGCCCATGCCTCTCTACTGATGCCGGATTGTGACAGCGAGGATCTTCGCGATAGGACCGAATGATGGGCAGTTCCCTGTATGCTTCGTCAGCTATCCGAAAATCGACATTAGGCTTGATTGACGATTATCAGCTTACACCNCAACGAGAGCGATCCTCTGGCGCTGCGTAACGGGGTATATGATGCAGCGGAACCTTGTCGACTGTGGTTTGATGTCGATGAAGCTGGCGATTCACTGGTTCCCGATGGCGAAACTCTTCTGGATCCGGGCTGGAGAGGTTCTGCTACTCGGGTATCGACACGGAGTGTGCTGAGTCGACTCTCTCGGCTGTTCTCTCGCATGGCATTGCCCTCTGTGCTTGCTTGCGAACCACTGCCGTTGCAAGACCTCGAGGGCGTTCTCGGCCGTCTGTCCAGCAGTGGTGCTTCATCGAAATTCAATTCGAGCACATTCGATTTCATGATTGGCGACATTACTTTCGTCATTACTTCAGACTATTCAGCCAACAGCTTTGTCAAGAGAGTAAAGCTTGGATGTCGGTCAAGGATCGAGCAGAGGGTTGTGATGTTGTGTTTACCTGCATCTGTGGCGGCAGGCCCGTTTCCCATCCCTGCGCTTCGGCTGACCTTCCCATTTTCTTTCATCTCCCTTCCATACCATGAAACACATGGTTCGCAAATAATTTTGCTATTGATGCACGAGAGTCTTGTGGAGTGATCTATTGGATGGTGTTTCTCAATAGAGACAGGAAAACAAGAAGAGAGGTGTGAACGGTATTATTGTCCACATTACCTATTGACCATGATAGTATAATGCTTTCTCATCCACCACGAACATTCGCAGAGACAGTGAAGCAGCAAGCAAAGATCGGGGTGCTTTTTGGAACCTTTCGTGTGGTGATGTCCCTGTGAAAAGTGTCTAGTCACGAAGAAATCCTCAAATACATCTTTACTTCGTGAAGCACCAAGCGGATGAAGCCACGAATGAGTGCCAGATGTGCAAGCTCGACAGCGGATCTGTGGTTGAGGATAGCACGCGCCGGGGTCGCTAGAGAGCACTTCATGTTGCATGGGTTGTTGTGCGATAGAGCAAGGCGAGGGTCAAAGAAAAAACAAAAGCTGTATTTGGGGTATCATGTCTAAAAAGCAAAAAGTGTTTGTCGTCGGTCGTAAAGTCCTGTTTATCGTTCGTAATCGTATGCGCCATGGTCGTGCAATCCATGTAGCAGCTTGCTCACTTGAGAATACTGCAGACAACGATGAAGCACAAGCAAAGGTCGTTGATAGTGGTGGTCCGCAGAACCATGCATCATTTCCACGCCAGAGTCTTGGGATCCCACCCAATGACCTCGGGAGGTATATTCAACACCTGCAACATACTCCCCAGTGTCAATTCCTCCTCTTCTTCAGCCTCTTCTTCTTCTTCTTCTTCTTCATGTTTCTTGGCTCTATCCTCAATCTCACATCTTCGTTGTCGTTTTCCTCTTTCCGTCAAACAATCGCCTTCTTCGTCTCTCCAGTCTTCTTCATTGGTTTCGTCTACTGTGTCTTGCTCGTCACCAAAGAAAGACTTGGGTTTGCTTTGTTGTTTTAGGAAAGCAGTGTATCCACCATTGTCTCTGATCTTTTCCGCAAAGTCGCAAAAGACTTCTTCGGCTGCTTGTTGGCTTGCCTTGCGCCATTTTTCTTTTAGTTTGAGGAGGCGTGGTTGCTGTTGTGAAGAGGTCGGTGCCACAGTGATGTCGAGGGCTTGAGTCAAGATGCCGTTTTGACTGCGCAAGTCGCGGATCTGGGCTTCGAGGGCGCGGATTTGGGTTTGCGCGGCAAGGATCTCGGGGGAGTGGTTGGATAGTGGTGTGGAGGTCTTGAGATTGCTGCTGCGGAGGGGTGTGTAGGGTGTTGCTGGTGCTTGAGAGGCTGTTCGTGCGACTGGTTTTGGTGTGCTGGTTGCTTGGTTTGGAGGGCCGGTGGTTGAGGGATTGCGCTTCAAGGGCGAGACGAAGGGTTTGTGGATGCCGACGGAGTCTACACGGCGCCTTTTGGGGGCTGGCGGCGTGGACATGGTGTAGCGGTTACATTGGTTCTGTTTGTTGATGTGAAGAGGAAGGTGGGAGCCTGGAGCTTTGGAAATTTTGGAGGGGTAGATTTGGCTGGCGTCACCCTGCTTCTTGAATGAACATGCATGAAGACATTATTGAAATGCCGATTCTGGTTCAATAAACAAGACAAGGGGTTTCTTTATAGTACTTCTGGAACAGCAAAGCAGTAAAGAGCCAAGTATTATATCTGATGTCAAGTTAATGACCGACTGGTGGACAGCCTCCAGACGTGTGCAAAGCTCTGCATTCCAAGTTATACCATCTGATATCACTTGATCAGAGAGATTGTGTAGCGAAACAACCAAGCATCAATTGGAATCTAAGCATTTTTCTAAAACTATATACACCAGGACCACCACTTGTTTTACAGCTTGATGGTAATGTTGCGCTGATCCAAGAACAAGCCAACACCAGTCAAGATGCCCATGTAGCTGATCAACACTGCCATGGCCTGGAAATCGTTCATGTCCAAAGTAGGCATGGTCATGTTGACAAGGCCAGTCAGAACATTGGCGAGGCAGAAGATAGCCAATCCATTGCGGTTGAAGGCGTTCAGAACCTTGCTGGTTGCCTTCTTGACGCGCTCCTGCTCAACCTTTCTGTCACGAGAAGTGTACAAGAGAGGGAAGAAAAGACCCTCAATGATGCGGAAGAGGAGGAGCTGCCCACAGTTGAAAGCTGCAACCCATGCGAGGTAGGGCAAGTTCGCCAGACGACGGGAAACAGTCAAACGGGGGCCATAGTTCCATGTCAGGAAGACGTAGATGACAATCCAGAGACCAGTCCACTTGGCAAGCTTGAGCATCGAGTTGTGTTCACGAACCTTGCGAACTTCCTTCAAGCTGTCCGTTCCACCAAGCATCTCAGCGACCCACTCATCGTTTTGTGTAATGGGAGTGGCAGCGTTGACGTCACGGCGAAGTGCCTCCATACCAATGCCCTGTCCGACGATGAAAATGGCGAGGTAGCCTAGGAAAGAGAGAATACCCTCGCGGTTGGCCGAGAGGAAGTCGTCTCTAGGTGCCATGAACATGTAAAATCCAAGATTGGAGTAGGTGTATGCCATCTCGTACGGGACGAGCAGCGCAAAGCCGAGAGCGCTGTAGGAGGGAATAAACTTGATGACGGGTTGGAGAATAGTGACAAAAGGAGGCAAAAGTCCAAGAGTGAAGAAGAAGTTCCAGTGAACACCGTACTCAGTAACGTGCTCCTGGTACTCGAGACCCTTGACGGACCAGAGACGAAGGAATCCAAGAGCAAGCATAGGCAAAGAATGCATAACTGCAGAGTTCATCTTGCTGGCGAAGGTGACCTTGGTAGAATCCTCATCCTCTTCCTTGAGTTGCTGACGAGCGTAAACCAGACCAGCACCGAAGACGAAAGAACCGACACCAAGATCCATGAGAGAAACACCCCAATTCTCGACCTTTGCAAAACGACGAGGGAACACAGGGAAGTCAACAGCCAGGATAGAGATACAGGTGATGATCATCATGGCACCTCTGTAAGTGGTAATGAAAGGCTTGATAGGGACCAAGTCAACAGGCTCAGGGGGTCCAGCGGCATCATCCTTCACAGGAGGCTTTGCAGGCTTGGTAAATCTGTGGTCGACATTGTCGCCATTGACAACAGTACCAATCGCGGGAATCAAAAGTAGTCCAATGAGCACAGTAGGGTTGTCGGAATACACCGTGACGGCGAAAAGGATAGCTCCAACTTGAAGCAAGAAATCAGTCAGATATGCTGATGTTGTGTAAGGGTCGAAGAATCTTTGTCTGGTTTGAAGTACAGCCCAGAGCAATGCCGCAGNCCTGTTATCGTATCCAGTTAGATATCGCCATCAACGTTTTGCCTGCTATGTGCGGCTGAAGATGAGAGGCATGTGTCTTACCGGAGCGACCAATGTCACTTGGGTGATGTCCCAGTGGTTACTACCAGTATGACCCGTGACAAAGTCAATTTTGCGCTCGATATAGCTGTCTCCCTCCATGATGTCGGTGTTGATGGAAAGAAAGAAGAGTGTTCTTTTTTTCTGGAAATGAGGACAACACAGTGTTCTCAAGGGGGCGGCCTGTCTCCGAGTCTTCTCGAATCTCGACAAGCTGTCAAACAAAACATTTCGAAAATGAAGCTTGGTCATAGCTCGCTGCCCAGGGCGTCGGTACCAGACAGGTGCCGCCCTGTTTACAACCTCGCTCTTGCTTATTGATTAATACAGAATGCCGAAACTCAAACAGAATTCATTCCATTCTACCAGGCTGCTTTACTCGGCCCTTTAGACTGATATCAATGGTTTTCACCTGATGTTCGCTATACAACAGCTCAAGGCAGAGAACAAATTTCATGGGTGTCCCTACCACGCCGCGTACCGATCGGCATGTCTCTCTGCCGAAGACCGTTCCTTCTCCTGGCAGCGCACCGGTGACAGACATCCGTCCCTCATTTCCCTTCTTCTTCGCTCTTTATAAATCGCATCCTACGACTCAAGGGCTCGCTTGTCCTAATATCTTATAGGAGATCACGGCTTCTAGTACATCGCTCATGATACCGGTCATAAGAGAGCGCTCCTAGATTGTGTGCCTAGAGCGGGCGTAGTAATTTGCAAGAAATATTTCAACATGACGAGCTTCACGACAAACCGTCTCTGAGCGAGCAGGGATGATGGGGTCCTAGTCACCACAAGATTGGTTCCTGCGACTAATACATCTTTTGTCATCTGGCTATACACACGATGGAAGGTGGTCGAACAGACCTCTTTCATTGACCGAGGTGATAGCCCAGTGGACTTGGGTCTTCGGCAGATTCTTCATTCACGCCTACGTAGAGTTCTTCAGGCCATGTGAGTCTTGTGGTGTGGATATAACCACACTTACCGTTGCGAATTTGGTCTTGCGGGCACAAGAGCAAGCGGACGTTGGAGGCTCATCAACGGCCATCTCTCTTGCCAATCTCCAGACTTCCTGTTTTGACATATAAACATTCGCAATGCGGAAAGTACGAGGGCGTTCGACGTTGACCTGATCGCTGTGGCTGCCTTTACCTGCTAGCACGATGATAATAGGTACGACAGAAAGTACGACTTACCTGCCGAAGGTTCCCCAACTTGCGCTCTCACGCTCCTTCCATCGCTGTTACCAGGAGCTCGATGTCACTCTTTTGATATTCTCGATTCCTCCTGCCCGATGCGATAACTAACAATCCATAATAATACACTAATATACTGGCACAAACCAACGCAACCAAGACATCGCATCTCGTACAGACCGTATCGAATACTGATTGTCAAGCGCACCTCTGTCTTCACAATGACACCACTTAGCGATCGAAGTGTCAACAGACAGAGTCGCATACCAATCGTTGGATATGAGTCCAGGAGTCGTGTCAACGACGAGAATGCACCGCCAGTCTCTAATCTTTCACGTCTGCTGGCACCGACGAAGTCGTCAGTGACACACTCAAGATCACCATCGCCATCACCAAAACCGCTTCCTCTCACTCCAAGAACGGCTTCAAGAGCTCCAAGCTATGGACGACTCAGCGCAGTCACGTCAGATGACAGCTTGAATGCATCTTTCGCACGACGCCAATCCCTACAACCAAACTCAAAGACGTCTCTCAGGAACGATTCCAACGACGGTACCCCTAGACCGCCATCCAAATCTGCGCGCAGACCGCTTCGCCAAAGTGGACCAAGTTCGGATGCTGCAACGGTGGAGACACAAAGTCGACTTTCCGGAGCCAGGGTTGGACGTTTGAATAGGTCTCCGCTCAAGCCTCCTACCACTCTACAGAACGACGGACGGGAAGCTTTGCTCCATGAGCGTTCACTCACACGGAGTGGAAGTTCAAGTTTGAACACGACTCCAAGCACAAAGTATAAAACTCCCAGCAAGCTGCCACGCTCATCTCCAATTCACAACAGCTCTACTTTCGTGTCTCCTGTTCTCGGTTCACTACCTGCCAGTCTCAGCTCACAACGTCTCATCTCACCTATCTCATCGCCTGGAGTACCCAGCGAACTAGGCAAGGCAACAGTTTTCGATGAATCAAATGGACAACGTCCCCCAAGGACTTCCTCATTATATACGCCTGAGCCTTGGACCCGTGACATGGGTCTTGGCATAGGCGTAGATATGACAGAAAGCTCCGTTACTGCAAGCCAAGATCGCAAGTATCTACCTGCTGTACACAGTTTCTCAAGACCCAGAGCCCAATTGATGGACGGATCGCCAGCCAACGTCAGATCCCCAGCTGTTCCACGTTCAGAATCACAGCAGCGGCTCAATCCAAGGACACCATCCAAGGACACACCTACGATTGTATGCAGTTCACCGACCCTGACTTCGAGGTCACCAGTAGCTGCCAACATCTTGACATTCGCTGGTCGAAAATTAGGCACTCCGACAGATCTCGCTGCCCTTGATCATGGCAGTGTTCGTCCATCTAACCGCAAAGGTCGTTTGGTCTCTGACGATGTCTTTGAGTACACACGAGTAAAGCAAATTTCCGGCAGTCTGTTGTCCAGCGGTGGTTCCTTTGTCGGATCGACATTGAGCATTTCCGATGAAGCCGACCAACTCATTCTTGGAAAAGAAGGATCTCGCACGCCTTCTTTTGTCTCTCAAACAAATCTGATGGCTCCCACGGATTCTGGATCCAAGCAAGATACTGATTTTGAGCTGCCATCTCCCAGCGAGAATGGTTTCCATGTGTCATGGCCTGCAGACTTTGGTTTCAAACCAGCGAGTTCGGCCCCAAACTCACCAACTGTGCAGAGCTCACCTTCTGTACGGCCAAAAGCATTTTCGAGTATCTCAGAGGAGAGCGAACAATCAGTCAGCGAGACTGAGCATCGCAACGATGATATTGGTTTGACCAACGAAAGCAGGGGAAAAGACATCACCGCGACCTTGTCGATGCTTGAAGGTGCACCTACTATGAAAAACGCTGGCTCAAGTACTGGTCCGCAACTTCTGAAGACACGCTCCGGTACGTCAAGGCTGTCGCAGACAAATTCCAAGGATGGCGGCCAGAATCTTGTACATAACGCACGCAGCGACCGCGTTCCATCGTACATGCTGCCTACGCCGGCTTCAGAAGCGCGTAAGAACAACACTATCCCTCCGCCGGGCGTCGTCCGCAACAATGCGAGTACGCCAAGCCTGAGTACTCGTCGAGCGTCTCAGAACGTCAAAGTCCCATTTACAAACGACCCTAGCAAAGGTCGCTTTCCTGCCCCAGACAAGCAGACCTCAGTGTCTGAGCTCTGTGGTGCTGGCCGAAGCGGTTGCGTGACGCCTATTAATTTTGTTTCTCGTAGTGCAACACCAGTTGCTCGTCCTAGTGTGGGCAGCCAGCTTCAAGGTCAGACGACTACCACTACACCAAAACCCAACGCCAAAACAGAACCGAACCAACGTGTGTCGATCGGACATATCAGAATATCTCGTCAGTCGCCTCATCCTATAGAGACATCCCGCGATGGAACTTTCCCACCAACCCGACCCAGAAGCGGATCGAAGGGCAAAGCAGTCTTGAACAATCTCAAGGGCTTGTTTTCTGTTAGAAGACACGGTCCGCCAACCCCTGGCCACAGTGGTAGGAGATTCTCAATCGGCAGCCGTAAATCAGTATCGACAGAAGCTGATGTCCCGGATGTGCCTGCCCTTCCTACAGTGCCCCCTATGCCTGCTGTACCGACAGGATCTGCTCTGCCGGAGTCCAGACTGAAGTCTACTCCGAAAAGCATCTTGGTCAAAAAGACTGCCACAGAGGAAAATCAATCTTCCAACTCTGAAGCTTCGAAGGAATCTTGCATTTCGCCGAGATTTAGACGGAAATCAACTGGCGAGGGTGATCTGTTGAAGGAAGTACCTGAGAAGGACAGACCTTCACTCCATCGTAAGACCTCGAAGCATAAAGTCGCTGCTACTGAGTCAAACCAAGAGGGCTCGGAGAAGCCAACAAGCGACTCGATTGCACTCATGGAGATGGTTCTCACTCTTCGTCAACAAGCCTCTAGGGAAGACGACCTTGTTCGTAAGGAGCGCATGACATCGTTCGCCCAAGTCATGCTTGATACTGTCACCAATGCAGTGGAAGCCGAGCGAAATATGTATGCCGCAATGCAGGCGGCAGAGCAGGCAAAGATGTCGTACATGATGACTCAACAGAGTGTTCAGGAGATGAACAAGATTGTCTCGACGTCTCACCAACAGCCTCTGTTTAAGAAAAAGAAGCGAGCGGACAACAATGTCTGATCACTTGTTCTGCATTGTCCTGCGTCTAAGTGCCAGACGAGTATTCTTCACCTGTTTCATTATCTTCATGCATGAAGCTTGACAACTCCATCCCCCAGAATAAAGCTAGAACCCATAGTTAGTCCCAGAAATCATCGAATCCTAATCGCACAAAAGTTGTCAGAAAAACTTCCAAAGGGTGCTCTGACTGCTGTCAAGTTGACAGGCGCTGATGCCCCACTTTTCTTATGCGAAATGCCCCGCGTGGGGTTAGGAATTAAGGTTGATGATGTCAGAATGTGTGAGGCTCGAGTTGTCATCCAAGGTTTCTCGTAGTCGGGTCGCGCATCTGTTCATGGTTCAAGGCTCAAGTTACTAGTTTTAGGAAGGTGACATGTTCGGCAGTTGTTGATATAGATTAAACGAGCATCTCACAGCTGCGGAAACGATTGGAAACGAGCAATCAAAGCGAGATCAGACCATTGATGCCAGCCGCAGCTCGATCCTCGAAGATATGGTGACGTCGAGGCGACGTAGGTAATTAGACGAGCAACAAGCTGTCGAGCTCAAATACCCATGAGAGACGCAGTCCGACTCCGGTTCCATCTTACTTTGCACGTTTGTTCAATCGCAATACCTCAACACACACAAGACATTTACAATGGCAGTAGTAACACAAGCAGCAGCCCTGGCTGAGAAGGCCATTGGCCACGGCGACAACGCCATCACCGAACAGGACATTACCAACCCTGGCAGAAACAGAGAAAAGTACGGCGACCCGAACGAGACCATGAAGGCTCTGGTCTGGCAGGGCAAGAACACGGTCGAGGTCATCACATGCCCCAAGCCCAAGATTGTCGAGCCCCGTGATGTTATCCTCAAGATTACCGGCAGCACCGTCTGTGGTTCGGATCTCCACTTGCTGCACGGCTCGGTCGTCGAGATGGAGAAGGGCGACATCCTCGGACACGAGTTCTGTGGTATCATTGACCAGGTCGGCTCCGAAGTCAAGAACCACAAGGTCGGCGACCGCGTGGTTGCCTCTTTCCAGATTGCCTGCGGAGATGTGCGTATATCCTGACTGCCTCTTACATGAACCCATGCTGACACAGCGTCACAGTGCATGTACTGCAAGAAGAAGCTGTCATCTCAATGCGAAAAGACAAACTCCAACACCATCGAGAACGCCATGTACGGTGGTCGCACTGCCGGCATGTTCGGCTACTCTCACTTTACTGGAGGCTTCGCTGGTGGTCAGGCCGAGTACACCCGTGTGCCCTGTGGTGATGTCAACCTTCTCCACCTTCCCGACGACGTCCCTGATGAGAAGGGTCTCTACCTCTCCGATGTTGTCAGCACCAGCTGGAACTGTGTTGTCGACACTGGAGTCAAGGAGGGCGATGTTGTTGCCATTTGGGGTGCCGGTCCCATTGGTCAGATGTGCATCGACTTCTGCTACATGAACGGCGCCAAGCGTGTCATTGTCATCGACCAGAACTGGCGTCTCGACTTCTGCAAGTCCAAGTTCCCCAACATTGAGACCATCGACTTCTCCAACCTGCCCAAGGGCGAGACTGTTGTCAGCACCCTGAAGAAGATGGAGCACGGTGGTCCTGACGTCGCTCTGGAGTGCGTCGCTGGAGAGTATCCCAAGAGCTGGGCTCACACCATCGAGTTGATGGCCGGCTTGGAGACTGACACACCGGAGATCATCAACGAGATGATTGAGAGTGTCAAGAACTACGGTCGTTGCGGTATCACTGGTGTCTACGTCGGCTACGTAAGTCTTCTTGTTCCTTAATATGTCATTGACAAGTGACTGAACCTATCACAGACCAACCACTTCAACATCGGCTCGCTGATGGAGCGCGGTATCCGCCTGATCGGCAACGGACAAGCACCCGTCCACCTCTACTGGGAGAAGCTTCTCAAGATGATTCAAGAAGGCAAGATTGACCCCTTGAAGATGGTCACCCACCGTGTCTCCATGGACGATCTCGACAAGGTCTACTACATGTTTGACAAGAAGGAGGACGGCATGCAGAAGGTCTACGTCGAGACCAAGTTCTCGCAACCCGCATGCGCCGGCAGCCCTGCCCTGAAGAGATACTCTTGAAGCGGTGTGAGACCATGACACTTCACCACCTTGATGATGTTGACGACGACCACGGATATACCTTTTTGTTGGCACGTTTTGGAATGAAATTTGGATTGGGCTCGAAGGTGTTGCCGCCTGACAGGGTTTCGCACACCGAGCTGGAGCTTGAATCAAGATGCCCAAGGCGTTCTGTTTCATCCTTTGAGCCCTGATAGAACCATAATGAAAAGAATATTACACTTCTCTATTGATATTCACATGCCGTCTGCGGTACCCACGTTTCATGAGCTTTGGTAATGGCAATTGTTTACTGTTGACGTCGATCGTTTTTAGAGTTGACACCATTTTCATGAGGCTCAACAAGCAGACTTCGTGTCCCATCCAGAAGGACCGACTTTCACCGCACTTCTCGAAGCTCTTTGGCCATTCCACCGTATGACCCTCGAAAAAGTGGTGAAACGGACGGTGAACGACGACGATCTTTATTCACCACTCACGCCCAGCAATGCCGAGTCAGTCCAAAGAAAAACATGCTTGGACCAAGCTTGGGAGGAAAGGGCACGAACGACATGGCGTGTTAGAAAGAATATTTCCCCCTAGCACATAAAGAAGTGTAGTTCCTCGAGTTTTGTGCTTTCGATCAATCAAACAACTTTACGACTTCTTCTCTTTGCTCGCAAATATCATGGCTGTGCGTATACCAGCATACCTCCACCGCAGCGGTTTTCGCCCCTACCTTGCCGAATTCATCGGCACACTCCTGCTGATCCTCATCGGCGACGGTGTGGTGGCTCAAGCCGTCCTCACAGATTTCTACTACGCCAATTTCTTGTCTGTAAATCTTGCTTGGGCATCCGCAGTTGCGCTTTCTTGCTATGTCGGCGCCGCCGTCAATCCAGCCATTACCCTTGCTTCCGCCATAATTCGCCCTACCAAGCTCCAATGGAGACAACTCCCCGGCAAAATTGCTGCTCAGTTCGCTGGCGCTTTTGTTGGCGCTGCTCTGGTGTATCTGCAATATAGATCTGCCATCAAAGTCTGGGATCCTGAATTTACGGTTCCTGGTGGCAGTATACTCAGTCCCCAAGGCCATTCTTCTGCGGGCATTTTTGCTACATATCCGGCCACTACACTGGGCAACAATTGGGAAGCTGCTGTGACCGAGTTCCTCGGATCTTCTGTGCTGGCTTTTGGTGCTAGTGCTGTTGCAGACCCCAAGAATGAGGCACTCAAAGCGCCGCAATTCATGATGTTTGCCTTGATGATTGCCATTGGAGCGTCCATGGGTTGGCAAACTGGTTATGTGCGTACTCCAAATTACCCCATTCACTCTCACCTCCACCTTTTCAAGTATCACCTACTAACCCTTGTCTCACACACACAGGCAGTCAACCCAGCCCGCGACTTTGGCCCTCGCGTCTTTTCGGCAATCATCTATGGCCGTGAAGTCTTTTCTGCAAAGGGCTTTTACTTTATCGTTCCGTTGTTCGTGCCTGTTTTTGGATGTATCGTTGGTGCTGCTGTGTATGATGGGTTCATGTTTGAGGGGGAGGGGTCTGCTGTTGCTGATGCGTTGGATGCTGCTGAGGGACATGATGGGAGGATTGCTTTGGAGTAGGTGATTGGTGGGTGTGTGGGATGATGGAGATGCTGAGAGATGGTGGGAAGAGATCTTGAGGGGAAAGAGGGTTGTATGAGGATGTTGATGTTGGTGTTGATGTTGATATGGCTGTCATGATCTGCTTGCTTTTTTAGATTGCGTGTATGGTTTGGCATTGCATGGATGTATCGCATGATCTTTGAGTCTATTGATTGACAAAGCGTTTTCCTAGCCTTTGCATTTTACGATGCTCTTAGTCTCATACAAATCTTGAGCCAGATATGGAAAGGCGTCTGAGCATCAAGGCCTCAACGTTGGGCAATATCGATGGGTAGATGGATAAGTATATTCGCGAGTCCTTTCACAAGCACTCAATAAGCGCTGTAAGCATTTCTGCCACATTGCCCTCTTCCTCTGTATCGACATCTTGGAGCTGATCTTGCAAGCTTTTCTTAAGCGTCTCCAGTCCTTCGTCTCTATCCGCCAATCCTCGTACTATCCTCTTTCTGGCACCTCCGTCCTCGGCAACCAGCCACGCCAAAACAACATCCAGAGTATTGAGACAGTAGACGGCAGCTCCTGCGTCAATGTCATCTAGATCCTTGGCCTTGCTTGCGTATTCGTGTCGTAGCTTCACAAGTTTGTCGAGTTTCTCGTACTCCTTTTCCACGAATTTGGCGAGCAGACGGATACGGTGGGAAGATTCGCCAGGTAGCAGGCGCAGGAGGGCGGAGAAGATTCCTAACACATGTTCTGTATCTGCTGCTTCTAGACTCTTCTTCATGAAGGTAGAAAATAGAGGTTTTAGTCCTGCAGCGTCTATGAATTTTTCCGCTACAGGTTGGCCAGAGGAACCGGAAAGTGCATGATCCAGCACCTTGAGGGAGCGAGGTTTTGAGAATTTGGCTTCCTTGAGCATGAGCAGCATCAATTCTGTTCCTTCTGCGGCGAGGAAAGCCTGTTTGCCAGGGGAGGGTTGGGAGAGGCAGGTCAGGGTGTCGAAGAGATCTTCGGCGTACTCTTCTTCTGTACTGTCGCGTTCGGGATCGCGTTTGCGGTATGCGGAGAGCAGTTGGAGGAGTTTGTCGATTGCGTCGAGGGAAATTAAGCGATCGCGAACGGATGTGGAGGCTTGGGCAAGCACTTGGAGGACTTCGGCGGCGTATTGTTTGTTCTGAGATACGGACTTTTCTGAGCGTGAGATGCGAGTGAGGAGGTATTTGAGGATGGGTTCTTGGGCGATTGTGTCTGCGGTGGTGGAACTGGAGGAGAGGGCTTCGAGAACTGCGAGCGAGTGGTAGACGCCGCTTCGATCGGCTTCGAGGTTCTCGTCTAGACGGTCGAGGTTCGCGAGGAGGAGATCGACAAGGTCGGCCTCAAGCATGGCTGACACCAATGCATCCCATTGCTCTTGCTCTGCTTGTACGTCGTCGTCCAGCAGTTCCGAGACGATCTCGATGGCGTCTATGGCGATATCTGTGTTCTCGTGTGACAGGAGGGAGACCAGACTTGCGGCGCAGCCAATGCTTGCAAAGTCCTTGTATAGCTCCGGGTGTTCTGACAGAATGCTCAAGCTTTTGATCTCGGCGTCCAGGTCGGCCTCGCTGGCCACGAAGCGTGATGGATCGCTCTCGTACTTTGCGCGCAACTCGCTGTTCTTGTTGATTTTCCGTTCGAAGCTCAGGCCCAGGCGGCGCACCCATGCTTGGTCTATCTTCTCTGCCTTGATGTCTGCGCCGTCGTCTGCTCGATCGACAAAGTCCAGCGCCGCATTGGTGTGTTGATTTGTGCCGCTGCCAAAGAAGCGTCCCTCGTCATCTTCATCCTCGTCTGGCGGTAGTTCGGGTCCAGCCTCCATGTCTTCATCCTCATTCTCTGGCGCATCCTCGACACTCGGGTCTAGTTTTGCTGATTTGTATGCTGCTTCTGCATCTTGGCCGTCGAATTTGCGCTTAACTCCGCCGTTGGTCGAAGGAAGAAATGGCTTCTTGAAAAGGTCGTCAATACTCGTCATGATTGATGTGTTTGGTGTGAGTTGCTCCAGTCAGAAAGTTGGTCGCATTCAAGGATGCAACAGCTCCATGTTTGAGTTGTTTGCATGTCACCACCGAGCCCGCTGAGAGCGTCGCGAGTGTCGGCTTTTAGCGACCCTGACCTTGACCTCCGGCTACTGAGCACTAGTCACAGTACGCGGACTGACAAACACGACATTGTTTGAGCAGCAGCAGTGTAAAGGGCTCACTAGATTCTCTGGTAGATGATCTGGACATCTCGATTGGATTATACCAGTACTGCGGTACTACCACCTCGACCACTCTCCATCCAGAATTTTGTGGCAATTCAAGTTCGACTGTATGGGTGGTCGAGAGTGAAGGCAGTCATTATTTGTAGGACTTGCCTGACTTTTGTGTTCATAAGACTTGTCGATGACACGCGTGGCCTAGAAGCTGCTTCGAGTCAAATAGAGTAATATCTTGATATCCCGTCGCACCTTCTATAAAGGCTAAGCTACCGACAACACTCTTGTTTTTGTTGTTCCATCTCAAACTCTTCTACTGAGCGTCACACGATCTATCACAGGTTTGGAAGGCACGAGTAAGTCATCCCTTCTATCTTTTCATTAACTCTCACACGACACCTTTATGGAATTTGGTCTCTCCCTCTGGATCTTACATCTCGAGTGTGTCGTACATCTTTCTTCGTCTACACATTAACAAAATCACACTTACTAACACCATCAATAATAGATCATGGCTGACGAGCTGATGATCGGTGGTACTCCCTGGTGGCGGAATGTCAACATGGCTAAGATCGAAGAAGCACAACGCCTATCACAGTCACAAAAATCAGTAGTCATGCCTGATCCTCCCCCAGTCTCCTCAGTAGGCACTCCTATCGCACTCATACTATCGCCTGCCGCACCCACATCTCGACCCACCTCAGCAGCAACTGCTCCAGTTGCACCTCTTTCGTTCGTCCCACAGCGCAGAACAGAAATGCCTGCGGACGATACAATGGAAGGTGGTGAGCGTCTGGAGATCGATATGAGCAACCCGGCTCTGCCAGCCTGGTACAAGGACATTGGACTCGACAAGGTCAAGAAAGCCCCGAGAATTCCTCCCGGCATCGAAGAGCATCTGAACAAGATCACCTCTGGCATCAAGAAATGTAACGAAGCAGCAGCAAAGAACATGCCTCCTTCTGCTACCGAACTCAAGAAGATCAATGACGGAATCCACAACGCCTTCTTCCTCGATCTCAGCGCATTGGCTATCCGCCAGAAAGGTCTTCTGCACAACGACAGAGGACTTCCCCAGGTCTTCAACTCTGACAAGATCGACTACCCATGGTATATTAAGGAAGATGCTGCCGAACTATACACAAAGTGGTGGCAGAAGGATACGAATCCAGACCTCTTTCGTGGAATCAAGCTAGGACGCACCAAGAACGCAAAGATTGGTCGCGAGAGTGCCGCTGACAAGTTGGACCCAAAGTATCCCAGAAAGAAGGGCGACTTTCACGGCGACGGACATCTTCGTAACGGCCAATGGTGGCCAACCCAACTCTGCGCTGTTCGAGATGGTGCTCACAGTGCCACTGTCGGCGGCATCTGTGGCAGGACCGGAGGAGGTGCATTCTCGTGTGTCATGTCCGGCGGTAGCTACCCCAACATCGACAAGGGAACGGAAGTATGGTATTATGGCACTGAATCCGACGATCCTTCGCGTCCCTCAGACTCGACACAACACATGATTGAGAGTTGCAGACTCCAGACGCCTGTCCGTGTTCTTCGTGCGTTCAAGATGACCACCGAGGGCCCCAACGACTACCGCCCCAAGGAAGGAATGAGATACGATGGTCTGTACAAGGTCGCCAATTACGAGGTCAAGAATGTGGCCAAGCAGGTTCATCTTTTCCATCTCGTCCGCGAACCCGACCAAGGCCCCATCAGAAATTCTGGCCCTGGAATACGTCCTACCCCCGAAGAGTTGGAGGCTTTGGCAAAGGCCAAGATCGAGAAGAAGTTTCTGGCTTGACGTTGAGTGTGTATGCAGCCGAGCGAGTAAGGATATCGATTGAAGTATGGTAGTCGAGGCTGTTTTGTATTCATGGTGCAGAAAGAGACAAGAGATGAGAGATGTACATAGACTTAACGAGCATCGATGAGTGATTCCCACGAAACAATGACTAAACTATTATGTCGTCATATACTGCTCTTACGAAGTGATACTATCACAATGTGTAGTCATTCCACAGACCTCTTCTTGATAAGGGAAGGAAGGAAAACTAGCACTCTTGAAGGCTATCTTATCAGCATTGAAACAAGAGTGCGTGAGATGTGCTTGGAGCAGTGTCGTTAATCATTTGATGAAGGGACTATGTCAAGTACTCAATGCCTCGATCTCCTGTAGCTATCGTCATGATAGCGGTCACCGCGTCTTCTCTCATCGCGGTCACGATCACGACGATCGTCTCGCCTGTAATCTCTATCTCTGTCACGTCTGGGACTTCTTTCCCTTTCTCTTTCGCGATCGCGGCGTGGCGGGCTTCTGTCTCTGTCACGTCTTGGACTGCGTGCTGGACTCTTCTCTCTGTCTCGCTCGTCCTTGCCGCCGTCTCTGCGCTTGCCGTCCTTGTCAAAGACATAGTCGTAGCGTTCGCCACGGCTGTTGCGGCCACCGTATCTTTCACCCTCTCTGTAGTGTCTTTTTGCTTCCAGTCCGGCGATACCGCCGAATCCACCCTTCTTTCTGGCAGTCTTTGAGTTTGTGGTGTCGCGCCATGCGTCGGCGAGTCTGCTGACACTCTGCGAGAAGTCGACATGGATGCGGTGGTCGTCGATCAAAACTCCTTGCATCTTGAAGTATGCGCGTTCGCAGTCTTCTTTGTTGCCAAATTCGATGAAAGCGTATTGTAGACTGTCACCAGTCTTCTTGTCGCGGATGACTTCGCAGGACAGAATCTTGCCGAAGCGGCTGAAGATGAGTTCGAGGTCTTCGTCGCGGGTGACGGGGTTTAGTTTGCAGACGAACAGGACTTGTTCGGGAGGTGTGACGTCGGCGAATGGGAGATCGCCTATGAGTTCGAGGGTCAGGGCTTGGGCGCGTGCTTCACGCTCGCGGCGCAGCTTTTCGAGTTGTTCGGGGTCGGTGTTTTCGGCAATTTCTTCGTCGTGGGCGATGCGTACGGTAGCTAGTTGGCCTGCTGTGGGTACAGGGCTTTGCGGTGGTTCGATCAAGCCTTCGAGGTCGTCGTAGGGATCGTCGAGGACAGCAGTGTGTAGGATGCGGATGTCTTTGAGAGGGCGACCTTTGTCGTCGATGAAGGCAGTGTTGATCTTCTCGAGAGCATCGAAGCCTTCTACGACTTCACCGAAGATGGCAGCCTTGCCGTCAAGGAGATCCAGGTTCTCACCGAGGGTAATGATAAACTGACTCGCAGCGAAGCGGTCGTCTGGATTGACAGGTGAGGCAGTGGTAGCCATACTGACAGTACCTCTCTCAGTGTGCTTTCTCTTGCGACTGAACTCTGGCTTGAAGGTCATGGACTCGGGTTTCGCAGGCTTCTTCGTGACACCATCAGGAAGGCCCCAGATGGAAGAACCGCCATCGCTTTCAGCGGCATCAGGGCCAATGGGATCGCCAGATTGGAAGGAGAAGTTTGGTTGGACATTGTAAATGGGCGAATAGTTGTAGTACTTGATCTTGCATAGCTTCAAGAAGCTNNGCGTCAACGTCTTAGCGAATCTGATCAGTCTCGTGATGTCGTAAGATCAAGGCGCAACTCACTTCTCACATGCCTTGGGCGCTTCATCGACGTAGAGATCGATGGTAATGTCGCCAGCCGACGTCTCTAACAGGACTGACATTTCTTTCGGTTGTTGTCGCAAAGAGCGCGAAAGTTGAAGCTCGAGTGACGCGTTGTCAAACGCACGTGCCCGTCCGTTGTCGCTGTGCCGTTCCGAACGTAGCGGGACTTTGTACAGAGCACTTCTATCCATTCACATCTAACAAAAGTCATCATAGCAATACAAAACCGTGATTGCTTCTTCCAGATACCTTCCGAAAGACGTAGAAACTATTCTGTATGATTATCATGGTCCTGCATCACTTTTTCTGTGTCTTTCGTGGGCATCTGCGTGCCACATTGCTGGCGACCAGTTTTCTGCGTTCGATAGCAGCCCTGTTCTGACGTGGAAGAAAGTCTCCTAAGACGATGCAACATTTGCACATTTCCATTCACTCGGTACTCTCAGACTCCTCTGCATGTTTGGACCTGCACAAGCGCCTCTGTCTGCCGTCTACTCATGTTGCATTCCTGAGAGATACGAGTCGGCCCGTACCTTTGACAGACGGCCGGACCGTCCCTGCAAATATCCTGTCTCACTGCAGCTCTGTTAAAACCTTCCGGGCATCAAAACATTCTCTCCTCTTCCAATGATTCTGCTTCCATCATATCACCTGCCTTGCTGTGCATACCTTTTCATGTATCAAGGTATCCCTTGACCGCACGAGCGGCTTACGTCTTCTCAACGACCTGCCGCTTCAGTCCACCTGCTTCACGCTTGTCTCAATGCCACTAACATGCTCCGACTCCCTGGTTCATCACATTCATCATCACCGAGCGAGCGCACATCGAGTCCCATTCCTTGTCGATATCGTCGGTAGCTGGGTATTCTCATGATCCGCTCGGCAGTCCAATGTAAAGAGCTCCAAGCTGGCTACACAGCTCACACAAGCATCATCGCGGCCCCGGTCGATCATTACTCTACTTCAGCCTCAATCTGCAACCATCCGTTCATGTAGTGCTGGTCAAGGCCGCTTTGGATCCTTGCGTAGCCAATATCCGGTCCGCTCATGCGCCTTGGTCGTGTCGCCAATCGGCATCTTGCTGCTGCGCGACTTGTCATCCGTCTATCGTCAACCTATCACCCATTTGTCTCCTGTTTCAGAAACAGTACAGCATATCTTTCCCGCTCAAGCCATCGACTGAACTTGACTCTTACGACCATCAACTACCTCCATGGATCGAAATTCATGCCCCTACCCGTAAGTTTTCTGCTTCACCGCAAACCTGACACTTACTTGCTAAGAGTTGCTCATGCGCTTGATTTGGCACTTCTGTAACTCGAGCATTCGTGAAAGCGCTTACGACCTATTTTCATCATGTTCAAGGCTGAGGATATGTCATCTGCACATGCATGCACTTTTCAACGAGGCAATGCTGAACTACAGACTCTTCGCATTCCGAACTTGTTCTTCTGTCTGACTGCTGCATAATAAATAGTCTGGGCTTTCTCGCGTTGCACGGCTACGTCTGCTCGTTTTACATCGCGCGGTATGTTGTCTTGTGCCCCGCTTGCGCTTGCAGATGTGGCAACTCAACAGGTCTTGCTTTACTCGCGTTTGATCAACTCAAACGAATACAGCGCACGTTCTGCCCACTATTTCACGATCTCCCCGCCTGTCAGGGAGCGAGAACCCTGGAACCGCACTCTCTCAGGCCTTCTCTCCAGTCATGACACGGGTCATTGCGTCCCCTGCAGCCAAGCAGGTGCCACCATTGAAGACAAGATGCTTCATGCGATACCAGATCCAACGACTTTCAGAGCTTTGATGGAGCTGCCGTTGGATACCCAGAAGCCCGGTCCAAGATGAACCTCAATACCAAGGTCACACTCTCCTCACCTGCGAGTAGTTTGGCTAGATTTCTGAGTGATCATATTTCCTTCGTGTGCTGCCCTAAGACAGCAGTTCTTAGCGGTACCATAAAAGATGGTTGCCTCGCTGCCAACAGATATACTGGTTTGCTTTTTCTCCCAATCTGCTGTGCTTTGGTTTGAATCTGACATACCCTCACGATTGATTGTTATTTGCTTTCTTCTCAGAAGTCCGTCTGCGCGATACACAAACATGGCCCAAATCTACCAGAAGAGCCATTATGACTATGACGGCATGCAGCGGTCAAACCGACGACCCTCGCGTGGCCCTCTTCACACTGTTGATCGAGGTGTTCCATATGTGGCCTACTCAACTAGACCGGATCCTCGCAACGAGTCGAGAACCTACGTCCTCCCAACTCCTATCCATGACATAGGTGATGACAGTGACCAAGGATCTGCCAGGAAGCGCACTTCGATGGCTGTGAGTACATAGTGCCCTGCACACTCCTGGACAGTCATTGATGAATTCAGNTGCGGGCGTTGCAGAAGAAGAAAGATCAAGTGCAATGGCGGCCAGCCTTGTCAGGCATGCCGAAGTGCAGGAGTCGAGGCTAGCTCTTGCCTATACCACAGGGTGCGTTGCACTAATCTCTCGCATGCAAATCCAGTCTGACCTTTTCATCTACAGGTAGGCACAAGCCAGACCTTCGACCTCGACACTTCTGTTGGAGGACCTTCTTCCCTAGCCCCAGTCTCGCCGTACAGTCCTGTGTCGCCTGGCGGTAATGGCTATCCTGCGTACCCAACAGACGACAGATCTTCCTCGGTGCCCGCATATGGCAGATCCGGGTATCCACAAACATCTCTCCCTGCTTACAGTTACGACATCGATACTCCAACCTATGCAGTCAGCGACGACTCTCGATCATGGACAACTGGAAGTCGCTCTAGCACTGGTGTGAGTTACTATCAGCAAGAAAGCCCTGGGTCGTACGACTATTCTACTCCGATATCCAGGATCTCCAGTGATTCCAACGAACCTCTTTCTCCACTGAACATGAGCAACTTGCAACATTCGCTTCCTCTACCTCTCGAGCGCCGTTTGCCTGCTCCCAACTTTGTTGGCAGTCCGATCACCCCTGACAACGACGTCCGTAGCCCTATCAGTGCTCGACTCGCAGGCTTGAGCATCAGTGGGCCGTACAGCAGAAATAACAGTACCTCCTGGGCTGTAGACGGGATTGAGCGCCGCCAACCCTCGATCTATGATCTCGCCGAGGCAAGTATGGTGCTGCCTCCAGTCACACGAGGATTGAATGGATCTGCGGCAACTCTGCCAGCCCTCAATCATGATAGTACTCCGATGTCCATCGCAATGTTTGTATCTTCCGGGACAGAGGGTCTGGTTCACGCTTCCACCAGTGCCACGCAACCAGCCTACTACGCTTCCTCTACCTCCGCGCTTCCCTCCTTGACTACAGGAATGTTGCCACCGACAGACTACGCCCGCTACACGGCCATCAATACCAGCAATTCTTCCCTGCCAGTTATTAGCACGAGCGATCGTGCAGACACCACCACCTACTATAGCTGGACTCCCACGAATGCCGGCAGCACTGAAGCTCTTCCCGTCCTCAACACCGTCGAAGTGACCCCTCAAACCAGTGCTGTATCGAATCGTAAATACAGCTCTGCGCAGCTCTCGACAGGATGTTCACCTCTGCATCATCCACGGCCAAAGATTGTTCCATCGACACCTCACGCGACGACACTCGAGAAGCATGATCGCGTACAGCAGAAAGACGGAAAGAGCCAGAGACCTTCTTCTGCGTCCAGCCAGCACAAGTCTGCCCCGGGATCTTCAAGTTCGAGTTCCAACAAGAAGAGTGGTCACAGACCTAGCAAGGGTAGCCTTTGAGACTCTATCCGTGATTGCTCAGTCACCTCGCCTTTCCCCGCTTTATATTATTTCTTTGTCTGCCTTTCTCTCTGTTACGGGTCTCTGGAGTTCAACAAGCGAGGCGTAATCTGCTGCACCCTTTGTCGGTGCTATCTCTTTTCTGTTCCTTTCAATCGTTTCCTTCTCTTTTCTCGCATTGCAAATGTTTCGTGCTTCATATATCTTATACAGTCGGGCGTTCAAATCAGGATTCATGGCGAGAAGAACGCGTCTGGGCAATGGGGGACTTTGAAAATGGGAGATACGAGTACCCAGTACGAGAAGTGGCATATCATGATACAAACAATTAATGACCAAAAGTCGTGATGATTGCTGGTGATGGAACTAGGTAGTTCGTATAATGATAGTCAACAATAGCAGAAGATCAAGTTGAATGCTCGAAACCATTCACACCATGTCGACTCAATATCAAGTCTCAATTGGAGTATCGAAAGTGGTCAGAGATATGCTGAACAAGCGACATGTTCTCCGGGAATAATTTCCTCCTTCGACTTCCTCGGAAACAATTCTCCGTCGGCGGAAAAGCATTTCCAGCGCTTTGCAGCTTTTGCTCCTATAAGATCCAACGATGTTGGCGTGATCTTCGCTCGAGCCTTCAGAGTGGCCAATTGAGACCTCGAGTATGGTACGCAAGTTAGGGCAAACTTCTGTAGGTATGAGATAAGCCAAAAGAGTTTTTCATGCTTCTTCTCTCAAAGTCAAGATGTGAGTACCTCTCAGAACTTACTCTTGCTCTTGCATACATACAAGATGACTACACAAACAACTCTCGAATTACAGGAGCGATCGCGACGTCGCTCCATTAATTCTGGCAACGACATCCAGACTCCTACTCCTGCTACAATCGCAGCTGGCTCTTCGTACTTCCCTGATCTCGAAGGCAAACGAGTGAACTGGCATGAGGTGCTCGAATTTTCAACACTCCCATCTACACCCGCCGGAGCTCAAACGCCAGCAGGAGCATCTACACCAGGCTGGACAACTCCGGGAAATGCGACACCAGGATGGCAGACTCCAGCCGGTGCATCGACACCAGGCTGGGCGACGCCGAGATCGACTCAAGCTCGCCATTTACTCTCAGAAATTGCATATCCTGATGTTGGCACCATTTATTCGTGGCGAGGTATTGTTATACTGTTGATCACATGTGGCTCTCAACTTATGGATAATATCTTCATGACGGCTGTTAATCTGTCTCTTCCATCTGTGCAAGCGGAATTCGATGTCTCGTCTGGCGACCTTCAGTGGCTGCTTTCGGCATATACTCTTACTTTTGGAGGGTTTCTTCTCTTCTCGGGAGTCTTGGCCGATCGCTATGGTAGGAGACAGGTCTTCTCTATCGGTATGGGTGTGCTCTCAGTCTGGACATTAGCCAACGGCTTCGGAAACTCGTTCATCCAGCTAGCCATCTTCCGAGCCTTGCAAGGCGTTGGCGCTGCAATGACAGTTCCCTCCTCGATCGGTATAATCAGTTCTCACTTCGTCGCCACCGAGCGTATAGTCGCATTGACAATGTTCGGTGCGTCGGGCGCAGTGGGTTTCTGCGCAGGCCTCATCTTTGGCGGTTTCGTGACTGATTCTTTGGGCTGGCGCTACATTTTTCGCATTGCCGTTGCGGTTACTGGACCGCTGGGTATTATGGGTTGGTTTATGCTGCCCAAAGACCGCAAAGAAGGTACCGCGCGACCGAAGCTGGATTTCGTGGGTGCGGGTCTCTCGACTGGTGGCTTGATCCTGCTGTCTTTTGTTCTCTCGAGCGGAGGCGAGTATGGCTGGAACAAGGCATTCATCATTGCTTTACTGGTCATCTCCGTCATCATGATCTGTGTGTTTGCGTACGTGGAGAAGAAGGTCAGCAATCCAATCATGCCGCTTTCACTCTGGAAGATTCCAAACTTTGCTCCCCTCTGGATAGCGGGATTTGTGCTTTACGGAAGCTATCAGACTGTCATCTACTATGTCGTCTTGCAAGCACAGGAGATAGCTCATCTTTCTGCTGGTGCAACCGCATTACGCTTTTTGCCCATGGGCGCTGCCGGCTTCGCTACAAACATGGTCCTGGCCAAATGGATGAAGCACATGAACACTCGATACTTGATGCTTCTAGGCATGCTCATAACCACTCTTTCGCCCATTCCCGCTTCCTTGATGCCGGCGTCCTCACCAAGCTTCTGGAGATACATTTTGCCGACTTCGGTGATGGTCGTTGTTGGTGTTAGTATTTGCTACATCTGCATTACCAACATCATGTTGTCTTCTGTTCCTGCAAACGTCAAGAGTTTGTGTGGTGGACTGGTCAATACGGCGTTCCAGATCGGGAGTGGTGTCAGTCTTGCTTTGGCAGCTGCGGTCGTTGATGCAGTGGATGTCAAGAAAGGACATGATGCTAGTAAACAGTATCAGACGGGCTTATATTGCTGTATTGGATTATCTGGACTGGGTCTTGTGGTTTCGGCGGTCGGATTGAGGAAGATGAGTGGAAGTGCCGGCGGGGCTCAGGTGCACTAATCGAGATTTGGTGCCTCCACTTGCAGTGAATTGTCTCTTCAATGATATAACCTACGAATATCCTCGGTATACAGCTCTAGAGTTGACCGGAAGACATCAAACTCAATCTAGCACTCGACAGTGTGCAGCCAGCCAACATGATACTTCCAAGCCCTGTCCCCATATTTCAGCCACTGCACGTCAATGACACTCACACTGCACCAATCGGTAATTATACTATCAAAACCATATCACCGCCTCGATATCCAGCTTCTTCTTCATCACTCTACGCCATGTCCAGTCGAGAAGCCGCCACGACCAGTCTCCACAACTATCGCTATTATTTACTTGCTGGCCTGTACGTCGCGGTCACCGGCGGAGCCTTTGTGCGCATTTCACGACAACCGTATACGAAGTCTATCAAATGGGAACAATACGAGACGGTGTTCAAAGGAACCACGCTGCTTGCTGCCATTTCTGGGTTTGCGATGTCTGGGCAGGTGAACAAGAGGAGGAGTCAGAGTCTGAGGGATGAGGCTTGAGTCTCGTCCTCCAAGAGTCCAGCTGGAGACTATGAGCGACGCAGCTTGGCTCTTGCCAATCTCATCTCAATAAGCCACTATATCTATTCACAAGGAGATGTTATCTTGCAACCGTAACAATAAGCTATAACAGCGAAACCGGAAAAGCTCGCGTGGAAAAGGCCACCTCGCAAGATCTACCGATGAGATAGGCCATGTCCGTGGGAACAAGTCATGACGCCAAGACGTTTGCAAAGCAATAGTGTGCGGTGTGTGGATCAAGCATTGGAGTCGTCAGAGACGTTTGCAGCAGCTCCACCGGTTGCTGCAGGGTCGGTGAGCAAAAGCATCTCGCTCGGGCTGGAAGTAAGCAGGTCACATATGACATGTTTACAAGTGACAGAGTGAAGATAGAGTGATCAGATAAAAGAGTGATAGGGGTGTCAAACAATGTCAAACGCAAAGCACGTGTATCGACAAGCAAGCAGAGAGAAGGAAAGAGCGAAAGTGAGAGGTCAGCGAATGGGATGCTTGGCACAGGCAGCGACCATACCCGATTGGGAGTTGATTGGAACGCGGCAGGTCACGAAGGATTTCTTGTTGCAGCAATCAAAGCAGGGCGGACCTGGCAAAGAAAGACGGCCAAGCAGAGTCCAAAACAGACGGGTAGAGTAGACGCAGCTAAAAGCAGAAAGAAGCAAGGCTGGGGATTCGTAGTTTTTGTGCGGATCGTAATGTTTGGTCGGGCTAAAGTGGTCACGAAGCCAATCGATCGGGAGGATGCAGTTGTGACAAGGAGGTTGTGAAGCTGGACGGCCGTCGTATCGCCATGCTTGCTCCATCTGAACTTACTGCAACCACGAACTTCTTACCAAACTTGGTTCTTGTCCTGAAAACAACTCTCTCTCACTCATCTTACACCAGACCTATTGCCGCACGTTCAACACACAGCCATCCAGCAGCGAGCTCACCCCTGTTCCAGGCACGATGAAGGCAGCTCCTCTGCTTGTGTCCTGGCATAACGACAACACTCCCATCTACTCGGCTCACTTCGAGCCCCACGGCAAAGGTCGACTCGCGACCGCTGGAGGTGACAACAACGTCAGAGTACGTGACACTCAGCACCCCCAGTCACGAACACCACTGACGGTCGACAGNCTCTGGAAAATCGACGGAAGCGGAGAAGACAGAAACGTGACATACTTGTCGACGCTCGCCAAACACACCCAAGCTGTCAACGTAGTACGATGGTGTCCCAAAGGTATGTCTCTACCCTTCTCCCTCGGCCCACATACACCGACTGACGATTGACCAGGTGAAATGCTCGCGTCGGCCGGAGACGACGGAAACATTCTCCTCTGGGTCCCCGCCGAAAACGCAGCGCTGCATGCCACAAACTTTGGAGAAGACGGACTTGAAGACAAGGAAACATGGCGGACCAAGACCATGTGTCGCTCGACGGGATCGGAAATATATGATCTGGCCTGGTCGCCGGACGGCGTCTACTTCATCACCGGTAGTATGGACAATGTCGCTCGCATCTACAATGCCCAAACAGGTATGCCCGACAACTTTCACTGTCCTCCAACAGACGACTGACAACTTNNCACAGGCTCCGTCATCCGCCAAGTGGCAGAGCACAACCACTACGTCCAGGGTGTCGCCTGGGATCCGCTAAACGAGTACATCGCTACCCAGTCGAGCGACCGCTCCGTCCACGTCTACACGCTCAAGACCAAGGACGGCTCATGTACTCTGACCAACCACAACAAGATCAGCAAGATGGACATGCCCGCCCGCCGCGTGAGCCAGAGCAGTCCTGCCCCGCCAGACTTCCGCGGTCGTGCATCCTTTGTCGGCAACGAGTCTCCGGCTCCTAGTGCACCCGGCACTCCTCTGTCGCTCGCCCTGCCTATGAATCCTCCGCAAACCACACACAGCCGCCGCTCCTCGTTCGGTTCCGTCTCCGTCTCAGGCCAGTCGATGCGCCGCTCAGTCTCGCCCAGTCCGTCCATGCCTCTACCCGCCGTCATGCCCTCCGCTTCCCCAAGCATCGGTGGTGGCCTAAATATGCCCTCCCGTAGCACCGGCATGTACGCCAACGAGACCTTTACATCATTCTTCCGCCGCTTGACGTTCGCTCCCGATGGCAGTCTGCTCTTCACTCCTGCTGGTCAGCACAAGGAAGCCCATCCTCCTACAACCGAACCGAACAAGACAGACGACGTGGTCAACATGACGTACATCTACACAAGAGCTGGACTTAACAAGCCGCCTGTGGCAAAGTTGCCTGGTCACAAGAAGCCTTCTTTGGCCGTCAAGTGTTCGCCCATCTTCTATACCCTCCGCGCGTCGCCGGTCCCAACAAAAGATATCACCATTGATACACACATGGACGACGAGATCCCTCTTCTCCCAGAGCCTGTCGTGCCTTCGAAATCCACCAACTCCATGGAACCTCCCCCGATTGTGCCATCCCCAGCACCAAGTCATGCGCTTCCGGCGCCCATTCCTTCGCCCCGGGCCGAAGACGGCTCTGCTGCACCGACACCCCTGAATGGTCCCCCACCCGTCTTCGATCTTCCATATCGCATAGTCTATGCTGTCGCTACCCAGGACTCCGTTCACGTCTATGATACCCAGCAATCCAAGCCGCTTTGCGTCGTGAGCAATCTGCATTATGCCACTTTCACGGACCTGACTTGGTAAGTTGAGCAGTCTTTTTCCCCGCTCTCTTACAGCATGCTAATCGTAGACAGGTCGAATGACGGCAACACTCTACTCATCACATCGTCAGACGGATTCTGCTCCAGTCTGAACTTCCAGCCTGGAGAACTCGGTATTTCGTACCAACACCCTCCTATTCCCCGCCATGTTCCCTCTATGATCAACACTGCTGGATCTCCTTCTGCAACAGCGGCATCTCCTGCATCGACACCCATTACCGCAACCATGCCTCAATTAATGCGTAATCCTTCATCACAAGGCCATGGTGCACCTTCGCCGTCACCCTTCACTATGCCCGGTAGTCCCGCCAGAAGCCTGTCTACGACCAGTGTTACCGGTAGCATGGCCGCGCCCGAACATTCAGCAGACACCCCTGAGATGAGCAGTGTACCCAGCCTGACAGCCGCTAGCTCCGGTACAAACATGCACGGTGGCATGCCCATGTATACGCCTCCCCAGACTCCTGGATACATCTCCGCGACCCCCGGTATGCCTCCTGCAGCTACCAGCGCTGGCGTCACATCGAAAGTGGCCACATCCGTTAAACGCGAGAACGAGGGCGGCGAAGACTCTTCCAGAGATAAGAGGCGGAGAATCGCACCCACACTGATTTCTGATCCATGAGGACAAGGAGAGATGGATACATCAACGGGCGAATGAATATTACGGAACTGGCACGCGCGCGGCGTTATTATCTCGAGGAACACGAGCATGGCGCATCATTCATCTTTATCGGCATGGGATACCATACACACTTTTTATCGGGATTCGCAAAAGAGGGAAATTATGGCGTTTTGTGTGTTGTTGTTTTTTGTTCTTTTTTTTTTCTTAATCATTTCGGAGTTCTGGAGCGCCGTTTTGCAGCGACTAGTTTGCTGTTATTGCTTCTTTCTCTATATCAACATGGCTTTATGTAGCCTTCTTTCTGACCCTCAGTTCGGAGCATTTGTATCAAAAACATTACATTTGATAGGGCTTGTTAACTTTTCCCCTCCTCCTTCGTTATAACAGTGATTTCCAGTGGCGTGATGTAGTATCCTTGATATTGTGTGCATCAATTCAACGATACATGAACGGCAAAATGCGAAAGGTACAAAAGTAAACCACCTAGTCAGGTATCATGCTGAAAATTTTACGTATGTAAAGTGAGACTGCGGATTGGATGCAACGGGGGTTTTCATATGCACATGTAGACTCTGGGGAAAGTGTGGGATATATTTATCCCGGGAGAAGAAGGACCTACAACAGTCGTCATGAGCAGAGACTGGATCTTTGATGATGGTATTGCTGCTGTGAAGTTTTTTCCCATGTTGTTGATATGGAGAGAAGCACGCGCATGTTTACTGTTGCACTGTCGCGTAGCAGAGTGATATAAGCAGACATATGGGGGAAAAAGGATTGAAAGAGCCACAGGAGGGGATATATCATTCGTGCGAGAGTTACTTCCTGGTTCGATCTAAGGCTTCCACTTCATCCATCAATTACGGGTACATGATAGCCATGAGAGATTTCCGATCTCTTTTTGTTTTAAGCAGGCTTGTTTGGATAGAGAGACAAGCTATCTTTTTGAACAGCTAGATCTGCAATCTACAAGTAAAGCAGAAGATGAGATGTCAGGCCAACACAAACATAAAGAAGACAGTAAAAGAAAAGAAGGATACCGTGTGTATTTTGTTATGGAAAGTGAGAGAAGCCTCCCACTCCATACCGGCACACGGTATCCTCAGAGCCATGAGCGGGAGTTGAACCCGCGACCTTCTGAACATGTCAAGGCGACAGTACAGATGTGTTCCCAACTACACTACCACAGCTTGTGTGTGCCAGAAAACAAAATTCCATGAATATAAGGGTTGGGTGGGCGAGCTGCGGAAGGTGGTGGTTGTATGAGTTAGTTTACTGGTCAGCATGCTTCGAACCCCTGAGACATCGGTTGATCCCGGTGTGCCTCTGTAAGATGGCCCAGTGGTCGACGAGAAGGCATTCTCATGCTCGAGCTGTGTTGTAGTGACTCAACATCGATGCAGGCATTGCTTGCTCTCTGGCGTTGCAGTCCGAAAGCTTTGTGCTGCGTGTAATGGGCTGTCAAGATGGTAGCCAAGCTCATGAAAATCAAGGACAATGTATTTGCAACCTTGGACCGAGTGCCGTTCTGATGATGAAGGGTATAGCAACCAACAAGTATAAATGCCGATCTCAGTGACTCTGGTGTGGAGATCAGTATGAATCGACAGTTTTTACTCCTAATGTCACAACTCTCGGTTCATCCGAATCTTGTCCGGGCCTTCGATATGGGTGCTCAGAGCCGAGACTAAGTTGCATAGGAGTCATGCTTATGCTCCCCGAAGGCCTTGGAGACTTGAAGAACCTCCTGTAGATGTGGCTGCGAAGCTCATCTTGGGGAATATTGGCAACAAAATTTAGCGTGAGCTGCTGTAAGTTCAAGAATTCGGGCGCTGGTAGATCATCCCAGTTGTCAATCTCTTGGATCCATAGGAGCTTGCATTTGCGCAGTAAGGCATGGGTTTTGGACAAAGCGACTATGGCTGTAAAAGAGACTGGACATTCAATGTCCAGCTCTAGATCTCGTAAATGTGGAAAGCTACTTGTCCATGTGAAAAAGTAGTCATCCGTTAACCATGGCGCCGTGAGGTTGATATTGATAGGACGTATGTTAACTGATCGTAATCTGCTCAGAGTTGACAGAGCCTGCATGTCGTCTAGAGTGGCTTGCCAATCGTGAGCTTGAGGATGGTATCGTACACCCTCCCAATAAGAGTTACGATGGTTGATACCAATGACCAGGTTCAGATACGTGAGATTCTGTAGGCGTCCTATGGTAGGACATATATGATGAGCGTGGTCATCGACGACGAGCTGAAGTCGTGTGAGTGATTGCATTGAGAGCGAGAGAAAGCTTGAAATCGACGCCATATCACCCTTCAATGCCAGCGATTGGAGGTTTCCAAAAGGAGCGTTATGTCTCTTGGTGAACTCTTCAACGTCGTCTTCGACTACACCATGGTCCAAACGAAGGTGTTCAAGACCAGGTATAGTTGCAAGACCTCTCAACAACAAAGTCATGTAAAATGGATCGCCGGTGTAATAGTTAGATCGAATTTCGAACTTACGCAATGAAGTGCAGACTTCTAGGATCTCATGAATGTCGTCCGGTAGAGCTGCTGGTTCGATGCTGGTAAGAATCAGCTCTTCAAGCTGTGCAGCCGCGAGAGGCCGAAGACCAAGCAAGGCAGCTGACACGAGAGGTGAGGGTAGCTTGCTGCCGATATCAAGAGACCTGAGGTGCCGACAATGTTGGAAGAAGGAGCCAAAAGTGCAGGGGTCAATGGGATCGGGATTGGGTTTTGGAGTGAGTGCTCTGTGGTTATCAACATTGGCAGGAATAATTTTGAGCTCGTGTAGGTTGGGGCAAAGTATGGCCATTTGATGTAGTTCGTTTTTGGTCAGGGCGAAGCTGGCACGGAAGATTATGGTCTTCAGGTTGGGCTGCAAGAATGGCAAGATGCCCATGTGGTCGCCTCTCAACATGAGGTGTGTCAAGCTCTCGAAATTCAGGCCCTCAATCAAGTCGAAGTAGATCCTTGCAGTGTGGAGATTCAATGTGCGTATCTTGCTAACGTAAAACTGGCGTCTGTCTTGTTCGAAGCCCATGTTCGAGAAAGTGGTTTCGAGGTTGGACACTTTGTTCCATAAGATGTCGGCGGTATGATTGAACCAGCAGGAGTTGACTCTCATAGGAGCAAGCAGGTTTTGACAATCATGGCGAGTCAGGGACTTCTTGTCAACAACCAGATGGTCGAGTATGTTCTGCTGGAGTTCACGTGGCAGCTGCGAAAAGGTAGCCATGATTCTAGCAACGCAGCCATGTCGCAAAGGAGAAGAAGAAGAAGGGAGAGTTGCTAGTGAAAGACTACGGGAAGGCGCGGCAGTGCAACGCTCCTTCCCGACTAGCAGGCCTGTCAGGTGTGCAAGAGCCTTGGACCAAGACTACCTAGTGATGTTGGTGGTAAGCGCTGGGGGAAATAAGACGGCGTTAAGGCGCACCACAGGGTCCGGTGCACGGGCGACGGGACTTGTTTTGTGTACAAAGATAAACAAAGCAGCTTTTGGCTCAGACTACACCATCTCGTCCATTACTAACCCACAGTATTTCGACCAGACACAGACGACAGTCATGGTCGCCACGCGAGCTATGGCTGCCAAAAAGGCCCCAGATGACAAGGAGAACGATAACCAGTTGGCTCTGCGCAAGAAGCCTGTCCGTCGTGCTACTGCGAAGGCCCCCACGACAGCGACAAAAGCATCAACTTCTACCAAACCTGCCCAGTCATCGGCCACGACCACATCAGCAAGGTCGTCAGCCACGACCTCATCAGCAAACGTATCAGCACCAGCTGCCCGTCCAAAACGTCAAACACGTGCCGCCGCCGCTCCACCGCCAGACCCTGCTCCACAGAAAGCTCCTGCCACCCGTCGGAAGCCTGCCCTCCCAGAGGTCGCCAGAGGAAAAGCCTTGAGGTCAAGAAAAGTCGAGGCCGAACCTGAGCAAGAGCCCGGACCGGACGCAAATGAAGAGGAAGCAGAAGAGCACGAACCGATAGCTTCTCCACCGCCCAGCAGAGTAAAAGCTTTGAGGTCCAACATGTCCGAGAAAATCTCTGATCCCGAGCCTGAGCAAGAAACCGACTCTGAGTCTGTGGCGGAACCTGAGTCAATCTCGACAGTGGTTGAGGAGGAGGATGAGGACGTCGAGGATGAGTCCGAAGTCAAACAAGCAGAGACACCGAAGCCTCGAGAGCCTGGGCCTAAGCAACAAGAACCGGACCAAGATGCCTGCGAAGAGGAGGAAGCTGAAGATGCCGATGGCAACTCTTCAGAAGACGAAATCTGTGGGCCCAAGACACCGATGCGACGTACTACCAGAAGCCAAGCTGCACCACGAACAGTCGCATCTTCAACAACCGCTCGCAAATTACAGACACCTGCTCGCCAGTTCCTCAGCCACAGGACGAATCAGGGGACTCCCCAAACACAGCGCATGCCCCACAATGCAACGCGCACTTCGTCACCTCCACGTCCCATGACTGTGGCCCGAGGCGCAGATAAGAAAATGGTTTTCCGTCCTTTGAAGCAGCAGATATCACGCCATACCCCAGTGCCAGTAACGTCCGATCATCATTCGGACACCGACATGACTGAAGAGGATGCTCAAGGCGACACCGAAACAGAACTGGAAGAATCAAGCGCTGATGAGCTCGACGATCAACTCGACAGTCTACAACAAGAGGCCATCACCATCATGCCCACACCTGCTCATACCATTCAATTTGAAGCTGTCGATGGAGACTCGGAAGATGAACTTGCTGGTACTGGAGGTGTCCTCGAGGACCAAGACGACGACCTTGAAGAGGACACTGTAGTCGATTTCGATGACAAGAAAGAGCCCGAATATGTACCTGCCGGATCACATGCAGAAGACGATGTCTCGGATGACGAAGATACCATGGCCGACGACAGTCATCTCGATGACAGCACCTTGCCCGAGCCGCAGTTCTCGGCTGACTTTACCACATCTGTGCCCTCATCACCAGCCTCTATCGCTGAGGAACCCCCTCAGATCGAGATTGAGGACTCGGAGCTTCTTTCTTCTCCTGCACCCTCGACCCCTGCCTCTGTAATCGAACGTGACTTGGTCTCTCCCACACAGGAGATTGCTCCAGCATCAAGACTCTCACTCGATGATAACGACCTACTCTCTTTGATTGACGACCAAGAAGCAACCACTCCACATGCAATGCCACGAGTATCCTTCTCCACCGCCACGGCCAAGATGCTTCAAACTCCTCGCATGCAATTTGCGCTTGGTGGTATCGACGCCACTGAAGCCGATGACAGCCCTTCCGTAACCGCGAACGAGCCTTCGGAAACCGACATTGACCAAACCGTGACAATCAATCCTTCCCTGCTAGAAGTGGACGACTTTGGCGTCAAGCTAGCCACCAATCTTGAAAACGCTGCTGCCATCCCCACTCCATACTTCGCAACACCTGCCGCTGGTGAGCGTCTGAGTATGGGCTTTCCAAAGGAGCGTATGAGTCTCCTTCAAGATGACATTTTCAACCTTGTCGATTTCGACCATGTTTCTCCTGTCAAGACAGATGTCAGAAGTCCCATCTCTGATCCTGGGCAAGTCGAAGCCGAGTCTATGGAGCTATCAACTCCAGGATACAATACTCGTCGCCAATCCTACCATCCCAAGAATGTCTCGATACCAAGTGAGCAGGTACAAAGTGATCGACGATCATCATTTGTTTCGTCAGGTTCTCCAAGCTATGCGAGATCAACCTTCGCATTCGATTCACGTCGAAAATCTCTTCCTGCCGCTACTCTGCACACTCCAATGAACGGCGACCTTCGACCACGTACAGCCGAAACGTCCATCAAGCCAATAACTAGCGACTCCTTTGCAAAGCTGTGGGCCAGTAAGCAGCGACGGTCTTCGGTCAGGAAATCACTCCTGGAACACACAATTCCAGACCTGGCCGAAATACACTCGTTTGTCCCTCCCGCACCATCGAGCACTCGTAAGCGTGACTCTACGCCAGCTCAGCGTCGAACCAGTACCGTCCACTTTCTGGAGAATCCCGTATCTCCTCATGTGCCCTTCTCTGGCGCAAAACCTAGAAGGCATACGCCAAGCTCTTCTTCTAAATTACGAATTGCTGGACGCAGCCCATTCAAGACTCGTAGTAGCAGCCGCAGTCCAATTAAGATGCGTAGTCCTATGAAGCTTCGTGATGCCAGCCGTAGTCCGGTGAAGCGTCTTCGCGAGGCTCCGCGAACACCCATGAAGACACCGCTGAAAGCTGCCGGTCTTGCCACGCCAGCCGTTTATCCTATGACACCGCATCCCCTGCAGCCATTGAAGTCCGTCACAGCATTGGTCGAAGTTTTTACGCTAGATGGCTCCTCTGCTTCGGGTCCTTTCATAGCCCTCCTTCAGGGGTTGGGTGCTCGTACGACAAAGTCCTGGTCCGATCGCGTCACGCACGTCGTCTTCAAGGATGGCTCTCCTACCACGCTCCAGAGAGTACGAGTAAGCAACAAAGACCCCAATGGCAAGAAGATCTTTTGCGTCAACTCTCGTTGGGTAACAGATTGCGAACGTCATGGTACTCGTATGGACGAACAAGCAGACATTTACGTTGTCGATCTCGACGAAGTACCTCGTGGCGGGCGCAGAAGAAGAAAGTCCATGGAGCCGGCTGCACTCAAAAATGTGGATGGCAACATTGTTCACAGTAACAACAGCAGTGCAAATAGCAGCGCCAACAGAAAGAGCGTCGGTACAAGGCAAAGCATTGTCGGTGGTCGCCAGAGCATCAATCTTGCTCGTGCGAACAAAGCACTTGCAAGAGTGTCTCTAGCATCGAGTTTCTGGGGTGATGACTCGCCGGTGAAGAAGACACCTGGCCGCAAACAAGCTAGAGATTCTTGGGACGATGACGAGGAAATGGCTGACGCATTCTTCGACGAGCCGACTGCAAAATTTGAGGTTCCTACTTCTCTGGGTGTCAACGGCGCAAGTCTTGAGGCTGGTCAGATGACTGCGCCTGTGGACAGAGTGAAGAAGTTGAGGATCAGAGATGAGGACAACAGGCGTTTGACTTTTATGGGTGGAAGAGGCTGAAAGGGCGCATTGGCTCAGATTTATGATGTTATGATTGACTGGGATTGGGTTGGCTTGGACGATGGTGTTTGGTTGCGCTTGTTCTAGTGCTGACCTTTCTTCACTTGTATACCTATGATATCGGAGTTTTATCACGCGTCAAACGATTCTCGTATTGCTAGCGATCCTGAAACAGGCGTCGCGATGTGGACCTGCCTCAAGCCGCATGTTGACAGATATATGGTATTATGCTTGCAATTCGTGTTTTCGTCTGCTTCATCATGGTGGGCCTTGCTGAGCACTCTCACGCCGCTACCCATGTTCGCATTGCTTTGACCGGGTCTGCATCGTTAGCCTTCAATAATTCAGTAGCTCTGGCCCTCGAAACATCCAGATTTTCAGCNNCTGCAAAGACATCAGCATTCAGCATCTCTTCTCTCATTCTTTGGAAACAATGTTTCGAACTTACCAACAATATAACATCCGCCATGTCCACCTTTATGTTCTTGGCCTCAGACTTTTCCTCGCTGGCGATGTTCAGATTCTTCATCGCCTTTCCCAGTGCAGCGGTTGAAGCTGTATTGGTGGACTTGGAGTCTGCGGCTTGATTGTCCAAAGTGTTCAAAGCTGCACTCTCGGATTTGTTGCTGCCTGGAATGGCGGATGGAGCTTGATCGCCCTCTTGAATTTGAGTAGGCTGTGGTTCGGCCATCTTGGTTGTGTATGCTAGGACGATGGTTCGTGGTTTGAGCGATGTTCACTCGGGTGTTTTGATGGCCTTGGCGGTGACGCAGCCTATTCTGCAAGTGTCACAGAGCTTGGCAGGCATCGGGTGAGACGGAGTTCGAGGATCTCGTCAATAATTTCGAAACCACGCCCTTTGGCCAGATCGTGTCGCGCGCCTTTGACTCACTGAGGAGACGAACACATTCTCCCTTACAACTTCACTCATTGTGCTGGTTCTCAGTAATTGCCTCAATCTATCGTTCGAGTAAAAAGGTAGGAACCGCTGTTCCCTTGTCACGCTGTTCTTCTGTCATTGAAGCCCGCACTTTGTTTCAAATTCTTTTTTTTCTTGTCTTGGGGTTTTATTGTCACGCATTTCCGTCAATATCAAACAAGAGGCGTCTTCTGCCATTGCCCTGCATCTTGATCCCTTCCTCGGCTGAGAGAAATTCGAGTCATCATAGATTGCTCTTCTTGCCCTCCGAAGCCTTTAAGGCAAATCTGATGGTCGCATATACTGACTGATACAATTGAGCAGCTCAGGAAGATTCCGCACATACGCAATGGCAGCCACCAACGACTGGACGCCGACATGTTAGTCAATATCTGATCATGTGCTTTCCTAAATTGACACACTTACAGCCTGGCGCTCTAAGCCCATCAAGCAAGAAGTTGTCTACGATGACCAACTTGCTGTCAACAAAGCCGTGACCAAACTCACCAATCTACCTCCTCTCGTCACCGCCCATGAGATCTGGAAGCTGCGTGCATCACTACGAGATGTTGCACTCGGAAAATCNTTTTTGCTTCAGGGTGGTGATTGTGCCGAGCTCTTCTCGTACTGCAACGCTGGCTCTATCGACAGCAAGACCAAGCTGCTATTGCAGATGTCTCTGGTTCTGATTTACGGCGCCAACAAGCCCGTGGTCCGTATCGCACGTATGGCAGGCCAGTACGCGAAACCCAGATCATCACCGATGGAGGCTCAGCCCGACGGGACCAAGATTCCTTCTTTCCGTGGTGACATTCTAAACGGCTTCCCTGCTGAGGAAAGAGCAATCGACCCTGGACGTCTCGTCGAAGCTTACTTCCACTCTGCTGCAACTCTGAACTACCTTCGCGCTCAGCTGGCTTCTGGTGTCGCTGATTTGCACAATCCCTTGGATTGGAACTTGGGTCATGTAGCAGACCCTGATCTTGCAGAGCGCTACCACAAGATTGTCGACTCAATTGCCGAATCCCTTCGTTTCATGCGCACCATCGGTGCTGACACGGCCGGGCAGCTTCAAACCGTCGACCTCTACACTTCCCACGAAGGTCTGCTACTCGAATACGAAAGCGCAATGACCAGAAAACTTCGTCACCCTCACAACAAGTTCCTTGCTTGTGCTGGAACTCCCGTAGAGGCTCGCAGCAACAACAGTGACTCGGACGATGAAGAGGACGATTCAGGCCACTACAACACCTCGGCTCACTTCCTCTGGGTGGGCGACCGCACACGCCAGCCCGACCACGCTCACATCGAGTACTTCCGCGGTATCATCAACCCCATCGGTATCAAGGTCGGCCCTACAACCTCCGTCACCGATCTCTGCGAACTTCTCGACGTCGTCAACCCCGACAAGGAGATTGGCAAAGTGACTTTGATTACCCGTTACGGTCAAGACAAGGTCTCAGACCTGCTTCCCACGCACATCAAAGCCGTCAAGGAAAGCGGCCACATTGTCGTCTGGCAATGCGATCCCATGCACGGCAACACCCGTTCCACCGCCACTGGTATCAAGACGCGATCTTTCAGCGCGGTGTTCAACGAGTTGGAGGCTTCATTGCGTATTCACCGTGCTCTGGGTAGCATCCTGGGTGGTGTGCATCTGGAGTTGACTGGCGATGCTGTCACCGAATGCACGGGTGGAAGTGTGGGCTTGGAAGATGAGGATTTGGGAAGCAGATACGAGACTTTCTGCGACCCGAGATTGAACGAGAAGCAGGCTCTCGAGTTAGCTTTCCTGATTGCTGGTTTCCAGAGAAAGGGAAGATCCAGCGTTGCTGTCTAGAGGCGGATCCTATAAGGAGAACTAGAGATGCAACACTAGTCCCTTCGGGAAAAAAAAAGTATTCGAATTCAAATTCCTTCATGAGTGGAGTTAGATCTCATTCCCATCTAGAAACTCGTCTTGTCGTGGACTTGGGGATTTCCTCATCGCTCTTCACAATGTAGCACTAATGGTCTACATCTTGGCGTACACAGCATTGTTGTTTTGTCACTTTCCAAGACCCAAAAAATCACGCATCTCAAAAAGAAGATCTGGCTTCTCTTCTCTACAACAAAGACAGACAAGAAGACACCACTTTTTCAATCGGTGCACACACACACACACACACAAGACGCAAAGACAACAACATGAACAGCCCATCTTCGCGAGATTGGAAACTGTATTGCGATATATTTGAAAACATCCAAAGCTTTTGCATCATCGCCCACCTTTCCATACTCGTTGCCGAAAAATGATATATCCAAAGCATTTAATGGTAACCGGAAAAACAGTATAGCGAGCAATGGAGGGAGGCAGGCACATTCTTCAATGGGAGCAGAAAAGAAGCAAGCAGAATAAATCATCTTTCATGTCATGTGGTGTAAGCAAAAGCAAATTTCCTCAATGCTTGTGGAGTAGTGACCAGTATCTTCTCATCATCAGATCTCTTCTGAGCCATTCGTATGCTAATTTTCATCCCTGTGAGCCATATTATACATTGTTTCATCCATCCCGTGTGATCGTTCTCTTCATCCCAATCTTCCCATTGTTCCGATCTGTGAATTCCAAAAGGCTTGTGCTGGAGAGTTGGGCTTTGATTCGAACTCGCCCTCTTCATTCTCTTCCAGCACGGTGATGCTTCTAGATAGTTCTGGCCTTGAGTTTGGAGGTTGGACAGCAAACTGAGTGCTATTACCAGCGGCTTGAGCATTTCTGTGATGCTCAGTCGGGTCTTCATCGGTTTCAAACAATGGAACAAAGTCAGACCAGGAGTTGTCATTGATGGATATCATCCCCAGAAGTGAGGCTCCTCCGCTAGATTCACGACTGGAAGAGTTCAGCGGCGAGTCACGTATTGAGCGCCTTGTCGAGTGAGTACGAGCGGGTCTGTCGTTGTTGGGATTACTCCTGGCCACTCGCGATAGTCTGTTGGTGGCGGCAGCACGAGGTCGGGTTCCGTGACTCTCATCATCTCTGTCATCAGAATTCACGACACGTTCCTCGTAAGCGTCACGGAGCCTATGCGAGCAATAATCACCAGCTGTAAACTCCTCTGATATATGGTTGGAAGGAGCGCGCAGCTCAAAGAAATCGTCTTGGTCCGGGTAGTAGTCAAAATCATCGACATCTTGTACGTCGTCAAAGTCAAAGTCTTCAAGATCTGTAGGCATGGCTTTTGAGGCCTTGGTGCCAAACATGGTGGTATGGATCCAGTCGTCAAGCATGTCTCTTGCGCCCTCAATCTTGGCGGCAATCTCATCATCCATAGTGCCAGGTTGAAGCCTGCCAGTAATGGTGTTTTGTAGGCGGTCGACAAAGTCGCTCAGAGCATGGTCTCGGTACAAGCCAGGAGGGAGTTCGCAGACTGCAGTATGAACTTGGCGCAGCTCGAACAGGCCTCGTAGGATGACTTCTACGGCCGGTATGCCATGGATCGAGGAGCTGCGAAGGGACAAGTTCGATGTGTTTTGCCAGGGTTTGGGTCTCCAGAGAGTGTTTTGAGGCTCAACAAAGCGGACTTGCAGGCGTGTCAGGCCAAACTTGTCATCATGCTTGAGGAGTTTGACGAGGGCGCGAATCATGAAGTGCGTGTGCATGGCATCGTGACGACTGTTCTTGTGCTCCGAGGCTGCTTCGGTTGCTGGATAAACCCGAATCAGAAGGCGTTTGATGCGTGCAAAGCCAAATGGATCGTCGGGACCCTCGAAGCGCTTGAAACGCACCTGAGTGAAGTGCTCACGGTACTGAAGTCGCTGGCGACCCGAGTTAAGAAACTCGATGCCGCCATCCGAGATGCCTTCATATACGTTGACGGCGAATGTGTGCTCTTCATATAGGGTGGCTAGGATTTCTGCAGTAACTTGCTTACAAAGAACCAGAGCATCTCCCACAGCCAGAGTGGAGCGCTTCTCTTCTTGTTTGGCCTTGATTGTCTTTCGTCTCGCGGCGACAGTTCGCCTCCGAGCCACCTGAGTCGCCAAAGCATGAGCTGCTACAGCTTGAGCGTTCTGGGTAGCCGTCACGATTTGATTCAGAGCTGCAAGAGTGAGGGGAATAGTGGGCACGACGTGCATGACAGGCGCAACAGGCGCAACATGTGCGGCAGGTGCGACAGGTGCGACAGGTGCGGCAGGTATGAGAGGTATAACAGGCGTTGCAGCTTGAGGCAGACTGGCTGTCTTGAGGTATGGCTCGATAACCTTATCTTTGGGCGGCAAAATGTAAGCGAATATGGCGCGGCGCAACTCGCGAGGTAAGTCTAGGAAGGGAGATGAGCCATCGGCGGGTGGAGTCGAGGGGTCCTTGGACGCATCTATGTCCATCTGGGTGACCATGGTTGCTTCAGGAACGGAAGCGTAGTTGGCGACTTCTTGTTGGATTTCGTTTGGCAGTCGGGCGAGCGGGCTGTCTATGCTAAGTCTTGACGACGACATTTTGTTGATTGGCCCAAGGCAGTGACGGTCGTCTTACGCGTGGTAGTGAGGGTTGTTGAGTGGTTGCCGGCTGCAGTCCAGACAGATAGAAAGATCAACTGGTGGTGAGTCAAAGGTGCAACTCACATTGACTGGCTTGATCCCGGTGTGAGTTAATTCGAGTTCGTCACGCGCCAACTGAGTGACTATCAATTCGGTCACTGCTGCCTTGCAAATGTTCGGTCACTCGCAACTCGAATGTTTTTGGTTGTTTCCAGAGCGTGTTGGCTGAAGATACTTTCCTCGGCAGTCACCTCGCTGTACGTGCCATACAGCCAGTCAAAGAGACAGCGAGTGAAACGTTCGTCTGCGAATGCCTCTATCATGACTTGCTACTATCCTTGTCTCCAATCATAGCGTCTGCATCGGAAGAGTGAACTCCCAGGGTGCTGGCAGCTGTCGTTTGCAGCTATGAAAATGCACAATGACTTCCATGACTGAGCAGCGTCCATGAAGAGAACAATATTTCCAGGTAACTCAATGGCCACACTCGTAGTTCGAGAAGTATTGTACATTTTGACACGTCTATATGGCGATATCGTAAGGGCAGGGAGGGGAAACAGTCACTATACAAGGCACAAGACAACAGTTAACTTGAATTCGTTTCATTCATGATGTGGTATCAATGACTTATGTATGTCGTCAGAGTAACCTCTGAGCCGGATAACGGAAGAGTGAAGGAACACCCGCGTCGCTATCTATGCTTCAACCCGTAGTGACGTGGATGGAAGCGCTCAGGAAGGCGTCGCTATCGCCTGCAACCTGCTCGGATTGCTGATTTAGCACACATCTAGTGGCCGACCGAGGGGCCCTGGGTGATGTTTCTGTCACCACTGCGAGCAGCGTTNNCTATGTATCACAGTCAGTACATGCTATTCTCAGGCAGTGACGTGTGCTGGCAGGGGTTTAGGCTTACCTCAGTCTCGAGGATGTCACCCTTCTCGAGGATCTGCTTGACGACCTCCTCTTCCTTGTGTGTTCCAAACTCGTTCTCAAGCTGGCTGTTCGAGGCACCGTCGAGGATACCGGTGGTACCCTGCCTATTGATGGCAAAGTGGTTAGTCGTGGTCGGGCATGGCGGGGTAGCTGGTGGTGTTGACACGTACTTGTGGGTGACAAAGATCTTCCAGCCGCTGACGACCTGAGCAAGAGGGACAGACTTGTCGGCCTTCCAGTCACGGACGGCCTGGGCAGAGTCGACAAAGACGATGTAGTCGTCGTCGCTTCCCTTGAAGTGGACCTTGACTTGAGCAGCGTTTCCTCTCATTGTGATGGTGCTGTTGTTGTTGAGTGAGTGGTTGGTGAGGGTGTAGAAATTGGTGATTGAGCTTGAGTTTTCAGACGTGGTTGTTGATGTATTGGATTGTGAAATGGAAGAAGGGAAAGATGAATGCTTTTGAAGAGACAAGTTTCTACCATCATTGAACACGCGACTTCCCTGACTTCATAGCTTGAGCACGGTTCCCTTTTGACTACGTCACCCCTGTCGCTCGGTACCTTGCAGTGGGGGTTTGGCTATCAGACGCCAGTCGAATTCCAATGCAGCACATACCTCTCACAGGGGACTATAGAAATGGATAATGCTTTCTCGGAGGAGTTCATGTTCAAGAAGATGGTGTTGTTTAAGCCTTCTCAATAGACTCGTCCCTGTTCTGGAAGTGACTGTGCATCTTTACAGCCTACTATCATGGATGCCACTCGCATGTGAGAAAGAGAGAGAGAGAGAGAGAGAGAGAGAGAGAGAGAGAGAACGTTTGGTATGAGAATCAAATGGATCGGTGTCATCTCCGAGCAATGCCACTCTCTCCATGTTTGGGGCATGGACAGGCGACCTGATGGAAACAAACCGAAGCTCACAAACTCGACATTTCAAAGGCTCTTTGCAGCCTCGAGACAATCATGATGAAAAGACCTATCATTGCTATCTGATGCTCTGGTACCCAATGTTAGTCATACTTCTTGTAGTGATCTCCCGTCGCCGGAGCCATGAGCTATCGAGCTTCGATCTGGATGACCCCTTCTCCACATACGTAAACAGAATCAAGGTGTCTCCACCCGACCATAAAAATACCTTGCATCATCCCACTCATTCGTCACCGACCCGAGACTTGCTGGTCAGATACCGCAAGAGTCTTGGTCTCTTCTTTCTCATCACTTCAGACTCTGCAGCTTTCATCTCGACCTTTCCCTCGTTCGCCACCGTATTGCCGACATTGCTCTGAAATGGTTGCAAGCTGTCCTTCCTGCCCGATTCCTCCACCGTTTCAGCTTTGACCTCGGTCTCTGTCGACGCACGCGCCTGTGTCGTACTCTTGGCTCGCTTGATATCGGGCGCCTTGTTTTCTGTAAAGAAGAAGGGTGACCGAGGTCGGTCTGTCATCGTCAACGTTCGCAACCCCAGCCTACGGCTACGCTTCAGATCAGGCCCTTGCAGTTCAAAGTCCTCCGGCAAGAACGCATCCGGCGCATTGTGGAAATTGACAAGAGGTGGACGCTTTGGTTTGAGGGTGTCGGGACGTGGCACTGGCTTGGCCTTGACGAGCTTTTCTGGAGCTTGATGGCTTTGGTGGACGCTCGTATAGCTTATAGATCGCCTGGAAAAGTTACTGGCAATGCTGGCCATGCTCAGCTTGCGAAGGAGGTCACTGGCCGTGTCCTTGAAGATGTTCTCGGTACGCCTTGAGCCCATTCCTGGATACGGGATCGAGTCTTTCGTCCACACGTCGAACATCCCCGCCTCCACTTTGATACGCTCCGCTCTCATGGGTGCCAAGATGGGTACGCCGCTGGTAGTAGGAAGTGACTTTGAACGTCCAGGCAGTGAGGATGTGGAGGCGTTGTTCAAGTCGTCCTTGGGAGCTGAGGTGTGCATGATAATGACCTGGTTGCAGTCCGTCATCGGTCCCAGTGTTGCCGTACGCTGTACAGATAGTCGGCGAACAAAGCCTCTAGCTTTGCTATAAGCTTTGCCGAAACTGCGTATATCTCTGGTGAGTGGTGATTGAAGGTCGATGGGAGCGCTATGGCCTTCAGCAACATGCTGTGCCTCTACGGCAATCCGACCAGCAAGACGGTCTCTCCAGACACTCTCTTCGACGTCGGAGCAAGCTCCCATGATCAGTTCGTACATCTTACCAGCACTTTCGAACACGACTTTCCAGGTAAATGGTGCCGTGTGGCATTGGAGGCCTGGAAAGCTCAGTAAGCTATTCCTTCAATGTCTCTGATCGCATACCTTNNTCGCATTGTCACTCTCCTCGATATCGGTTGATGCAAGGGAAGTACCGACTACGACCTTGTACTTGGAAGAGGAGCGATCTGGTAGAGCAAGCAGAAGGCATGACTCATACAAGACACAGATCATGTAACATCCCTGGAAAGTGGTCTTGTTCCGATAGGCGATGTACAAAGTGCCGCAAAGGGTCAGTCTGCCGAGGCGCTGAAAGAGAAGCTCACGCGGAATCTTGCTCAAATTAGAAACAGTTGTTGTACAGAGTGGAACGCTTCTCACCTTATCTGAGAAGCAAAGTCGATCTTGAAGCAGCCTGGAGTTCTCCATCACCCGAAGCTTGTCTGGATTATCCTTTGCATCATCGACATTGCGGCACGTCTCGCCCAGGCGATAAAGGACATCGTCCAGGACTGCATGGGATGTGGGATCATCACAAGAAGGCGTGACTCTACATAGATCCTTGAAGAGCAACTCGTAGCGAGTGATTCGCTGAATAGNGCTGGAAAGCTGTCAGTCCAGGTCTTCAGACTATCAGGATGTAAGCGGTACCTTGATGAGCAAGTCTTTGATGCTGAGCGCCTTTCTGCGATTTGCTTCTCGGCTTTTGACAGGGTTTACAGAAGCTGAAAGTGTCTCGATAGCTTTGTCGTAGTCCCAGACGGAGAAGGATGATCTCTGAGTGAAATCGATATCGTCATGCATCGACTCGCACCTTGCACTGTACTCTTCATACAATGCGAACCGCTTGANTCTATTGGCGCTGTCAGCATCACGATAGGTTGAGAGCAGGGCAAGTATACTGACATTCTTCGCGAAGATGCGACCAACGTCAGCAGCTGTGGTGGGTGTGCAGGTGAGAGACAGTGGTTCCTGGCTTGGAGATCTGTGCGAGTCAAGCGAATAGCGATTCGACCATCCAGTATGACTGGTCCCCAGAGGGGTTCTTCGCACAGGTTTAGAGTCCTCGCTGTGCCATCTGACATGATAAGGCTTGCGCTTGGGCGTCGATGTCTCGGTGATTGCTTGGTCATGTTCCGAAAAGGGTATCACGCGGTGCAGGTCTTCTAGCAGCTCAGTGTGGAGCTGAATCATGTTGGTGATGTTGCTGCGAGCCGAGGCACGAGTCTGTGTTCCTGGAAAGGGCGACGTAGGTGGCAAGAATGTAAAGTATGCNNCTGCAACAGAAAGGTCAGTATATGTATCTTGGCACGCTCCTGCAAAACGACTCACGTTACTTAGCGCTTTCAGGTCCGAAAGGTAGCTTTCCTCGGTCTTGATCAACTCTTCGATTTTCTCTATACGTTTCTTTGCTCTCTGGCGGGCAGCATCATCGATGATAAGGCTCAGGGATGGACGACCACTATCAGTCGAGAAGCGAGGCTCTGACTCGAACAACCCACTGCTCCTACGGTAGAGCCTGGGATGGCCAGACCTCTTGCTGGCTGACCTTGATATGGGAGCGATGCTTGCACTTGCAACCGTCATGGTAGCTGACTTGACTGCGGTGACGAAGTTGGCGGATGAAGCCCAAGATCCTGACTTGCGATGGCCCCTGACAGATGGCTCCGGCGAGGCGACGATTGAGTGGTTGGTAGGATGTAAGAACAGCGCATCGAGTTTTGGGCGGACCCGGCTCTTGTATGAAGCTTTCTTCAGTCTCAAAGTGTTCATCCACCTCGTGAAGGGTTGCTGAGACGAGACAGAAGATACCACAGCACTATGTTCAGACACCGGAGGTTCGATATTCGGAGTCGAGCTGTCATAGATATCGGAGCCGAGCAAAGCATGGCCTTCTTCCCAGTCACCTCTTTCCTCGTCGACAAGATCCAAAGCGGAGTGTTGGCTCTTTAAAGCTGGCGTACCAAGCAATGGTTCTGACTCGACAGGAGACGGTAGGGGTGTGACGAGAGGCACGAGCTGAGGGACAGCAGGTGGCACGCTCACGGGTCGAGACATGTTGCTTGTAGCAATTGGACGATGGAGTGCTGCAGGATCTGTACCGTTCTCAAAGTCCGAGTATGACGTTGATCGGAGCGGTGTGCCATGGTTCGAGGGCGAGCGCCAGGATGGACCACATACCGAGGCTGCAGAGGCCAAGGAGCCGACGGATAGCTGTCTCGAACGTCGGTGATGAACAGTACCTGTACTGCCCAACGATGACCATGATCTTTCGTAACTTCGCTGATCGTAAGAAGCGCCCAGCGGACTCTGGGGCAGTAGAGAGAGGACGTAAGCCATGCCTAGGTATCGAAGATGCTATGCTGAATTGTACTGGGAACTAGTTGGATGACCGCTGATACTGTTGATGAAGTGCTTGCTCTTCCGTCCAACGAAGAAGGTCGATCCAAAAAGTAGCCTTCAAGACAAGAACTGAATGGTGTGTTCAATTAGAGGACATGTCTCTCAAGGGGCATGCGGCCTCTGGGCCAAACTGGCCGGGTTGAATGTGAATACGGTGGATGAGAGAACAAGACTGAGAAGCCGCACAGAGATGGAGCTTCGCGGCCACTCTGCGAAAGACCTGACCAGAGTCGCTACTTCCATCCATACCAACGACGCGAGGCCTGCAAAGGAGACCGACCAAAGAGGCTGTCACAAGGTAATCAGCGTCATTGCAGACGCCAATCGACGCCACTTGCCTTTGCCTATGCGCGAAGACCCGACATAGATCAACAGGAAGAAGAATAGATGAAGACAAAATGCACTGTTCTACTCCTCTGCGGCGGATGCCTGCCGAGCGCGTCCTTGCTTCACATCTGAAGCACGCGACCCATGGTTTCGTCAATCTCTCGACATTACTGTATACACATTCCACTGCCTCCTACATTGTTCCCTCGAATTTGGGAGGCAACCTGCGCCAATAAGATTATTGTTGTTGAGCATGGAACAAGTCAACAAGCAAACAGGATTTCGGAAGGAGACAGCTCTGACTTCTTGGCTTTCCATCGACCTCAACCTCGGTCAACCTCATCCGTCTCAAACATCCTCCCCTCCTTCCATCATGTCGGGCATCTCAAACGAATGATTCTGACATGTCATAAGATCTGGTCCTGTACTCTGAGTATGCCGGGAAGGCCATCCTACCGGCGCCATGTCTGACTCCGAATCGCTCGTCCAAGCAAGGACAAACAGCAGTTGTTGCTTTGTGTCTCTGTCAAGCGTCTTCCCGCAGGACCGGCATACAGCCTCCGAACATATCGTGTCACCACAAACGATCAAAACCCTCTCCGTCGCCTTGTTGCATGAGAAGCTGTCTTACCTTTCCACATGCTCTGTGATGCGAAACCTTACACCCCACGGCTTGCGGTTGGCTGCTGGTATCAAAGGAGCTGGTTCGGCTCTCTGTCAACCTGTCCGTGGACCATGGTTAGGTACTATCAGAATGACATGGCTCCGAAACTGTAATGATTGATTCGAGATCACGGCGAAACTTTGTGCTCCCACCACAAAACAGAGATGCTCGCGTGGAAGTATAAAAGGTAAGTGTTGACCAGCAGCAGAACAGTATCTTTCTCCAGAGTATCAGCATTTACCGAGCACGAATAAGGACTCAGGACTTGTCCAAAACCCACTCATCAACAACACCAGCACCCAGAACAAACACCACAATGCACCTCACCTCCCTGACCTTCCTCCTGGCGTTCCTCCTTGCCCTCACCAACGCCTCTCCTACACCACTCTCTCCCGCTACCAACATGCGCACACCCTTTAGTTCGCAATACCGCCACCTTTTTGTCAGACAAGCCGGCTGTAACCAAGCACAATGCGACCAATGTAGAAACAATGCCGGGTGCACTGCCGGCACCCCTGCTTGGTATGTTTCCCCATTCGGGCTCTCGTGATTGTTCAATCGTTAGCATCAATTCGTAGCNTTCACTTGCGATACCTCTCCGTCATGCGAGTGTGGTGTTTGAGACATCTGCTGCCTTTGTGGGAGTTTTGAAGATCTCACGAGGCAGACGAGATGAACGCAGTTCAAATTCATATCTCCACACAGTACATGAGCAGCGAAAGGCTCTCTGTTCATTCTCTGATTGGGCTTCCTGCATTCGATCTATGTCTGTCTACATATCGAGATCCGCTATCTCTGAAACCTCCTTTTCATATCACGATTTTCGTTTAATCAAAATACGCATATCATGTCTTGGGTCATCAGATCAAGCCCATTTATTGGTTATAGAGTATCCAGATATGCGGGACATTTCCATTTCTCGTACCTCGAATTGTACCGTGGTCAAGCAATCAAGATAATGCTGGTTAAGTCATGTTTACAGGGCAACCCTGACGCAGCCTCGTGCCTCCCGAAACATCAAGTCCTCTTCTTGTGCCGAAGCTGTCGTTACTTTCCAGAAGGACAAACAGTGACCTTCTTCATCTTGAACATACGATGCTTTCCTATAGAAAAGTGTGGTCATGTATACCGCTCTTTGTCCGAAAAACTTTCTGGATTTCTACGGTTCTACGGCTGCAACATCGCAATGTCTAGCAAACCTGCAACTTTCACAACCTTACTATTGATACTTCTATCACATTGGGCTGTGGGTTTATAGTATATTGTCGAAATGCACAATACTTACCAGATTAGACCATTGGCCAAGGATATGGCACTAAGACGGGCACCATCTCTCCTTGGGCATTGCCTTGCACCAGAGAACATTGTGCATTTTTATAGACACAGTACAACAATTTCTAGCACACGGGGATGAAGAGATAGGGGTACAGTATGGGAGAAGGACCATATTCGTACTGTAGACATGCACGATTGTTTTCGGGATAGAGATACCTCCAGAGAGAGCTGATGGCATTAACGGCTCTCAGTGGACGTTTCTCGTTTCCATGTTTTATTGTGCATTTCTATATCTGCTTATGATGGTATTGAGCCTATGCGTCCGTCATCTCTTCATCAGCTTGCTCGGCCTTTTCTTCCGATTTATGTTCGGGCTTGAGTTCCTCCTTCTTGTCCTCCTGGCCTTCAGTCGTGCCTTCTGTGGCAGTGTCATCGCGCGAGACCTCAGGCGACTTGGCTCTTCCTGCTGCAGCTTCCATATTGAGGGGTCTCGTGGCTCCGATAGATGCGTCCGGCTGGGGTCCCATGTCCTCGGCTCCGATCTCTTCAGGTCCACGTGCATGAGCGTGCTCCTCGGGCTTCTCACCTGCCTCTTCCTCTGCAGCTTGTGTGTTCTCGCCGCCTCTACCGACGGCGTTAGCAGAACCACTAGCCATCAGAGTGCGACGGGGCACTTCCTGGCCCACAGGTACAATACCGGCTTCCTGCTCTTGACGTAGCAGTTCGCCCTGTGTGACACCACCCTCTGCGCGCAAATGTTGCTCATGACTTCTTGTGTCCTCTTCCTGAGGTGAAAGTGATGCGCCGTTCGAGACCGAGACGGTCTCGATGACGCCGACACCATTGGGACCTTCTATGGTCTGCTGACTTTCACTGCGGAAATCGTGGTGGCCGTTTTCGCGCTTTAACCACGGAATGGGAGTGAGGAGTGCGCCGCCTAGACTTTCGTCACTTCCTAAGCCTTCGCGCTCGGAATGGTGTTCGGCAGGCTCGCCATTTGCCAGGAAGTTGGTTGTGGTTGCCGTGTCGATGCTGGCGTGAGCAAGAGGGAATTCGTTCACTGTACTGGTGACGGAAACGATACGATCGAGGGCTTGGAGGAAGGGCGGTAGGTAGCGATAATATCTCTTTGGATGCAAGACTAGCTCTGCAAGGCGCTGGATGGTGTATGGCGGCTGTTTAGGAAAGTTGTTCTCGAGAGTGCTCGTGGAGTAGCTGTAGAGGTTGTATAATTCTGGTGGTAGAGGCGAGGANNAGGGGACTGCTGTCGGAGTGGAGGGAGTGCGGCAAAAGAAGGAACTGGTGGGCGTGGGGCAGCATTCTCCTTGTCGGTAGTGGCTGGCGGTGAGGCTCCTGCTGGATCTGAGGGTTCTACTGTCGGGGCAGTGGGTTCNGGGCGACTTTGGCGGGAGCACTGAGTCGTCATTGGAAGGTAGGATGACAGGTGCGACGGGCAGTACAACAGGTGGGTTGGGAGGCGGTGGAGGCTTTGGTATAGGGAAGTCGTTATGCACGATNNCTTGGGTCAAGTCAGCGACGATTGTGCGCAATGAATCACATGCGCATACGTTGTGTAGTTTCTGCAAGATGTTTTCCAGCACTCGAGGCCATTCGGANNTCTATCTTCATGCGTTAGGGAAGGCGCGTGACGATGGAAGATTCGCGACTCACATGTCGATGGAGCCATCGCGCGCCGCCTGCTCTAGGATGTCGTCACTCGTTAACATGGCGGTCGTTGTGTTGTGTTTCGATATGCGATAGGCGCATCGCCAACTCGAGAGTGACGGAGAGAGAGAGCAACGTCGATCGCGAACTGGTCGCATGTTTCAGACAGTGTGGCTGACATGGAGTGCCAAGACCCGATGCTCTTGCATGTGACAGCCAGCCTCTGTGAAATCTACCTAAGGTACCTAGTATGCACTCTCTCCGTGCTATTATAGGCAACTCGTGTAGCTGTAGAAATGTACAGTTGTTTATAGTATCAGACGAGTGGCCATAGAAGCAGCGATGAGATGGTAGCTCTCCTTGGACATCAATTTATCCTGGAACGTATTGTGCATTTTTACAGCTATTGTATAACAGTCTCTAGCACTTGAGAGGATGGAATATGCACATGGGCACTATGATCTTGTCAGTTTGCTGAAATTGTGCTGGTATATGTGCCTATCCGATGCTGACAACAACAAGGCGCATATCTGATTGCCTCTTGATCAAGTCTGCCCTTTTCTGATTACTCCACTGCTCCTCGACTCCATGGGTATCCCGACATTGTTGCTACTCTGCTTCATCCGCACTTCTATTGCGTCTTGAACAGCAGAATGGCGCAGTGTCCGAGGTAGAAGTAGATGAAGTGTTTGGTCTNCTGTATGAATATATCAGTATTTGTTATCTCCAACAACCCGTGGGGGACCTTACCGTGAGTCACGAAGCTGCCAAAGTTTCTGCCGACAATGCAGTGCCAGGTGACACCCTTGCGCTCATCGAANNCTGTGTAACCATTAGTCTCTCCCGCTTAGAGTGGCCGTGTCGGATTTTGGCGCACCGTCTTCTTGATGTGGTGTGCAATGTCCTGGATCGTATCATCAGCGGTTGTACGCGACCTGGCTAAACTCAACATCAGACTGACCTTTTCGATGTTGAACTTCTCCATGGCTTCTTGTGCNNTGTAACCAAGACATTGATTAGAAAACTCCCCCTGGCCATTACTCTCGGCATACAAGAGTCTCCACAAAACCCTCAACTTACCGACTTCGATGGCTTCGGCCTGCATGTCCTCGGNTCTAGGTAACAACATGAGCCACGAATACGCCCTCAAGATAGTCACAAAACGTCATACCATGTCTGCAGACTTGATCTGGGCTGTGAGCAAAGCATTAGCTCAACTGCCCCTGATAGTGAATGCAGACCAGCATTTCGACTTACCCTCGAGCCTCTCGGTCTGCTCGAGCTGCTGGTTTGTTGCGGTCTTTTCGTCGGACATGTTGATGATGGATCTTTGCAGTTCTACAGTCTATAACTTCCAAGGGAAAGTGATTGGGACTGACTGGATGATGTTGGGAGGAGTCGCGTCGCTTGGAGGGAGGGCACGTGCAAAGCCGAGCGAGTCGCCGGCCGCCGCAAAGCTGCCGCGCGCAAATCTCGACAATCTTGCACCTTCCATAAATTTTTTACATCATTTCTTCTTCTCTACTAATCTCTTTCCTCCTTCCCTATCTTTGCATTCTACCATGGAGTCAGAGTCATCTCGTATTTTCGTCCGNGGGCTGCCNCCCACCATGAGCGAGGCCGACTTCAAGAAGCACTTTGGCAAATATGAAGTCACCGACGCCAGACTCTTTCCTCAGCGCCGAATTGGTTATGTTGGATACAAGTCGCCTGAAGATGCTCAAAAGGCCGTCAAGTACTTCAACCGTACTTTCATCCGCATGTCCAAGATCGGCGTTGAGCTGGCCAGACCCGTATGTCGCTTTCTCATTCTCTTCATCCAAGCTTCTACTGACCATCCTACCAGNATCGGTGAGGCTCCAACAAGGAGGCAAGGTCAATCATCGCAACATCCTTTGGCAATCGCCAAGTTGCCCGCACACAATGCAAATGCCGAGCCCATCGTAGCAAACCTCAAGCGGAAACGCGCCACTCCCGAGCCCGAGACGAAAGAGAAGGACCCTAAGCTGAGCGAATTTCTGAACGCCATGCAGGCTCCTTCTAAACTTCGTGGCACCCGAGGTGAGGAGGTCAACATTGCTGCCCAAGAACTAGACACCAAGGTCGTCGTGCCCGAGGCCGACAGTGATTCCGAGTATGAGAACGTGCCCAAGAAACAGAAGAGCGCAGCGCCAGCCGTGAAACTTCCCCCAGTACAACCCACTACAGATGCCATGGACCTTGTCCAGTCTGCTCCCACCGAGACAGCCCAAGTGGACGAGAGTGCCGAGCCGGCCACAGAACAGGACACAGTCATGAACGACGACGACTGGATGCGCTCACGGACAAGCAGACTTCTCGGTCTGGCAGATGACGACGAAGAGGAGGAAACCGCTACTATGACACGACCCTCGCATACTGTCGCCGCATCGCCAAGCCCCGAACCCGTCTATCAACCGGAGCCTTCGACAAAAGACGAAGAATTCGAAGGCTTCGAAGACGAGCCCGCACCACCAACGGACGAGGTCGAAGAGAAGGTCAGATCAAGTCAACGTCTGTATCTACGAAACCTCTCCTACGCTACCCAAGAAGACGACTTACGAAGCGCTTTCACCGACTTTGGTAATCTTGAAGAGGTAAGCACTAGACTTTTTTTCTTTTTTTTTTTCTAAAAGCCCAAGCGTGCTGGTTCAAGGATGAACACCTGATAGGGACAGCTTATGCACTATGTGCAGATGCTGAGAACTCAGGAAGAGTATTTTAGTAGATGCCTCTCTAGTCTGAAAACACACCAGCTTGCACAATCTTCATTATCTGCATTTATCAATCGAGAGCAGCTGGCTAACGCGTCATGGCTTTAGGTTCACGTACCAATAGACCCCAAGACAGGTTCTACCAAAGGCTTCGCGTACCTTCATTTCACCAATGCCGACAGTGCTTTGAAAGCATTGCGTGACATGGATGGTAAGGTGTTCCAGGGTCGCCTGCTGCACATCCTCCCTGCTGCTGCCAAGCGAGAGGATAAGCTCGACGACTTTGCCCTGTCGAAACTTCCGCTTAAGAAGCAGCAGGCCATCAAGCGCAAGCGTGAGGCTGCTTCCGCTACTTTCAATTGGAACTCGCTTTACATGAATGCCGATGCTGTCATGTCTTCGGTTGCTGATCGTCTTGGTGTATCGAAGTCGGAGTTGTTGGATCCTACCTCATCTGACGCGGCCGTCAAGCAGGCACATGCCGAAACTCATGTCATCCAGGAGACCAAGTCATACTTCAAGCAGAACGGTGTTGATATGGATGCCTTCAAGAAGCGGGAACGAGGTGACACAGCAATCCTGGTGAAGAACTTCCCATATGAAACCAAGGCTAGTGAGCTGAAGGAGCTTTTTGAGCAACATGGCAAGATCAAGAGATTCTTGATGCCACCGTCAGGCACTATTGCCATTGTTGAATTTGAACATGCCCCCGAAGCTCGTGCTGCTTTTGCCTCCCTGGCTTATCGCAAGATCCACACGTCCGTTCTTTTCCTTGAGAAGGCACCCAAGGATTTATTCCAGGCAACAGCCCCGCTCACTGATAGTACGGACAGAGAGACCACACAGGCTGGTCTGGATGCCAAGGCTTCAGCTAGCGAGTTGTTGCAAGAGACTGGCACGGAGGTCTCTGCCGGTACTACCAGCACCCTCTTCGTGAGAAACCTCAACTTCTCCACTACAACGGATCGTTTGACGGACATCTTCCGTCCGCTATCTGGCTTCTTGACAGCAAGAGTCAAGACCAAGACAGACCCCAAGAAGCCTGGTCAGGTCCTCAGTATGGGCTTCGGGTTCTTGGAATTTGCTAGCAAGCAACAGGCTGCAGCTGCCATCACGGCAATGGATGGCTACAGTCTCGATGGTCACAAGTTGCAGCTACGTGCGTCGCACAAGGCTACTGATGCTGCTGAGGAGCGTCGCAAAGAAGACAAGGCCAAGAAGCTCGCTGCTCGGGGAACCAAGATCATCATCAAGAACTTGCCATTCGAAGCGACCAAGAAGGACGTGCGCGCTCTCTTCGCTGCATATGGACAACTCCGCTCTGTCCGCGTTCCGAAGAAATTCGATAAAGGAGCTCGCGGTTTTGCTTTTGCTGACTTCACCACACCGAAGGAAGCGGAGAATGCAATGGATGCTCTGCGCGACACTCACTTGCTGGGTCGTAGACTTGTTCTCGACTTTGCTGCCGAAGACCCTGAAGACGCCGAAGCCGAAATCGAAGCCATGGCAAAGAAGGCCGGCTCCCAGCTCAACAAAGTCGCTCTGCAAAAACTCACCAGCGGCGGTCGCAAAAAGTTCCGTGTGGGCGACGAACAAGATGGTTTGGAAGAGGCGTGAGTGCAGCATTAAATTTCGAGATCTTTTGGGGGGTGCGGCAAGATCCCTTGCTTGTACGCTTTCACCTTTCAATCTTACACTTACCCTCTCCCTTGGCTTTGCTCACTTGGCAGGTACTTCTAGTAACCCAACAGGTGCGTATCGGACAATTAGTCTCCTCTGGTAAAGGTTGGTACCTGCCCTTTCGTCACGTCCTCGCACGTGCATCAGTCGATCGAGGCCCTTTTGGTCGAGGCTCCTGCGTGGTCGCATTCCTGGGTCGTGTGGAAGGTGAAATTAGCCCACCACCTTCACGTTCTCTTTCCGGACACAGTCAGCGCCACTATAGACGATCGTTCATGTCTCCCCACACGTCATGTCGGGACCCTTGCTGTCGATGAAATGATGAATTCCACCAGATGGTGGTATCCGTGGCGCTGCGCGACCACCGGCCAATTCCTACGGCAAGTTCAGCCTGTCACTGTAGACCTCCTTCGAAGGCCCTGCCCCTGCCGAGATTGGCCCATGTGTCGTGGCCTCTGTAGATGTCCCTTGGATGAGCATCAGTTCTATAAACATGTAATCGGTCCAATGGCAATGACCCTATTTACTACTGTTATTCGCCCAAGTCATTCCTTTAACATCCAGCTTCTTACGATCCTTTCTTTCTCTCATTGTAAACCATATTCATCATCAGCATTCTTAGAAACACAATCCATTCTTCACACTCCATTCTTCTGCCTCGAAGCTTATTCTCAGATGATGGAATCTTTCCTCCCAACCCCAGTTGTCCCGTCTAACGCTCCGTTGTGGTCTGAAGTTGACCAGGACTCTCGTATCCTTAGAGAGCAGTGTGGGAACAGACAGCTTGGGTACCTGCAAACTGAGAACATCCAGGACTATTACACTAACATCAACGATGATTCGACATGTGGCTCCGCTGGTGGCAGAGCCTCAGCCTACCAACATTTACAGTTCGGTCGAGGTCGACCAGGCAAGCCTCACTTTCCTTGGATGGCAGGACTAGCACAAAAGTACGACCTAGGCCCTCAACACTTGCTCAACAATGCCAATCGTGGCTGGTTTCGTGGCTTGGGCAGCATGCCTACCGACGATCAAGAAAAGGATCATGAGGCAGAGAGGAAAGCCAGGCTTCTTGCATCAAGGTTTCTACGGTGTGATGGCTACATCAAGTATCGCAATCGACAGCCCAAGGAGAAGAAGGGTAGCAAGGAAGACGCGAAATGGCCCGATCATATCGAGGACGCCTTCATAGTAGGTTCGTATACTGTTTGAGCGTGATCGTTGTATGCTTACTGACACGATCTGGTACAAGCTCTATGCCGCCACCCTCCATGTGGTCGCAAGAAGTCGAAAGCCCCTGGAGAACAACACAACGACGATGCGAAGGCGATGGGAAGAAACGAACTGATCGCAGATTACATCTTCCGAAATACTGGAGATGTCCGCACCAGAAAACAGGTTTCGAGCCACATCCAGGTGCTGAAACCGTTCGTACAGAACGAGGCAATCAGTAAGTGTTCCCATCTGTTCGTGATAGGTACCAACAGCAATGCTAACAGTGAAAANGTCATGCGCTTCCTCGCTACGCCGGGTGAGAAGGAGTCAGCAGCTACCAAAGCTGCTCGGAAAAGAGCATCGGTGTACCATCCTGACACACAATCGCGCATGAGCTCTCTGAACCAACGCCGCAACTACTCTTTGCAGACCAGTTTCGACCTGCGGCCTGAAGAGTTCTGCATGTTTATGCGTTCCTGCAAAGGGTCAGAAACATTGCACACATATAGTGCCACCGAAGGCTTCAGCCCCAGTAGCTGCTTCGTACAGACTCAAGCAGAGCTCTACGATTGTTTCCCTGGCCTCGCCAATGTTCCACTGGAAAGATTTGTGAGGGGCAAGTTTCTGGCTCTGCACGTGCCTATCGTGCTTCATTCGAAGAATCTCGTCGGCGATACAGAGTTGGCCATTCGTTGGGTCTTCAAGGCTCATGCTCGCAATCCTCCTGTTTCTGTCAGCAGTCGTACCAGATTGTACCTCAATGGTCGGCCTATGTACTGCGATAGAGCAGGTAACCGCCAGTTCTACGACAACCAAAGCTACGAGTTGACCGAAGATATGCACCAAGACTGGCTCAATTTCACCAAAGAGTACGAAGCAGCTGAAGTCGCTGACAACAATGATGCCCTTCTTGAGGTTGACTCTAATGGTCACTATAATCAAGGCGGTGGCATGATTCAGTACTATGTTCCTTTTTCCAGCACCTTTTGGGCCCGCTACCTCTATCATGTAGTGTTACTCCAGAGACAGGCTACTGACCTCGAAGACCGTCCTTTGCAGCAAGACGAGACTGCAGAGGATCGCCACAATCAGCTTTCTAAGAAATTCTTGGAGGTCTCTTCGGCTCTGGGCGAGCTGACGGCAGTCCAAGAGATCATCGCAAGAACAGAGCTTGGCGAGCCTCAGGTAGTCATGACTGTCCACTTCTCATTCTCACATGCGGCGAGCAAGGAATCTGCAGTGACGACATGGCAGTATCTTGACATGGCAAGTGCGTTTGACGATGCGATTCCCTTGTCTGCAGGAGGTGTGAGCCATATCTCGCAATCTGCTAGCGATAGTCAGGAAAGTGCTCTCAGCGTCCAAGACGCCTACGGTGGAGGAAGCCACGACTATGCTGGCTTTGGCTTATCTGCCATGAATGGCGGGCATCATTATCCTGATCCTTCCCACAAGAGTGCAAATGGACTGGCCTCTCCTATCGACTTGCACGATACACAAGCAACAGCGGGCTATAACACTTCCTGGCTGCTGCCCACCTCAACATCCGACCTTGATCACCTTGCTTCCACCGTCCTCGACCCTCTCTTACCGCATACGAGTCAATTGAACCTTCAACAGCATAACTTGCACGATGTCAACTCCTTCGACTTCAGCAACGGCAACATCTCAATCTCCCTCGACAGCTCAGCCTTATCGCCTCATCAACCTCTTCCCCAGTCCTCCGCTACCTTTTCCTCTGCCATCGATGCTCTAGACCTCGACCTTGCAGCGACCGATCCTCTTCTACTACAACCGTCACGCACCACGACACCCTGGCTCCAAAGCTCCAACGCAAAACCCACCGACTTTGCCGCCCTTTTCAGCCAACCACACTCTCCCGCTACCGCCGCATTCCCTGATTACAGCAATGGCAACGGCGCAGATCTAGCCGATCACCTCGCTGCCGCAGCTGGAGGCCTAACCGACACTTTCGACGTCAACTCCCTGCCAAACTCATTTCCACTATCCGCCCATCAAGCCTTCGCCGGTGCTGGAAACGGGACTTTAGACATTGATGCCACTTCCCGCCAACACAGTTTCTCCACCGTACCAGAAGACACCGAAACCACTCTAACCGCCCACTTTTCACCTCCCACACATCAAGGCTTTGGTTTCGCCAAAGCAGACTTTTCCCAACATCATGATGGGTTTGCCATTCCTCAACAGCATGACTCTGCAAGACAAGACTCTTTTGCTAGCACCCATACTGATGCTTTTGGCGGTGGCACCGATACGCATGATTTTGCGCATTCTTTTGATGTTGGGGCCGCGGATACTGGGTTTGATATTAGTGATTTGAGGGGCGGGTCGCAGAGTCAGAGTCAAAGTCAGGGTCATAGGGAGACTTGGGGTGGTGCTGGTTTCTGATTGACTCGCAAACACCTTCTCAATGTGTCGAGGGTAATGAACCTGAAGAGTCGAGATTTTCTTTTGTCTTGCAAGAATGCTCGGGGTCATCTTGATGCATGTTGTCTTTTTTTTTTTGGTTTTCTGTCCTTCTTTTCTTGTATTTTCTTCTTCTTTACTAATCGTTTATCTAATCACTAATGGCTTGTTATGGTAGGTTTGTTGCCGGTGGAGTGTAGGATGGGATCGGCATCTGGAAAAGCGCTTTCACGACGATAGAGGAGCAGAGGAACAAACAGCATACTTCTTGAGTAACGATAAGACGACAAAAAATCAAAATTCTCATCTGTTACAAGCTCGTATTGGCTGGTTTACCAAGTTCAATGTGTTTTAGAGTGTTTTCGTAATATTTATATTTCGTTATTCATGATATTCTTTTCTATGACTGCTCTATGCTCTGTTCCTTGGTACCAGATGGAAGAGAGAGATCCTCCACTCTACCTTCTATACCACAGACTCGACTTGGCAGATAGAAAACAACAGGACTAAATCTTGAATCAAGTCGAACGCTGACCACTAACAACCTCGCTCATGCGCACCAGTAACTCCGGGATTCTGAAGGGCTTAGTGACAACCTCATCCATACCAGCCTCCAATGCTTCCTTCATCTTTTCATTGCGAGCGTTGGCCGTGACAGCTATAACAGGCAAATGTCGAGTGTAGAAACCTGCTTCCTCCAAACTTCTGATCTTGCGGATACAGGTCAGTCCATCCATGACAGGCATCTCGATATCAAGCAGGACAATATCAAGCTTTGTGCTTGAGGATGGAGAGGAAGTGATGTTTGTCTTGGACAAGAACTCCAAGGCATCGAGTCCGTGGTCGGCGGTGTGGACTGTACAGCCTTGGTTGCGTAGCTGTTTGGCCACGAGGCGCTGGTTGAGCGGATTGTCTTCTACGACCAAGACGTGCAAGCCTCTCACTGGAGAGGGTTGGCGAGTGAATTCGAGATCTTTGTCGTCAAAGGCTTCTGTACGGCTCATACGAGGCCTATGGCCTTTGTTGTGAGACAGTTTTGGTGTAGCCGATAGTGCAGGTGCTGGTTCTTCGACGTGCTTTCTGCACTTGATGTAGAAGGAAAAGCTTGTTCCACTCCCTTCGGTACTGGTGACACCAATTCGGCCAGCTTGCAGCTCGATCAATTCTTTACTCAAGAAGAGGCCCAATCCAGGGCGACTGTATTGTCCGTAGGTCTTTGGTTGTGAGAATCTTTTGAACAGATGACACATCTCGCTCTCTGACAGACCACAGCCCGTGTCTTGAACAGAGATGTGCAGATAAATCTCCTCTTCAGTGCACGAGCTTCGGAAAGCAGCGCTGAACTGGTCATGCTCTGTAGTAGTTGTCAAAGGGCTACTCAATCTTCTCGGGGTCACTGGCATAAAAGCGTTCTGACTCGAGACGTCATCCGGCTCGGTATCGGAAGCACCCAGAGAGATTACGATCGATCGTTCTTTACACAATCTTGTGTGGTCGATAGCGTTGGTGAGCAGATTGATGATGATCTGTAAAAGTCGATTGGGATCCACCATGATGAAGTCCGAGATGTGTTTGACATAGGTATTCCTGATGTCGATAGAAGTGGTAATACCACTCCTCTTAGCTTCCTGTGCATACATCTTCAATGCTCTTTGCACTATCTCTACTGGTCGAACTTTCTCCGGCATGATAGTGAGCAATTGAGAATCAAGCTTGCTGACGGTGAGGATGTCATTGAATATGCCGCTCTGGTGTTGAGCGCATAGCGCGATTGTATGAGCTGCGTCTTCCAAGTTTTTGAGCTGTGGCATGGTCAAAGATGACGTGCCTGACTGATTCATGTGTCTGTTTATGATGCCCAGTATCTCGTCGGAGCATTGGAAGATGGCGCTGAGAGGATTTCTCATCTCGTGAGATACCACTGAGGTTCAGGTCAGCAAAAGTCCTTCAATTGTCCCACACTGGGCACTTGAATGAGGATACGTACTGTCAAGAAAGTGTTCGGTAGCAGTCTTCGTTTCGAGCGCATCTTCCAGTCTTTGAGCGAGCAGGTTTTCTTTTGCCAGACGGTCACTGATATCCACAAGCCAGCCATGTATCAAACAGACCTCACCAGTTTCATCAAGGTCTGGGAAAGATGTAACAGATACCCATCGAGGATTGGGATCATCGGGTGGACCGCGTATCTTGTATTCGATGGCGGAAGGGGTCTTCATAGTCATCAGATGCTGCCACTCTTTGACTGCAACATCCATGTGTTCTTCAGACACGGTCTGTAGCCAGGGCAGCTCTAGTGCTGTCTCTTTGTTCAAATCCTCTTTCGTGGTCCCAGTAATTTTGAGGTAGGCGTCGTTGACCTGAATTGTTCTCTCTTTCGGCGAGTGTAGGTACATTCCAAGAGGCGCGCTTTTAGCGATGCGGAGGAATTTCTCTTCCTTCTTCTTGGCCTTCAGTATCGAGAGCCGAAGTTGGTGTGAGAGAGCCATAGTCGTCTCCTCATATTTTCTTTGGAACTCTTGCTGATTCTTAGGAAGTGTGACTAGAATAGCCTGCTTACAAACAGCCTCATGTATGTATTGGATGAAACGGCTCATTGGTTCGTCAAATGGCCGTCTTGGATCGAGTCCGAGAACAACAAAGGCCAGTGGCTTACCGTCGAGATCTGAGATCGGGAGAATGGAGGCCGAACGGATAGGGTCAGAGTGGATGGTCTGCATCGATAACTCAGNGGGAAGTGCTTTGTCTGATAGTGTAATGATTTCCATTTTTTCTAGAGCTTCACGGAAAGCATCGGCAAGACTTGGCGCATTGGAGTCCCCCACTATGGAGAGGTCAATGGTCGGCTCGAGCGCATCTTCGGGCAATCTCAAAGAGTCGGCAAGCTGAAATCGCTTGACAAAGTATGAAGTCGCGTATTGAAGGGTGGCGTGATGAGGAGTGGTATCAGGTGTCGGTAGGTCATCAGAGCGGACGAATGAAGAACGATCGAGAGCAGTGTAAACCATAGCATAGAAAATATCAGGAGCATCCTTCTCAAGAGCGCCCAAGAATCTTGACCACAGCTCAGGTAAGCTTTCGACCTTCGATACAGAATCGAAGATGTCTAGACCTTGTGATCGACGTTGATCTTGCACGACCAGGTCTGTGACATCAGTGAACTCGCCAACAACACTGTCACAGTATCCATCCAGTCCAGGCAGAGGCGAGAGGAAGATGTTCCAAANAGTTTGCTCTATAGAGCCGCTGCGTTCAAGGAGTAGTTCCTGGTGAGTGAGTTGGGCGTCCTTACCATTGTCGTAAGCGGACAGCGACATATCCTGCAAGAGTTTGAAGATGTCATCAACCTGTGCATCAAAAAGAGGGGCACCCAAGAATGATGGATGATGCCGTCCAATGATGGCAGCGAAAGCTTCGTTGTACATGATAGCCCTTTGTTCGCCAAAGATGAAAATGCGCGGATCGGGAGAGTTCATGATTTTGGCGGTAGAGCGTCGCAGTTCCAGTGACCATGTTTCAATGGCACCAAATGGGGTGTTAGACCAACCAAAGTGCTTAAGGAAATGAAACCAAGGAGAAGTAGCGTCAGCCAATGTCCAATCTGCCAACTTTGGCTGATACTTTGACATGCTGAGCGGCGAGAGGGGCGTCAAGGGTATCATTGGTGTTTGAAGTTGAGATAAGCTGCGTGCTCGGTAGGTCGAAGTGCTTGTAGTGTTCTGAATGACCGTATTGACAGGATTGTCGAGGCTGGTTGTGCTGATAGACCGCGGTGTTGACAGGGTTGTGTCGCAACGAACTATCGCCCATGCCTTACGGAAATGTTTGCTTGACCACTCTCTTCCACAATAGGAAGAGCTGCCGGTCAACAATGTCTCCGAGGCGATGGCTGCCCAGTTGTCGAAAGCGCATGAACTTGTGGTGTGATAAACGAAGCTGTCAAGTGAGGCATTTCGGAAGACGATTCTAGGTGGGCTGGCAGCTCCTTGCTCAAGGATGAAGGTCGGACGGTCATCTGCCTCTAGCACCTCCAGTAGAGCAGCTGCATCTGGAAGTCCAGCAAGTTGCGAACCTGCGACCGCCATGAGCAAGCTGTAGGTTTCCGACGATGAAACGTGATGACGATGAGACAATTTGGCCAGAGGTGGAGTTTTATCGAGCGACTACCACGACAAGGCTGTGCTGTCAGATGCGGCAGGAGCAAGGCAGCGATGTCAGCGAAGCGTCGTCCGCACAAGGAAGAGACTCTAAGTCCGCAAGCCACAGTTGTCGAAAAGATGTTGCAACGGTGAGCTGCATACAGACGTGATCAGAGCGATGGCCGAGACCTTTTGTGCTGCAACCCTACAACCTAAACACTATAGACCAACACGGTGGAACGCGTCGGATGATCGCTAGTACCGCGAGTGTGGTTGATACTTCACGGAAAGGTCACACAAACGAGATTTGTGGAATCAAGGAGCAAACCCAGGGCAAGAGCGCATGCAGCCATAGTTATCTAGGCAAACACGCAACGCCTTTTCTTCTTGACTCAAGGCTTCACATGCTGTTTCGATCGCTCGCAGCTTGTCGCAGACAAAACTTCGATGCTCTAAAGGTTGAGGATGCAGTCGGAGGGTCACGCTAGCCATATTTAGCGAGGTGAGACCACCCTCGGCACGAGCCAAGCGTTCCGAAACCCGGCTGCACTATACCAGAACAGGAGATAGCATATCTTGGTAATTGCTGTTGACAATGAAACAGTTCTATGCGTTTCGGTATAGACATACAACGTGACCATTGGAGTCATAGGAGCAGTCTCACAAGATCCCTCTTGGCCATATTGCTACGTCGATTCTCAAGCCATCAAGATCCACAAAGTAATCTTGAAATTGGAAGGTGGCCCGGCCGCAGAAACGCGCAAGGGATCTCGGCTCTTGGTAGATGCTTACCATCTTCAAGGAGGATGTTTGCGTTCCTCTCGCTACAATCAAGGATGCAGGATTTGACAAAGAAAGTTCTAGTTCCCCATTTTTAGATCGTTGTCAAGGCATATGCTAACTATAGTGATACACATATTGATTCAGCGATTCAGAGTCTCCGCCGACGAACGGCCTTAACTCCGAGTCAGAAGTATCCTTGAATTGCAACGATTTTGTTCACATGCCCAATTCCGGATTCAGCAGAGGTTTTAAGAAGACAATATGAAATTTTCTTGATCCCTAACGCCAGTACAGAAGTTGCTCGATCTACTTCTTCGTAGTCGTCTTATTCTTTCCACCCTTGTCATCGCTTGTAGAAGAGCTTGTGGTCGACTTGTTCTTGCCACCTTTATCATCACTAGTGGTAGAAGTGCTCTTGACTGTGCTCGCAGACGTGATGAGTGTGCTGCCAGCTGTGCTTGTGACTGAGGAAGCCACAGTTGCCGAAGCTGTTGCAGATCCCGAACCATTAGCCCCTGAAGAAGCACCGTCAGACACACTCGCAGAAACCGAGCTTCCACCACCACCGCCACCAGAGGAAGTCTTTGTCACGAGCGTCGTCTGTGAACTATGTGTCTTCCAGTACTCTTCAAGCTTCTGCTCGACCTCGGGTTCACTCTTGTAAGCATCCATGTCTTGGAAGTCTCTGCACTTCTTTGTGATTGCTTCGCCCTCGAAATCACCGTCACGATTGGTATAGTCTTCTGGCTTGAAGTCCTTAGCGCGATATTTGGGGTCCATGGGGTCGATGAATCTTGTCTTCTCGTCGTAGCCGAGATCTTTTAGTGCAGTGACATTAAGGGCAGCCATCATGTCGTGGTCTTCGTGGATCAAGTTGTGGCAGTGAAACATGTAGAGGCCATCCCANNGCTGCAAGAGTGTTAGTGATGTTTTGGGACATTGTGTCGGGGATACTTACGGGCCGTAGCGAGCAAGGACTTGGACTTTTTCGTTCTTGTTTAGCCAGACGACGTCTTTGAGTGCTGTTTGTTCGTAGGGAAGGACACCGCGGGTACCTCCAGTGCGGCCGACGACTTGGAAGTCGATGAGGTGGATATGGATCGGCTAGAGATGAGAAAAGTGTTAGCATAGTCTCGACAAAAAAATGAGCAGGTGTAGACGAACGTGACTCCAGCNCCCTGCGCTGTTGATAAGCTCCCAGCGTTCAACAGATCCTCTNNTCTCAGGTTTCGCAATAACACGATCTTGGACGTCGGCCCAGGTGACACCATTGACTTGCCATTCGCCATTGCTGCGCATAAACTCATAGGAACGATCGACACCAATCTTGGCTGGTGGCAGTGGTACGCTGCGGAGATTTGCTGGCAAAGGACCGTTGCCCTTCGTATCGCTCACAGAGTTGCCAACCACAAATCGNNCTACTTTCTTCAGCTTTTACATCGTTGTCGAGAGCGTATCAACACTCACCATAACTCTATCAGTGCCATCGAAGTCGTCGTCTGCAGCGACATTGCCTGTGTTCTTGAGTGTGATATTTTGACCTTCATACTTAGAAAAGTCAAAGACGCATTCCCAGCGCTCGGCCATGGATATGTCGAGTTGCGTGGTACTGACAGGGCTGGCAAGAAGACCCGCGTCTGATCCGATGACTGTAAATGGGATACGAGTGCCTACTTTCTTGTCTGCCTCAGCGTAAAGTTGAAACGAGCGGCTGACCGAGGTATCAAGGAAGCGGAACAGATATTTTCTCGGCTCCACCGCCAAAAACGGCCAAGGTTGTCCATTGGTTTGAATGANCCACAGGCTTGTTAGCGATGTACATCCGAGGAGGAAAGAGGATATCGGCAACATACCATCACCAAAGACGCTTGTGGTCTCTCCATTGGCCTCAGGATCCCAAAGAGTACCATCGGCGTTGTATCTCTTGGCAGCAAGAGCCAGAGGGATGTCGTAATTACCAGAGGGCAAGTCGAGAGCGTTCTTCTGAGCATCCTCTAAGATGTAGAATCCGGCCTGTCCGTAGTAGGCATTCTCGGCAGTATGACCGACAGCATGGTCATGGTACCAAAGTGTCCTAGCAGCTTGCGCGTTGGGATAGTAATAGTCCTTGTATTGTCCTGGCTCGGTAGTGTCTTCAGCCCAGCCGTCAAAGGGAGCACGNNACCTAAGGAAGATATGTCAGCGTGTCATATCAAACATATTGAGGGAAGCAGATAACATACTGTAGGAACCGTGAAGATGGACCGAGTTTGCACGATCGGCATGGTTGATGAAGCGAACGACGGCTTCACGGCCCTGTTGCATCTTGAAGGTCGGCCCAGGGACAGATCCGTTGTATCCAACATGACGTGCTTTCTTGCCCGGGTAGATCTCGATGTCAACAGGCTTGATATCGATTTCATAGTAGTCAATGTTGTCATACGATCTAGTGGTTGTCAGAAAGGTCAACATGAAGATAGTTCCTGAATCTGCATCTGCTTACTTGTAAGGCTGGGCGATTGGCGGAATTGGCAGAGGAAATTCGAAGAAGTTTTGATAGACAGGACTCAACCATCCCTTGGCTTCAGCCAATGTGAACAGACTGAGAAGAAGAAGAGAGTGCATAGTGCAAAAGTGTTGTTCTTAGAAAGAGATGAGATGAGAGATGGCTGTCGGAGTTCCTGACTTACCCGAGTACAGGCATGCTCTATATATATCCGGACTTACTCGAATTTGAACCTTTTGCAGCAGTATACAAAGCCTAGGTTTGCCCCACTATCTTACCACCACGACTTCCAGAATGGGCTATACGAAGTAGGGACATTCGGAATCGCCGCTCACATCCTTGCTCCTCTACAGCAGCTGGAGTCTGAACTTCTGAGGTAGACACCGCACGTGGCGAGACAGCGGCTCATGGCGCCTCTTTTCACAAGGTAGAGGACCTAGAGTTGAAAGTACGAGCGAAGGTGGCGGCGTCAAGTCAGCCCAGTCCCTGGACGGTCGAGTGCGCGAGGTAAGCAGCCTGCCCGGCATGTCACAGCTGAGTTCATGTTCAAGACCAGTCGAATAGGGCTCTCAGCCATTGGAGACGGACGATGTGGACGGCTTACAATGACCAAGACCATGCTCATGAGGCAGAAGACTATTGAAGCATAAGGCTGGCAGCTTGTAAAATCTGGCATACAGCTGATCGGACCAAAGAGCCAATAACCAGCGAGTACCACTTTTAAGCTGCGTCGTCCAAGAATACACCAGGATGTTGTCTAAAAATGTCCTATTCTGACGGCAAGTATCCGAGTACTCGAGCCTGATACGGTCTGGAGACTACTGTAGACAGTAGTAGCTAGATGTGGGAATTCGGAAGGGTTCCTTCTGTCAGTCCAGGGCTGAAAACGGGAAGAGCAGTGTGCGATGTACAGAAGATGCTTTCGCTGTTCCGTATGTGGCTGCACTCGCCAAGAATCATATTGTCTACCGATGACTGCCCATAAGAGTTGCGCCTTGAACAGTGTGAGCTGTTCATATCCAGTCACAGATGATTTCCCGATATGAAGCCAGGTAAATGGTATATGTGGTGCGACTGCAGTCGTGATGAACTTGAGAGAGCAGAGACCAAAGAGGTTCGAACAGGAACTGCAAACCTGCGGAGATCGGGATGATTCTTGCCAAGATCTGTGTCTGCGGGGAGGACTTGGCGCTGACCGCCTTCGAATCCTCCAACCACATTCACATGGACATCTTTTCGTACATGCCTTCTCGTCTTGTTCCGTGTGTTCTGTCACGCTCTCCATGCTCTGTACCTTTGTCACAGTCTGGCTGACACTCGGCGCCAAGCTCAAATGCTCGGCAGCTGAACGCTGATGCTTGTTGTCAGATAACCCACGTACTCGGTACTCGGTCTGGAACCTTGACGACCATTCGGACGACATACCTTGGCAGAACGATGGCCAGCATACTTTGGGCAAATACTCCGCCTTTGCGAACCAGCGTCCACGGAGGTTTCGGGAAACACACGATATAGCGGCAAAAGGAGGCTTCGGAATCGCCTCTTTCAGCTATCAAGTTGACACCACGAGGACTTCGACAGGACACTAAACCCATGGCTTCGGCCTGTGGACTCAGCTGTACCAAACATCCTATCTTGTTACGAAATCCATGCAGACTGATACTTGATGGATGTGCTGTCAGCTGGCGAAGAAAGCAGGCACATCTCTCGTACCCGTCTCATCTCACCCAAGCCTTGATCCTCGAGACATGGTTGTCATTGCGAGAGAGTTATCGTGACCTGACCTGACCCAAGTCCTGGTTTGCACCCTAGTGAGTAACCTGATTGCGTACAGCTGTAATGCATTCGAGAATGTCTTGTATGTTACTTTGTGAGGTATCTATATTGATCACAGCCTTGTTCATATCATGTCTGGCGGCAGAGATGTCGATATAAAGCGATAGCGTTGTGTTTCAAGTATCTCATTCATTGTCTCAAGTCACACTTCTCAATATGCTTTCTACGGCACTTAAACTTCTTTCTGTTGCCTTGTTGGGCTCGCGCGCAGCTGCTCAGACCGTCGAACCATTCGTTCTTGATGGTCGACTTGACAGCGCAGTTGCCAGCGATGGCACCTACAATTCCGGAGGTACCATCTCCGTCAATGGATACTCGGTCACGATCCCTCAGAATCTCCAAGTGCAATTCCCTGCTGCTTTTGCACCTTTTGGAGAGTTTGCAAGCGCGAACAGCTTCGTCGGCCATGAGGTTTCGTATGTTCATCTCCCATCCTGGAATTTAAATATTCAGTACGCTGACATTTCCGCGAAGNNAGTCATCGGAAATGTGGTCAACGGTAAGCCAATTGCCGGCCTTGTACAGATTGGAGAATATCTCTTGCAAGCCAGTTCTGGCACAGTTGAAAGCATCAATTTCGCCGCTGGCACAATGAAGATCAAGGGTGGCCCAACTATCGCGATCAACGACCCGAACGCAGTCTACTCTGTGGGATATACCAAGTCTCCCCTCTACACCGCAGACGATGAGAATCCTTCCATCACAGCATTCAGCGGCTTCCCGATGTGTATTCCAAGGTCTTCATCTGATCCACTTTGTCCTACGAGCAACCGACCAGCAGGACAAAGCACATTGTATGACATTCCTCTTACTTCGTACGCTGGAATATTCCATGTTGACACCTTACCAGCCAANGCACCAGACCCTTTGAAGATGGCTCCTTTCCAAGTGGGAGATTATCTCGAATACTCTGGCATCAACGTTGGTGGCACTATCGTTTGTTACACAATTGTTGCTCCCAGTGTACAAATCACTACTACTGGCGCTCCCACTTATATCCGTGTCGAAGATGCTATCATTGGGATCTTCGATGGTGGAACCACCTCTGAGTTTGGTGACTCCAGAGTAAGTACTCGAATTTCGCCTCGATGGAGTCGATCCGCATCGTACTGACCTTGGACANNGTTCATCGGCTACACGTCAGATCCCACTGTTGGTATTACGGTCTTTGCCATCGATGTCGACCCCTGTACCGGTGAAGAGACAGAAAGAAGTGTTGGCGCTGCCTCTTACAAGGCAGGAGATGTGAGGAACAAGTGGACTTGGCGATCGTCTACTACAACAACATCCAAGTACACTCGCGAATACGTCATCCGCGCTTCTACTGGTGAGAAGCTGACAGACAACAAGATCAACGCTGGTCGCTATGTTCAACCTGTCTTGGAGTTTCTCTTCCCCGAGGCAAATGTTCCTGGCATTGTTCCGCCCGTCAATGACTTTAGCAACTTTCCTTTCCTTGCACAAGGTCTGGGATACGACAGTAACGGCAATCTTTTTGGTCAGCTCAATCCCTGGCCAGGTGCTAATGCTCCCGCCACAAAGAGCTGTGCTCCTTACTCTCCCCCCGCTGCTAGTTCTTCTGCTGCTGCTTCTGGTACAGCATCGAGCACGACTGATCCTTCTGCTTCCGCTACATCGATCCCAAGTAGCTCTGGATCAGCTGCAGCAAGCACTCCTACCTTGGCTGTCGGTGATACCCAAACGAGTCGTCCTGGAGTCGTGGTCAAGCTAGGCTTCAATGTCACCAACAAGGCAGACTTTGGTCCCAACGATCTCACATACAGCTGGTCTCAAGTTAGTGGACCTACTGTCACTCTCTCGAGTAGCAACGCCGCAAGTCCCTCTCTCACTGCTCCCTCTGACACGGCAAAGGCCACCTATATCTTCAACATCAAAGCCAGCAGTACTACAGCAGGCACAAGTGGCAATGCCAACGTCACAGTAATCAGCGATCCTGCTATCAAGGACGTCGTGACGATTGAAAGTTACACATGGGACTCTTCAGGAGGTGGTCGGCTCTCAGTCACTGCCAACACCAACATTGTCGGCTATGATGCGAAATTGAAGTTGTACTTGACAAACACAGCGACTGGAACGCCTGCTGCATTGACATTGGCGAATGGCAAGTATAGTGTCAGCTTGACCAAGACGAAGAAGCCGGCAAATGGTATTACTGTTGTCAGTGATGGAGGAGGTAGCAAGAGTGTGACTGCAGTGACTGCATAGGAGTGTTTATGGTTGCATTTCGTTGCACAATTTCATGGATATATATGAGCAAATCTTTCATAACTCTTGAGCAGGTCCAGACTTCAAACCAGGAACACAAGCGTGTTTCAAGTTGTTGATCCGACCCCGCCACGACCCCTTAAGATAGTGACAGAAGCTTGACCAGCGTCAAACTCACCGACCTCTTGCCTTGGGCCACGTCATTGTTGATACAAGGACCAGCTTGTTTGACGCCATCTGATCAGCCGTATATAAAGAAGGACAACTGGCTGCTAGCTCCGTCTTGCATGCCTCTTTCCATCATCGAGCGAAATCAATACATCTACCACTCAATATCAAACCCTACCATAAAAAATACTCAAACATGTCCGACTACAACAACCGCGACTACGACGAGAACGCCGCCCGCTTCGCCGGCGAGACTGTAGGCAGAGCAGGTCCGTCGCCCCATATTCTTCTCACAAATCACCCTCTGGAACCAACCCACTAACAAACCCCACCACAGAGGGTACCTACGACCGCGCCGACGCAGCCATCGACCGTCAAGAACAACGCGTAGGCGACTCCTTCCGCCGCGACGAACAAGCCGTCGAAAACGCCCCCGAAAACCTCGCCCGCTACGCCGAACAAGGCTTCACCTCCACCGTCAACAGCGTCGAAAACATTCCCTCGGACATTGGTTCCGGTCTCCGCAGTGCTGCAAACTGGATTGGTGAACAAATTGGTGGAGCAGAGAATGAGGGTAGACGTGCTGAGCAAGGTGTTGAGAATCGATATGATCAAGCTGAGCAAGGGGTGGAGAATCGCTATAATGATGCTGAGCAGGATGTTGATCGCTTTGGACAGGGTGTGCAGAACTCGTATGATCAGGGTGAGCAACAGGGAAGACGTGATGGTTGGTAGAGGGCGAAGTGCTATCTCGAACGATTACCGGGACAGTTCAGTCATACGACATCGAATCAGCAGATATCCTTTTCTCTAACCACTTCTTCACAATCTACCATGCAAACGCCTCCTCGATCAAGTCCACAGGCATACCATCTCTCAAACAACCAACCACAGCCGCCCGTACTTCATCCGACATGCCGCCAGGCGCGCAAACCACCACCACAACTCTTCTCCCCTTTTCCGCTACCGATCTCACAACCTCTTCAACGTTCATCCTGCCTCTTTGCAAGTCACTGCCTTGCTCAAGCCCCTTGTCTTGACTACTCTGCTCCCCTGTACACCAAAATCGATACTCAATCTGCTTGTTCCGCGCACCTGCAGCAGAGTCGGGTAAAAGCGTGGTAGAAACATGCTGAATGAGCGACTCTTCTCTAGCTGACCAAGCGAGCACAAAATTGGACGTGTGGCCCATCACTTCTCTCGAAGTCGATGCGGTAGATAGTGATTCATTGCTGTATTGCTGCAAGAAGCTCATGCAACTTGTGATACCAATACCGCCAGCAACACACAAGATAGTGTCTGCAGTCTTCAGTGGCAGCAACGCAGTACGATATCCACCATACAGTCCTTCGGTAAGAATAGATATGGGGAGTGAGCTGGCTCCTGACCTTTGCAGCTTTCGAAGTAGTGAGGCGGTCATGCCTTTTCTGGCTCGCATCAGACATACCAGTCTATGAGGATGTTGCGACTCGTGGCTGTGTTGTGAAGCGGATGAACAGTCAATTTCGACACTCTGGGCCTCTGCTTCTTTGCCGGCAAATGTGCTTCCGACGACTGGCGTATGGCGACCGGGCTCGGATCCGCTCCAAGATGCGATGGTGAAGGGATGGTTCTCCCAAGGCTTGCCAAGCAGAGGTATGTACAAGAAAGAGTGCTGTCCAGGTCTCACGTTCCAAGCTTGCTTCGGATAGATAGTCATCTGCAAGATATCGGTATGCGGAATCTGCTTGACGACAGCAATGGGACTGCCGAAACTATTGAAGTACAGCAGACGACCAAAGCGCATCAGTCGATCGAATGCCCAGAAGGCAAATGCAATGTACAGCCAGACCTTGTAACCCCATTTGTTGCCAAAGCGCAGATCGATGTGGTACCAGCAACCCATCAATGCAAGAATAGCAAAAGCTATGTGGGTGATAAGGAAAATCTCGTAGGACCGAGTGCGGATGGGAAGGACTGCAAAGCCTATGGCGAGGCATAGCACAATGGTAGCGATAATACCCCACCAATAATAAGGCTTAGCTGCTTCAGTCTGGTATGCAACCGATCCACCAGTCCAGAAGTAGGTTATGGTATAGATGATGGAGTGCACGACAGCCTGCACGGTTGCAACTCTGGATGCCCATCGGTGGATGGCTAGCATTGTGCTCTGACTCCAGCCAGTGATGTACATGAGCAAGTTGTTGCGACCTGAGAAGAAGATTGCAAGAGCAAGATTGGCAAAGCTGAGAACCCCGGTACGGTTCGAAACGTAAGCAGCGATTTCGTGACGTCGGTCGGCATACCACGCATTTGGGGTGGCATGGTGGAAAGAGATGCAAGAAAGTACTATGTTGAGAACAACGTATCCGGCAACGAACAACGAAAAAGAGCGCTTGGGTAGGTAACCNNTGGATGAGAAGTAAACGGTCAGCATTTGCCTCCATGATGGGCCATCACTTTCGATCTACGTGCCCAATCGGTACGGCAAGGGTGCTTGGTGTCGGTTGTTATATGCTGCTGGCATAAGCAAATACTGGTTCAACTTCATAGATAAGCTGCTGGAAATGATCTTTGTGGCGATGTGTGTTTTCAAGGTTCCAGCGATGACACAGGTGCCTACAACAAAGATTATACTGATGAGNNACTGCTTGTAATCAGTATGAACGTGGCGTCTTATGCGTGCAACCACTTACGCGTAGCGAGTATGTCTGTGCTCAGACAAGACAAATTCCTTCATTGTCACATAGTTTGCGAGGTAGGCATGTTCGTTGACCAGACTTGTTGAGTTCAACCAGGTTGCTTCTATATCCAGTTCGCCAGTGGGAGTATTTGATGGCAAAGAAGCTTGCAAGCTTGATACTGGTTGTCCGTTCGCAGCTAGGTTGGAGAAGCACTGTACCTGTATGCTCTTGTCGACACCATCCTTCGAGCACTTTTCATGGATACAGTTGGAAAAGGTTTCAAGCCAGACCCGATCGCTAGCATAGCAGGCATCGCTTGTCGTTGCCATTGATTCACTCCCCATGTCCATACGTTTGAGCAGCTTCATTTCCATGCCGTCGTGATGCATGTTCATGTCTTCCGAGAAGGTTGTGCAGTTTAGGTAGAGAGCAGACAATGCATCGTGGCAAGAGTAACAACATAATGGCTGGTACATTGGGATACCGAAACCAAGCACTCCATACTGTGTCTCTGCAGTGGCAAAACTCGATAAAAGGACATGTAGACTGAGCCTAAAGACGATGGAAATCTTCATACTGGCGAATTGAGATAATGACGGACAAGCTATCAGCGCCCGAGAGCGTGGTAAGCATGGCTCTTGTATGGCATCGTCCAGGCGAAACTTGCTGCATTATTTCTTCTCCAGCTCCGGGTCGGATATTGATTGATTGCATACTGAGAGGACAATTGAGCAAGTTCTTCAAGAGACCATTGTCGCAATTGCCATATTGGAACAACTAAACGCTGTTGGATGGGCGCCACATGGATTTCGTGCGTGGAGCTCAAGGGACTCGTGGGAGCAGACTGCACGTTTCGAGGGACATTGAGCAAGTTTCCAAGAATGGCGTTCATGTGGATGAAACGATTCTGGGTCCAGAGCCGCAGCCAAGCCTTGTTTGACTCAACGTGGTAATCGACGATACCAGCAGCCAGACATGAGATCCGCTACCTTATGCTTACTATACCGCTCACATCAGGACAAGGCATTGAGGTATCACGACGATGCAACGCAACACTCCAACAAGACGATCAGTGTCAAGGTTCGTAATCGAGGAAGCTGTTCCGCTTGAACTTCGGACGATCGCGGCTATTGCGGCAGGAGCGGGGTAATATCCTTGGGCAACCATCGGCAGAATTCGAGCAACAACCATGAAGATGTGGGATAGTAGATGACTCAACTCGTAATCGTCTTGAAGTCATTTGTCGCACTTCGAGGATCTTGAGGCTGGTGGTTCAACGTCCCGCGAGTCGTAAATGCCTACATGTCATCGTCGACGCCGCAACACAACAGATTGCGCTCACGCGTAGCTTGTGAGCCATGCCGAGAACGCAAGAGAAAGTGTGATGGAGCTTTTCCATGCAGCACTTGTGTTCGCTATGCTTATGATTGCCACTACCCGCAATCTACTCGAAAGAGAAAGTCAGCCGCAATATCCGATACCCTACCAGCAGCAGAACACACTCCTCCCACACCCACGGACCAGGATGCTCAGACTCGGATACAGTCACTGGAAGCCAATTCTGGTTCTGCCTTCGTCAGGAAAATGGCGCTGGGTATCGATCCTGCGAATGCACCTCGACTGCGTTTGTTCGCATGGAATGTCTTTCTTGGCTCACGAAAGTCGAGTCACATTCCTGTCTCGCAGTCCATCACTCAAATCCTGTCATGGCCCGAGGTAGAAGAGCTTGTAGGCATCTACTTCGCCAAAGTAGATCCATGCTACGGATTTGTAGATCGCCGCTCGCTTGAGCGGCGTATGCGAACTTACTGGACGAATGATGAAAGCGAGACTAGCTCATTTGAGGCTGTCATGTGTGGTGTTGCGGCCTTGGGACTTCTGTTTTCGCGAAGGAACGTCGTCGATGCAGAGTTGGACCTTGTCGAAACCGCCAAGCGGATTCTCGAGGAGTCAATATCGTTACATCCTTCTCTGGACATCGTTACTGCATGGGTGCTACGGGTAGCCTATATGCGAATGACTGCACCAGCGCACGCCGCATGGATGGCCAGTTGTATGTTGATGCACACTCTCGAAGCAGCTGGCATCCACTCGACACACGTACTCAACTGGAGCGCTGATGAGTCAGGTCAGCCGCTGACGCCGGAGACTAGAAAGCGTATCCTTGGAGTTGCCCAGCATCTCAATATCTGGATGTCGTTTGATATCGGACGCTCTAGTGTACATCTTCAGACGCTCGATTTCGATCTACCCGCTCCTAGAGAAGGCGGATATACCACAGAATTGCTTGAACTATTACCTCATTCCGAGAACCTCAACCCTGACAAGAGTGTTGATGTGCTGGATCTCAAAAACTCTCTCTCAACCATTGTTGAGCGACATCATACCGCACCACCATCGGTTCTTGCTCAATGTAATCTTACACTCTTGCTGTGCCGCCGCTTGAGAACTCTCAACTTTCACTTCCAAGGCAGTCTTCTCAGTCAGGTATTGACAGTCACAGCAGGAGGCATCAAAGCTGCTCAAGACCTGCTGGATGACTGTGCTCCGTGGCATCATGTGGTGAATGTCCCATTCCAGATCATCTGTATCTTGCTCGCATTGGATACCCCGGCTGCAATCGCACAATTGAACGATGGCATCAAGACTTTGAGCAACATCCAACTCGTTTACCCGACCGATGCCGCCAAAGAAGCGCTCAGTACCGCTTGTTTACTCATACATCTACACAGGAAACGCAAAGAAGCAGATCTGAAAACACTTTCAGAGATTGTATCAACATACTCACCATCGGTCTTGTTCGATCAGTCAATTCCGTCACAACCTCAGAATATTAATGATTGGGGCAGCACTTGGCTCGAAACCCTACCCGAAATGCCGGATCTCCAGACTTTCGACATTGATCGGTTTCTCAATGGTAGCAGTNNGAGTGGAGTATTCCTGGTGACTGGACACAAGGTTTGTAGGACTGTGCAACCAATCGGGGCTGGCGGGTGTTGCGGGCCGTTGTTGACTATAAAGTCCGACCTTGCTCTGAAGCTCTGTGATCTTCAAGCCACAACACTCTTCATCTCAGTACTTCATCACATTTGCGACATGGCTGCGTTACTCAAAAGGAAATATCCATGGATCAAGCTTCCACTGATCGTGTCGGCGCCAATGCTGGGTGCTGCAACGCCTACTCTTACAGCTTCAGTCAGCCAGGCGGGTGGTATTGGTTTCCTAGCTGGTGGGACCAAGCCTGCTGAACTCGATGATCTCTTGACGAAGACCTCGGCTTTGTTTCCCTCCAAATCACATCTTCACAACAGCGTCTTGCCCATCGGTGTTGGGTTTCAAAACTGGGGCTGTGATCTCGATGTTATGTCACCAATTTTCCGGAAACACTGCGTTGCTGCCATTTGGCTTTTTGCTCCAAAGCAGCTATCAGACTTTAGTGCATGGGCTCAGGAAATTCGAAATGTGAGCGAAGGACGAACACAAGTTTGGATCCAAGTCGGAACGGTATTCGAGGCACTGGAAGTGACGAAGCTGGCTCGTCCCGATGTCATTGTCGTCCAAGGGACAGATGCGGGTGGCCACGGTCTTCGCCAATCTGCCAGTATCATATCATTATTGCCAGAGACCAAGGATGCACTCAAAGCTGCCGGCTATCCTCACGTGCCAGTACTGGCTGCTGGCGGGATCGTCGAGTCAAGAGGTGTTGCTGCTGCTCTCACTCTAGGTGCTGCTGGCGTTGTCATGGGTACGAGGTTTCTCGCTGCAAGCGAAGCTGGTATTGCAAAAGGCTGGCAGAATGAAATCATCCGTGTCAAGGATGGCGGTATCACGACTCGAAGATCGACTCTCTGCGATCGTCTCAAGGAGACAATTGGCTGGCCGCAGCATTATGATGGTAGAGCCATCATCAACAAAGGACACTCGGACGAGGAAGCAGGCTTGCCTGATGCTGAAAATGTACGCATGTACAAAAGGGAGCTCAAGCGCGGAGATGGCGCGTGGGGTGACCACGGGAGAATGGTGACCTACGCTGGTACCGGTGTTGGGTTAATCAAGGATCGCAAATCTGCCGCTGCGATTGTAGAGGAGACATCTTCCGGTGCTTCGGAGATACTGCAACGCTGCGCAGGCACAGTAAGCTCAAGGCTGTAATGTCAGAGTCTTAGAGTCGGGGATTTCCATAGTCTGTCATCCCAACTCCAACACTCCACCGCTGTCTCATGAATCTGGCGACAACTCCGCAACACATGTTGGTGAATAGACGTAGCGGTCTGGAGCGAAGCTTCAAGGGTGTTGAAGACCGGTCAACCCCGCAAAGTGACGTGCATGGCGCCCCGAAAGCCAGTCGGACACGATCATGTGCCGATCTGGGCTTGTCTTCCCGACGGAGATGCATACGAAGGATTCAAGGCTGTTGTCAGTCAGTCCCAGCCATGGATACCTCTTGTCCTCTCTCATCTCACCCGCAAGCATTCCTCGACTTCCTTCCCAAATGTTCGCCGACTTTGGGCTTCCGCTTAGAGCGACCATGTCCTGAGTACCCCGACTATTATCGATCCAATATCATTTATCACGCTGGGAAAGAGAAGATAGACATGCCTGACGGAATCACCGACGCGAAGAATGGGATCACTGGAGGATATAAAGGCGAAAATGCCATCATCATTCGAGCTATGATAGCTTTCACGGCCATTGCCTGGTACAATGCTGCCGAAATCATCATACTGGTTCTGGTTGTGTTTAAGCGCTACTCTGGACTCTACTTCTGGTCGCTACTTATCACAGCTATGTCAATCATCCCATACCAGGTCGGTGCATGGTTGAAACAGGTTGGAGAAGCTGATGCACTTGGCATGATTATACTCTCGAGTATTGGTTGGGTCGTCCTGGTGCCAGGATCTAGTCTGGTCTTATACTCTCGACTCCACTGCATCACACAGAACCGGAAGCTACTTAGGGGAATACTATACATGATCATCATCAACGCCATCGTTCTTACAGTGCCAACGAATGTCCTATCTCTTGGGTCCAACTCCAGCAAGTACTACTTGTTCACCTTCGGATATTCTGTCATGGAGAAGATTCAGATGACGGTCTTTTCGCTGCAAGAGCTCATCATATCTTTCATCTACCTCGTCGAAGTTCGTCGAGTTCTCAAGGTGATTGACGACGGCCGGTTCCGAAAGATCATGTGGGAGCTCGGTGCGATCAACGTCGTGATCATCGTGCTGGACGTCGCGCTTCTTGCCGTCGAATATCTCGGCTTGTATCAGATCGAAGTCACACTTAAGGGAATGTGCTACAGCATCAAGCTGAAACTGGAGTTTGGTGTTTTATCGAAACTGGTCAAGATAGCTACAGCCCGTCAAGGAGTCTATGACCTGCAGACTGGATCTGATAGCTCAGGATCCAAGAACACAATGACCTATCAGGGCCACGGCTCCTGGTTGACAGCTTCAGCGCCTACGCTGACAACTCTGCCTTCAAACACGACGCACAGCACCGCCAAGCGTCACAGCACATGGGCGGAGATATGGGCAACCAACAATCCCTTCTCCTCAGCACATGCAGAGGCACAGAAAAGACATCGCGATTTCGAGGCCGCTGTCACTTTCTCACAGACTGAGCCTTTGCCGAAACCGAGCCTGATTGCTGAACATATTTCTCATCCGCCTGCGATCGTCACTTCAAGACGCTCGTCGACTGAAGACATGTATCCCGGGCGGCTTTGCTGATGTGCTCCTCTATGACGAAGAAATTTTGATGACGCCGCATCCGTCATCAAGACCTCTTTCGTGGGCCTGTCAGCGATGGCTGCCCAAATCTCCTTCTACCACTGTGTACACGGGTTCGGAAGTCAGAGACCCCCGACACATGTGAACGATTGTCCACCGTGACGGAACTGTTAAATCATCAGAAGGTGTACAACTTGGTCTGGGGCGATTGTTCCGATAAGAGGTCGTCCCGGTATCAAAGCTCCTCACGCAAGCTATCGTGTGAGGACTTGGAGGTCTCATCCATACGGTCCTCGCTATCTATCTCGAGGTAGTCGATTGTCATGGTCTTTGCCACATCTTTCCAAGAGACTGCGCGTGCCTGGATCTGCAGCGTCAATCTATCAAGATTGTAATTTGTTCGCCGTGTCAAGAAAACACCGCGTTCGTCGGCTGCGTTACAGGAAAGTCTGTTGGTGACCAGTACCAGATCCCTGTCAGGCCAATCCTGCGTTCTTTTGAATGCTCCTACAGAGGAGAGTTCGAGGGTGATGTTGCCGTTTTCCGAACAACGGAGGGACTTTACAGAAGCCGAGTTCTCAAGTATGACGCTCGGAAAAATCATGGTCATTGTGGTTGACATGGCTAGAGAACTCCTCGGTTGTTCCAGGAATATCAATTTGCTCGAGTAGCCTGGAACTAGGTGCTTGAGGTCATTGCGATCAAGACTCCAATCCAGACTGGGTAAAAATTTGCGATCTGGTAGTTGATCTGTGGGTGGGGATGTGGCAGAACCTTGATGTGTCCAGAATAGCAATTGAGTCAAGATGAGGATGAAGGATAACATTGCGCTCAATGTCAAGATTTGTGGATGTCTTGTAATCTTGTCTGAACGAGTATGTCAAGTCGAATCAACTCACGAACAAACCAGCGAGGATATATTGAATGCTTGGATGCGTTCAAGACATACGAACGTTTGTTCGAAGACCCCGAACGTTGACTCCTTCAAATCAAAACCCCCGTTATGGTCTCGCGAACTTCAGCTGAGCGGAGTCCCCGAATGAAACAATCAAGCTTCTCAGCCGCCTGTTTCGTATCCTGTAGCCAATAGTTTCGAGATCTAGACCATAGATCATTGTCACAAATCTTGGAGAAGCAAGTCCATTGATGATGGTTCGGATTGCATAGTATTAGACCTTTGATCTTCGCGAGTAGCGAGCGACAATCATACATTATCGCTGCTGCCCTTTTTGGCCATGCGATATTAGTTCCACCGATGTTTAACCGTATCGCTAAAAGTTCCAAGCCTCTTTCAGGCAAGCAACAGCTTACTCCATAGATCTGTGCAGGCAATTTCGCAAAGCTTGTGTCTTCGACGACTTTTTCCTTTATCTAGTTGCACCTGTTCAAACGACCTTAGAAGCGCTGCCTCCAGACTGCTCCGCTCTGGCCTGATCGGCGGTCCTTGCCCAAGCGCTACCTGTAGGACTAGGCGACCGTTGTTCAGCTGTGAGGTAGGACTTGAATAGGAGAATGCTAACAAGGTGCTCCGGACTCACTATAGCTCATACGCATCTTGCCCGTTATGTGTAGATTTGTTCAACACCTCAAGCATATTCGAACTTGTAGTGGGACTATGTTGTGCGGCGACTGTCACTCCGCTTGCCTATGACCTGAAGCTTGAGGCAAGAAGTTTACAAAAAGGTGAAATCTTCTTGCTGGCCAATCTGGTTCTATCCACCCGATCTTTCTTCTATGACCTTGATTAAATGCCGAGACGACGAGTCTGGAAGAACTCTGGTCTTCTGGGCCCAACGGTCATATCGGGACGAACGTTCGAAGAAAAAAACGGCGAAGGGACGAAGAACCTCGAAGCGAGCTTGGAAGACAACGGCTCTATCAGAGCTCAGCTGAACAACGATGAAAGGTTTCATCACAGCACTTGAAGGTGTCGGTCATGTCCGTTGGCATTTGGCAGAAGATATGGTGGATTGTATAAAGGATGGAGTAGGTATCTTTGGATGATCGCTCCATACACGCTGCGTCAGCGAACTTGAACCATGCATTTTTTCCTTTCTTTTCTTTCCTGTCTCTCTTTTCTATCTTCCTTACCGCTCACTCCTTGGCTATAGAGCAGAGATCGTCATGTGTCAATCCTGATGTTGTCACGATCTCGCAACAAGTGTCGAACCCTCAGTACTTCTGTACCTGGTTCCTTACCGAGTATGTGGTGTAGTCTAGCATCAAAGCTCATGCAACTAATCTCAGAATAGTGGGCGAACCAGGTCACCGATACCAAAAATCAACGCAAATGCGCTGTTAAGTGCATGCAGATGCATCACCAGTGTAGAGCCCACGGGCACCAAGGCAAAAACTCTCGCTGCGATCGCAAAGGCAGCACATCTCCAGAGTCCCATCAGTACAACATGTCCCATCACAAACCCTATCAGCAAGGAGTTCAAGAACCCATCATCGTTCTGCACCTTTTTCACTTCCTTGTAAGTCATTCCAAGACAGCAAGGTTGCTTGTGCTGATCACTCAACAAAGCGAACGACACGACTCACCGATACCTAACCTGAACGTCGCTGCTGTAAGACAAGCTTGCAAGTGCGCCCTGGCCAGTTCAAAGTCCTCGACCAAGACGTCAAGCACTTCAAGCAAAATTTCGACCAAATCTTCGTCAATCACAATTTCGACCAAGGCTTTTGCAAGCAAGTCTTCGTCGAGCACAGGCTTGTCTAGCAAATCATCTACTGCTGCAACAGCATCAAACACAATTTCGATCAAGTCCTCTTCAAGCAAGATCCCTAGCAAATCTGCATCCTCTTCATCGACTAAAGCTTTTGCAAGCAAATCTTCAACAGTGGAGATTCCTCCAAGCAAATCTCCATCAAGCAGAATCATGCCAAGCGGATCATCGACGACTACTAGTAACAGACCAGTCTCCTCTACCATCAAATCTTCAACTACTCCAAGAGTTACCACATCCTCACATCCATTGTCTAGCACGAGTCTCGGTTTCTCCTTTACCAGACCAACATCACTTGACTCCCTCGCCTTGAGTTACTACACTCAGATCACCTCAGGCATCAGTTACAACAGCCAAGGCACAATTGTCGGTCATCTCAAACAAGCCACGCTCACTTCATCTGTACCAGCTGTGACTGCAGATCCGATGGATCGTTCCGCTCAGCCGTCTTTGCAGTCTCAGCTGCAGAGTGCCGGACTACCTTCTTTCGATGCGACAGTTTCAGATGTCACAGCGGCGATGGATAGTGCTCTGATGGGCAATGTCTCCACGGGCGATACTGGTGTGTTTGGGGATCCAGATGATTCTGATTCCGATCCCAATCTGAACCAGACCCTTTCGCGCCATCGCTTTGCTAAGCGTGACTGGCTCGATGACCTTTCGAATGGTTTCGACACAGTCGTCTGTAATGACATTGTTACTTCGTTGTCCGAGACCGTCGAAGGTGTTTGTGGTATCAAGGCTGGTGCGGAGGCAGTTTACTGTCTTGCTACCGGTTGTTACAAAACAGCTGCTCCACCTGCTCAGTATACTTTCGACAACACGTACAGTCTCAATCTACCATCATTCCACGGCAATGGTCATGTATACCAAGACGCTACAAGCACTCTGGTATGTAACGACTGTGGCATGTCTGTCTCGAATCTGAGAATCAAAGGAACGATTGTCATCGATCTCCAATCTGGAAAACTCCTACCTTCTGAGATGACGCTTAGTCAGGACTCGGTTCAAAGATTTGACATGGCTGTCTACACTACTGGTGCAGCTAGCGGATCTTGGTCATACGTCATGTCCACATACACCCTACAGTCGATCACTGCAACTGGTGTGTTCACCATCTCGTAAGTCAGTGTCACAGAGGAGATGAGATAGCCACTAATCATCTGCCAGGCCTCAAATGCTCTATGCGATCGGTGCCACATGGTCAACCAGTCAATCCTCAAGCTTGTCCTTTGGTGCAAGGTCGACCTTGACCGGCGCTTCTGTACAATTTGATCCCGTTGAAGGCCAGGACAAGGGTGACTCCAACTGGGCTCCTTCGTTGGATGTCACCCAACCAAAGCTTACCGGCTCTTCTGCTACATTGGTCCCTTGGATTCAAAGCTCGATTCAGATCTCGGTGAATGTTCTTGGACGCAATTTGCCAAATCTCGTGACGCTCAACAGTCAACTCAGTCTAGGATTCACACAGTCTTATGTTACAATGGCTAAGCTGGGTCATGCGCAATGTGGTGGGGGACAGTTGCAGTCAACGTCGTACAGGAACGTTGTCAATTCGATAAATTTTGCAAGCTCGGGAACGGACACTTTGTATTCTTCAAGTGGACATGATGCGCCTGTCTGCCAAAATGCCCAGACTGGACCACCATCAGCCGCCCAGGTCTCTGCTCTCGAGGCAGTCCCAGGAGCCGGACGTTTCTGTTCATCATTCATTGGCTATATGCCTTCAACTATCAACGTTACCGTCACTACAACTCTGACCAAGGCAACCTCTACAGTCAGTGTGGTTGGTTCTGGCACTACGACTGTGACACCTTCTTTGGAGACCACAACCGTCACGATTACGTCTTCGGTGTCGAGCATAGCTCAGAACTTCAAGCGCTCGGTCACTACAACGAGAGATTCGTCTGACCTTGAGCGCCGCGACCTGGTTGCCAGGAGAGTCATCCCAACACCGACTATCGTTTCCACCTGGGTGCCTCAGCAAGTGAGCGCTGCATGTTCTTCAATGGCTACAGGATTAATCCAGGCAAATGTCACCTCTACTCGGATCATCTCATCAGGGATCACAACTGCGACCATCCAAGGCACTGTTACAGCAAGCGCCCCAACTACCACCACGACCAGTATTGTATATGCTCCAGCGGTGGCCCCTTACAACGCAGTGTCGAATACTGAGATCGGTTCCGATCCTAGTACATCTAATCCCTGGACATTCTCCGGCGCAGCCAACAACTACTATTACACCCGTACCATCCCGGCAATTGGGGGATTCAGAGGCCAACCCTTCACCTTCACGTTGAGTCGTGGCCAGATACTGGGTACTGGATCCATCACACAGGTCCTCTCTGACCTCGAGCCCGGCTGGACCTATAACTTGACTCTTAAAACCGGGTTTGATAGCACGACCGATTCTTGCACTGTCACGTACAGTCTCGATGGTGTAGCTTTTGAGAGCTACTCACCTTCGAACACAGGTGGTTCCGCTAGTAACCCGTGGGATTCATCTCATCACGCTAAGATGAAGTCTGATGGACCTTATCAAGTCGTGCCCACTGCGACTACACAGACATTGGGCATCAGCATGAGCTGCACAGCGGATGGCGGGTTTGCTGAGTTTGCAGGGGTGAATTTCTGGGGTCCATTGCCAGAGTAATGGAGAGAAGGTCTTGACATGGTTGATTCACGTACACGCCTAGATCAGTTCATACCGTCTAGCACTTTCTTTTGTCCCTTTAATCAAATCTACATCACAAACGCGGAACATAGGTCGTGTGAAGTCCGGATGGCACGGAGACTGTAGTGTCGTCTAAAGTATTCGCGTTCAGCGAGAAGCGAATAAAATCCCTCGACAAGTTGACACTTGTAAAGACGCGGGATATAGGCGAGCCAACAGGTAGGAAGGTAATGCATACGTATCGCAATCTCCGTCCCTGGGTCGGACATCGGGATGCTTTGCGCCGATGATCCTCATATAGGCGACGAGCCACCGAATACCAACTCCGTGGGTTTGATGGTGTATGGGTATTGGTCGTAGTCAGCCACATTTGACTGAGAAACACGGCCGAACATGAGAATCTGACGCGATAACGATACGATAAGGGAGCTTCTCCCTTCCAGACGGCGCGACCAAACCTCCGATCTAACAACCAGATGGAATGTGCTATCAATTTATACGACCTATATCTGCCTCGGCGTTCTCGACTCGACAACATGTAGTTGCACACTATTCCTTTCCTCCATTTTTGCTTTGGAGTTATAATATCCTCACTGCCCACAACCGCTCAACATGGCTGACAAAATGACCTTCCTTGACGCCACCAAAGCTCGTCGCTCCCTATACTCTCTTGCTAAAGGATCTCCCATCTCTGATGATCGTATCATCTCTATCGTCGAGCATGCGATCCGTTATGCGCCATCGCCGTTTAATGCTCGCTCTTGCCGTTGCATCGTTCTCTTCGGCAACGACCATGATAAACTCTGGGAGATGGGTGCTGCAGCCATCCAACGATGTATGCCCATGGCTGTAGACATCTTGATTCCAAAGGTCCAGGGCTTCCGCGGGGCATATGGCACAGTGTGTACTGCTATCCAATCCTGCTCAGGTCGTCATGCTGAGTCTAGCTTCCCANNGGTCTTGTTCTTCGAGGATGTAGACTCTGTCAAGGAACTCAATCCTCGGTTTGCTAAGATGTCTGAGGAGAATCCGGANATGTGCGTTGTTGTCATACATTAGCAAACAGATGGTGCAAAAATGCTGATGAGTCTTCAAGGGTACGATCACAGTAGCGGAATGCATCAATACGTTGGTGAGTCATTCTTGCCATGGACACCAAAACTCCAGCAGTTAGCTAATTCGAGAGTCGCAGTTTGGACAGCCCTCGAAGCCGAAGGTCTTGGGTGCAATCTCCAGCATTACCAGGACATGATGCACGAGCAAATGTATACCGAGTGGAGGATCCCTGAAACCTGGCAAGCAAAAGCTCAGTTGGTATTTGGAAAACCATTGTCGGGTCCGTTGGTGGACAAGGAAAAGACATTCCGCGACACCGAGGACTGTATCAAGGTTTATGGCCGATAGTCTCCTGATTTATTATCCTCTGTGTTTGCTCCAACATGACTTTAGTATTTACTTGATTGATCATAAGCGTAGGTGAAGTACTTGTGTCCCGGGCCAAATTGTATGCGTGTGTACAAAACAAAAAAGAAACAACCTGAAACGAGAAGACCAACCTTGAGATGGAAAAACCAGGGTCCTCGTCGGTCTGGATGCTTGCGCGACGAGTCACACGGCTCTCGGGACGATCTCCCGGGGTCGGCAGAGGCGAACAACGCGAATCATTGCCCCTTTCGACAAACCTCGCACCTCATGCTGAAGAGGGCTTTTCGACAAAACAAACCACTCATGATCCGCACATGCACAAACGTGGTCGTCGGGCTTGCAAAATCAATCTCGTTCGCAAGATGGACAAGCCCTTTTTGCATGAATTCTCTTGACGATCGAATCAAAATTGTCAGGCCAACATCCCACAGAAGTTTCGGGTTGTACATGACGTTGAAATGACTCGACTAGTCGCTGGTTACATCGACCATGTTGCGTTTCGCATGCAATTGTATGGCCGGGACTTCAAGCTTTTCATCTGTTATGTCCATGTCCTGACTCTACAAAGTTTTGTTCAAACAACTCTTTTCGTTTACGAGTTTTTGCATCAGGCGCCCCTTAAACGTTGTCTCCTTCTTGATTACCCTGAACGGAGTGATTCCTTGTGACCCGGCTTGGAGATTTGTTTATTGCGAGTGAGGCGGAGACTTATAACCTCTGCTTTCGAGACTTTCTCCTTGTCTGTTTCTTATCTTTGCGATACCCTGCATTATCGACTATAAACGCGGATACAGGAAGCTATTTCCTTCAGATACACAATGGATGTCCTGTCGTCCATCACAGAGGACAAGTGCAAGAAGTTGTCCGAGCCTTCCACTGGACAGTTTGCCATATCATGGTATGTTTTCAATGCATCCTTCATGTCAAAGACCACTTGTGATTGCATTGCATTCTCACACACTTACAATAGCTGACAAAAATCTCTCGAANNCAGCGCACTTCTAGGATGGCTCTTGGTCTCTTACATTCCCCAATTTGCGCGCATCATTGGCCGTAAGTCGGCAGAAGGACTCTCGACTCTGTACATCCTTCTCGGTTCTCTGTCTGGAACTTGCGCCGTGGCGAATATCATGGTGTTGCCTGCAAGTCAGACAGATATTTCTTGCTGTAGACATTACACGCGCTTTGGCTGTATCTCACGCTTGCTGGGTATCTTCCAAGTTGTCAGTGGTGTTAGTCTGTTTTGGTGCATGTGAGTTTGCCCCCTTCCGTTTGGATGGCAAGTTGCTGATGAAGAACACAGCATGTTCCTCTACGTCTACTTTTCAGAAGAAGAAGCAGATGCTGAGCTTCATGGTCGCCGCCGCTCTTTGTCATCTCCTGACCGCACTTTCCGCCGTGCTCGCCGCGCTATTCGTCTCGTGATTATTGTTGTGGCATTTGCATTTGCTATTATGCTCATCAGTGCTGTCATCCTCAACCGCTTCCCTTGGTATTCGCAGGAATGGGCCAATGTGCTGGGTATCTGCGTTGCGTGCTTTGCTTGTGTGCAGTGGGTGCCGCAAGTGTGGACGACCATCCATCTCGGTCATCTAGGGAGTTTGAGTCTGGCGAGTATTTGCATGGGTGCGCCTGTAAGTTTTTCACTTTCCTTCATCTTGTAGAGTCTCTGGTTTGAAGGGTTGGATGCTGACGTTTGGTTCTCCGGAATANNGTATACCTGGATCTTCGGCATCAACATGATCATCCGCTTGGGTCTTTCTGGCTGGTCTGTCTGGATCGTTTATGTGCTGGTGGGCATCATGCAACTTACCCTCATTGTCACCGCCATTATCTACATGATCCGCGACAACCGCAAAGCACGCCGTGTTGATGCCACCTCCGCCACTTCTCCCTCAGCCAGAAGAGATGTCTCAGAGTCTCCGAGCACCAGGGCTTTGCGACCGCAACTCAATTCTTGGAATAGCTTTGCTGCGCCTGCTACCGAGGACGATGAGAGGACGCCGCTGTTGGCGGGCAGGAATGCTCATGTGGAGGAGACTGCTAGTCCCAGACGTGTTGGCTAGAGCAGTCGATTTCCAGGGAGAGATATGATCTGGCAAGACTGAATTCTGCCTGCAAACCAAAGTCCTAGACATTTGGAAGATGAGTAGAGCAAGATGCGCGATTGGGCTGTAAACATAAATGGAGTCATGGGAAAGGAGCATACACAAGGGGCGTCAAGGGTATTTTGTATAGCATGATGGTAATGATGGATTTGGTTCTCCACCTACCCACAGGGATGATGTGAACTTGCACATTAATTTCCAGAAAAGATGTGGCCAGATACGTTTGATAGGACTCTGATATCAGTAAGGCCTTCTCCAAGCTGGTGCAGACTACCTACGGAACACAGAGAAACAATTTGAGTGTCAATGCCCCTCTCTAGTCTGATCATCACATGGCTTTTTCGCCTATTACCCCTCAGATCGGTATATCTAGAGGTGGATCACGGAGCAGCAAAGATGCGTACTCCTGGACCCTTGGAGTAATCTATGCAGGCACGGAGAGGAGCAGCGCCATGCACGGCAATTGCGAACCGACTTTCTGGCAGATGACAGGGTTTGGTACCACGCCAATGTGGGGAGGGAAGACGTGCGGGGTTAATGGAGTCATCTCCTTTGATCAACCTTCTCTTTGCATATCTTTGTCACACGCGAGATGCAGTGAGACGCACAGATCTTCCAAGATTTAGCGGTGTAAAGTGAGACTGAGTCAGAAAGTAATTCTCAGGTGATTGATATAGTAGTCTAGACATTGGCGATGCTCGCAATGGCCGCATTTTGGCAAGAAAAAGGCGTGAGAAGGATTCAGTGGCTTGGGTGTTGAAACTGCCAAACGTGACAAACTTGAGAGCCAAGAGGAGCTCCACACGGCGCTAGTGTTTGTCCCTCGGTTCCTTCGACCCGCAAATAATATGTGAGAGTTATCACTGTGTCCATTGCCATTATAAAGTCGACCCGTCCTCCTTCCTTGTGTCGCTAGCATACCTTTTGTCCTTTTTCCAATCACTCACAACAAGACATCAACGTTCATCATGTCGCCCGGCAAGACTGCAAACATTTCATTCGACGACAACTTCGCCAACATCGTCAACGGTGAAGCTCGCACAAAGTCAGAGACATACCACCAGGGAGTCAACCCAGCAACTGGCGAAAAGCTCTGGAACGTACCCATTGCCAGTCAATCCGACGTCGACGATGCCGTTGCTTCGGCCCAAAAGGCATTCGAGTCATGGAGTGTCAAGCCCATCGACGAGCGCAAGCAACTTTTGACAAACTTCCGCGATGTGTGGAATGGATACCACGAAGAGTTTACTACACTGCTGTGCAAGGAGACTGGCAAGCCGAGACAGTTTGCCGCCTTCGAGGTCGGCGCTGTGGGTGCTTGGATTGATCACCATGTTTCGTTGAGCATCCCCGAGGAGAGACTCGAGGATGATGAGAAGGTCATGACGACGAGATATATGCCTCTGGGTGTTGTTGGTGCCATTTGCCCTTGGAACGTATGTTTTCCTTTCTTTCTCTCTGGCATCATTGGACAATGGTACTGACGATTTCCACAGTTCCCCTTGGTCCTCTCGTTCGGCAAGATCTGCCCTGCCCTGCTGACTGGCTGCTGCATCATCGTCAAGCCCTCGCCCTTCACTCCCTACACCTCGCTCAAGGCCATTGAGCTCGCTCAGACCATCTTCCCTCCCGGTGTCGTCCAGGTGCTCGGCGGTGATGACAAGCTCGGTCCCATGTTCACCGAGCACCCTGGCATCGCCAAGATCAGTTTCACCGGCAGCATTGCCACCGGCAAGAAGATCATGGCTGCCTGCAGCAAGACCCTCAAGCGTGTCACTCTTGAGCTCGGAGGCAACGATGCCAGTATCGTCAGAGAAGATGTTGATATCGAAGCTACTGCCCCGCAGCTCGTCATGGGCGCTTTCCAGAACAGTGGTCAGGTATGTGTCTGATCACCCCTGCTACAATCTCCAGCATTGCTAACACTTTCACCGCTANNGGTCTGCGTCGCCACCAAGCGCATCTACATCCACAAGAGCATCTACCGCCCCATGGTCGACGCCATGGCCAAGGTTGCCGCCAGCTTGAAGGTCGGCACCCCCGACGAAGAAGGCGCCATGCTCGGCCCCATCCAAAACCAGATGCAATACGAAAAAGTAAAGACCTTTTTCCAAGACAGCAAAGACAAGGGCTACAACTTTATCGCCGGCAGCGGCGACGTCGAGACCAAGGATGGCTTCTGGCTGCAACCCGCCATCATCGACAACCCTCCCAACGACAGCAAGATCATTCAAGAGGAACAGTTTGGTTTGATTCTGCCCGTGCAGCCGTATGAGGACGAGGAAGAGGTTATTGCTCGTGCCAACGACAGTAATGCTGGTCTCGGTGCTTGTGTGTGGAGTAAGGATGAAAAGGCTGCTGAGCGCATTGCCCTGCGTCTGCAGGCCGGCAGTGTGTTTATCAACTCGTTCGAGAAGCCCACTCCTCAAGCGTAAGTTTCTGTGCTACCCCTCTCTGACAACGAGATATTAATGGATATTCCAGCNATCTTTGCCGGCCACAAGGAAAGTGGCATTGGCGGTGAGTGGGGCACTCAAGGTCTGCTGTCCTACTGCAACCCTCACGTCATCCACCTCTACAAGAGCAAGCTCTAGATTGCCAAAGTCGGCAACGGCAACGGCAGCGGCATACAGATTACCAAAAAAAAACATGCACACCTCTCCATCTATAGTTGCATGTAAAGGCAGTACGAAGTAATGAGAAATCCAAACAACACCACCTCCAATATCTCCCCACCACCATACTACAGCTTCGAGCAAGTCTACAAACTAGTTACAGACTTGTTTTAAAGGATGACACGGCAAGAGAGCGTCGACTTGATCGATTCTTAACTTCATTTTGTGGCATATGCTTGGGCGCTAAACTTCCATCTCCGTCTTGATTAGTGAACTAGAAGTCATCCATAAAAAACAAAAGACACAAAGTTGTTCAGAACAGACAGGACACCAAAAAGAGCAATAACTTGGTCAAATTTGAACATTCATCAAAGCAAAAAGAAAAAGTAAACTAACCATGGAAAACAACAAACCCGCTCAGAATCAAAGCAAAACAACACCCATGCCCCAAAACCAGAAACTCAAAAAGGAATGAGAAATTCAACAGTCATCAATGTCGTAGGTTACGATGCTTGAGTTCCCGCACCTTTGACTTTACATTGTGTCCTCTCATTCCGTGTTTCTAACCCTGAGCTTTGGCAATGGCGCCATGGAGGGCGTCCAAGAATTCCTTTGCCTTGGCGCCATCCTTAAAGGTACACATGCAGGACTCGACTTTCTTGCCTTCGGCAGGAACACTCAGCTGCACCATCTTTTGGCCCTTGATCGTGTACAGGGCGGGGTTGAGAAGAGCGTTGAAGTTCAACACGACCTTGCCGGAGGGGTCGGCGCGCATAAGGATACGAGGTTTAGAGGTCTCCTTGGAGGCGAGGATCCGGATGGGGCCGACTCCCTGGGGCACCCATGAACCAGCCTTGTCACCTTCGCTCTTGACGAGCTTCGTCACCCTACAGCGTGCTTCGTGAGTGAGATCGTACTTGGCAATGTCGTCCGCAGTGAGAGCTGTCAAGTCCTTCTGTGCGTCATTTGGCGTGTCACTGGGTTCTGACTCTGCAGCACTGCCTTCAGCGTCAGTAGTGTTGGCACCAGGTGTGGTGGCACGAGAAGTAGCAGCTGAGGCAAACACGGATGATCCTGAAGGAGGTGCGAGAGTAGAAGGAGCTGCACCTCCGAACGAGAAACCGGTACTGGGGGTCGAAGTCTTTGCGGCATCAAAGATGCTACCGGATGAGGACGCCTGAGCACCAACCATTCCACTGAAGGGAGATGACTTTTCGGCTGGTTGTGAAGCACCGCCAAAGTTGAACTTGGGAGCAGGAGCCTTGGCGGGTGAGCCATCAGGAGTAGTGGTACCAGCAGTAGCTGTACTAGCACCAAACTTGATAGGGTCACTACCCTTCCATGTATTGTCGGCAGCACCCGAACTACCGAAAGAGCTGAATTTGAACGAAGCGCTAGGAGCATCAGATGTCTTTTCCTTGTCAGCATCGAAAGAGACGCGCTCAAAGAGACTCTTGCCGGCCGCGAGCTTAGCAGGAGTTGCGTTGGTCAAAGCAGCGTGAACGTCCTCATCCTCGTCAGTGTCGCCGTCCTCGTCCTCATCGTCAGGCTTGCTGCCAGAGAGATTGCCAAAGATGTTGGATGAAGCAGAAGTATTTGAGCTGGACGCAGGTGTGCCACTGAACGAGAAGACGGCAGAAGCGGAGCTGCTGGGCTTCTTAGAAGTGTCAACGTTGAACTTGAGGGCCTGGCTGGCAGCCAAAAGCTCAGCCTTCTTCTGAGCCTGCTTCTCAGCGTCCTTTCTTTCCCACTCTTCCTCATCCTCGTCAGAGTCCATGTCCTCTTCCTTGCGCTTTTCGCGTTCCTTGGCCTCTTGTTCAGCAGCCTTCTGACCGAAGGAGCCGAGGAAGCTAGGGGTAGTGGTAGTAGAAGAGCCACCACCGCCGAACTTGGGAACTTGGAAGACAGATTTTGCGGGTGCTGATGAGGCAGAAGCACCACCAAACTTTGGGATCTGGAAAGCGCCAGTGTTCTTTGGCTCTGCTTGGGCGGCAGCAGGAGGAACAAAGCTCTTCTGGGTGTTTGTGGGTCCAGGAGTGGCGGAGACGTTGCGAGCAATGGTACCGAATGGGTTGGCCTTGACTTGAGGAGCAGTGGCGGGGGGAGCGGGAGTCTTGTCGGCAGAAGCTGCGAATATATTGGTGGCTTTAGGAGTTTCAGGCTTGTCTGGCGATCCCAGGATGTCGTTGAAAAGAGAAGCAGTTGCGCTGAAAGGCTTATCAGGAGTAGTAGATCCAGTCAACGGAGCCTTGATAGTAGTCGTGGACTGGCCAAATGAGGGCTTGCTGGGAGTGGTCTGGAAGGTTGGCTTGGCACGCTTGCTGTGGTCGTCTTCCTTTGCGACATCCTCATCAGCAGCACGCTTCTCACCGCGGGTAGTTGAAGGGGCTAATGGAGCGGTGATCAGCTTGGGGGCACTTGAGGAGGTGATGGCGGTTGTGGATGGCGCATCACTAGTCTCGGAACGAATTTCAGCGGCTTGTTCAAGGTAGAAACGCATGACAGCGCTCCAGTCCTGCGTAGCATCAGCTGATGCGAGGTACGAACGTAGAGAATCGTTCAACTGCCTGAGCAAAGCAGACTCTAGTTCGGTAGGCGGAAGTTGAGGAGAAGCCGGGGGAGTGGCAACACCGGAAGCAATAGGTGCTGAGAGAGCATTGCTTGAACGCGGTCCTGATCTACCAGGGGGAGCAGGAGCTTGTGCGCTGACAGAGCCGAAAGAAGAGGTCGGTGCACTCGGTTGAGAGGTCGAGGTCGAGGTAGAAGCGCCAAAGCCCTTGAAGGCAGATTCCGTAGGCTTTTGCTGAGTTGGTGCGGTGTTGAACATGGAGTTGCCCAGACCAGAATTCTGAGGCTTAGGGGACTCTGCAGCGGCAGGCTTGAACGTCGACGGGGCAGCAGTAGTCGTAGACTTGCCAAAGCTGAAGGAAGGTGTTGGTGCAGGAGACGGCTCTTGCGAAGAAGCCGTGTCCAGACTAGGGTAAGACACTTCCTCGGCAGGCTTGGAAGCGGCAGGGGCACCAAAAGCGAACGAGGGGAGCTTCTTCTCAGCAGGCTTGGGAGATGGAGGAGCGGCGGGACTTGTGGAGGAGCCAAAGTTGAAGGCGGTTGCTGGGGGCTTGAGTGCTGTCTCGTCCTTTTTCTCGCCAGCGGCACCAAAGTTGAAGGCAGGAGCCGGGGACGCTGGTGCAGCGGTTGAAGTGCCAAAGTTGAAGGCAGATGCGGCTGCCGATGCGGGAGCGGGAGAAGCGGCAGCGCCTCCAAAGTTGAAGGCTGACGAGGGTGGCTTAGCGGGTGTATCATCCTTCTTCGTGGTGGTAGAGGCACCGAAGCCGCTGAAGGCAGAGGTGGTGGGCGCAGCGTCGTCCTTCTTGGGCTCGACGGTGCTGCCGAACTTGAAGCCTGAAGTGGGTGCAGGGGACGATGGCGCAGGAGTGGTGGATGCACCAAAGCTGAACGATGTCGAGGCGGGGGCTGCAGCTGGGGGCGCGGTCGACGAGAAGGAGAAGGAGGATTTGGGAGTTTCGGACGGTGTCTGGTAGAGTATAGTGTCAGCAAGAGGCTGGGTGAAAGATTGTTGGAGTTGCATGTTCGCGTGGTGGTGGTGGTGGTGGGAAACATCGAGCATGTCATGTTGAGTGTTTCGCTCGACGTCGGGGTGCTTTACGAAGGAGTCTTGACCACCTTCAACACTGTTGAATGGTTGAAATGGCCGGGTGTATGCGAATGCATTGGGATTGAACGAGTGTGCTGCGGGTGGGGTGAAGCTGAGCTCTTGTAACTGCTGCGACGAGGAAAAGTACTGGTACGAGTGCATCTGGTTCATGCCGTTCTTTTCTCTGTCCAGGCGTGACTGCAAGGCAGCAATGCCCGTCTGCCACACGCTGGGCATGTTTGCGTCGGCCGCTGCTTCGGCAAGCTTTACCTCGTCGACGAAGCCGTTGGTCATGAAGTGCTCCTCGCTGAAAGCAGGAAGATGAGTGTAGGTTTGGGGCATGTGGGAGGCGAACAAAGGAGCCTCATCAGAAGCTCCCGACCCATTGGATCTGGCATAACGAGACAGAGTGAAAGAGGCGATCGATGTCAGACTCACTGTATCGGGTTTGTTGCGTACAAAGTCGAGCATCTTTCTTTGCACTGCGGCCGGCAGGGTTGATAGATTGAGTCCGGCAAGGTCGGCATNCCTGTTTGACGGTCAGTGAACAATGACTTCGTTAGACGGATGACATGAAGATACCTTGTACTTGGGCTCGCTGTGACGCACTATGTTAGCGAGCTGGTCAAGCTTGCCCTCCTGGCTCAGACGGGGACCGGCCGACTCGATCTCATGGATCTCGGCTGCACTGATAGGCTGCTCAGAACTGCCAAACGAGGGACCCGACATGCTGGAGAAGGGATTGAAGGCAGCGGGAGCAGGTGATGCGGGAGCCGAAGGACCGGGCGAGGCGGGTGTCGAGCCGAATGTGAATGAGGGAGCCTTGTTGGCGTCGCCGTTCTGTTGCGACGGCTTGGCTGGTGTTGCTCCGAAACTGAACGATGTGCCCGAGGGAGTTGAGGCGCCAAAGCTGAAGCTCGATGCTTGGGGAGGTGCAAAGGAAGGAGCGTTGGCAGGCTGTGACTGGCCAAAGGAGAAGGAAGGAGCGGCGTTGGTGCTGCCGTTTGCAGGCGCATTGGGTGGGAAGCTCTGTGATGTCGACATGGTGCCAAAGGGGTTGCCCTGTGGTTGTGCGCTCGTCTGGCCAAAGTTGAAGCTGGCAGCAGCTGGTGGAGCAGGTGCGCTCTGTGCGAAAGGGTTGCTATCGGCGCCGCCAAATGGACTGGGAAAGCCAGGAGCAGGACTGGTCTTGGAAGGTGATGAGGATCTAGACGAGCCGGGGCGTCCTTTGAGGGGTTTAATGCNTGCACAAACAGAGAGTGAGTTGGAGGTACAAACAACCGAGTCATTCACTTGTTACCTTCGCTTTGCCAGCTGAGCAGCTGTCGCCTTGCGCGGCGGGTCCATTGCTGTGTCGCGGGGTCTTCCATGCCGCCGTACCTCTCCGCACCGCCCTGTCCGTCTGCGACTCGTTTCGACATGGTCTTTGTTTATGTGATGGCGATGTCTCGTGTGTTGGCCAAGCTCAGTGAAAGTAGTCCAGTCAAGTTGCAGTCGCGTGTCGCAAGTCGCGTATCGTAGTCTTAGATGGGCATGTGTCGAGTTGTATGCCTCGGTGTCCTGTTGGAATGAAATGCGCACAGTCAAGAGGTTATGATGACGGCTTGAGTTGGTATAAGATGCATGTTTTGAACTTTTGTCGCGCTGCTTGTTCCTTCCTTGTCCGAGCCCTGCTGCCGACTTCCGAAAGGCCAATCAGCGTCGTCATGGCTCCTTCCCCACACGACTGCCTGTTTCTACTTCTGTTTCTTTGACCCCCGTGTACCAAAGCATCTACTTCTTTAAGTACCCATGAGAATGCACAGTATCTTCCAAAATCAAGTCCATATCCATTGAAAGCCACAACTTCATCAACTTTCACCTAACACCACCTCCTTATGTAACCTTCTCTGCTTTGTAGCTACATTACAAGATCCCTTCGTATCCAGAGATAGACTACCTAGGCTCTCGAGACTACAACGTCACAGCACAAGACAATACTCTCCTACATGATTTCAAGTTCTTCAAGTATCCATCAAAATGCATAGCAGTATCGAGAATCAAGGTATCCTCCACTGAGAGACGTGATTGATCTAATTCTCAGTGGATGCCACTTGTTTTTGCAATGTATTGTGCTTTTCTACAGCTGCTTTCAAGAGTGTTTTGTACATGGAGATAGGCTATTTGAGGAGTTGAACACCACGAGGTCACAGCGCAATGCAATACTCTCCTACACAATAGCATACCCCTCAAGTGTCTATAGAAATGCACAGTGGTAACCAGAAAAGTAGCGGTTTCCATTGAGAGTGACATGAATTTCTATTACTACAATATCGAGGCATCTCGGCCCATGTACTCCCCCTGAATGTCTCTTTAGTTCTCTTCTATATTACATCCTAGAATTTGGATCCTCTTTGTCCAGAACTAGGCTTTCCTTCATGCTGTGTTCATGTTCCTTTTTACTTCATGCCGCCCATGTCCTGATCCATGTTTGCCCACAATTCTTCGTTGAGCTCTCTCTCAATTCTGGCAGCAGCAGCATCCCTGGCCTGTTTCTCCAAGTAGGGGTTAGACATGTTTGCGTCATTCTCAGGCTATGAGAGGAACTCGTCCATGTCTTCGTCGGTGGTGCGCTGGGTGAATTCGCTCTCGAATTTGTCAATGTAACGCTGTATAAAATCAGTTTTCGCACGCTCNNCTTCTTCGACCTTTTCCGCGGTGCTTACGTTTTGGAAATCGGTCATGCCGCTGTCGGTCAGATCCGAGGCTTGGTGGTGTTGGTCGACGGGTGGGCCCGAGTTGGTGTGGGCGACCTTGAGAATGGGTGCCTTCTGGCGGGCGCTGCGAGCGCGGAACATGGCCTTGAGGTGAGACTCCTGGAGAGGGGTGGGAGTGGACTCGAAGCCATAGCGAGCCTTGTGACCGACATCCTGGCCGTTGATCAGAGTGAGGTCGAGCTGATCAACACGGTTCTCGCCCAGATACCAGAGCTGTCCTGAGTTCTTGTCGATGCGAGCATCGTGTCTAGTCGAGTAGTCACGAGCGATGCGGACGCCATCGACACCGTAAGTGACGTCGAGGTTGTGGTCCTTGTTGATACCCAGAGCACCACCTCCAGCGGCAGCTCTAGTGGTTGCGGGCTTACCGACGACAGCCGACATCCACTGCTTTTCCAAGAGGCGAGTGTAGAGCTTGGTGTATGGCATGCGGACCAGGGTGTCGCCTTCTCCCATCTTGTACCAGAGACCGTAGGCGCGCATGTCGGCAAAAGGCAAGGATTCGAAAGGGAGGGNGCGTTGGTACTGGCCAAAGGCGTGCTGGTTGTCAGTGGTGTATGCAACACCCACAATGTGGACACTTCCAGGGGGAGTGGGCTCGCGCTCGAGGTTGTAGCTGACGTAAATGTGCTTGATGTGGACGACATCTTTGCCGACGCTGTTGTTGTGGATGGCTGAAGAAAAGCGAACGACATCGCCTGGGACGACGAACTCGGCGCCAATGTACACGCCCTTGCAGTAGACGCGAGCCTCCTTTCCGTTAGAACTGAAGTGGTAGCGTCCAACGACAGACATGGAGGCCATGGCGGCCAGAGCATGGCGGACAGTGGGGTGGCACTCGCGAGGGTTGTCGATGTCAGCGCCGTTCATGAGTTCCTGCCAGAAGTGGAAGGGACGGACGTTGAGCATCTGGACAGTCTTGAAGCGAGTCGACCAGGGCTTGTCCGAGTTGCCAATCTCAGGCATGGGTTCAACGCGGAAAGAATCCACGTCTGTGATAGGTTGCTTCTGGTCGAGAAGGCCGGCGGTAAGATGATTCTTGCCGGTCTGAGTGACGACAGCGGCCTCCCAGACAGGCAGGCCGATCCAGCCTAGCTGAGGATCGTGGATCTTGTTGATACCAGCCTGATCGTCAAACTTGACCAGCTGGGCGTCCTTGAGATTGCGCGCAATGAGGACGATCTCGCCGAGGCGAGGAGCCCAACGTGCGGAGGTCTTAAGAGCCTCGAGGTAGGAGGGTAGATTGGCGAGTTCTTGTTCAGCCAGCCAGTCCATCGAGAGAGGCTCTGTTATAGCCACGCTGATGGGCTGTCCCTGGTTCTGCTTAGCTTGGCGCAGAAGACCTTCAAGGACGTTGGGAGTTCCGTCATCATCAATGCCAGCATTAATAGGGGGCTGCATGTAGTCGACATCCATCGCGGGGGAAGAGAAAGTCATGTTGTCAGGGGCGGATGCACTAGGCGAGACAGATTGCTGAGTAGTCGTGGACTTCTTCTTGTTCTTGGGTTTTTCGTTGGGTCTGCAAGACCAACAGCGGCAGTTCTGAATGTCGTTCTTGAGCAGACTGACGACGTGGATCGCGAATTGAGAGGCGGAGCGAAACAAGCCCTTTGTACCGCCTGTGGGGTGTCCGTGTACGTAGTCGTCGTAATTCTTTGTACCGCCTGTCTTTTTGGTTGACTCGGTAGACTCGGACTTGACGTTAGGACCAGGGGCCTCGACACCGCGCGACTTTCTCTCAAAGATGTAATTGTCCGGAAGGGTGTTGAAGGTAACACCTGCAGGTTCTGAAAGAGCTTGTTAGTCGATGGAGCAAGACAAGATCTATGATCAACTNNTACTGAAGTTGTCGATGATGTACTTGTTTGCGTTGACGTCTTTCAATAAGATTTGGAGGTAGGAAGGGTGAGGAGGTGGTGGTGGTGCGCCAGTGGGAGTGTTAGCCACTCCGTCCGAGGGATAGTTGTTCCAGTTTATTATGGTAGCCATCTTTGGTGGACGGAGATGTTCGGAGTTAAGTCCGAAGCTGAGCTAAACTCCGAGTTTGTCCCGGTGGGAGTGCCAAGGCAGCGATGGCAGTGAGAGTTGACAGCTTTCGCTCAGTGAAGTCACGGTGAGGGCTCACTGAAAGCAGAATGAAGCGAAAGCGCAGGCACAGTGAAGCCGGATTCAAGCAAAAGTGCGAACAAAGCGAGTGCAGAGTGACTAGGGATTCGAGATCACGCAGCAGGCAAGAGGCTTGGAAAATATGTATTTGGAGCACTCGATGGTGCTTTGGCAACAGTTTTTCTTCTTTCTGGGCGATGATTTATAGGAAATGGAGACATGAGAAGTTGTTCTACCTAACTTTTGCCTGATGGGTTTCTTGTTATGGGGGTCGTTGGTAGGAAGTCAGGTAACTAGGTTGAGGGAGGAGGATGATGGACAGTTGCATCTGGGCATGCCAAGCTCAGACGTGGAAATATCTCCGAGCACCGACAGTCATGACTGTAGAGCACACCGAGCGAGAAAAGACGCTTGTAGCAAGCAAGTCAAGTTGTTGTCGTGGTAGATGGTGGCAGTGATATGCATTACTTGTCATCAACTGAAGTTTGGCCGTGTTGGAGGAGGATCTTCATGTCGGGGTAAAGCTGACTTCAGGTGTAGGATTTGGATTCGATAGCTCGTTCGCTTGTGAGGGGATTAGGCTAGAGCGATAGGTCACTCTACCAAAGAGGAGCCGTGGGCCAGACCAAATGTAGATGGAGGGTCCTGTTTGAACAGGATGGTGCCTCCTGCTGTCGTTCACAGGTTCAGGCGTGCAGAGACACAAACGATGCAACGGCTTTGTTAGCAGTAACGAGCATGGATGTCTTCAGGCCAAACCCCTCGTCGGCGCTCCAGTCGCCCCCTCCTCGTCGCATTTCGACAGTCGCAGGCCAGCGACTCTCTGCCGTCGTGTCGGACAGACCGCCGTCTTCAATGTCGTCGCCGTCGCAGAGACTCAACAGCCGATGGAGCGACAGCACCCACATGGGCGCAACGATTCCACGAACCAGCCATGATACAATGCCACCACCTTATGCGATGCACGCTGGCGCCCTGGGAGGAGACAAGCTCGTCGCCATTGGCCCCGTCGTGCGCAAAAGAGGAGGATGCAAACGGATCGGCTTTCTGGTCTTGGCCGCGCTCGTCGTCATTGGCCTTGGAATTGGTCTAGGGGTGGGCTTGACTAGAGGTGGAGGCGGCGGCAATGATCAGTCTGGAGCGCATGCAGGAGAGTCAGACACGAGCGCACCGTCGCAACTGCCATACCCTGTCGGCGAATACAGTCTCGTCACGGCCTTGCGTGCCGTCGAGACGAACTGCACGTCGAACCCCGACACCTGGCGCTGCTTCCCAGGTCCCACCTTTGAGCAGTCGCCTGCCGCTTCTCTGGCCACCTTCAACTGGATTCTGTCCAACACATCTGCCTCGTATGCCACCAACAGCAGCCGCATGACCACATCTGCCCAAGGCGTTGCCGCGAACCTGACCATCTCCGCCTCCGACAACCCCTTCAGCATCGTCTTTGACCCGACCAACCTGACCTTCATCAACGACACGTCTCCACGTTACACCTTTGCCGCAAACATCTCCCAGAAGATCATTCCTGCAAACAACATCACCGCAGACAACAGAGCCACCGTCTGCTTCTTCAACCAGACTCAAGTCATTGGAACCCTCCACCTCGACAACACCTTTGCTCAGCACTACACCTACACCAGCAACAATGCGAGCTACACTCTCTGGCCATATGCGGTTCAGGTTGAGCTGGTGAGCCCAGGTGGTCAAGAGACACCAGCTTGCTATTACACAACGAACGGCGTTGTTGGAGCTCAGATCACAGATGTGCTCACTGCTCAACCCGCTGAAGACGTGTGTCTCTGTGAATACAGAAACTATTTCTAATAATTCCCTTTTGATTCTCGATACCCTGCCTTGCTTTTGTTGTATATATCCCTTCTTGTTCTTTTAGCGTTGCTCTCATGTCAATATCACGATCCCATGCAACTTCATTCAATTCCATCCTGTTCGTCCAGCACGCGCTCGTCTCGAGCATAAAAATTGATATTTGTGATTCTTTCCTTCGTCTCCACGTGCTTCAGCTGTGTAAAAGGTCTTGTGCTATTGGCGCTTGTCCGTTTCTCAACTATCATTCTGGTCTGTCACGCAAAAGCGACATGGACAGCTGTCTGGCACGGAGACTAACACTTCTCACAACCAAGCGGAAGTGTATATGGCTTTGATGAATCTTGACATTGCTGCTGCTGCTGCTGCTGCTGCTGCTGCTGCAATCTGTTCAGTAGAGCTTGTGTAGATTGTAACCTTGTTCTCTAGTGCTCATCAACGCGAAAACATAACAAGCTGGTATTCTATGCAGTTACGAGCACTTACTAAGAGCTAGGCACCGACAAAGTATCTCAAGAGCATATTGCGAACATCAATACATGTGCTTATTTCGTTAGGGGCCCCGTCCGAATCATGATCATGAATTTGTAACACGGACCTCGAGATATGTTTCTCCACCTCCTTGATTGCAGAACTTTTGCATGCCAGCTCTTTGCCCTGGCTTGCTTTCCTCCCATTCCACGCATCATGGAAAATAATCTCCCCATCCTCAACTCAAGAATATCCGTAACTCTTGCTTTCTCAACCTGCAGTTTTGCTGTCTCTTATACGGCAAGCAAACCACACTTTCCACAAACAGCCCCTTCTGACACCATCTACTTGACCAATACTTTTGTGCTTTCAACGTCGCACAAGCCGGATCAATTTATCTCCAGTACACGTGAGAAAGTCGTTCGTGTCATGAATGACGAAAAAAGGTTTATATTCGCGTCTACTGGAGATAAATCATACTTCAGTATTCTCAAAAGGCCGTCTGTATCCTGGCTTTTGGCTTTGAGGGTAGGGGAATTGAAAGGTTGATGTGCTTGATGTGCACAACGAGTTGCCATCAGATACCGTTGGCGACTAGACGCATGTGAAAGAAAGACAAGGTTCCGAGAAATCCACACGACCGATGTAGGAAAAATGAAGCAAGAAAAAATATGGGCATAAGAGCAAAGAACACGTAGACAAAGTAGTCGTGGATTAGAGAAGTGTAGCGGAAAAAATAAAAGAATGAGGTAAGTGTAATAGTCATTAGAGAAAGAAGCTTGATGGTGTGATCTTGACTAAGGGTTCTGCGAGCGAATCAACAGTACCTCCACATGACTGCTGGTTTAGAGTCAATGGCTCCAGTCAGAGTTCTCGACTTCCGTCATTACACTTTCGAGATGGCGGATCTTCCCAAAGAGAGCAAGACAAAGGCTTGGGTCTGGGTATGTCCTTTTTCCCTTCTTCTTATATCTTCTGTTTAGAATAGTGAAGTACGGGAGAGATATAGAAAAAAGGAACAGGTTGAAAAGAAAAGGGCAAATAAACGGGGATCGGAGATGCTCTCGCGAGTACGTAGGGATGTGGTAGAGGTGTCATATTCGACCTTCAGTGACCACTTGGCTTCATCCAGCATGGAGTCCTGTATACCTTGTGTGAGTGCGTCAAGAAGAGATCCTGAAGCGAACGACGTCAAAAGTCTGCATCCTGCACGTCCCATGGTGCAGTATGTCTACCAGCCACCAACTCCAGCCTCGATGACCACGTACCTGCATTGCAGAAGCAAAGACCTCTGTTCCTGTGCATCTCCTGCAAGCTATGTTTGATCAGCTGAGCTTATACATCGTCAGTGCTACTCTGAGGGCCGTCATATACGTGCAACCTCCTGCATCAACTGCACGGTTTCAGTATAATGCACACACGTTATACGCGTTATTGAAGCACCGAGCCTCTGCAAACTGCCTTTTTCGCTACCGACGCTGCGAGTCGGAACGGTTTCGCCGGAAACCTAGTCGCAGAACAGTCGTGAGAGCATCTGTTGGGGCGAGTGTATATTCAGAGCTGCTTTGAAGGTCTTCCTGGTTAGACTTGATGGACTGCCATGTTCTCTCGGCGTCCGTGCGTTCTATGCTGCGGTGGCTTGTCAGAGTCGACATGTCTGCGCAGCTCTGTCTTTGATCCGTTCCTAATTCGAGTCGCTTCACTTGGCGTTGAGATTTGCTTTTTCTGTAGACAGCGAAAAGATGTTGTCCACGAGTGTGACAGGAGACGCACAGAGGGGGCTGTCACAACCCTGCATAATGCTGGAGACTGCTTTATCTGAGACCTGCAGCACCATGTCATGCATATGCATGTTCACGGACCTCTTTCGCTTCGTTCCTGCACTGTCGGTCTCAAGATCTCCATCTCTCGCTAAACGCATCTAGATATGAGAGCTGCAGTCACAGGTGACACGAACAGTGTGGGGCTTGACGTGAAGAAAGCTGACAAGTGAGCCCAGCGTCGCAGGGTTTACCGGATTTGCAGTATGCATGTCCTCGATATCGTTTCCCAGAGACAGGGAAGCCCCCTGGAGAGATGGCTGGTGGAGTCGCTTGCGCAAGCTGGAGGCCTTGCAGCTCAGAACATGGAGTAGGGCAGAAGTGAAACCAATGAATATTGGAATCCACTGTGATGGGTCGCGACATACGGGATACGGCTCATAGCGTGCAGAATGTCTACGCACCATGTCAACAGTAGACAAAGCACTTGAATGCGGGGTTCGCAGAAAGACTCCATAAGTGTAGAGAAACGGAGGTGTGTCCGAAACGGCGCAAGTTTGTCATAGCTCTAGATGGCGGGAGATCCATTAAAGACCAGGGTCACGGTACGCAAGCTTTGCGGTGCACAGTTCGAACCTACCAACCAACCTGTTCTTAATGCCTGTTCATCAAAGGCTCGCAGCCTAGAACAGACGATAAGAGAGAAGAAAAGTTTGTCCAGTTGACAGAGGCAAGTCGCTTGGAAGGTTTAGGCACACAAGACCAAATCCAGACCTCGTATGTGCGAGGTATCCAACTTGTTGCCACAGAGGAAGGGAATCACGGCATCGCCACGCGTGGGCAAGACACGGCACCTGGGTTCCACATACTGCTGGAACAATGCCGGCGGTACATTCCAATACTGACAACAGTAGCCGGCGCTGAGCCTCGAGGCTGTGGTATCTAAGCGATGGTCGTCGGAGCTGAATACCGATGAACCCTCAGGAGTCGACGAAGGGAGCCCATTTGCCCAAAGAGGTTCTACGGTGAAGCCGTCCAAGACTGACTCAACAAAAAGATTTCGGGACAGCCGACAAGGCGGGCGCAAACGACAAGAACTCGCGAAAAGAAGAAGAATGTGGATAGCAACGGAGTCGCGAAGCCGGCCGTGGTACGACGCCGACAGTTGACAGGCCCGCAGCGTAGAGCCGCAGGGTTCGAGGGTCTGGGCGGCGGTGTATAGATCTTTGGGCGTCAGCTGAAAAACGCAGCCACCGAAGATCTGTAGGAGAGTAACGGGGTCTTTGCAAGGTTAGGATGAAAGTCTCTGGTTTGTGCAACGGTTTGATCACAAGTCTTGCTGACAACGACCTGCGAGTCGTAGACATGACCGTAGACAATTGCCTGCTGGAACCATGATTTTCTCCAGAGAATACACCCACGACAGCAATACTTCAACCAGGGCATGATACTCAGTATCCCGCGCGTAAGCAAAGCGCAGCCGCGGAAGGATTCACAAAACGTCTTATAGATATGACGAGGATGTTTCATGGTGTGCCAGAATCATTAATCCGACGAACGTGTGTGGTCAGGATTCAGACAGATGGCTGATGGCCCAACGCACAGGACAGACGTTTCCATGAGGACTGCCAATACGTGCGCAGAGCAGCAACAATTGTGCAAGTTGAAGCGTGCCGCAGCTTTCGCGGCCCTTGTGTTTCAGAACGCCCAGCAGGACTCGAGGACAGTAGGGCATTGTAGTGCTCTTCAACCGAATGTTGAGGACGCAACTGATGGTTCTATGGAGCACTCTACCTGTATGTCTGACTGTTGTACTGATAACCATGGAACATGAGATACCACAGCTGTATGTCGTACGCTCCGCATAAGTGGCCGAGGACCGATATACGAGATGTGGCTTCAACGTCGTCTTAAAAGTGAATCGCTCGCCCATTCTTCGGTACAAGCAGTGGGGCTGTATAGCAAAGATAGACCTCGCGAGGGCAGTATGAAGAATCCGCTCGACATAGCAAAGTCCGGTTTGTGGACACGAAAGAACCCGGACAAGGATTCGGACTCCGGTGCTGGGACAAAACCGTTAGAGGACGACGCGCACAACTCGAGGTGGCTGGGGCTGTGCAGGCAAACCGTTTCGCGCAGCGACGCTGGCAACTGCACAGTACAACAGTACGAAGGTCGCAGACGAGGAAGATGGTGACGCTCGTTTTTCCTGTCGCGTGCAGGTCAGAATAAACAAACATGTTCAAAGTCTGTATACAGATCATGGCGGGGTCATGCATGAGATCTGCAAGATGGCGGGGCATCATTCAGAAGCCAAACTTGAAATTCTCCGAAGTCAGAAAACAACAGTCCGAGTTCAAGACAGTCGTAGACGAAGCGCGACGCGTGAAACAGCTGGTGCAAACCGCTACAAGGGAACCGAGGAGAGCACAACATTGTTAACGTCTTGCGGCACCAAGAACCCGAATATCTGGTGGCTTGCTGACTTGCTGACTTGCCCTACGGCAGATGTAGATCTTTTACCCTTTCTTGAGATGCCGCCAGCGAATGATTCGAAGGACTGAACCACTGCACGTGCATGAAGAGCTGACTGTAAACAAGACGGACAAGCTTGTGGGGCAGCGGCTCCTCATAGAAATCCTGTCCCAAGAGAGTGGTTGTAGTCTCGGTAGCCTCGCGTAGTGTTGGGACTTGACTATCGAAATGCTCTGTAATGGAACAGTCATTGACAGAGGCTTTCGTGGAACCTGTCACCAAACACTGGTAGCA